TGACTGTCTGAATGTCTTTGTCGCTGTTTTACTGCTGTAAGGTTGATGAAGATGTTTGCTGTTTATGAATGATTTCTGGTATTGTTTATTTCAGAGACTCAGCAATGCAGAGACTGGGGAGAGTGTTCAGGGGTTAATTAGGTGGTTTTTAGTCGATATAAATTTTTTTTCGAACTATATCCGTTCCATATATGTTTAATAACAGTATTTTTTTTGTATGTAAAACAAAAATTTGGAAAGCGTGCCAAAAAAAAAAATTGGGGGAAAAACACCCAAAGAGATCATCCAGCCTATGCCACAATCTAACCTGGTTATACAACCGGCTGCAATATTCAGCATAGTTACAACTACGAAAGGTGCAAGGCGGTGCTATAGGAAGAATCCCCCATAACTCACATCTTAACGGCCGTCTAAGGGGGAGATGCACTACGGCCCCCAGACCATGATGTATGTGCACCTAACCGTTACGTCTCAGTGAGAAACAGAGTATGCATCGCCACAAGCGTAGCGCGTCATAGACGAATCAGCTACAGTGGCTAGCCCTGAGAGCGAAGATAAATTTAACGTATTTAAGCTTTTCCTGGTCTCGGGGGGCGGTCCTTAACAAGTATATGCATAGAAAACGACTAATAAGGCACACGCTTGGAAATGACCAGATTTAAACGACTGAACGTTTTTTAAGTATTTTTAGCGAGAAATTTTAGTGTTTTGATATTCTTTAGTGTTTTGAAACAATCCTTGTTGGTTTTTAACGTTAGAATAATCGTCATTCTCAAAAGGAAACTCAATATAAGTGACTGAACGGCTTAGTTTGCTGAAATGTTTTGTTAATTTCGTGTTTAGTATAGCCGCTTGATTCGCCGGTACACTTTGGGCCTAAATTGTATGTATTTATTTCACAAGTTTTCATTGTTTATCTTCGCTGATTCTGTTCTGTTTTCGGGGAATATTTAAGTCCGATCTTTCTTCTTTATTTCTTTTACTAACTATCCATGATATGACGGTGTTGGTTTTGGTTGGATCCTCCCTGGCCTGGCCTCCCTCCAGCCTCCCTCCAAAGGAAAGTGCTGACTCAGTTGTTCCATTCAATATGGCGGACAAAGTGCAATTCTATCTTCCAACAGCTAGTGGTGGGAATTGGGAATCTGGTTTGAAGGGAATAATTTCAACATTTCAGATTTTATCCAACACCAATCGAAGTAAAGCTACCGACTACGCAACAACGGTGAAGTCTTCATTCAAACCATCTCATGGATCAGTATCAATGAATAAACTATGTGCACAATTAGTAGAAAATCTTGAGTGGTTTTCAATGTGAGATATTTTGAAATATGAATTTGAAAACTTGCAGGGAAAGCCAGGGGATTTATCCAGACTTTTGATTGATAGTTCTCAGGCTGAAGGCACTAACGAGAACGCAGAGTTGACTGTCTGAATGTCTTTGTCGCTGTTTACTGCTGTAAGGTTGATGAAATGTTTGTTTTGAATGATTTCTGGTATTGTTTATTTCAGAGACTCAGCCATGCAGAGACTGGGGAGAGTATTCAGGGGTTAATTAGGTGGTTTTTAGTCGATATAAATTTTTTTTCGAACCATATCCGTTCCATATATGTTTAATAACAGTATTTTTTTTGTATGTAAAACAAAAATTTGGAAAGCGTGCCAAAAAAAATTGGGGGAAAAACACCCAAAGAGATCATCCAGCCTATGCACAATCTAACCTGGTTATACAACCGGCTGCAATATTCAGCATAGTTACAACTACGAAAGGTGCAAGGCGGTTGCTATAGGAAGAACTCCCCCCATAACTCACATCTTAACGGCCGTCTAAGGGGGAGATGCACTACGGCCCCAGACCATGATGTATGTGCACTAACCGTTACGTCTCAGTGAGAAACAGAGTATGCATCGCCACAAGCCTAGCGTCATAGACGAATCAGCTACAGTGGCTAGCCCTGAGAGCGAAGATAAATTTAACGTATTTAAGCTTTTCCTGGTCTCGGGGGGCGGTTTACAAGTATATGCATAGAAAACGACTAATAAGGCACACGCTTGGAAATGACCAGATTTAAACGACTGAACGTTTTTTAAGTATTTTTAGCGAGAAATTTTAGTGTTTGATATTCTTTTAGTGTTTTGAAACAATCCTTGTTGGTTTTTAACGTTAGAATAATCGTCATTCTCAAAAGGAAACTCAATATAAGTGACTGAACGGCTTAGTTTGCTGAATGTTTTGTTAATTTCGTGTTTAGTATAGCCGCTTGATTCGCCGGTACACTTTGGGCCTAAATTGTATGTATTTATTTCACAAGTTTTCATTGTTTATCTTCGCTGATTGTTCTGTTTTCGGGGAATATTGAAGTCCGATCTTTCTTCTTTATTTCTTTACTAACTATCCATGATATGACGGTGTTGGTTTTGGTTGGATCCCTCCCTGGCCTGGCCTCCCCTCCCAGCCTCCCCTTTCAAAGGAAAAGTGCTGACTCAGTTGTTCCAATTCAATATGGCGGACAAAGTGCAATTCCATCTTCCAACAGCTAGTGGTGGGAATTGGGAATCTGGTTTGAAGGGAATAATTTCAACATTTCAGATTTTATCCAACACCAATCGAAGTAAAGCTACCGACATTGCACTCAGGCGTTAAAGCCACAACCAATTTTGATGATGTGTTTGCGTTGAATCTATATTTCTTTGGCGAGCTTTAGAAACGGAGGAGCATTTGAGATCATGTCAGGAATTGAAGTTGTCGTTTTGTGGAATATTTGAGCAAAAACCGAGCTCTTTATATCTTCTTAAATTGCCTTTGAAAAGTCTCAAGAGGTCTGAAGACTTAACACGAGTTTCCGTAATGGATCTGAGCGTGAAAGATTAACAAATCATCAGACTTTATCCAGTTTATTGTAGCCTTGGGTATTTGTCCCAATTTTTGAAGGAGTAGGTGCAGCCTTTAACAAGAACTGGTTTTGGTGATGCTTTGTGTGCTGACGATGGCCATAAACATGCTGTGTTTCTTGTTGTGGAATGAAATTTAGCTACAGAAGAATGCATTCAGGGTGATTCATCGAGATTATGGTCTACCGTTGGGATACCATACTGCACTGGTATACGCAACAACGGTGAAGTCTTCATTCAAACTATCTCATGGATCAGTATTAATGAATAATATGTGCACAATTAGTAGAAAATCTTGAGTTGTTTTCAATGTCAGATATTTTGAAATATTAATTTGAAAACTTGCAGGGAAAGCCAGGGGATTTATCCAGACTTTTAATTGATAGTTCTCAGGCTGAAGGCACTAACGAGAATGCAGAGTTGACTGTCTGAATGTCTTTGTCGCCGTTTTACTGCTGTAAGGTTGATGAAGATGTTTGCTGTTTATGAATGATTTCTGGTATTGTTTAATTCAGAGACTCAGCCATGCAGAGATTGGGGAGAGTATTCAGGGGTTAATTAAGGTGGTTTTTAGTCGATATAAATTTTTTTTCGAACCATATCCGTTCCATATATGTTTATAAGTATTTTTTTTGTATGTAAAACAAAAATTTGGAAAGCGTGCCAAAAAAAAATTGGGGGGAAAACACCCAAAAGAGATCATCCAGCCTATGCCACAATCTAACCTGGTTATACAACCGGCTGCAATATTCAGCATAGTTACAACTACGAAAGGTGCAAGGCGGTTGCTATAGGAAGAACTCCCCCATAACTCACATCTTAACGGCCGTCTAAGGGGGAGATGCACTACGGCCCCCAGACCATGATGTATGTGCACCTAACCGTTACGTCTCAGTGAGAAACAGAGTATGCATCGCCACAAGCGTAGCGCGTCATAGACGAATCAGCTACAGTGGCTAGCCCTGAGAGCGAAGATAAATTTAACGTATTTAAGCTTTTCCTGGTCTCGGGGGGCGGTCCTTAACAAGTATATGCATAGAAAACGACTAATAAGGCACACGCTTGGAAATGACAAGATTTAAACGACTGAACGTTTTTTAAGTATTTTTAGCGAGAAATTTTAGTGTTTTGATATTCTTTTAGTGTTTTGAAACAATCCTTGTTGGTTTTTAACGTTAGAATAAACGTCATTCTCAAAAGGAAACTCAATGTAAATGACTGAACGGCTTAGTTTGCTGAAATGTTTTGTTAATTTCGTGTTTAGTATAGCCGCTTGATTCGCCGGTACACTTTGGGCCTAAATTGTATGTATTTATTTCACAAGTTTTCATTGTTTATCTTCGCTGATTCTGTTCTGTTTTCGGGGAATATTTAAGTCCGATCTTTCTTCTTTATTTCTTTTACTAACTATACATGATATGACGGTGTTGGTTTTGGTTGGGTCTCTCCCTGGCCTGGCCTCCCCTCCCCTCCCAGCCTCCCCCTTCAAAGGAAAAGTGCTGACTCAGTTGTTCCAATTCAATATGGCGGACAAAGTGTAATTCTATCTTCCAACAGGCAACAGCTAGTGGTGGGAATTGGGAATCTGGTTTGAAGGGAATAATTTCAACATTTCAGATTTTATCCAACACCAATCGAAGTAAAGCTACCGACATTGCACTCAGCCGTTAAAGCCACAACCAATTTTGATGATGTGTTTGCGTTGAATCTATATTGGCCTATATATCTTTGGCGAGCTTTAGAAACGGAGGAGCATTTGAGATCATCGTTTTCCGGCCAATACGACCATGGTCATATTCGTCATTTTCCGGCTAATACGACCATGGTCGTATTCGTCATTTTCCGGCCAATACGACCATAATACGACCATGGTCGTATTCGTCATTTTTCGGCTTATACGACCATGGTCGTATTTGTCATTTTCCGGCCAATACGACCATGATACGACCATGGTCGTATTCGTCATTTTCCGGCCAATACGACCATGGTCGTATTCGTCATTTTCCGGCCAATACGACCATGATACGACCATGGTCGTATTCGTCTTTTTCCGGCCAATGCGACCATGGTCGTATTCGTCATTTTCTGGCCTATACGATTATGGTCGTATTCGTCATTTTTCGGCTAATACGACCATGGTACGACCATGGTCGTATTCGTCATATTCCTAATAATATACCTCAGTGGAAACGCCTGGTGCCGGGCCGAGGCTCAATATTGTAACCATAGCAACAGTCTGAAAAACAACATGGCGGACACAGAAGGCATATGTTTGTGGAATTCGACTGACATTTTCAATATTTTAAACCAGGTTTTTATCATATTTTGTAAAACAGTATAGATTTCGTATTGGGATATGAATGTTGATCAAAGCTAAGTATTAACATCGGTTAAACCAAAGTTTTAGCATGCAAAATACAAGTGTGATTTGATTCTCATATCTCAACTTAGTGAACGCGAGTCTTCGATGTATAAAGCTCACTGATCTGTAGTGAGCTTAGTATATAGATTCAGTTCATACTTCATAGCCCAAGTACATCAGTAGCAATAGTCAATATGGAAAGTACAATTTTATGATTTGATGTTTTCCAGACGGACACGAAATACCCAAGAATAAGCGATCCGAATTATATTCTTCTACTTGGTAAGGCTGTGTAATCCTATTATATCATTATGTAAATACATCTTTGCGTACGTGACAAAATTTTGCATTAGAATTGTGGACTTCACCGTCAATGTTATATTCAGGATTAGAAAAAGTTGGGTTGATATCGAAATGTTCACGTCCCCGTGCAAGAGGAGCAGATGTTTTCATAGCTTTGAGATCATCATTTCGTCTACAAAACTTTCATTTTCAGCACCATTCTGTTTTTACTCATTCGTCTGTATTTATTTGACTCTCCCTCAAGATACCAGGAAGAGGAAAGATTACAATGAAAGCCACATTTTAACCGCCAAATATGCACCAAGGGTAGGAAGTTATTTCATTTATGTGAGGGAATCGAGTTGTTATGATAATTCCCAAAAGATTCCATGCAAACAGCGTCCGCGGTGTCTCCCTGACTTGGCCTCTTATAGTCTTTTCATCTATGGTTTAAGAATGAATCTGGATCGTTTGCTGTGCCCTATGAGGCAGAACTTCAAACAAAAAGATATTGTATCGTCTACGACAGTCGTTCAGACACGCTAAATGATCAAGGTATACATATATAACTCAACGCAATACAACTCGACTAGTCCCTAAACTCAGATACCGACTCTCCTCTGTCTTTGTCTTCAGGAAGTCCTGCTGTTGCGTGCGCCAGAATGCTTTGGGATAATGGTAGTAAAAATCCTGTTGTAATAATAAAAGGTAACTTCGCGTTAACATCGCAAAAAGGTTCATCGCGTTTTAAATCATTTTATATCTAAAATTGGGAGCGATTTTCCAAATGAAAGAGCTGCTTTTTACTGCTTTTATTCAGGTGGTTATGAATTGTTTTCCGCTCTTTATCCATTTTTACGAACACAGAAAATTATTTACACTCAAAAGGTAAAAAATGGTTTCTATCAATTCATCTTGAAGTCGCTGCCTGATCGTATTCTGTCTCATTATTAGGAACTTGATTTATGTAAAACGTATCCTGTGGAAATTATTCCTGGTCTTCTCTACAGCGGTACATTGGAGCAAGGACAGAATCCTGCCGTTAACAAAGCTTTGAAATGTAAAGCACACGTGAATGTCAGCTGTCGCCAGGACGTGTTGTAAGTCTTGTTAAGATCGCTCTAATGCTTGCTAGCTTTGCAATCAAGCTAGCCTCGAGCTTCTTCCTACTCAATTGGCTATACGAGTTTTGGCAATTCCACATTTTTGTTGTAGTTGTAAAGATGAAAACTCGCTGTTTCAAAACAAAGTTTTCGAGATTCCCATCGAAGACTCCGACGATGCTGACATTTACTCGTATTTTGCAAACGCGGTGGAGTTTATCGGTACGAGACTAAAGTAATTTAATTCGTATTAAATTTCATTGAAATCTTGACTGAGATTTGACTGAAAATTGTCTTTGTATATTTTTTATTCTAGATGGACTCTGCCAACCTGGAAATTCCGTTCTAGTCTGTTCTGAGCTAAACATAAGCCGTAGTATCACTATTGTTATTGCCTATCTTATGTGGAAGAAACACTGGACATTGCAGGTAGATGACTAGAAGATACTGGAACATTACAGGTTTTAACAGAACATGAACTACCACCTGAAACTTTCTCTATTGCTTCTTTAGAAAGCGTTTGCACACGTGAAGCAATGTAAACAAAATATGCAACCAAATCGGACATTCATTGAACAGCTCTCCAAGTGGGAGGGTCATCTCTATGGCCAAGTCGTTACTGACATCAGTGAACCCGACTATTAGAGTACATTTGAAGATGTTGTACATTGTAGATATCAGTGCAGTGCACGGTTAATAGAACCGTGATCAGTGGTACTTGTATATTCTTGTATAAATTGTATTTATTGGGTTATGACCTAAATTTTAAGCTGAATAGTAGTGAATAAGACATCAAGGAATACAATAAATGGCGACGAACTGTTCATCAAGACGTTTATTCCAGAATTTTCTTCCAGACGAAGTCGACTATTTTTTCTTCGTGTTTTTCTCGCGCAGAACTCGCGTGGAATCTCGCGTGGCTGTCACGACAATTCGTGAGCGACCTTCCGCCATCTTGTTCATAATTGTTTCAGCAGTTTTGTTGATTTCCATCAAAAACTGAGATGATTCGTGGCTCACAAGTTTGCTTTCTCGCCCTTCGTGGAGCAGCACACACTACGAGAGCATTCTCAGTCTCCAGCCAGGTAAAAAGTGCTAAAATGCATATTTTAAGACGTCAAATTTGACATCCAATATAGTGGTATTTAAATATGATCGACCGGTACATCCGTGCATCTATTATTGTACAGTACATATATGTCATTGTGCTATCCTTTGTAGTAGACTGCTCACTAAGAGATATATTTTTTTGCAATCATTTTCACGCGTACTCTTGCCATGGTGTCTTGTATAAAACTTCAGGAGTTTCATAGCAAACAAAGTGACAGATTTCCCTTTCCCCTTGATCAATAATCCTGGAGACTTATCACGTGAATTTTACTGTTTTTATCGTATCACACAATCACGTTGTAGTAATAGCTCGCATGAGCCTATCTTCGGATCCATTCTTCATAAACAAGTGTATATCCCCATATAAAAGAGAGTGTATTGTTGTGTGAAAGTTTGTGTGAAAGTTTGTGTACTATGTGAAAGTTTGTGTATAAAGAATTGTTCCACTTTTATATAGTGCAACACAAAGGTTGCTGTTTTAGGAGCAGCTGGCGGTATTGGTCAGCCATTGTCACTGCTTCTTAAGATGTCACCATTGATAAACCATCTGGCACTGTACGACATTGTCAACACACCAGGTAACCAAGATTTAATCAATGGAACGTCAAAGAGGATGCGAAAATTGCAAATAATTGTGTTGGACGTTTAACGAGCTCATCACTTTATTTATTCGCCATTCTTTCATTATCAAACTTTTTCAGTCCTTGAACTAAATCTGCTCAATGTGTAAACTTAGACAACATTTATACTCAACTATAACCTTTGCCATTGTAGGTGTTGCTGCTGATCTTGGCCACATTGAATCTACAGCTAAGGTAAGGTTCTTGCAAGATGGTTACATGATTGCTATATGGATAGTTGCAAGGATTTACCTAATATTCACGATCTGTACTTGACAGTTTTCAACCGCTGTTACAGGTAACCCATCACCAAGGAACAGAACAAATTGAAGATGCATTAAAAGACTGTGATATTGTCAGCATACCAGCAGGGCTACCACGAAAACCTGGTTAGTTGCAGAACCTGGAAATAATGCTTGAGTGTATAAAAATTGATCTCATCTTCATTCTTTATATTAGGTATGACCAGAGATGATCTGTTTAACACAAATGCAACCATTGTCAAAAACTTGGCTGAAGCTTGTGCAAAGTAGGTGCCACTGGACACATTAGGCAGATTTAGCACAATTGGGATATGAACGTCAAAGAGGATGTCATAATGGCTCTTTAAATGGTGGTATTCACCTATATGCCACACCATTTATTCGGCATTTTCACATCGTCTTTGACCTTCACGTCCTTATGCTAAATCCCGCTATTATGAATCATAACTCCCCTCTTAACCCTCTATATCCTATCCTAACCTTGACCTGCCCATGTCCATAACCCAAATCCTGAGCTTAATCTAACAGTGGCTTTTCAAGTCCTCAAATTCATATTCATATAATTTATATTTATATTTATGTAGATATTGCCCCAATGCTATCATCAGTATAATTTCTAATCCTGTAAGTATAAAAAGATGAGATTATCGTTGAAATTAAGAATATGTTGAGCTGAGGGTGCATCTGAGTGCATTGCAAGCTAATATGTTGACCATTTGCTCTAGGTGAACTCTACTGTGCCAATTGCATCAGAAGTATTTAAAACAGCTGGTGTTTATGACAAAAATAGGTTTGTATCGACAAATACCTTTATCAATTTTAAATACTAATGCAATTTTAGAAAGTTTTCATCTTCATCCATTTATTTTCATAGACCTATTGTGTTATTCACACATAGTTCATTTGAACTAATATTTATAGAATATTTGGTGTAACAACTTTGGACATTGTCAGAGCAAACACATTTGTTGCTGAATTGAAGGTGAGAGAAGTATTGTTAAGTATGGTGTGGTGAATGGTACGGTACGGTACGGTAGGGTACGGTACGGTACGGTACGGTACGGTACGGTACGGTACGGTATGGTATGGTATGGTATGGTATTGTATGGTATTGTATGGTATGGTACGGTATGGTACGGTATGGTATGATATAGTGCGGTGAATGGTATGTTACGGTACGGTACGGTACGGTATGGTATGGTATGGTATGGTATGGTATGGTAAATAATCTTATCATATTTCCGCAGGATCTTGATGTGAGTAAAGTTAAAGTCCCCGTCGTTGGTGGTCATTCTGGTATCACCATCCTACCTCTGTTATCACAGGTTTGTTCATCTGGGATGTGAACATTGATACTAATCAAAATAATTATTTTGCGATGTTTAGTTAAAGGCATTTTTTCTTTATCACTGCCCGTTCTAGACACAACCCAAGACATCTTTCACGCCGGATGAAATTGCAGCTTTGACTGACAGAATTCAGAACGCGGGCACCGAAGTTGTGAATGCAAAGGCTGGTGCTGTGAGTGCATATCATATTATTTCAAGAATATACACCATCTAAAGGTCCTTCTTTATTTCATAAACACCTTTTTGTTCGCTTTCCAGGGTTCTGCAACGTTGTCAATGGCTTATGCTGGTGCAAGATTCGTCTTTTCGGTAGGAAAAAAAACTTAGCTTTTCTATTAAAACATCTCATTTTCTTCCCAGAGACAATCGTCGCTTCAAAATTAGTCCAGCCTGTGAAAAAAGCAGTAGAAATGTTCTAAGAAGTTCATCTATAATTAAAAATCAGGAATCTAAAAATTTGTCTCTTCCAGTTACTGAAAGCGTTGCGCGGTGATTCTGGTATTGTTGAATGCGGATTCGTCGCTTCTGATGTCACAGAGGCAAAATATTTCTCTACACCACTTGAACTTGGGGTAGGATCCAAAAATAGTAAACCGCGTTGTTGCATAAACGTCCACGAAAACCACATCCATAGCCTATGACGTCATTTTTACTCGTGACCTCGGCAGTTGCTGATGTCATTTTTACCTCACAGGCTTTTAAGAGTTTTTGAGCGTCATTGTGTGGGATGTGCATGACATAATCGGTAAAGATAAACACGATTTGTTTATTTCTTGATGTAGAAAAACGGCTTGGTTCAAAATCTCGGCCTCGGCGAACTGTCTGATTACGAGAAACAAAAACTTGCAGAGGTCAGTAGCTGAGAAGGACCTCTTTTTGCAGAAATACATTTGTTTTTATTTTTTAATGCATCTTTTTGTTGTCCATAGCTTATGCCAGAACTACAGAAGAACATTAAGAAAGGAGAAGAATTTGTTGCCAGTAACTAGACTGAGCAAGTCCAGCGTGTGTGCAACTCTTCTGGAAAAAACTCCGTATTTATAAACAGTAAAATTAGAAAGAAAAACGCATCAATATCTCAAAATTCTATTTGGATGGTCAAGTACAAGGATTTGAATATCTGTATGACACTGTAATAAAATTTTGCTATTTGTAATTGAAGAGTTTCCACGCTTTCAAGCGGAGATTTTAACAGACGGACGGACAGCAACGAGTTTAATCTGGCGCGTGCAGTCAACTTGATCGGTTTTATCGTTTCCTGACTCCCACTCGGAGAGGGGCATTACCTACAGATTACCAAGGTTAAATCTAGTTTTTGCCTCATTACGAGCAATCTTTAAACCATTTTAAAACAACTATCCGGTATATAGGACTATCCGGCCGCAGGAAACACTGCCCCGCGCGTTGCCGTTGGTTCCTCGTTACCCCCTTCAAGATCGGCGTTGCGATGGTGCTAACGTTTTCTTTCCTCATAACTCTCTTTTTCTTACGTGCGATGATCTCAAACCTCTTGGAATAATCCTTATGCCTCGCAAGTTCATTCTGAGCCCCCGCATTTGTAATCTTAAATCTGTCGGCCTTTGAAATATTCATGTTTCCCACACGGATTGCGTGCTGGCTCTTTCCCAAAACCTTACAGCTGGTATCAGTTTATAGGCAAATTACACTTGAAACGACACGAAAAAAGTAAAAAATAGAAGCTTTTTGGATATTTTTAGACGAACATTTCAGACAATACGTAGTTTCTTTTCAAATGGAAAAAAGAATGCAAAAGGCTACGTGATTTCAACTGGATTTACGTTTACATTAAGGCAAAACGGCTCCCCGCTTTTATCTCAATTAACTGACCACTCAGGTGAAGCGGTGTTCATAGCAACGGCATGGCTGTGCACACACGCATCAGTCGGGTTCTTTCAGAGTATATGGAAGTGTGCCAAAATTTCCAAACAAATTCTTCATTTATCAACAATGCCAGCTGTTGCTTATGAACAGGCAGGAATATTATGTCTCGTAGATCTGGCACGAAATACGGAACACTTTCACGCGATTTTGAACCGTGTTTTGAGTTTAAGATACGCGGAAACAAAGTTAACTTCCTATTTTGTAAGAGATGTCACGATCATGCGCGTTAAACCCCGTTTATTTCGTCAACGACACGCAATTTCCCTGTCTCGACACGCAATCCATCTTTAACAGCATATTCGTGCTCGAATATCTGTTACGCAACGGAACTGACAATTAAGCAGTTTTTTCACGCGATTATGTTATGTGTTTTTGAAGGAATAAAAGTCAAATGTTCCTTTGAATATGAAAACGCTCAAAGGCTTATATAATGCAAAATATTTACTTCCTTTTCAGCTCTAAGGAACTCGAAAGCATTTATACGTTTTTGCAGTCAAGCACGATAAATTAAAAGTAGATAATGAAAAAACGCAACATCGCGAATCCTATTTCGCGCGATTATGAATCAGCCGGGCAAAAAGTGTCTGCCCAGATTCGGATTTTAAGATATGCCAAACACGTTCCAGTGTTTTCATAATCTTTTCCATCTGTTCTCGAGCTTTGTGGCCAAATCGAAAATAATATGCTCGAAATTTGGAGGTGAAATTGAAATAATTCGAAGCATGTGAGGAATTCGAATCGGTATTCGCAACAATTCGTGTCGGTCTCGACCAATCGCGTGGCCGGAAGACTACCCCACAATGCAGCGCGAGGCATAGCGTTCTCTTATCATGTGGCAAAGCGTTCCAAAGGTTACCAAACAACTCAGCGTTTCATTCGATGGAGGTAGGGCCTTTATAGCTGTTCAGCTGGCGTGTTTTTACTAGCTTTAGGCAATACGATCGATGGCCTGGAGACAGTAAACGTAAACTGGAGGATGTGTGCGTGTTTGGGAGCTACAGATCGCGTTTAAAAACGCTATGGCAGTGTGCAAAAGTCGTGCTTACACCTCAGCAGACGTGGCTAGCTCCTCGAGTATAGCCATGTTTGCTAGTGACTTTCACACGAGTCGGCATGCCTGTCCACCGGCCGAAAACACATCACCTGACAGACCGATCGGCTATGGAGCTTTTGGAGTTGTTTGGTAAGCGTTCAACTCCGTATTCCAATGCAGATCTTTGTCTACGGAGCGCTGAAACATTTTCAAAACCCACTCACGCTAATATGTTGCTACTTCATACATTGTCAGGTCTGTCACGGATCCACGAACCGGCAAGCGAGTGGCTTTGAAGAAAATGCCGAATATTTTTAAGAATATAACATCGGCAAAGAGAGCCTATCGTGAACTGAAGATGCTGTGTTGTTTCAATCACGATAACGTAAGATATTTTGAAGCAATTTTGTCCGTGAATGGTTGGCTTGCGGGAGGGGCTTGTTTGAACGTTATGTATTTATGCGTATATGTGCAACAAGTGTTTCTCGTTCATGTTTCAGGTCCTATCAATTCAAGACATAGTTCACCCTGGACCAATCGATCATTTTCAAGAAATGTATCCTTAAAAACGTTTTTAATATCGGTATGTCCTTCTTTCCCTCGAACAGGCAAATCCCACGAACTTCCTTTAATAAATGTTTGACCCGAACAAGCCAAATTCATTTTCGAGAGCTTATGAACATAGAAGCTATCAAATTTCGTGTGTCTATATGCTTTAGACGACTCATAATATTTGCGCGTTTACTTATATTCTTTGAATAAATCTCTCTGTGCGTGAACTTGACCTAAAAAATATGCCAAAGAGGCTTTGTTTACAGGCTTTCCTTCGAGGGAATAAAATTAATCTTTACATAAAGACAAGAATATACTCGTCGTTCGTGCAGAATATGTATTAAAAATATTGTAATAACATGCATGTCCGCTGTGAAATTAGCCCTCGCCGTCCGGAAATGTCTGCTGTAAAGGTTGATCTTTGAAACAGGCTGCCAAAAGACTACAGCGATTCAAAGTATTAATTTCATTTCTTGGCAATGTTTTGCATGAAATATGGCTGATATATGCGTGATTACCTTTGTGACAGGTCAACCTTGAAAGAATTGAAGGCCTACTAGCTACAGTCTAAACCAGCTTGGCAGCTTGCCTAATGAATATAGACAGCTAGTCTGTTTTCAGGTTATATTATCCTGTAATGTGTTTTATTTAAACACCTGTACCAAGGATTATCTTTCAAGTATTATAACTGTCGGTTGTTGGCTAAACTTTTTCCTCTTCTCCCAGTGAAATGAATAAAATATTAAGTCGGTTTATGTATTAAGGTCAATTGCAAGGTCATGATGATTCTAGTGTGGTATTATATTGGACCTTCTGTAAGACTGTTGCAATGTTTTAAAGTACAACTGCAGCACAATGCAATACAAACTAATCCGTTACCAGCCATAAAGCTGCAAATTATTTCAACAACTGGAATTTGTCCGTAAACTCTCTTGTTGGGAATCTGCCTTGCACTAATGAGCAGTTTGCGCAATATGCTGTATTTGTGAATTGCAATTCAGTTAGTTGAATACAGTGGTTGAAGTTGGCTTCTGTTAAACCCATTTCTTCCAATTCCATATCTTTGCCTCTAAAAAGCAAGAATTTAGATGAAGTGAAGGAATTCACATTAATTGACTGTTGGTTAACCACTGTCTGTTAGACAATAGAGCTCTATATAAAGTGTATCAATTAGTACATGGTCAATATGTGATATTTGTACAGATGCATGGGCCCTAAAGTCCCACAATACCTGTTTCACACAGGTCATATCTATATGTATTGCCCTCTTTTCCTGTATACTTAATATCTGGAAATGATTTTAATCATTTTATATGAGTGTCCTTCCTTAACTTGCGTGAAAGATATATTGTCACTGAACTAATGCAATCTGATTTACATAAAATCATTGTATCTCCACAACCATTAAGCATGGACCATGTCAAAGTTTTTCTTTATCAAATTTTAAGAGGTAAGATTTAAGCTAACAGATAGTTGTCTTTGAATAAGGGTGAAATATTCTTTCAACTGTGTCAGAGCATCTGTCTCAGAAGCAACGCTAGCTATGGTGACCACTTCTTAAGTTAATTAGAAGGCTTAAATTATCAATTTTTTTATATTTAGTCCATAATGATCTCTGCTTGTTAATTAAATAAGTGCATTGTCTAAAATGACATCAAAACAAACTAAATAATTTGTTTTTCAGGTTTAAAATATCTACATTCAGCTGGTATATTACACAGAGATATCAAACCAGGAAATTTATTAGTCAATAGTAACTGTCTGTTGAAGGTATGTCTGTTTCCTCTTCCTGTCTGCTTTTAGAAAACTTATGTATTTCCAAAATCAGGCTTATTAATTGTGAAATTCTTCAGATATGTGATTTTGGTTTGGCAAGAATCGAGGAACCAGATGAGAGTGTCATGATGACACAGGAGGTAAAATACTTTTAACTATTTCGGAAATTTCAAGCTATTTAAATTTGAAAAACAAGTCTGCTCTCATTTATGACTTTTAGTCTATGTTTTTAACCTTAAATTCAATACATATTTATTGCTCCTCAGGTGGTAACTCAATATTACCGTGCCCCAGAACTACTTGCTGGTGCCAATCATTATTCCTCTGCAGGTATATTTGGATCTTGAGTTTGAATCACTAATTTTTACCGGACTAGAATCAACCGGAAATAAGCTCTTGTTTTAGTTTTTATCACATCCACACTAAGTACCCTAATATTATCTATAATCTTTGAACTAAAGTTTCTCTAAACAAGAGTCCTGGTTATAGATATGTGCACACAAGTATCATTTTTGAATGGTTTCAAAATTGTTTTTTGTTTATTTTATTGCTTTGATGCTCTGTCTATACAATCCAAAGGAAAATATGCTGAATATGTTAAATTAGCTTTAGCTTCTATTGTTAATTAACAATGCTTAAAACCATTTTGGCATGAAAACGAATGTGAAAACACTTTAAAATGTTACAATGTGCACCTAGTCTATATCTGTAAACGTGCTTTATCCATGCTTTGTTATTTAATTAATGATATCCATAACAATTAAATTTTAAATGCATGATTGATTTCTAAGAACTTTTTTAAGTGGTGTGAGAAAACACTTGAGGTGTTAAAATCGATTAATATTAAATTGTATTGACCAATGTCCATATTTGATATTAACCTGTATTCATGTCCATATATGTGTTATATATTTTGTCCTTTGATTTCTTTCAGTTGATATTTGGTCTGTCGGATGTATTTTTGCTGAGTTGATGAGCCGCAAGATTCTTTTTCAATCTGCAAGTCCTGTTCAACAGTTGAACAAAATAGTCAGTTTGCTAGGAACCCCGAGTATTCAGGATCTGAATGATGCCAAAGCAAGCAGTGGGGCCATCACATATCTCCTGTCTAAACATCATAAACCAGTAAGTCTGCTAATATTATGTTGTGTTTCTTTCACATGGTGATTCTAAAGCATTGCTATGGTATTTCAGCACAATCTTCCCTCATTGTATAATCTATCACACTTGGCCACACATGAATCTATTCATCTCTTATGTCGAATGCTTGTGTTTAATCCGGTGAGTGTGCTTTAAATTGAAAAAAAAATGTAAACAAATTGAAAACATTTTTAAAACTTGAATTATTTCATTAATTGTTATAACTATTGTGACATGATCACAATATTTTGGTTGCTAAATACCATTGTATTTCAGACAAAGAGGATCAGCTGCAGCGATGCACTTTCACATCCGTACCTTGAAGATGGCAGGCTGAGATATCATTCCTGCATGTGCAGCTGTTGTTTCAATAATGTCTCTGGGAGGCATTACTCTTCAGGTGTGAAAATCGACTTGTTTATCATAGCCAATTTATTTTTTTTATATAAAACAGAGCACACAAGAGTTTCAGCTGAACTGAAGGTTATTCTTGCCTGCTAGCTCAGCTAAAAACCTGCTGTGTTTGGGTAAATCTTATTGCGTTTCATGACTTGAATAACTATTCTTTGGCATTGTTAACATGTTTTCTGAGAGGCACAACAGCAACCTTTAGCCCAGCTGCTAACTCTTGTGTGCTGTAGACAGGGTAACAGAGGTGAAAGTATGTGATGTATACAAGTACACATAATGTAAGCAATTTTTTTGTTTTGCAGAACTTGACCCTAGTGCTTGTCAACCATTTGATGATAGCTATGAAAATGGTCTCTATACTGTGCCACAAGTCAGAGGTTTGTCTTGATGCTATTTTTGTTACCTCCAATTTCACTGTTGAGAATATCAAATTGGGAATTTAAAATTTTGCTTGCTTTTGATAATGTTGTTGTTCTGTGTTTCAGAAAAAATCTACCAGTTCATGAGGGAAAGACAGAAACACCAAGTTCCACTCTGCATCAACATGAATTCTCCTGCATTTAAAAGCTTTAAAAGGTGGGATATCATGTGAAATAGTTCCGGTTTGCCATCCATAGGATATCACCTTTCTTGTACAGGGATTTTACTCAGGATTTTGAATTCCCCCTGTATGAGAAGTCCATCACTGCACCAATAAACACTGTCTTCTAATTGTCAAAAGGAGACATTTTAAATAAATATCTTGGTTATCTGTTTAGGTCAACTGTTGCATCACAACCAGAGACATCAGACTCTCCTCAAATGTGGTAAGGCTGTTATTGAACTGGACTCCACACACACAACTTTAGACACCCGGGTAATCCCGCACATCAAAGATATTGTTATCTGTCATCCAGACAAGACTGCTCCCAGACCAGGCCAGACAAGGAGAAAGAAGTTATGGATGTTGTTTAAATGCTTCCATCCATGACTTGAATTGAAATGATCTGGTATTCGGGTGTTGTGGTTGCTGAAACTATGGAACATGTAGTTTCAGTGAAAATAGAGCACGGCATTCTTGTGTTCATCAATTTAAATCAAGAAACTGTGCTTCCTTAAGTTTCCAAAGATATTTGTCAATGTTTCAAAATGAAATTCTCTCCAACTCTTCCAAATTCACCGAGATTTATCACATCTACCTTGAAGTAGCAGTCAAATTTTATCAAACATGAAACAAATGCACACATACACCGTGGAGAAATCGTGTATATAACCAATCATAGTTTGAAAACCAATTCATCTTTTTACTATCGTTTCATCTCGCTCTACTCAAGAATTTTATCGTCTATAGCAGTGTCATATTTTTATGGTTCCACAACTTTTGCTACGGTTGCTAGTCTACTTTCAGTTTGGAAGAAAAACAAATGAAAAATGTGGTTTCTATCGAACTAGCATGCAGTCTTACGGTTAAAGAGTGTGGGGATAAAATTCAGTTGAAGATGTAGTTCAAAGTGCTGTCTTGTAATTTTGAAAAACATCTCTGAATCTTTCTTCGTGAAGTAAAGTGAATCTAGCAAAATTGACTCTGCTTGTACAGTACTTAATGTGATTAATAATTTAATGGATTTGTATTTTGCAAAGAAGAAAATTTTATGGAAATAATTATTCGGCTAGCTGTAGTTTCCTGGTCTATTTATTTATTTATTTTTGACTATGGATTATCATTTTTAAAAACCAGGAAAAAATGGAAAATTTTTGTTTTCTCTCAAATTAAAGGAATATTGTAAATTATTGAAATGTTGCTTTATTTTCTTCTCGCGTTAAATAACCTCCGGGTGGAACATTGATTGAAAATGAGACTATTTCAATGGGGTAAAAACTAGTTTTCCTCCTGTAGTAGCGCTGATTATAATCCTTATTCGGCCTCTAGTACCTGGAGAGGACAGTTTAGCACTGAGTTTAGTTTAGGTTTCCTCCTGTAGTAACACTGGATCAATAAGATGATCCTTACTGGACCTCTAGGAAGAACAGTTTACCTATCCTTCGGGGTAGAAAAAGATTGCGGGTGGTTAGCAATAAGAGATGACCTTTAACAATAAGATCAATAAGAGATGACCTTTAACAGGTGGAAACTGTATGCTTTGAAAAACAGCGCATTTAGCGACGTGAAACACTTGGCAAGCTAACAATTCACGCTTCGTTTTATCAAATATCAACCACAACCGGTTACGCCCTGTATCGCGCGCACGCAGGACATTGAAACGTGGCCATGGGCGATATTTTAACATACACCGCAAGAAATCAATGAAAATTGTCAGCCTGTCGGGGATGGTCAGGAACGAACGAGACCACCTCACTCTTCAATCACGCACGAGTGACCGGAACTAACATGAGTACTAATAACACTGCGCATGCTCGTGTTCAAAAATTAAAGACCGTCGCGCAAAATGACTTCCCGGGTTCGCATTGACAAGACGAATGAACTGGCCTAAAACCCAAGATACTCGACAAATCCTTGCAGAACGTCAACATCGGACATAAAAGATAGACTTCCATAGTCCCGTTGTTTGTTTGTCGACGAAAACATCAACATTTCCGCAAAGGACTCTCGAAATATGAGCATTGCCGTTGAGAACCATCAACCCCCACTCGAGGCAGTAGCAAATTTACAGACAACAATAACAGGTTAGGATTATATTTTTTGCGACCTTTGATGATTCTTGTGAATGTTTATAGAATGTTTATACAACTTATTGTTTGTCGTATTCCTCGATAGTCAACTAACAAAGTTATATTTTGTTTAAATGGTGGGTTTTTTATTGAACTAGCCCTGTTTTACTTTGTGGTCAGTTTGCTTGCAAATAACAGAGAAGCAACAATATCGTGATGGTTTTTGTACCTTTCTGCAGATATCAAGACGGTAAACGATAATGAAAATAAAGAAAACGAAACGAAACAAAGCGATGATGTTCCCCCTGACGTTTCTCCACGTGTAAACGCACTGAGCTACACAAAAGTACGAAAAGCTTTGCACGATGTTCACTATTTTTTCAATGCCTTGTTGTTTCAATGTAATTTTTGTTTTCATAGGAGAAATTTATGACCTTGAAGGATGCTTGGCTGAGCAATATCCGCCCTGCAGCTCTTTCTGATAAATATTGCAACAGGTAAAAAATATCGCGTAGAAGATTTATGTGAAGTTTAATACAGACCTTTTTTGCCCCCAAGGCACGCTTCATTCGTTTCTCTAAACTTTTCTAAACGTCTAGGCAATTATTATTGTATGCTTGGCAATTATTATTGTATGCTTAGCAATCATTGACAAGCCTCTTACATACTTCTGTTTCAATTTCGATTAAAGAATAGTTTTTTCATCTATATTTTAACCTTATTCTTTCACATGGCACATGCTTTGTTGAAATGCAAATTAACAACTGTACGTTCATTCAAAATCATTTGTTTGTTATATTCTCTCAACATACATTTCACTTTATGTAGAGAGGGCATATGGGATCCCGAATTGTGGTATTACTCTTCAGAAAGTGAAAATCGGAGTGCTTCTCCAATTGATAACAAAAAAAAATACCTGTAAGTTGACTATTGCAAAGGCTTTGGTCAAAGGATGGTTACCAATCAACTAATGCTACTTTCATTGTGTAGACTTGATGGTATTGTATTAAGCCCTCAAGGTCGCAGCTTTGTTCGCGGCTGTCAAGTCAATGTTCAAGATGGCGGAGACGCAAGAAATAAGTTGAGTGGGAGACTGGGAAGAGGATGGGATGCACCCACAAGGGAGAAAGGGCGTGGGAGAGGCAGGGTGAGACTTTCTTTGGTAATCTTTCCTTGGCAATCTTTCCTTGGCAATCTTTCCTTAGCTTGATACAATGGCTAGACAAGTAATTTCGAAGAACATTCCACAATCTCATTGTTTAGAATAAGTATGATGTATAGTTTGGTCTTGCGTATTGTGAGTAATTTTTGTAACAAGGAAACTTAATGTTGAAAACAATTTGTTCTAGATGTCCCCTAATGGTGACATTGATCGAAGGTTTGAAAGAAATTCCAAGAATGAGAGAAACAATACTTCTGGTAATTGCAACAATTTCAGATTACCAATGCAGGGTTAGTTTGGATGGAATAAGTCTGTCTGTATGGAATTATCTGCTAGACATAGTTGTTTTCTTAATACCATCATCAAAAAAGATCATATACAAGCTGCATTTTCTCTTGTGGTTTAAAATGTAAAAGTTGAATGGTTTTGTCTTTAAATTGTAGGCAAAGGTCGAAGGAGAGCTGGCAGCCTTGAATCAAAACCTGAATGGTTCACACATGGACCATCGAGCCAACGAGATACCATTGAACTAAGGGGATTTGATGATCTGGAAAAAGGTACATTAATCATTAATTAGAGAATTATATTTTTAAGATCTCATGAAATGTATTCATATATTTTCCTTTTTTATAGGTAACAAACGTAAGAAATTCAGAAAAGATGCTGCAGAAAGTATGTCAAGAAAAAAATTTTGCTTTTAAAATACTGAGAGATTTATAAGTTTGCATCAGTGTTGGTCAATGTTAAAGTTGTATTTATTCTAGTTTCAGATGAACAGAAACGGAAAACTCCTGAGGAAGCATCAGATGATAGCAGAAAGTTTGATATCAACGAGTTTTTTGATATGGCGGAGAATGCCCTTCCCATAACAGGCATGGTATGTGTCTATGAATTATTTGATAAAAGTTGTTATGGGTGAAGAGGGTGATCAATTCTATTGATCATGAACAGATTATAGTGATGATGATAATATAACAAGCAGTGATTGTCTTTTATCAACCGTAGTATGAAAACCAAGGAACAAGCAGTAGATTTACCCAATGGTTTGCAAATGAAAGACGCAGTCGTAGCAACAGCCTCAATGCAAGCCTTAGTGGGAGTCGTAGCAACAGCAGAAGGTCATCCATCGCTGATGAACTGGCGGAAATTGCAGGTAACCCACCCTGGTTTCTGAACTTAGACCTCCTCCAAAGAGCAGTGCTTTTAACACTGATCTCTGGAGCGCTTTGTATGCCATTTGGATAGCATTATTCATCAGACTGTAGGTTGTATATTTACTTACAAAACATCACAAACAGCAGAAGAAACAGAACCACAGGTTTATCTTCCTGGTGGACTAACAGAGGAAGGAAAAGATTTAACCTTTGACACTTCAGCATATAAAATGTACCACCAAGTTTAATGTGGAGCTCCTTGTTTTAGTTTTGACATTATTCCTGACAATTTAGGGGATTACAGAATGTATTTTAAAAGTGAATTTTTGTCACATGGTTTTATGCTAAAGTATCAATTTTCATTCAGGCTTGACTCTCAGTTCTCCTGTGCGAACACCAACGCCAGAACAAGAGTTCATGTTTGCTCCAATCGTACCAGCATCAGAAACGTGCGAACAAGAAGACTCTCTCAACATCATACAAGATAACGACGTAGATGTTCAACCATTGCTGGATTCTGTAATACCTCACAAGACAGTGAAAGGTATAAAAAATAAGTTCATGAAGGAGTTTGTCTCCGTTGGCAGACTCGGAACCTGCTACTGAAAACATACTGAGCAAATTACTGAATTTTTTGTCTGATTTCAATTGACTGGTAGATGGGGTCCTGGATTTCTCCGTACCATTATTTTTTTCATACTAGGTGCGGTGACGTTGGAGGATCTCGAGGGGAAAGGAGGGATATCAAATGATGTAGATGAAGAGAAGAGACATGAAAGTGAGGAAAAAGAGGGATCACAAGTATTCCTAAAGTTGGTTGAGACCATGAAAGCTTCTGGTAATCTTCCGGAGAAACCGACGCCAACGGTGAGTAAATGGATGCCTTTTATTGCTCCTTTACCACTGAATAATCCATCCATCGGTTGATAAAGTGTTTTGTGTAATTTCTTTAACAAAATACTTGCTACATAGGATGTTGGTTTAAAAAAACTGCGCAAAAGCTGTCTGTCAAAGCACCACATGTTTACGAAACGCTGCACTGCTTCCAACGTGTTTAAACTGATAACTTTTTCTCGTCTCAAGATTCCAGACATACCTCCTCATCTTCTCCCCAGACCTCCCTCTGCAAAAGACAAAAACAGAATGACGCCAGTGGATCGCAGTCGATCGCCGTCTCCACTCCAGTTACTCCAAGAGGTCATCAGACGGACCCAGTCTCCTGTTGGCTTCGTGAACCACGCTCATGCGGAACCTCGCTTGGTGTCCTCCTACGATGTAATGCGAGCAGGTATGCTTGAGAATAAGTCTTTCTGATTGGTCAATCGACCAAAAGAGGGCATTCTGATTGGTTAATCGACCAAAAGAGGGCATTCTGATTGGCTCGAAGATGGAAGACTGGAGACCAGGATAAAGACCTGGCTAAGTTTAGCGGGAAATTTTTGAATTAAAGATATTCTAGTTGGAAGTTCATATCGTACTCTGTCTTTTAGCTTCCCCTGCTGGAGACATTCGAGCCCCTGGCGCTCTTGCAAGACCTCTCACCCCAGAAGAAATTTACGGACCTCCCCCCGTATTCAATATGGAGAACACGGCGCCGCCTGATCTATTTGAGTTCACTGGAGCAGTAGCGAATATTAATAAGCATTTGCCGGCAAAGAAGAAAGGATTCCAATCCAGGTATGCAACTAAAAATGATCTTTCATGATTTAATATTGTTGGTACACGTGTCTTTCATCTCTGTGACTGAGGTTTGATTCCTGTAATATGCAGTTGTTTGATTATAATATCACCTCAGTCACATGTGAGAAGAATGCCTCCAGTTTGACTCTGCCAAACACATTTGCCATGCTTGGCCCTAATCTCTGCATCAATTCGTTTAGATACCCAAATATGTCTGAAGCAGCAACGGTTGGTAGTTCATCTCTTAATGCTAAAGTTCCGAGCAGCTGTCAATCCGGAGTAAAACCAAACACAGTAAGTGTGGTAATAATCTGTCTCCTCGTCGTCTATGCCTTTTCTTCATTTGTGTCTGTCATTTCTCTAAAATACCTGCGATTTTCTTGCAGAACTATCCAGCCATCTCGCAAGCGTTCGTACCAACGTCAGTCTTACGCAAATATCACTGCGACAAACATGACCAGGTATGCAAGATATTTCTTTAAAGTGGAAGTCAAGTCCGTATGTAAACAAACGGTTTGTTTACATTTTGAACATTATGCGCAGAACGGATTTGACTTCCACTTTAAGAGTTCACGAATCCTATTTTAATGTTTCCTCGTCGTTTGCGGCAAGGACCGGAAGGTTCATCATATAGTAAGCACTGCGCAGGTCATTCGGAACATTACAATGAAATGTTCTTTAAAAAATGAATCTTTTAAATTGTTTCCCAACGCATTGCATTGTTGATGCCCAGAAAAAGTCGTTTCGTAGTTTGTCGAAAATTTTGTTTGTCGCTGAAGCTATTCGGGTTTTTAATGTTTAATTATTTAATCTTGAAAGAAATCATCGGATGAAAAGGAACACGAACACATCTCTCGTCCAGCTACAAACTCAGCGGTGATTTCACAAAATCAAACATCACCAAAATCCTCTCCTACCCTCATGTCACCCAGAGAGTTCACTTCACCTAAGACCACAAGCGAGGCCTTACCCCGACCGGAGTTATTGACCCCTCACCGTCTTCCGTTACCCGGCTCCCCGAGTATGACTCCGCACAGCCTACCCTTACCCCAGTCCCCTATGCTCCACGATACACCCAAGTCATCCCCGCAGAACCTCCCTAAGCCATTGTTAACCCCACACAGCCTGCCACTTCCCCAGTCGCCGTTAGTGACGAGTGCGAACTCCAATCCACAAAGTGATTTTGGAATTCGTCCCTTACCGAAAACCGCTGGTATTGATGACAGTCATCGCTTACGAGGCCGCAGTGTTAGAAAACAGTTTGAACAGCGGACAAACATGCGACGTTTTCCCCAGGGTCAGATGCCGTTCCGGCCGGTTCCTCCAAATATGGTGCCCAGACCAGGAATGGTCCCCAATCCCTTCAATATGAACACGGCTAGAGCAATGAACGTTCACCCGACAGCGTTAGCGTTAGCATTACGTAATCAACAATACCAGATGGCGCGAGCGGCTGCTGTTGCCGCGGCAACTGCGGTGGTAAACCGCCCACCTGTACTATCACAGGCTCAAGCTGCTGCAGCCGCCGCTATGATGTTGAATCAGCAGAGAGCGGCTGGGGGATTTCATGGGATAATGCCTCAAGTGAATCCACGAATGTTCCCTCATACCACACCACGTCCCAATCTACCCCCTGCATTACAACGGCAACACCATGTTGTACATCATTCTGGTGAGTTACCTTCATTTTTCATTGACTCTCTCAGAGTTAACCGTATAAAACGACGCCATGTTCTTGGTGCTTCCTCTTAACATACGAAATTTCCTCTTCATTGATCTAGACTCGAATAAGGACCGTGATGGTCTCTCGAAGTGGTTTAGTGACGCTGTTCTCAGTCAGTCCCAGTCCCAGACTCCTGGTCGCGGAGCCAAAGTCTTGTCAGTGGAAGAACTAGAGCGACATACTTGTGTTTAGGTCTCAGAAAGCGCCATTGCTCTTAGTGTGTTAACTTTGTGTGTTTTGTGTGTACCCCACGCTCTCGTGTTTTGTTTCTTGCCCTCCCCCCCGTGTCCTGTTCATGAAATTTACCACCCCCCGTCTTGTTATCAGAAAGTTTATGTCATAAATTCAGCGTGACTGGGAAGTTCGTGTTTTGTAGTTTATGTATCGTGTTGTTCTGAGCGTGTTGCTCTCATATCGTTTCGTTGTCTCTGTGTACAATTCGTGTCCTTGTCATTTTTTGTCGTGTTTTATACCGTTCTTGAATCGTTTAAGTAAATTTTAAAGTATTCGTGTTGTTTTAGTATGATTCGTTTAGTTCTGTTCAAAATCTTTTCGTATCGTTCAAATTTGTCTTTGTTTGTTCGTGTTCTTTGTAACGTATCATGTGAACAAGTTTTGCATTCTGTTCGTTTCGTTTCATACGACTGTCTGTTTTTAGTTGTTTTACCCCCCGAAGTATCATCTCGTATATTTGTATCGTAAATTATGCCAGCAATGTGTTATTTGCGAGTTCAGATTCATTTTCATTCGTAAAAAAAATTGTGTAAACGTAAAATATGTAATTAACAAACGGTAAATTGTATTCTTATGATGTGCATGTCTTAGCTCTGCCTTGGAATTCAACGTGAACTCTAGATTCTGATGATATACGTTAAATCCGGGTTTTCACTATCGTAATTCATCGTACGACGCTCTCCGATCTTCTCCGATCCATCATCTTAACCCATTTTGATGTGTTTTTTTTCAATGAAGCGTTGAACAACCGGCAGAGAATACGATGAGTTACACGATAATGAAAAACGGCTTTAATTATGGTTGGGTTCTCTTTTAGCTTCTGGTCAGTCATTACATAACGTCCTTTTGTAAGAAAAGTAAAAACTTTGTAAATATTTGTAGCCGTGGTGCGTCCATCTCATTTGTCGTTCGTTCCAGATTTGCTCTGAATAAATAAAAGCTGAACCAAGATGATCGTTTGTGTTTTATTCAATTCTAAGATAATTTAAACGTCTGTTTACACAAACCAATTTTGTCGGGTCTAATTACCTTCTAAGGGATGTTTTAGTGTCTGTTGACTTGCAATGTATAGAGGCAGCAAATCCACTAAAGCTAATGCAGTACTGCTTTATCAATAACAGACTACATTCCATACGTTAGAAGTAAATTGAATCCAACAAAATTGGATCGTGTGAACCTTACTGAGGATATTTTATAAAGTTTTCAAGGCCGGTTTTCTCTGCTTTGCGGTTCGTTTTTCGCCGCTATGAAGTGATATTTTATCATCAGTCTTCGGAGTGTTGTCTCTGTGAGATAAATCTGTTTTAACTGGGCTTGTATTTGATATTTCTCTCGCTCTGCTTGCCAACTTTCTCACTCCCGCTCTGTCCCATGGAGATTTCTTTCTTATGTTTTGTTTTGGTTGCTCGCCTTCTGGTTTGGACGTATTTTGAAGTTTCTCTAAGAAGGAAGACGTTGTGGGTGTTCAGGATTGCGGCTGCTTCGTGAGGACTGTGGTGCATATATGGTTTACAATGGTGAACATATGGTGATGTATTCTATGATATCTATCATCGTGTAGTCATTGATGGTGGTTATCATGGATCAAATGGTGATCATGATAAAGATGTGGTGGTGATTATGATGATGATAATGATTATCATGGTGATCCTTATGATGATGGTATAGTGATTATGATTAACATTTGATGATAATAATACCAAGATGGTGATTATTTTGATAATTATGGTATATGGAATCAAGTTGGTAAAAATAATTATAATGACAATTATGATAACTAGTAATTATGATATCGGTGATGATAAATTGATAATGATTGTGATAATGATAATAGTGTAAGTTATTCTTACCAAAAAGAACTGGATTACTGTATTCTAAGCCGTTAAGAAGAGACAAATATACATCTGGTTTGTCCTGACACTCTGGAAAAGTTTTAGGATTTTGTTATTTCAATTACTCTGGGATCAGTGTCCAATAGAATATTTAATATTAACAGCAGGTTTGCGGTTTAAAATTATTTCACTAGCAGAACTGGGAAGTGTTGTTTTGGGAATAATTGGCTTCCGGAGAGATGATATGTTTACAGGTCGTCAGGTAACTGATGAAGATATTTGTGGGAAAACAGGCTGTCCATTCCAAGTTTGGCACACGGAACCGACGGAAGCTATCTTTCCTGAAGGAGTTTCCTTGTTTTGTATGAAATTCATATTTTTTATCTTATTCAGTCAATACATGCACCTACCACCTACTTTCCACTCGTAAGAGAACGTATTCGCCTCGCTGTCGTAAAATCGTAATCGCATTTTCGTTCAGTTTTTCAGCAAGCCTTTGAACATTCCCTTCTTCATCCGTCAAATCAATCGCAGCTGAAACGATTCGTAAGTATTTTTGTTGCATATAATAGTTTGTAGTGGTCTGTTATACCTTCACAGCAGGAAATATGAACTAGCTTGTTTATTTATAATGTATAGACACTAGACAGTTCCATCGAAGTTCGCTCCTTTACCTTCTCTGTCACAATTGCTTCTTTTTCTTATGTTGTCCAGGAGGTTAACCACTGAACAGTTCAGGTTAAACAGAGCATGATTGTTGTCTAAAGATGTTTGGCAGTCACAAATGTGAAAGTATATATAGATTACTATGGATGCTTAGATCATGTTGACGTTGTACTTTTGAACGATTTGATGTTCAGAACTCACTGCTGAGTTAAGCACGGTTAGATCATGCAAAGGTAGTTACATGTTCTTGAATGAGAGCATGCTTTCCATGCGCTCAAATTAAACAGAGCATGATTGTTGTATAAAGATGTTTGGCAGTCACAAATGTGAAAGTATATAGATTACTATGGATGCTTAGATCATGTTGACGTAGTACTTTTGAACGATCTGATGTTCAGAACTCACTGCTGAGTTAAACATGGTTAGATCATGCAGAGGTAGTACATGTTCTTGAATGAGAGCATGCTTTCCATGCGCTCAATTTCTTCAAAACACGTGCAATAAAATAGATACTCTTTTGGTTCGTCGGAACGCATTTTTCATTTACGATGTTTTAATGATACTCTAATGAGCGTCCCAAATTATGCAGCCGTCTCTCAAATGAAATGAATACAAATAAATATGACAATTCACATTTTCGATCTCAAATATTTTAGCGTGCGATATAGAAAGAGCACATGCCAAGCCTAAACAAACCACGACACAACGTGGCCTCCGAGAAAGTTCAAAGAAACACCGATATACTTTTCTTTTCCATTCAAATGCATTTGGCTAATAAATTGCAGGTAGGATTTTCATTTTTCTATGCGTACTTATAGCAGCTGATTTGGGTGAAGTTTTACAAATAGAAGATTAATGAAAGACTTATTGCATTACTTCAGTTACCGGTTCGGGATTGAATGTAGCAGGAAGATTGATGTTTTAACAGGAAGCAGGAAGATTGAGGTGGTGTAGTCATTCCCATAATAGCATGTGCTTATTTGGTTTTCGTAGAGGATCAGCCTCTCCAAGACAATTACCCTGTGCGCGAGGTCATGTAAACAGACCCAAATTTAGAATATCGAAACATGTGCCCGGCTCTTTCAAAGTTGTATGACCAAAACCAACAATATTAAAAAATTACCTCCAAATCTGATCGTAATGAAAGACATCCTATCACTCGAACTTGTTATTCAACTTTAAAGAGATTCCTCTCCGATGCCTCGTAGCTGAAACCTCCAGTAATTCAACTGCAATGCTTAATGTTTCAAACAATATACGTTTACGGCATTATAATAAAGATCATTAGCGCGGACGCAATAAATTACTTTTTGACATACCAATAAACCATCAATTTTCCATTTCTTAGACATCGTAATCCTGAAGTATTTCAGGTATTGTCGTAAAGATTATTTTCGTAAAGATTAAGGTATGAATCCATGCGGATGGGCTTTATTATAGCTTTGCGAAAAAAAGGGCAATATATGTCTTGATTCTGGAGGTTGTTTCCATATTATTAGAGGAATGAGTTCATATTCTAATTATATTAGAACAATGTTCGAATATTCTAATTGTGCAGCATTGAACAGAAAAGAATTGAAACAAAATCAATCGCATTTTCGTTATGTTGAAAGGAAAGTTTGCAGCAGACGCGTGGTTTGATTAGGTAGATCATCTGTGACGAGAAATTCGATGCCCATTCATAATAATTTCAGTCTTCAGAAATTCTATATTCGCTTCGTCACGATCGTTTAAAGAAGAAGTACCATGCTATATGCAATGCTTCCCCGTGTCGAGTTATTAAACCACGTAGCTATTTCCTATGAAATATCCCACGGTGACTGTCGTTGCCCACTTCCTTAATCAATATATAATTTATAGGCTATTATTTCGTGCTTTCCTGTTGCACTTTCCTTTTCATTGAAAAACTTGAAATGTGTAATCAAGTTGAAACAAATTCTGATTGATCTAACCGAAAATGTTGCAAAACAATCAGTTTTTACACAATAATTTATTGGGAAATAATTTTTTTTTTAAATTATGCCCTATTAATATTATTACATTAATGATTTGCATAGTCATACATGCTTTATATTATTGTTTTACTCAATTTTCCTTTCAATTTTGTTCCTACAAATACCCAACTTTCATTGGGTTGTCATATTGAAGCATCGCGTCGACTTGCTAAGTTTCACGATCGGCATGAATGACTGGTTTATCTCAAATTACTAGTTCTAGAAGCAATATCCGCCTGGTATTTGTTTACGCCGGTTGTAGTTAAAGTGATAAAGACGTGAAGCGATCTTCATGCCTTGATATTTTTGCAGTAAACATCACATGGCCTGCACAGGATGTTACAATGAAGTCGAATGCAGAAATACTACCAGTTGGGGAAGAAGAATACTGGTTTCTGTTGCAGGATTCGCGTTTCTATTGTGCGTATGTCATTTTAAGACAAATATATACGGTAGAAATGCAATGAAATTGAGCAGTTCAGACGTCTCTGCGAGGAATGGCCATTTAAACCGACACCTCTTGGAAGACAAACACAGCGATACCAAGGTAAGTTCAAAATCACCTCACTGGCTCTCAAGATACAGGGTGATATTGTGGATACCGTCGTATTAAGCCAAGCTAAAATGCCTTAGGTATGACATTGCATGCATAATAATGAGTTGAATATAGATTTTAACGTAGCGTGTCGTTCTATAAAAGATTCAAGGTTCATTTTAGTTTTAGCTTGGCTTTCGTTCTTGACATGAACAAATGACAATCGTTTGTTAAAACCAACCTCAAGTACAAGAGAAGGTTATAGTTCAGACGTATTTCTACGCTATATATTTTTTTGAATTTGTAATCGCCGACGTAACGTCACTCACTGCAGCTCAACTTACAATGAATAGGAACAAAGAAATTAGGGAAACCCGTATTTCGCTTCAATTTCTGATCTTTCCCAATTACATGAACTGAAAAGGTGCTAGACTCTCATCAGAGCTACGTTTTCACGGGACCGGACGAATTTGGGACAGGCTAGAATTCGTTCTTTCCCACCTGTTTCCACGGAACCTTCCCTGTGCCATTTCCCCAGTGTTTACACAATAGTTCTTTCTGTCAGAGGGGTCCAATATTCTTCCAGTTCCTGGTTTACGTATAAATTTATGGAAGACTGTCAGATACAAATTCTAAGCCCGTTCCAAATTTCTTCGGTTGCATGGAAACGGGTCCAAATTTTCTAATCTACCCATTGTCAACTGTACTATGTCTGTCATTAACTATATTAACTATATTGCCACATATATATGCGTCCTGTCTGTTTAATCTCCTGGTTAGTGTTTGCAAACCTTTCAGGTGCTTATTTGTCGTAGAAATTTCTGTTATATGATACATCATGATTCATTTCTCGTAGTGTGTGCATCTCCATAGCGTGAACTCTTCCTACCTCTGTGCGTTTGTGAAGACAACAGAAGACTGTCAAATTCAAGATGGTTTCATCCAGTACATACAGTTTCCGTATTGTACTTTATCAAGAACCGAGGCTTTAGCTTTCGTCTTAATGGTGGGTTTGAAAAACGTTTCAAAACTAACTCGACCATGGTCGATAATACCGAAATATGGTCGAAATACGGTATTCGAATATACCGGAATATGGTATACTCGAGTCAAAAGCGTAAAATTGTAAAGCCAAAATTAAGATGCTTATACGGTGTCATATCAACTATCTTGTTTACTCAAAAAGTTCTTTCGTTCTTAGATTTTATGGTTGATATTTCTCTTCATTTTTGTTGGAATCACAGCTGATGATTAGTATGTACAGAATTTGATTTCCCTACTAATATAACCAGCACCGCCCAACCCATATGGCCCACCAACGGCTGCATAGCTTTATGAGTTTTTCCCTAATTATTTCTATAGCTTCTGTCCAGCATTGACCGTGATTTCTAATGCTTTAAATCTTAGTCCCAATGTGGCAGTATCCTTTAAATCCAAGTTACCTAAATATCTTCATAATCTGGGTCGTGAATGTCCTCCTCAGTTCACTTCATGAATTTTCTCTACTTCATTTATTTCACCCTTAATGATGATACTTCAGGGCGTCACATTTCTCGCGTATGGAAATGGTGCTCCAGATATTTTCAGTGCAGTGGCTGCTTTCGTCAATTCCAACGGGACTGGAGATTTGGCACTCAGCGCATTAATTGGCGAGTAAATATTTTATTGTCGTGGTTGAGGATGATGGATTGTGATGATTGGTGATGAGGGATTGTGGTGGTTGGTGATGGATTGTGGTGGTTGGTGATGATGGATTGTGATGATTGGTGATGATGGATTGTGGTAAATGGTGACGATGGATTGTGGAGGTGGGTGACGATGGATTGTGAAGGTTGGTGATGATGGATTGTGATGATTGGTGATGAGGGATTGTGGTGGTTGGTGACGATGGATTGTGGTTGTGGGTGACGATGGATTGTGGTGGTTGGTGATGATGGATTGTGGTGATTGGTGATGAGGGATTGTGGTGGTTGGTGACGATGGATTGTGGTTGTGGGTGACGATGGATTGTGGTGGTTGGCGATGATGGATTGTGATGATTGGTGATGAGGGATTGTGGTGGTTGGTGACGATGGATTGTGGTTGTGGGTGACGATGGATTGTGGTGGTTGGCGATGATGGATTGTGGTGATTGGTGATGGATTGTGGTAGTTGACGATAATGGATTGTGGTGATTGGTGATGGATTGTGGTAGTTGACGATGATGGATTGTGGTGGTTGGTAAATGATGATGGATTGTGGTGGTGGGTGATAATGGATTGTGGTGGTTGGTGACGATGGATTGCGGTGGTTGATGATGGATTAAGCATGTATTATACCCGTGATTTAATTTCCAGGTGCTGGAATGTTTGTAACGACTATCGTTGTTGGAGTAGTTTCATTATCAGTCACGTACGATCTGAACCAGAGACCATATCTTAGAGACGTCGTCTTCTATCTTGGCGCGTTAGCTTGGACTTTAATTATAGTTTATAGAAAGAAAATTGATTTCCCTCAAGCGATCGGTTTCATCGTCCTTTACATAGTCTACGTTCTCGTTGTGATTATCGGTCGTGTGATCTATCAGCGGTACAAGCGAAGAATGCGGGCGCAACGAAGAACCATCCAAGGTAAAAAAAAGTACTGCGATCAGTACGCGCTGTATTTTATGCTTCCCGGGACATGTCGCAGCTCTCGGAAGCTTTCGTCCAATTGGATAATGCTTTTCTATGCTTTCTAAAGAACGAGCTGTGCCATTGGTTGAAACAGAAATGTATTGTTAAGTTCAGCCAATGAAAATCATTCTTGCGAGGAGCTGCGACACTACACTTATGCTTGGGACTAATAGAGAATATATTTCTGTTTTCAGAGGATTTTGAATCCAGTTATCAGAACGGGGCAGTATGTCAAGGCTCGTCTGGACGTAGCGAGGAAGATTTCGAAAAATCAATTCCAGTCATCACAGATACCAGTAGATCTAGTAGTTGGAGGTTTAATCCGCAAAGATCAGATCCAGGTGAGGGTCTTGTAAACTTGAGTTCTTTAACCATGGCGATAAATTTATACTAAACCTTTTTTTCAGACATAACAACACCTTTGCTAGCCAATACACCAGGTTTAACGAGCGGCCAAGATAAAGGTTTTCTTAAAGAGCTTTTGTCATTTTCAAATTCCGATTTCATCGATTCTGGTTTATTAAGAAAGATGTATACCATAATTAAAGTAAGTTACCCTTGTGGTCTAAATTCCTAGCCTCCAGTTTAACTGTTTAAAGTCTGCCATACGTTGAGCAGGGAGAATCAAGGAAGTTCGGTCATTTAAAACGTCCTTTCAATTAATGTGGTGTAACAACTGCTTTACTGTCGATTTGAGCAACAGACCTTCGCCTAGTGACTGCATGAGTTACCCGGGGGCTAATCTTCCATGTATATTTACTCCTATACTCTCACCTGGAGACATCATAATCTCAAGTCGAAACATCGAGAAGTATTTTTTGTATATTTTAGATATTTAGTCTGTCTGAACTTCTGAGGAGGTCAAGGAGCACATCTGCCGAAAGGGTTTTACGCGGTTGCAAACACAGTGACAGTGCCATACTTTACCTTACTCTTTCGACTTCCTTGATTTCTGTTTTCAGATTCCAATAAACTTGTGTTTGAATCTCACAATTCCTGTCGTTGAACTGAGCGCGGAAAAGCACAACTGGAATAAATGGCTGCAAATTCTACAATGTCTATTTATGCCGTTGTTCTGCGTCTTTGCCACGAAAGGTAGAGTTACATTCAAGCTGGATGAACACTGACTTTGCACCCCAGTCATCTGGTTCACAGTAAATCGATTGCACGCAGCACATTCAGTAGTTTTTCACTATTTTCAGGTGGATTTATTATGTTAGGAGGGAAATTTCCACTGGCTGCTCTAATGGCTATTGTTGGCGTGATACTGGCCGTTACCGTGGCAATCACGTCATCAAAAGATCGCCCACCAACTTATCATAAGGTACTCTAAAAGCCTTTTAAAAATATTATCAGAAATTATCCAGTTTTTCCTTGCCTGCTATCTACTGTTTACCCAAACAGATATTGGTTAACGTTGCTCTTGCGAGTCCTTTAGAGTTTAGAATGAACGATCGCTACCCGTTGTACTAGCATGCAGGGGCCGGTTGTATGAAAGCCGGATAGCGCTATCCACCGGATAGTGATTTTTTCAACCCTTCTAAAAATGCTTGAATAGCTATAAAACTTCAGCTTTGAAGCCAACTTTTGTTAAAGAGGATCCTGAATTTAGGAATACTTAGATTTAATCAAAGTTATACCCAACAACAGGCGATTTTAAAGCGATTGAAAAAATCACTATCCGGTGGATAGCGCTATCCGGCTTTCATACAACCGGCCCCAGATATTTGCATCAATTTGACCCCTCAATTCTCACAAATGTGTGTTTATTTCTCTTTCAAATAAAGTTATTTTCATTCATGGGTTTCATCGCGTCCGTCATTTGGATTTATTCAACCGCAAATGAAATTGTTAATTTGTTGAGGGTGAGTTGATAACGAAGATCTTGCATAACGTGAACACGATCCTCGAGCTGACACCTCGAGCCTTTTAACATTTATAGATGTTTGGCGTCGTGTTCAAACTCAGCAACGGAATATTGGGCGTGACTCTGCTGGCTTGGGGAAACAGTATAGCAGATTTTATTGCTAATCTGGCTGTAGCAAAGCAAGGCTACCCTCAGATGGCAATAGCAGCTTGTTTTGGTGGTCCTTTGCTAAGTATCCTTTTCACGGTCGATGAAACGGCACATGCAATCATGCTGAAAATAATGCCAGTCAATCATCTTTTTCGTGGTATTTGATAGACTTTGAAGGGTTTTCAAACCTTAACAAAATGTTTTAGATTTATTATTAGGAGTTGGGCTATCCTGTACAATCGCGACTTCCAGAAGTAACGGGACGTTAAAGGTTCGTTAGGATGGTATCAAGAATCCTTAGCTGTAGGATATAGAGATGCTTACAGCATCATTTTACTAAAAAAAGTTTAGATTTTTTACTGGCTTCTGTAGTAACACTGGATCAATAAGAGATGATCCTTACTGGACCTCCAGGAAGAACAGTTTAGAACTGATAGAACTATCCAGTATAAATAAAGTTAGTTTAGTTTAGGTTTCCTCCTGTAGTTACACTGGATCAATAAGAGATGATCCTTACTGGATCTCCAGGAAGAACACTTTAGAACTGATAGAACTATCCAGTATGAATAAAGTTAGTTTAGTTTAGGTTTCCTCCTGTAGTAACACTGGATCAAAAAAAGATGATCCTTACTGGACCTTTAGGAAGAACAGCTTGGAACTGGACTGCATGAGATGGACATAGAGCTATATATCCAATCTTGTTCTAGGTCAGTAGTTTAGTTCATGCAGTAGTGTACTAATCAATATAAAACCTCTTCTTTCTTGTTTCAGTTAAACACGGGAAATCAAGACTTCATTTCGACTGCATTTTTAGCGGCCAGTTTGGCATCCTCAGCAATCATTGTTCCACTCGTTGGTTTTCGGATTCCTAAAATCTATGGCGTTTATCTTATCTTATTGTACATCGCCTTCCTGGTCGTAACGATTTTAAATGAAACCGGCGTCTTATTTTCGTAGACTCCAATTATTTTTATGCTAACTTATCGGGCTGACCATGTCAGAGTTCATAAGATGAAGAACCTTCAGTTTGAGATCACTGTTTTGAATACGACATCATACGTAAATCATTTGTACAAACACAAGATAGATCTTTTTATAATAGGGGAAAATATTCTATAGTAATTTAATAAAATTAAATTTTATTTTTGTATCAACTATAGACCTAAAGATGTTCATTGTTTGCTCCGTCATCTCGTAACGTATCATTCCGGAACGGAAAATGGCGAAAAATGACCATGGTTGAGCCTGCCGGAGAATGGCGAATTCGACCATGGACGAGTCCGCCGGAAAATGGCGAAAATTTCAAAATTTCTCTCTAAAACACTTAAAAAACGTTTAGGCGTTTAAATCTTGACATTTCCCAGCGTGTGCCTTATTAGTCGTTTTCTATGCATATGCTTGTTAGGGGCCACCCCCCGAGACCAGGAAAAGCTTAAATACGTTAAATTTATCATCGCTCTCAGGGCTAGCCACTGTAGCTGATTCGTCTATGACGCTAGGCTTGTGGCGATGCATACTCTGTTTCTCACTGAGACGTAACGGTTAGGTGCACATACATCATGGTCTGGGGGCCGTAGTGCATCTCCCCCTTAGACGGCCGTTAAGATGTGAGTTATGGGGGGGAGTTCTTCCTATAGCAACTGTCCTTGCACCTTTCGTAGTTGTAACTATGCTGTATATTGCAGCCGGTTGTATAACCAGGTTAGATTGTGGCATAGGCTGGATGATCTCTTTTGGGTGTTTTTACGTTCTTTCCAAATTTTTTTTTTTGGCGTGCTTTCCATTTTTTTTCTTTTACATACAAAAAAATACTGTTATTAAACATATATGGAACGGATATGGTTCGAAAAGAAAATTTATATCGACTAAAAACCACCTTACTTAACCCTGAATACTCTCCCCAGTCTCTGCATAGCTGAGTCTCTGAATGAAACAATACCAGATATTATTCATAAACATCAAACATTTATTTTATTAGATCAGCGTTTTCATCAACCTTAAGGCCGATCTACACGATGCGATTAGTCGTATACGATTCTTATCCTAACGTATGAAAAAGATTGGTAACGTCACTCTGTCTGTTCATCAGTTTATAACGAAATTTAAAATGTGACATCTTTACACGCATTTATTCGAATACATACGCCAGCATACGAATCGTATGCGACTAATCCACTGAGCTGTGGACTAATCGCATCGTGTAGATCGGCCTTTACAGCAGTAAAATAGCAACAAAGACATTCAGACAGTCAACTCTGCATTCTCATTAGTAACTTCTCCTTAGTGCCTATACGCCGTTTTCCGGCCTTTTTGGTCGAGTCCGCCAGAAAACGGCGCATTCGACCATGGTCGAGTTCGCCGGAAAATGGCGTATACATTATAACAGTTATAGAAACACGCTTCTCGACCAATCAGCACGCGCGTACTATAAATTTTACGTCATAGCAATGCGAACGTGGAATATAAAAAATACAAATCGTATTCCTGGGATTCCTATATGGTTTAAACCCATTTATTCATCGTCATTCTTCGTGTTTCAGAATGCGAAACTTGAAACTCCTCCCCCACCACAATCAATCCTGCCGTAAATGGCATTTCCGTCTTGTCATGCAAATTCGATATATGGAAATGTTTAAAATATCCTTCTAGTCCTCTCTAATCAACAATCCCGATGTCATTATTTGGCTATAATGCTTAAAACCGTGCTTTTCGATGCCAAATATAACACAAAGTGAATTCCTTTTGTGCATTTTTGACGAAATGATGTTGGTTTGTTTTGGAAATGTTGCAGCAAACTATTCCTAATAGCACACAGTTCCTCCCGGATTTCATGCTGTAATTTTGTGTTTTTTGTTCCTCGTGTACGTGCAAATGGAAATGGCATCGGATAAAAGGGTTGTACAGATTTTCAGACGTGCTGTTAACAAAGCAAAGAATATAAACCGTTGGGTAAAGTCTGGGTGAGTTTTGTTGTGGTTTTTTTGATGAAAATTTAGTGACCTTTTCTGCTTCGTGCTTATAGATAATGGCGTAGTTCACCTTGCTGATACGCAAACGAATCTTGTTCAATATTGTACACAAATGCACAAACATACTTCTTATTCAATGCTCTGTACTTGTTTAAATGTTATAGCAGCAAGATAATAAGAAAGTGTGGTATTTCCAGCTTAGATTTTGTAACAGATGTGTAGCACTTTGAAGATGTGCTTCGATACTTCCGAAATAGCATGTACGAAAGCGTAACAATAAGCTTGAATTAAGTGCGTTAACGTTATCTCTTCGGGTGTCTTGGTTGGCTTTTTGTTTCCTTAAAATGCTCCTAGATTGTAGATCAAAGCGTGTTTATGTTTTGAGATTGTTTTAAGATATGCCTTTCTTGTGCAAATCTGGTGATGTTTGTTTACATTTCTTTCTCTGTGTGTGTGCCGACCTCTGTATCGAGACAGAGCTTCTTCCTTGTTTGATGCAAACGGGAGAGGAAAGAGTATCATTTATTAATAATGCACTTCTGAAAATATCCTCAGCGCCGATATTTATTAACATATTGTAAAGATACAGTTATACCTTTAAATAAAACGACTATAATTTATCCATATATTAATTATTTAAAATCCTTAGTCTAGACTAAGTCTAGTAAAAAAATCGTAAGTAGATAGTAAATGCTACAAACAAGCAACAAAATAACTAAAATAAAATGCATTTCCTTAAAATACTCTTTGAAGATATTCTTTCGTTTATCGTTCAATAATTTACAATAAGTATATAGCATTATTTTGCATTTTCCATTGTTCGCAATATGTCTGTATTGACCTTGAATGTTACTCGTAGTTTTAGCGGATTTTGGACTATATTTATAGTTTGCTGGAGTTCAAATATCGGCAGCTTAAATTACATAGTATCAGGGTAAATCTTGCTGGGAAATCTCAAACGAAAACGGCAAAGAAATTAACAAAAGAGTACTTTTATATGCAGATGTAGCTAATTGTGTTGACTCGAATTTCCGGTATTCGTTAGAACGTGAATGTATCTCATTCACAAAATAACATCATCGTAAACCCGATAGTGGATTGTAATAATTCATCTTGTAGAAGTATTTGTACAGGAAATGATATTATTGCTACTTAAGTTGGTGTTTATAAGTAAAATGAAGCAGTTTAAGGAAAGTTTTGTAAATTTAAAACGATTTTGAGTTCTGCAGGTGCATTCTGGCCGATGTTATAAAAAAATACCGCTGAATATATTTGGCGTCTAACAATTTTGAGCCCTTCTCGGGGGTTCATTTTCTTGTTTATTTATCGTCGGGCTTTTATTATTTGCAAAGTTTTCACGTCTTTTGAAAGTGCTTGAAGCAGTCGCGATGGATATTTGTACAGACTGGTCGTTATACTAGCCGTATCATGTCTTTAGTGACTATCGAACGCTCAAGTTCGTCAGATAATTTAAGTCAAATAAGTGGAGAGCGAGTCGAGTCGGTAAGTTTATTATTGACACAAATGTCAATTTCAAGTTGCTTGTTTTAGAAATCAAGAACCAGGCGCAATGCTTTGTCGTTTACACAAAATATAGACGTGCTTTTACTGTGAAAACTTTAGGACGATGATCAACTTGACAGCGCACTATCTGAAGAAGTCTTTACTCGCTCTAGGACTCTGTAAGTCTGTAAAATTTCGTGCAATATAATTTCCGTACTTTCACTCAAGTTTTTTTTTCTCGAAACTTGCTACAGTACTGTTACATTTCTAGTGTTGAATCTTGTTCTAATAATGCATTTTTTCCCATGTGAACTTCACTTAATTTGAAACGAAAATCCACTTCAAACTCGGACATTAAAAGGAGTGTGATAAAGTTGATCTTATCAAATGTTTTGATTCGGATATTAATTTTTAAAAATTGTTGTATTTTTGGACGTTAATAAAGATGCAATGCTCTTGTAAATTTAATAACTGAGGACACATTGCTTGAATGGTTGTAATTTTGCATCCTTGTGAAATGCCAAAAATGCTTCAAGGCATTGAAACATGTGTTAGAAAGAGTCTTATTTAGGTATAATTAGAGTGGATGTTATATTTAAATAATGTTTTCTCCATAAAGTTTCATGATCTGAACGCTGTTTTAAAACGAGTGTATTTGGGAGAGAGGCTATATCAGGGATAAGATTTGTGTAGAAGTTAATTTTGACGTATTTAATACTTCCTTGATTTGATTTGACCAAGGTTGTGTCAACTCTGAGCTGGTGAGTTACAATGTCAAATATTTTCATTAACAGCAGGGGATCGATATTAATATGAAAACTGAAATATTAACTAATTAACAATCAATACTGCAAGAGGTTTTCAATAAATTAAATTGTTAATAACGCACAGCAGAATAATATTAGAGTAACATATTACAAATATATTTACCATTGACGCAATGTTATTTCCTAGTGGCTTCATTTTTCTGGTCGGCGTCTGAGGATATAATAGGCTATTGGATAAACAGCTATGGAATAAGCCTAATGTTTTGATATCCAATTTAATTTCATTTTTCACTAACCTTTTATTTTCATTGAACAATGTCACCAGGTCAAGTGTTGAAGGATTTTTTGCGTCAAAAGGAGCTGCATATGCGATTCCTGATGGAGATTTTGCGAGAAAAGCGTCATTAAAAGGAGGTCAGTAAGGTGTTGTGACTGAAATTGCGAATATATCATTTTCTATAATGTTTTGATTATTTTTCTTTAACCCTTCTTTTCAATTACAGGTGAGATTCAGTCTCATCTTCAAGGAATGGTGAATCTAATACGAGATGAGGACACAATGAGACTGGTATGCCATAAATTCACAAGTTGTTTGCCTGTCAAACTCAATTTGGTGTTAACTATACCAAGTTTCCATGCTGGTATAAATATTTTTATTTCATAATCCATCATTACAGGTTGTTAAAGTTGAAAGCGAGGCAAAATACTCTCGCTATTTATGCATCGTAACAACATATGGTTTGTTGGAGGATGAAGAGAGTGTTATTCTTGGCATTGATTGGATCGAAGATGAGTAAGTTATGTAACAGGACCATGTAATGCACAGGTTACCTTCCAAACCGTACAGCCCATATGGTCAACTAATTTTCATTACAAATTTCAATGAATTTTACCAACATTGGCTGTCTTACAATTGCCTTTTTATGTATAAATCTTTCTTGCTTTGTGCTGTTATATAGAGATATGAGGTAAATATTGGCTCAGAGAGGAACTAGGTTTTAAACCATTACCACTTCTGAAGTTACTTTAATTTATTTTAGAGCAAAACTTGGTCTTGTAATACCACTGTGGAGCAATGTGAAAACAAAACTGGATGGTGATGGGTGTGTGTTTATTTTTTATTTCAATGCAATGATTGCATTCACTATTGTGGTTTTCATCTTAATGATTTTTGTTGTGATCATTGGACACTGATTATTACAAATACATCTTTCAGTGGATTCGAAATCAACACAGAACATCGTAATTACATATTCAAGCCAGTTTCCGTCCAGACATTGTGGTAAGTTACCAGTAACAGAATAACCTCTGCTGTATTCTTTCACAAGCTGACAGAATGAAGCAATGTTATAACAATATTTTGAGTTGTTTTACTGACCTAAAAGTAAAAAAGTTTTTCTGAAATATTTCATATCTCATCCTAGGACTGCATTACTGTGGATCCATAAATGTCTAAAGCAGGCTCACAGAGCAAAACATTTCAATGGTGGCTTGTCGCATGCCTGGCTGGATTATTATCACAATAGAATAACATCGCCAAGAGAATGTATCAATTTCTGGTAGGATTTTAAAATAAACTATTAATTTACTCACTGGAGGGCCTCCAGCTACAATGGTCCATAAAGTGTGCAAAAGATCAGGGCTGGATAGAGTGACTCACCAGAGAGTGGTTTCTTAAAGAGATAGTCAGTGAAATGCAATTTAATGCAATTTATTATAGGGAGTCGATGGATGACGTAGAACTGAAAAGAGAGATCCGCTATTCATATTTTGATCAAGTGTAAGTAGATATAATAATATTCATTTGCCCTTTGCATGGCCTGTAGTGTTTGGAGGATTCCTAATAAAACGATTGATTTGAGATCAATTTTCATGTTTTATAGAAAAACTGACGAAGAGCTTCTGAAAGGTTCCATAAAAAATAAACTAAAAGAGGTGAAGTGTGTGGTGACTCGTGGTTGATTTGTACATTTCAAGATCATAACAAGGAATTTCTTTGTCTCCAAATAGATTCTGACAAGATTTGATTTAGAGGAAGTAACATGTCGGCAGGTAAACACATGCAAACTCGCCTCGTTCAAAATTACGTTCAAATTGACAATAACGCGTTCTGCTTAATCCAATTTTCAGGTCCGAGAAGCATTAGAAGCAGAAATGAAGATGAGTTTGCAACACCTGAAGGGTTATTTGGATGAGCAAGTGTTTGTTATTCTCGGACAAATGGAATCCTCTACCAAGATTACAGATCATTTGTACCTGGTAGGGTTACCAAACGACGTTACCACACGGCACTTATACAGAAAGCAGTATTTTGAGTCCAAAAAGTAATATTCATATACTGTTTACCAGGGCTCAGAATGGAACGCTTGTAATCTCCAGGAACTTAAAGACAATGGGTAAGATCTCAGTTTCCTGGAAAAATTTCATTCAGTTTTCTTTCATGATATTTCATTATTTTCATCGCATTTCAGTGTTGACTACATTCTCAATATTACCAAAGAAGTTGATAACTTTTTCCCCGGAACATTTGAGTACATGAACATCAGGTAATTTAGTTTATCTTTGAAACATACTGGATTATTTCAAATCTGTGCTTTAGTCTGTGTGACATGGAGTTCCGAGTTGTATCTGTCAGGATGAACAGTCTGTGAAACTGTGAAAACTGTGAAACTCTTAACGTTTAACTCTTTGTGCTGTTCGTTAGGATTTATGATCTCAAGGAGTCAGATCTTCTCTCCCATTGGGGGAGAACATATCAGTTTCTTCACAAGGCAAAGTAAGCCATTCTCTCTTTTGACGACCCCTATAGAGGCCCTTTTTTGTCCTTAAAGCAACAAATCTTTGTTATATTTCAAGGGAACAAGGGTCAGCAGCTTTGGTTCACTGTAGGAGAGGCATCAGCCGTTCCGCTTCTACGGTATGCTATAGCATTAATACTTCATCGCCTAGCAAGGTTTTCAAGAAACTCCAGAGCATAGATTTTTAAGCCTCAAATCTCCTAGAACTGATGAAGCTTCCCGCATAAACCTACGAACCTCTAGAAAGACCAGTTTAGAACTGATATCCATTATAGTTTAAGTCCTCCTGTAGTAACACTGGATCAATAAGAGATGATCCTTACTGGACCTCTAAGAAGAACAGTTTAGAACTGATAGAGCTATCCAGTATAAATAAAGTTAGTTTAGTTTAGGTTTCCTTCTGTAGTAACACTGTATCAATAAGAGATGATCCTTACTGGATATCTAGGAAGAACAGTTTAGAACTGATAGAGCTATCCAGTATAAATAAAGTTAGTTTAGTTTAGGTTTCCTCCTGTAGTAACACTGGATCAATAAGAGATGATCCTTACTGGACCTCTAAGAAGAACAGTTTAGAACTGATAGAGCTATCCAGTATAAATAAAGTTAGTTTAGTTTAGGTTTCCTTCTGTAGTAACACTGTATCAATAAGAGATGATCCTTACTGGATATCTAGGAAGAACAGTTTAGAACTGATAGAGCTTTATTTAGTTTGAAACAAGCACCCTTAATGCAGAATATTTTCCGCAGGTGATCGCGTTCCTGATGAAAAAAAATAACATGTGTTTGGCAGATGCGATGAAATTTGTGAAATCGAAGAGAAGTATTGTCCAACCAAACTCAGGATTTTGGAAACAACTCATAATCTACGAGGGAATCTTGAGGTCTAGGTAAAGAAAAATATAAATACATCCGAAGCTGGCCTTTAATTTATATAAACGCGCGCTGTTCGTCTCCCATTTTAGTAATCACCGTCACAACAGCTTATTTCGACGTCGTTCAAACTCGGTAGAATCTGGTAACGTGAACAAACTCCATCACAAGAAAGGACGCCACAAGGACGGCACTGACCAGGTCGATAATTCTCCCAACCGCGGGCACACACTGCCAAGAATGAGCAACCAGGTCCCCCCAGGGGGTGATGGTGCGGCGGAAGATGATATCCTAGACTCGGCAAGCAGTAACGAGGAGGATACCTCTTCGAACAGCAACTCTGACGAGGAACAACCCTCTACGAACAACGGCCGTAAGATAAGACGAACTGTTTCTGAGCCCACAATGATGCATTCTGTTGACGTCATGATGATGTCACCGCCGGGGAAACCCCGGGCGCGAACGTTCGTCGAGAAAGGACAATCTCCGACGAGAATCCTCGAAGATCTTGAAGCTGAAGATAGCGATGCGGTATTGTTTGAGACTGGGGATGATAAGGATGTTTTAGAGAAAGAAGAGGAAGCACGCGTTTTAGAAACAGTCCCTGATTGTGCACGGTCAGAGCCTGGAACGATAGAAGCATCTGTGGACGGTGAAAAAGAATCTGCTGACTTGTCAGAAACGCCAGGAATGACTACGACAAATACGGAACCACCGGCGAACGCTGGCGAAGTCAAACCGAATGAACTTTTGAATGATGTAAAACAGCTTCAGTGCGAGTACGAAGACTCACCAGTTGAGGATGCCGCACGCGATTTAAGCCCACGCGTGGACCTCTCAAGTGCGGTCATTTCAAGTGAATCCCCACGCGAGGACTCCTCGCACGATGAGCACGCAACTCCACCAAGAACCCCACGACAGCGGTCCCGCAGTATCGGTGAAAAATTGCTGGACAAGTTGCTTGTAAAACAAGGTAGGTCAGAGAGTTCGGACAATTTGAAAAAAGTAAGCACTCGAGGGCGGGTGAAACGAAGAGAAAGGAAAGCTAAGTCAGATCTACAGCTTTCTAGCAGCGGCTTTGTTAAACGACACACGCAAATTCTGGAGGATGAAAGATTGTATAGTCTGCTCTTGAACTCCAATGAGACCCTCGCCACCCTTGCCAAGGATTTTTGGGAGGAGAGAGGGAGTCCCGCTATTAGCAAAGAGAATTCGTGCGAAGAAGCGAAAAATTTAGACTCAGAGAGTACGGTAACTTCAATAGAGGATTCCAAGAAAGATTCAGAGAAACCCTCCGGAGAATATGGAACAAATAGTTTTGAACCTGTGAAATCTTCCAAAGGGGAGTGCAGTTCTGATGGTATGGAAATTCCTGGAAAAGATCAGCAGGATTATTCACAGGCACAAGTCGAGAATCATTCTAAGCAAAGCTTGTCGCAAAATTCAGAGGACGTTTCGCAGAAAGATTCTGAGAATTGCTCTGGGGCAACTCGCTCGCAAGAGCTTCAAAACATTGTTCAAGAAGTGAACGCGGAGGCGAAGCGAGATATAGCGACGCAAGGAGAGCCAACAAGGGCAGCGGTTGTTTCTCAAAATGCATTACGTCATACTAACCAGGATGATGACGTCACTATTGATCCAATGACGTGGATCGATTTAACTCAACACCGTGGTGACGTCGTGAAACGAAGATCAGCTGCGTTTGAGAATAATTCGATAGAGGAGCCTTGGGCGAGTGTGTCCCCATCGCGTGATAAATCACTATTGTCACGTGATCGCTCGTTGGAATCACGTGATGATCATGAACAGAACGTGTGTCAATGTCCTGAACAAGCACAAGAAACTCGTAAAACGGATGAGTCTAAAATGAAGGATGGTTCTCCTAAGGAAGTTCCGAAGTTGAATTTGAAGATCTTGGAAGAAGAGGGTGGTTCTCCAACACAGAGATCTAACAGTATAACAGTCGAGGACTATAATTCATGGGAGGCCTCCAGTGTGAGAGACAGAACGATGATACTCGAAAATATTATCGCGAGAACAGGGGGTAGTTTTCCCTCACCTCGTTCTAGAGCATTGCAGAAGAATCTTTCCAGTTCCGAGGCGGAAACTCAGGTACAACATGAAATGAGCGAGTTGACTATTAACACACTTGCAAAGCCAGACAACGATGGTTTTTGCCATCAGTCATACGCTGAAGATCAAGATTCAACGGATGTTGTTCCAACAGCATCGGAACAGCCCGATGATGAAAATGTGTTTGGTGATGCTCCTGTGAAAAGCCTGGTGGATAAGTTTGAAGTATGGGGATAGCGAGTAGAAAATTGGGATAGATTTAGTAGGACAATAGTTGTTCGTAATCGTACAGGGATACCCATCAAATTAATCTCACGTATAATTTATGTTTATTTAAGCAGCAATATCGGTCAGATTCCTAGGCAGTTATCCTTACTTGTTTATAAGTCGGTAGAGCAGTTCAAATCAAAGTTCAGTGAATTTTTGGTTGTTCTATTAATTGTCATGATAGTGATTGTGGCTTTCTTAGAAAGTATGATTTCGGTGTCTTCGACTTCCTAGACACACTAGTGAAAAGCCTCAAAAGGGGGGAGGGATATCACGAGAGTTTATACATTCAGTAGACAAACAAGATAAAAAAATTCAATTAGAGAAGAATTATGAATGCAACATCTAAAATTTGTAAAACTGCCATTTGTAAAATGCCTCATATTGCTGTCCTGGAGGGGGCATTATAACCAATCAAATGCGATTGATCTATTGTCAGATTAGCGAAAACTAACGTTAGCGGAACAGACCTTTCTCTTAATGACGTCAGAAAGCCTCATGTTACACGGAGTTTGATTGGATGCTTAGTTTTTCGAAGCCAATCAAATTTCCTGTAACATCAAGCTCTCCATGTTTAATTTGACGTCTTTACGAGAAAGGTATATTCAACTTTATTATCATCCTCAACAATATACGTACCTATAACAAAAATAATGCTTTTACATACTACAGTAATTTTGGATACTTTTCTATTTTTATACGGAATTTCGTAACGTAATAGGAGATATAGTTATTGATAGTTGGTATACTCAATCCATTTCATACTAATTGTCCTTAATATTTTTATGTAAATGAATCACTAATGAATGATTAGAAAGGAAGATCTGTGAATGATATTTCTGTAAATCTTAGGCGAGGTTAGAATCTCTATTCTAAGCGAAAATAGTTGTTGAAATTTGTTGTAAATAATTAACATTTAAATTCGTCTAAATTATATTGCATTGTTAGGGTATTTGTGTTGTTTTTGAACCCTTAGCCTCCGATTTACGTGATTCCATTAAACTCCAAACAAAATTCCAATATTATTTTCCGATTTCCTTTGAATTCTGCCGCTGGAATGCGGCAGCCAATCAGAACGAAGCTGTGTGGTGATTTGACCAATCACGTAGCAAAACCGTCCTCGTCGATTTCATACAGAATTCGAAGAGCAAATTCCAAACGGCAAATTGAACACATTCAGCGGCGAAGGCGAATCTAGGGACATTTTTATTCGGTTTTGTGCCTAGGTAACTAGAGATCGGATCTACAGGATGGCTAGGGAGCCTATATCTGTGAGAAGTACACAACTAAAAGAGGTTTTAAACGAGAATCGTCGTGCCGATGAGCGAACATGGCAACTCTCAAACGAAGCTTTGCTAGATGGATTTATCATCCTTTTTGATGAATGTAGTTCAGAACACTTGCAAAAAGATAAACATGTTGTTGAGTTTGTTAAGAAATGTAAGTAAGAACAGGATTGTATTTATATAGAAGCATTTCAGGAGGATGTTGTATAGTAGAAACCTGCTATTTCTTTGATGTGTAAGGAAATGTAACGTTAACTTTTTTTCACTGCCCAAATTTGTACATTTGTTTCCCTTAGACAAGAACGATGTTATGAAGTTGAGAGACAGTAGGCCGTCAATCTCGGATTTTAAAGTGATCAGCATCATTGGTAGAGGACATTTTGGCCAGGTATTATCGCATTTAGTTCACAGTTTAATTAATAATATATACAGATTGATAGATCTCCAGGTTTCAGAATGGTCATGTTAATGCACTATACCCATGTTTTTTTTATGTGCCATCCCTATAAAATATTTTTAAGGCATGTCAAAGCCCTGTGGTATGCCATGGTATTGCTCGAGGCTACCAATAAGATAAAAATGGTACCCAATTTTAGCCGTGCGATGTTGGCTGTGGCATCAAGTTGCATGGGATGAGAAAGCAAGCTGAGTTAATAATGCATGGCTGAATGGCTGCGTGAATGCGAAATGATTGGGAAATGTACATTACTTTTGTCTAGGTGCAAGTTGTCAAAGAACTTCAAACAAACAATGTTTATGCTTTAAAAACATTGAAGAAATCAGAAATGCTTTCACAGGAAAATGTAAGAAGATACATAAAATGAATTTGTGAATATATGTATGCATATAGTTATATGGCCCTGATGGATATCAATTTATATACTAAAGTGCTCCTATATAGTTTTAATTTAAGACCTAATTCATGAACTGTCCAGCAACTATTCAGACCTTCAGAGCATAACTGCAATGGGTGTAAATTATATTCCTTTCACAGGTTGCATTTTTTGAAGAAGAGAAAGAGATCATGGCCTACAGTGGTTCACCCTGGATTACATCATTACAATATGCATTCCAAGACTCTCAAAACTTGTATTTGATTATGGAGTTCCATCCAGGGGGGGACCTGCTCACTTTGCTTGGCAAACAAGAAAACGAGACTCTTGATGAGAAAATAGCAAAGTTCTATCTTGCTGAGATGGTCATTGCCTTGAACAGTCTTCATGAGCTGGGATATGTTCATAGGTATATGATTTATGATGAAGATCTTTCCTTGCATCTATGGGTGCTAATTCCTCCAATAATTCACTTGATCATTGCAGAGATGTAAAACCAGACAACATTCTCATTGACAAGAATGGTCACATCAAACTTGCTGACTTCGGCTCTGCAGCAAAGTTGTCAAAAACTGATAGAAAGGCAAGTGTTAGCTGTCATGAAATGATTTGATGATTCGAACCCTTCATAAATAACTAATTTTTGTTAAAACACAAAAAACTTTAGGTTTATTCCAAGATGGCAGTCGGCACTCCAGAATACATCTCACCAGAGGTGTTGACCAGTATGGAGGGGTCTGGTGATGGGTATGGCGTGGAGTGTGATTGGTGGTCACTGGGCGTGGTGGCTTACGAAATGATGTATGGTAACACACCATTCACTGGCAACTCTGTGGCATTCACTTACAGTAAAATTATGAATTTCAAAGTAGGTTCTATCTTAAAAACCTCGCTCGTTTTTGCAAAATGAAATCACGAAGCCATAGATCAGCTCAGAACATGAAACAATTTTCGCTCTTTTATCCATATAGGAGTCCCTATCATTCCCGACCGGTTTCAAAGCAACAGCTGCCATCAAAGGCCTGATAAGAGGTCTTTTGACTGACCTTGAAAATCGTTTTGGTTTTGAACACCTGCTGAAACATTCCTTCTTCAAAGATGTCAAATGGTCCTCTTTAGCAACAGGTAACTCGATCGTAACACAGTTTAAATTGGTTAGGTTTCCTCCTGTAGTAATTACCCTGGGTCAATAAGAGATGATCCTTACTGGACCTCTAGGAAGAACAGTTTAGAACTGATAAAGCTATTAAGCTACAGTAGCTCTGTTTTTCTATCTCTTAGAACAACCACCTTACATTCCAACAATCGCGGGCGTCGACGATACCTCGAATTTCGACGAATTCGATCCAGAAGAAGACCAACCGACGTTTGGAAGTAAAACTCCGATGAAAAAAGCTTTCAGTGGGAAAAATTTACCCTTTATCGGGTTCACCTTCACGAAAAGCGACAACCAGTAAGACTGGCTCAACCTGTTTCTCTGTATCTGCAGAGGACTCAACACAGTCTAATATTAATTCCGATGCGTTTTCTTCAGGAACGTGAAATGTGAAGCAACTGATCACGTGGAAAATGGCGTCATCAAACAAGAAGAAAGAGACAAGAACGTGGAATTGGAAGATGACAAGGATGGTTTGATGAAAATGGTAAAGGAACTTCAGACGTTATTGAAACAGCGGAAAGATGCGTTGGAAAATGTCGAGAATGAAAAAGATTTGCTTCAAAAAGAGAAACTGTTGAAAGAAACGGAAGTAAAGGTGTGTTTTTTTATTTAAAGAGTGATGATTTGCGGTAACTGAATGCGATTTCTACAGCGATATTCATCAAATAATTTGTCTTCAACGACGTGCAGGATTTGGAGAAAAGACTTGATGAAGAAAGAACTGAACGACTCAATGCCGACAAAAACGCGGTGAAACTAATGGCCGAAGTTGAAGATATGAGAACGAAGGCTCGGAATTTACGAAAAGAGGAAACAAGGTTGTCAGTTTGGAATTATTCGTGTGAATTGTTAAATTTCGAATCCCTTTGCATGTGCACGCGATGCCGGTAGAGTTTGAAAGCGATAGTAAAGTTGATCTTTTTCATCTACACGCAGGGCGGCATTTGATGAACAACAAGCCGTGTTGACACAACTCGAGGAAGATCGTTTTGTCGCTATGAAACGAACGCAGAGACTGGAAGATGATTTATCTGCTCAAAAGAAAGTGAGTTTTCGCTAGTTGCATGATTCAAATGGCAAAAGGCTGATGCTCTAGAGCGTTAAAATGTTCACAAGCGCGTGTTATAAGACTAGGAATTTAGGAGTTGGGAATTTCTCCCTTCAATTTTGAACAAAAAAATTACATAAACTTCGTAGTTACGCCGTTGTTTAATGTTTTAGTTGGTAGACGAGAAAGATGTAACCCTGACTGAAATGCGAAAAACTGTCGTTGAGGTAAAGACAGCCGGTGCATGTTTATTGAAATATTCCGAACAGTACATTGAACCTGGAATGATTCTTGCTGATTTTTAGCTTGAGGAACAACTAGAAGAGTCAAAACAAAACGCCGACAGTCAAGTTGTGCAGGTAGGTGAGGCGAACTGGATTAATTTTCTCTCAGATAATATCACACAAAAGGTCCATGAAGCGTTTGTGAAAGAGCCGTCGCTATACATGCAAGCTTAATTCATAATGTATCTTCATATTTTCACGTAAGCTTAAAAACAATCGCTATCGAAGAAAATTAGTCGGACATGGTTGGTGAATGGTGAAGCTAGGAGACGTCTCTTCTTATACACGCGACCATCTTTTGTCGTTAAAGGTTTTAGCTCGTATTAGAGAAGTTCAGGAGAGTGACAAGGGATGTTTTAGTCCAGTGAAGCAGAGAGTCAGGCATCTTCAATCCACTAGAAGGCAGACTAGTCCTCTAACTACCACTCCGACGACGAACAGACGTGTTGAGGAAATATCCAACCGTGTTTTGGTAAACTTGCCAAACCCTCTATCTTAGTGTATAGAATATGACTTGTAAAACCATTTATACAATTGTATGCCACCTGTTTACTGACATTTTCTCTTGCAAAATGTCGACTAGGAAGCCATCTTGCAATGTCAAGAGAAGGAGAGAAGCGATGTAAAAAAAATGCGAGAAAAGTTAAAACAGAAGATTGACGAATGCTGCGAACTGGAAAAGCAGCTTCTGGTGAGTTGAAAACATGTCTATTTTGTTGTCCACGTCGCCGTTTTTTTTTACAAGGAACTGTTCATTTTTATCCTTAGAATTCCAAATCATTGAAAAGAAAGCTTGAAAGCTCTGAAGACAAGCTATCAAAGGTTTGTATCATAAGAGCCAATGTAATTTTGGTTGTATTTAAAACTTTGACACCAAATCTAGCGCGTTATCTCGTTATTTCAGGCTGAAAAAGAAAAGACGTTGCTGGACCAGGCCGTGAAAAACATGGAAAAAGAGGTTGAAGAAGCTTACGTAAGTGATATGACAAGATAACTTTATTCCGCGAGCTCGTTATATAACGATGTTTACTGTTATTACTGATGTAAATATTTTAGGACGCTTTGGAAGGTTTAAAACGAAAATCAGCCTCGCAAGAGAAGACTTGTCGCGAAAACGAAACTGAGCTTGCAAAACAAAAAGAAGATCTTGAAAATGCACTGAGCAAACTCACATCAACTTCAAATGAAAATGAGGTTTGCTGAATATGGCTTTATCGACTTAATCCTATATTTTTTTCGCTTTTGAAGCTTTTTAGAAGTCTTCAAAGATCCACATTGTTCGGTTTTTCAGGAGCTAAGGACAAAAATCAGTAAATTGAATGAAAGTGTTGCGAATATGAGAAACACCCAAGAGACAATGGACAAGGAATTAGCTGATAAACAAAAAGTCGTGGAGAAAATAAAGTCGGAAAGCGAAAATCGTTTGAAATCAAATCTTGAACTTAAATGTAAAGAATTAAACGATGCTCACGTCAAAGAAAAGGTATGAACAACGTATAAACTGTCTTTCGTAGACGGCTCAGAGCATGCATTATCGCATGTGTTGCCACACAGGTTGAGAAAACATTATATTATACGCCACTCTTGTGTTGCTAGAAACTTCAAGAGGACATCACAACCGTGAAGAAAGAGCTTACGGAAATTAAAAGGATTAGGAAAGAGCTGGAAGAAGAAGTGGTACAAAAAGAGAGTTTGATTGAGAATCTTCTCAAAAATGAACTGGTAGATATGATTCATTGCTTCAATCTGATTCTATAATTTTATTTGTATAAACCTTCTACTATTGAGACAGGAAAATCGAGTGGCTTGCAAGCCTGTTGTTGTTGTGTTTTGTTGTTGTTGTTGTTGTTGTTGTTGGTTTGTTGTTGTTGTTGTTGATAGTATGTTGGTGTTGATAATATCAAGTTATAGAATGGGAACTTATCAACTTGTTTAGGCTGTAAAAACTGCTGCAGATGACGACGAATCTTGTCAAGATATGGATAAAAAAGACAAAGAAAAGATTAGACTTAACGACGAAATAATTCAGCTGAAAGAGAAATGTGAACAATTGATAAAGGACAAAGAAAGTTTGGAAAAGAATATCTTGAAACAAAGTGTCACCATTGAAGAAGCGGTTAGACGAATTTTACTTGTTAAAGTCCGATGTTTGGGGTATTTTTTAGACGCAATTTGTCCCAAAGTTGACAATTACATCTTTCTTTTTATTCAATTCAGAACAACAAACTAAGCAAGGAAGAACAGTTGAAGCAATCTCTTCGCAAAGACAGCGAAGAAATCCAAGATCTGAAAGCAGAAATTGTTGTCATGAATAATGAAAATATTAATCTTAAAACCAAGACCAAGGTATTACAATGCTATTATATCTAGACTCCATTGTCACGTCTGTTAAATTCTTGAATGATTTTCGTATTTTTAAGGATTTACAAACAGATTTGCGTATCACGTCAGAAAAACTATCTCATCTTCGTAAGCAAAGCGAAGCTTTTGACGAGCAACTTACTACAAAGTCGAAGAATATTGATGAACATCAGCAGGTAATCGATAATATTGATCATTTTTTATTGTCTGGCGTGGAAAATAATCTATCCTGAAGCCATCAATCGAAACATTTTATCGTTTCCAGACAATTGAAGCCCTAAAGACGACATGCTCGATGCTCGAAGGGCAAATTGAAGAACTGGAAATTTTAAATGATGAATTGGACGAGAGAAATGTGCAGTTGGAGATCGAAAAGTACGTTTACCATCGGTTGCCATGGTTTCTGAACGATGACGTGTTCATTGCTCACGACTGCCCAAATAATCGCTAAAATTAACGTGTCGTTTTAGGAAACAACTGCTGCTTTCAAACGAGAAATACGAAAAAAGACTTGAGCAAGAACTGTAAGCTTTGAATATGTTCTCGATAATACCAGAGAATTGTTGTTTTAAAGGCGGAAAATTAAGTATGGAATCAAAATTTTTGTTTGTCTTTTTACAAGCAGAGAAACTGGTAACCAGGAGAATGATGACCAACTTGGGAAATGTCAGAAACTGATCGAGGAATACAAACAAACTGTAAGAATATCTTTCTCACTTTATCTGTTCTTGCGTTAATTTCTTTTGATCGATTTCCGATGACTAGAGCAGCTACAGTATCCAAATAAATTGTTTTGGCCGTGCATGTTTATAGATTTCTGAACAGAAGACTCAAATTGGAAGATCTGAACTGAATTTGAAATCTTTGGAGCGTAAAATGGAGAAAGAATTGACAGTGAAGGAATGTTTACTGGAAGAGGTAATTTACAGTTCTGTCGCATCACGGATTATTTTGTTCAGTTCATTCAATTCCCGTTTCGTTGTCCACAGGTTGAACAACAAAAGAAGACTTTATCTTCGCTGGAGACGGACAAAACAAGCCTCGAACAAGAACTGCAAGAGTTGAGAGACCGACAGGAGGAGATGTTGACAGAGAACAGCGCCATGACGGAACACCTGGAGATGCTCAAATCACTGCATGCTGAAGAAAAAGTGAAGCTTGTCTCGACGAGTGCCCAGCAATCAAAATTAATCGATTTCTTGCAGTCCAAAGCGGAGAGCAAGACGTCGAAATGGAAGGTACTTTTGCAGTGAAATATTTTATTTCCATTAGTAAATACAGCGCTCTGGTTTATATAAGCTAAATGAGCTTATGATGTTTTAGCGTCTTGGCGTATCGAATCTTATCAATTCACGAAAGCAACATTCAGACGACAATAATTTTATTCCTTGTCAATGGAGCGAACTCCAGCAAGCCTTGGAGAAGGAAAGAGCGACTCGTACGCAAATTCAGCAGGAGATGAATAAAGTAACAGAGGAGCTGCAAGAGACCCAAGAAAAAGGTACGCTGATTTTTTAAAGATACGTTTGCTAAGGTTTGGGAATCAGACTGTGAATAATATTGGCAAGGCTTCTTGCGGAGTTATTGAATGAGTAATATACAACTTTGTCATCGCAGTGTTGTACTGGAAGAGTCGTTGTCACTTGACGCCAAATGCTACGGTCGCTCGCTCTAATCAATCGTCTGCCGTGATCTCTGCTATTCAACAGTCCCCCAGTCAACAGCCTAGTCCTGGATCAACTCTGACCCCGAGTGTCTCACGTAAGAGGAAGAACTCTTCCTCGTGTTCAACTCACAGACCGAAGGAAAGAATGCATCACAACATTCCGCACAGGTATTGCTCTCGTTTTCTTTTCGCGAGAAGACGCAATGGTTCTCTCATGTAAAGTGAACCCTTAAGAAAACCTTCGTTTATGAAACCAATGAAGGTACAATATCAAATACAACATTTTCTTCCTTAGGTTCACCGTGGTACTAAATATGAGAGCGACTCGATGCCTGGTTTGTCTCGATAATATTTTGTTCGGGAGACAGGTTTCAAAATGCACAGGTATGGAAGCGTGTGGATTTCGGTTGGTCATTTGACATTTTACAATAAACTGTTACGATATTGTCAGTAGATTTCTGCAATAAGCTGTCCTGGTTTGTGTCTGAATTACCTGAGAAAGATTTCTCCAATGTGGAGAAGGTTTTAAAGGGGAAATAAGCAAACATTTCATTCTTTCGTTGGCTAGAATGTGGTATACTATGTCACTGCAAGTGCTCCACGTCTCTTCCTCGTACGTGTGGTCTTCCCAGTCAGTACGTGGAACATTTCAGCGAGGTATTGCGTGGATCGAGGACTGAAACCTCCCTACTCGTCTCACCCGGCGCTGATGCTTGTGATGGCAAGGAAGTTTGCATGGTTGGCTGTCTGAAGGTTCCTAGGTTAGCAACACCTGAATTGACAAAGTTCATCCATATCCCGACCTTCACATCTGTGCTAATGTAAATATCCGTTTTTCCCGCCACAGAAATGGTTCCGCAAAGAATGGTTGGGATTCTAAATTGGTTTCATTGAAAGATGGGCAGTTGGTTATTTCTGAAACAGGAGAGAAAAATAGCGATTCTGGTAATAATTCTTGTTTTGTTTTTTTAAGTAAAATACCAGCTGAACGAACGTCCTTCATATCTATTAACACAAACACTAGTGCCATCAATATTTATAAAGTCGATTGTTTGAACTTATTTCCGCTTCAGACCAGCAACAATGCGAGAACGTCAACCTTTGCTGTGAGGAAAACGAAGTTAAAGTTCACTCAGCCGTCGCAGGCTCAGATCTGCTTGGGGCAGCGGCGACAGACCTACCATACGTGTTCTCAATCGAGATTCATCCCCAGACCACATGTTGGCCCGGGCGCACTCTGTTCTTACTAGCGCCAAGTTTCCCTGAGAAACAAAGGTGGATACGAGCTCTGGAGAATGCTGTGGACGAAAAGAAGTCGAAGAGTCTTCAAAATAATGAACAGGTGATTCAATGTGCAGCTTGTTATTATTACGTGTGATTTCGTGCTTGCTGGATCTCGTGGTTCGTGCTGGATCTCGTGGTTCGTGTGTTCAAAGACTGAGTTTAATGGTTGTGGAATGCAATGAGCAAGAACTCAACCACATCCTTCGTTTCTATCTATTTGCCCTGGATTTCTACTTGCAGAGAAAGCAGGCTCACTTGCGAAATATTTGCGTATCTACTTTGAATTGAGAAAAGTCAATTTGAACTAATTTATTTTATACATGTATGCTGTTAAAATTCAAAAGAAAATATGAAAATATTTCGCTAGCGAACGATTTCTCTGCAAATGGAAATCCAGCCTAACGAAAAAATATAATAATAATTGAAAACCCGGACATTGTTAGTGAAAAACTTTGTAGTTTTAATTTAACATAATGAACTTTGTACCGATTGTTTGTATGCAAATGTTTCTTCGCGGCCCAAAGGATTGACGAGAGAAATTACCATTTTATTTCTCTTTATAGAAAATCAACGGTAATTTATTACTTGGTATGAAAGGAGACGAATGTTTGGACATAAACACAACTGGTGTTCTCAATGACAAGGTTTCCTTTTTATTTTGCTTTATGCTATTATAAAATTGCAAACGAGACAACTGTTTGTTGTTGTATAAACCAGTCCCAAGGAAAATGATGGCCACTTTCTCCTACAATACTTGATATTTCTGTTCGTTGTATAGTTTGTTTTGTTGGGCTGTGAAGAAGGACTGTTCGTTTTGCCAGTCGCTAAGCCAGGTCAGGAAAACAGACCTCGCCAAATACCTGGAGTGAAGAATGTTTACCAAATTAAGATCGAGAAACATCTTGGAGTGGCCCTCCTTATATCAGGTATTTTTACCTTACCCAATGCTTAGGTCTTTTTACACCGAACGCTGTTTTGGTAGTATTCTACAGTAAGCTAGCTGTCGTGGTTTGTGTCTGAACTACCTGAGAAAGATTTCTATTCATCTATTTTTAGGAATCGATCGGGAGTTATTGAGTGTTGATCTCAAACAACTCGAGGCTTGCACGAAGCAATCACGTGAAGTGCCATTGGCCTCTCTTGATTTCCAAACCGTTGGAAACATCACGAATTGCCATCTGTTCGCCTCAAGGAAGGTAAAAAGATCATCTCCGCTTGTTTTTTTTAACAAACATGAAATTTCTTTCCAGTTCCACAAATCTTCGAGTTGAACATTTTAAAGCAAACGGAGGCATTCAGTCGAGTAGATTTTTTACAAATTGGTTGTTATAATAATAATAATTTTAATACTTGTATAGCCCTATTTACAGTGACAGATCAATAGCGCTTAACATGCACAGGTTCGTTCTATAAGCAATGTCTACAACCAGTATAAAATAGATAATTTACAAATCTAAAATAGAAATATTATATTAAAAATTGACTTCTATAAATTGACTTCTATAAATAAATTGACTAAAATTATTAAAAATTAATTTCTATATTAAAAATTGGTTAAAAAGATAGGTCTTAAGTGATTTCTTAAACACTTCACTTGCAGTTATTGTTCTAATATTAACTGGAAGACTATTCCATAACTGAGGTGCAGCCGCATGAAACGATCTGCCACCCAATGTCACAAGCATTTTCTCTTTCGGAGGTTGCAGCAAAATGCCGCTGTTAGATCGAAGACTGTATGAGGACTTAGACTTGACTGTAATCAAATCTTGAATGTAAGAGGGTGCTAGCCCGTGGATGGCCTTAAAAGTTAAAAGTAACATTTTAAAGTGAATTCTTGCGTGGACAGGAAGCCAATGTAGTTCGCGCAGAACAGGAGTAATGTGGGAGTGCTTCCGAATGTCCATGACCAGTCTGGCAGCGGCATTTTGAACGCGTTGGAGTTTAGAAATCTGTTTTTTGGGAAGACCATAAAGTAAGCTGTTGCAGTAGTCTAATTTGCTGGTAATAAATGCATGTACTAGGATCAACAAGCTGTCTTTAGACAAAAACTTCTTAATACGCCTGATGTTATGAAGATGGAAAAAGCATGCTTTACATACATTTGTAACATGAGTGGACATCTTCAAATGTGAATCAAGCCAGCTTCCTAGATTCTTGACAATGGGCCTAGGATAGATTGTGGAATTGTTTACTGAGATGCTCGTAGGTTGTAATTTACTCAGTTGCTGACGAGTACCAATAATCATGAACTCAGTCTTATCGTCATTCATCAGCAGTCTATCATGGATCATCCACCGCCTAATCTTCTCTATACAATTCTCCATAGCTAACACAGCGTCTTGTTGTGATGAACCAGAATTAGGCTTAAAACTTAAATAAAGTTGTGTATCATCAGCATAGCCATGTGCGTCAGGAAGCTGGTCTTCAATCACTTTGAACAGCTTTGATGCGTATATGATAAAAAGGAGGGGGCCCAAACATGACCCCTGTGGTACACCAGAGTCTAGATCGAATTGCTTGGAGATTGATCCATCAAGAGATACTTGTTGACTCCTATTACTCAAATAAGACTTAAACCAGTCAAGGGCTTTTCCTTGGATTCCAACATCCTTAAAATGAATCTTTTCCTCCACTTTTCATTCAAGGTTGAAGACGGGACGTTTCTTTGTGCCGCCCTGCCAAACAAGATCTCAATTTTAAGGTTCAATTCATCGATGAACTGCTTCGTGACAAGAAACGAAATTGACAGCAGCGAGCCGTGCAGTTGTATCATGTTTTCAAACACGAAAATTATCGTTGGTTCGAACAAGTTTTATCAAATTGATTTGCGACAGTTCGCGATCAAAGGTAGGTTATGATGATTTTCACCAGTGGGTTTTGTTGATGAGGATGTTGATTGGCAACGGTGGTGCTCTTGTCAATTACAGATTACTTGGATTGTAAAGACCCGAGCTTAGCGTTCGCTGTTTACCATGCCAGTCAAGCAAACAGCTTTCCAGTCGATGTTCTTCAAGTTTCAAATTTGTCTGAACGAGAGGAGTTTCTGCTTTGCTTCAATGGTAAGAAATTTGAAATTGTTTGAATAACTTAAAATCTTTGACGTTTTGTCTCATCTTCTGCTATTTTGGTATGGTAAAGACGGACAAATTTTTTCACGGTTTACCCTTGTGAAACGCTGCATACGATGAATTTAATTTTATAGGTTTTGGCGTGTTTGTCGACGCTAACGGCAAGCGAACAAGGAAAGATGATTTGAAATGGTCTGGTCTACCACTCTCATTTGGTAAGAGAAAAAAGTGGTCGTGTTATAGAAGATACTTCATAATCTGTTTCATTTTGGATCTGAAACTTCTCTTCAGCAATAAAATCATGGTTTGTTATATCATATCTTTTTAGCTTACCAAGAGCCATACCTTTATGTGACGCATTTCAACTCGATCGAGATTTGTCAAATACCAGATCTTGACAAAGAGTGAGTATTTTAGTGGTATAATACTGATTCTGCCACAGCTGTGACCAGTAGACGGCGTTTGATGAAGCAGTAAACCGTGTTTGATGAAACAGTAGACTGTATTTGATGGAGATTTATTCCTAAATTGTCTGTGTGCTAGTATGTGAAAAGAGTGCTTCCAGTTTAGCCCTACCAACCAGAACAATTCCTTCCCAAATAGGCCATTTTTCACACTTAGTCTCACCCTTGCAGCCAATTTTGGTTACCCAAACAAATTCTTCCATTTTAGAACGATATCGCGGAAGTTTGCCGAGATCACGAGACCGCGTATCCTTGGCCCGGCCATTTCCCCTGGCGCCATTTATCTTGTCAGCACGGTCATGTCGGATGAGATCAGCCTTCTTTGTTACCAAGGAAACCTCACGCCAGTCCTTAGCAACGCGGTCACCAACTCTTCCGAAAGCGACGGCGATCAGAAAAGACTGGGGCGAAAGCGACTGCGCACAGCCACGGGAAGTGAAAACGAACCTCCACCTTCTTTCAGTGCTTTTTCAAAAGATCCCAAACGATTTCTTCGCAACTCGCTTCGTCGTTGACCGGTTTCATATGCAGTTGTCATTGCGTTTGTGTGTATACCAGAGATTTAGAGAATTCTAATATATAGAACATGGTAGTAATGGCTACATCGCGGGCACTGTACGCATGGCCGAAAATAGACTTGCTGCCATCTTATTCCCGGGCAGAAGTACAGAGTACGCTTCTACTTGTACGAGTACCTCTACGAGTACCTGCTGTCGCAAAAATTACTGTTAAATACAGACAAGTATACGATAGAATCGTAGGGACGATTTAGAATTTGAAACTAATTTCACCGAGTGGTGTTTGACTATAGTATTTTTATCTATTCTGTAAGTATATATGAATATTTTTATATCACTTGAAATATATAGGGTGAAATCTGTATTTTTTCCTTCTTTGAAATAGTGCTTACAACTTTTTTTCCTTGAAGAGCTCTACGTCTGAGACAGGCCTATAAGGATCTCTCACGTCACGATTTGAAAAGAAAACTATATTGATTTCATGTTTACGTTCAGACAAATCGTTTTATTCACAGGTCAAGGACGTGGCAACAAAAAAACCGTCTGAAAATGTCTAAAGACTTTAAAAATAACTTAACCGACTCTTAATTTAATTAACATAGTCTTTGTCGGAGAATGATAACCCCTCTTTGTGGTAGGTTTATATCTGATTTGTCAATCATGACAAACAAAGATCATCATTTTAATTTATGCCTGCCATTGGCATAAATGTCTGTGTATAACTATTTCTTTGTTAGTTTTGATCGCTTTTCGCGCGAAGCGGGTGAGGGAAAATATCGCAATCCGGTCTAAAGCAAGCTATACCACATTGTCCACCAAGTTTTGAAGGTACGTCATTGCGAGAGGTATCTAACTGTACTGTTTCAGTTTAAGTATATCGAGTTATCATTCTCGTTGTGTGTTGTGGCGTCATTTAATTCAGTCAGGCAGAGGATTTCATCATATTGTTAAAATTTCAATACAGTAGGCATGTCTAGTCTGCACAAATAAGCTATAGTGCATGATTAATGCGTGAAGTGGCTAAAATAAACGAATTTAAGCTTCATAGACTCAGCCAAATACCAGGCTAATTATAGCTGAAAATTGTTTACACCAGACAAAAGCCTGGACAAAATTGTCCTAAAAATCGTGCAAAAATCTAAAAACATTGATATTATGACAAGTGTTTCTTGTAGCGAGGTTCAACTATACAAGTGCTCGGAGTTTGTAAGAAGTATGGCATAAGTACTCAGGAAATTGGTTGTGAAAACGCTACATAACTAACATATTAGCAATATTAGTTGCGGTAAATTTTCGAGCCTACATGGTGATTTTGGTATTCTATTGTGTGCATTTAAAATCAAGCTTTTCGATTTTATTATTGTATACTTGTATTCAAACTCTGTTTTTTTCTGTAAGGTCTCTAGAGTACAAGTATATTAGCACAATGCGTGACTGATAATGTTAATACTGATAACATTGACCATGAACTTGGTAGCTCCATTGTTGTCGTGGATCTTTCCCCTGGATTTTAATGGTCACGATATTTATAACTCTAATGTATATTTCATCTTCTTTCCATCTAGCAGAATGTATTTCAGGATAATTTCCATTCTGGTATTCGTATTATGTACAACAGGTGGATATTTTTTGTATGTTATTTTAAAACGATGGTCCGGAGTGGATAGACACCAAGACGCCTCCTTATGCCTAGTCGCATGCGGAAGGCATGCATGCGTGCATGAAAAGTTGTGAAAATTTATTTTACATGAGGCTAATGACGATTTTGTATCTGAATTATTGGCAATCGCGTTGCATAGAACTGTTGACAACGTTTTTGGGGCTGTTTACATGAGCCGGGTTACCCGAGATTCAACGAAGCGTGAGAGGACTTTGAGGTATTTAAATAAGGCTTTATGACACCAAACAAGCACATGCTATTGTTGTGGTGATTATACGACTGCCAGGGTCATGTTATCTGCTCATTTCAATACTTCAAAATCATTTCACGCTTCGTTGAATCTCCGGTAACCGGGCTCATGTAAACAGCTCCTTTGATCTACGTCATGAATCTCGATTAATTTCAAACTCTGACAAACGATTCTGATTGGCAGATTCAGTCACCGACTAAGACTGACTTCTAATGCCGGTTTTCCACTAGCGATATTTTTCGCGCGAAGCGACTTTATTCCTTTGTATTTGAGCAATTTGTTCCAGATGGTTGCAGTTGAGAGCTCTGAAACAAAAGTAAAATGTCGCTTCGCGCGAAAAATATCGCTAGTGGAAAACCGGCTTAAGACTGACTGTAAAATCATAGACAGCCCAGACATTGCCTTGCAATCGTCCCGATATATTTTGTGAAATGTTTTTTCCGGCGTCATGTTTTTGCGACAGGTAATTCGACAGGCTGTAAAATGGTGTTTGACGAAGAACTCTATCGTTTGCACGTAAAAAATGAATCAAAGCTACACGCCAATACGAAGTATATGTACAAGAAGTGTGAATCGGAAAAAGGTTCCTGTATGAATTGTGTTGCCAGTGGTTACGAGCTGAAAAAAATACGCTATGATGTAGAATCAACGGATTTTCGTGCGAATACGCCCGTATACGTGATTAAAGGGTGTGAATGTGCTGCAAAACCGCCCCTCAACGGCATTGTTGTGAAGAGCAGAGAGGTTATCAAAGATGAATCATACATGATTGGTAAGTTGTTTGAAATAAGAATTTAGAGTTGACTGCTGTGGTTTCTCAACATCGCGTGACTATTAAAGTACGTATATTTAACCATGTGGTTACTGGGTAGTTCTTTCCAACCGAAGCAAAGGGAACGTACCACAGTTTTCATTTCTAACTATGACATTCACATGTATTTATTTGTTTAGAATACAAAATGATGTCGTATTGTACGTACGCTTTGGCTGCTCTCTGTGCGGTGTTAGGTGTGATCATCATTTTTCTGTGCCTACGATATGAAAATTGCCGTTCGAAAAAAAAAAGTGACAGGATTGAAAATGAAAAAGGAGACCAGATTCAGCCACTTACTGTCAAAGGTATTGCATTGTAACGATTGTATAGCGCAGATTCATCGAAAAAAGGTTTGTTTCTGCGAGTGTTCAGGATTTTCGTCTTTTTATTTTCTATAGGAAACAATGGAGATGGTTGTTGACCTAATTATCAATGGAACGTATGAACGTTGATCACAGTTTTTAGGTGTTAGACAGTAGATCAATGTATTCATAAAGTTTATCTTGACGTAATGAAGTATATCATAGGTATATCATAACACTCATAAATTAGAGTATTCCTCCTAACTGTTGACTCAAATGACAGCTTCCTATATATGCTGTGGTATCCATTTTAATCGCAATTTAATCGCAATTTGTTCAATATTTCTCATTATATCCGCAAGCAATTTAGACTAGTTTTACTTATGTATTATGCCGGTAATGTTGCGATGCTTCTTGAAGTTATAAATCTCAACCAAGGCGTCTGTTTTATCACTCAAGTTTTTTTTCAATTGTTTGATCATTCGGCCACGGTTTGAAATGTACGCATGACTGAAAGATTCTAACTGTATGCGCACGCGCTGCAATATGCGCTCTCTGGCGATTTGCATAAACGACGTGCACGCAGTCCAGAGTTTGGAGTCTAATGAGGTCTGTGCAGGAACGCCTATTTGTTTCCAGACTTCCAAGGAATGTGCTCGGTCACAATGGCGGATGTCTAAATCATTCTTATTTACAAGTGATTTATATTGGGTTGTATTGCCCTAAATTTTGTGTTTTTCTTTTTCAAAATGAGAGACAGACTACAAGCATTACAGGTACGTATAATCATCTATTTTATACCTCTTGATCATTTATATAACCACAGAAATTCACCACTTTCATGCAGTATGTGAGCATTGTCTTTGATGGGAGCTGGCTGGATCAACCTTATAAATATTTTGTTTGCTTTCTTTCTAGGCTGCTGCCAAAAAAACGGACGATTTTTCCAGCGAATACGATGATCACGCCGTCACAATCACGGGCGAATTTATGCCCGATTTTTTCGCTGAGGTAATATTTTATATATGACCGGAGTTGGGCCAAAACAAGTCGCGTTTTGTAGTTTATAATTGTCTGTTGTAAAAGCAAATATACGTTAAAATTATGATTAGGTTGATGAAATTCGCAACAGTATTCAAGCCATCAATCGAAATATCGAAGAAGTTAGGAAAAAACACAGTTCTATATTATCTGCCCCGGTGCCAGACGAGAGTAAGTTCTCCGGATCGAAAATTGTTTTGATCACTCGCTGTTTTTGTACGGAAACTATAGAAATGTTTGATATTTAAATAATAAATATGTATTGTCGTGTTTTGTCTACACATATATTGTTTATGTGTAGTCAAAGTTGTGATAATTGCTGTAATTTATTGCACGTTTGAACTATCCTAAACGTCAGTGGAACAGTTGACCCTTTGGCCCAGTTGTTTATAGTTTACTTGATCGAGATGTTTTGTGCAATTTATATCACCCTGGTTTAGTTTGTGTGAACAATCTCGTACAGTTGTTAGATTTATAAGTTTGCTGTTGGCAAATCAGTAAAAATATAGCATCACCACTCTTTCTTATCTCCAAGTGTCTGTCAACCAGACCTTGATATATGTACTAGTCTGACATATGATCTTTAGAACTAACCAAACAGTATTGTTTTGGTGGAACGTTTTTAAAATCTTAGCTTGGTAGAAGTCTTAATCTGTCACTTGCAATACTCTTTTCGTTCGCACCAACTCAAAAAGCTCCAATTATTAAGCAAATACAAGAGGTATCATGCTGGTATAGGGGTTTAATGATATGTGATATTTTAGGGGTTAATTCTGAACTGGAAATGTTAATGAATTCTATCAAAAAAGCTGCAAACAGCGTTCGAAGCAAACTTAAGGGTAGGTTCAACTGTGTTTGTATGAATCAGATTTGTATTAATTGCATATTTGATGCACATTTAAACAGAATTTTTTTTTTTTTATTCACCCAATGTTAATTTAAGCTCTTTTTCCAATCTCCAGTTATGGAACAAACAATCCAAGAAGACCAATCAAATCAGAGTGTGCAAGTTGCTAACTCAAGGATACGAAAGTCACAGGTAAACACATCTGTTAGTTTGTCAACCCGTAATTCATATTTTTGTTCAGTTTTAAATACCAGATGAGCTTTGATGTTTCAGCATGCTGCATTGTCTCGGGATTTTGTGGACGTCATGAGTGAATATAACACAATTCAAGTCGGCTACAGAGAAAAATGTAAAGAACGAATTCAGAGGCAACTGGAAATAAGTGAGTTTAAGTTGCCGATTATAACTATATTGAAAATGGAGAGAATATTTCCTCTCAGTTTGCTGACTTGGAAAGGTTGCATTAAAATCAATTGTCATGTTAACCTTGGAATTTAGCTGGAAAGTCGAACACAAGCGAAGAAGTTGAAGACATGCTGGAAAAGAAAAATGTTGCTATTTTTACATCTGGTGTAAGAAGAAAATTTTTAACCTGTTTTTATTTTCAAATAAGTTGATGATTTTTGTGAGGTTTTAAGATTGTGCCTTAATTGTTGTAGATAATTATTGAAACACAACAAGCAAGACAAGCTCTAGGAGACATTGAAGCAAGACATAAAGATATTTTGAACCTTGAGAACAGTATCAGGGTAGGTCTTTAATACGAAAACCTTTGCAAGCAGAAAATGTAATGAAATATAGACAAGAATTTGCTCCGAAAAACTGCATCTTGAAAACTCATAAAACAGGATTTGAATGCATCTATTTACTATTTTAGGAACTTCATGAGATGTTTTTAGATATGGCGATGTTAGTCGAAAGCCAGGTATTTAGAGCTAAATTTTTCTTAAGCGTTTTTAAAGAGGACTTCATGGCTAAAGTATTCTTGAATCAAACATGGTTTTCCCTTCAGGGCGAGATGGTGAACAGAGTAGAATACAATGTTGAGCAAGCTGCAGAGTTTGTACAATCAGCTAAAAAAGAAACAAAGAAAGCTGTGAGGTACCAGAGTAAAGCTAGAAGGGTATGTACACCAGTCAAGCAATTTCTTCATCTGGAATGATAACTGGCTGTGAAAAGCGAAACCAGAACTTCACTTTGCTTCACTTCCAATTATCATTCCAGGTAAAACCAGTGAAACTACGCTACAAGTAGACAAAGTCTCCATTTCCTAATCATAGTTTTATTATTTATAGAAAAAGATTGTTATATTCATCCTGTGTTTAATCCTTCTTGCAATCATTGTTGTTATAATCATTACCCAAGTGCAGTAAGCAAGTCTTATGACATGTTTGCTCTCAAAAATAACAAAGACCTAGGCAATGCACTGATTTTGAAGTATGAGCTGTGCTGCTATATATATACATATATATAGTTAAGATATGGGAGGAAAAAAACAGTTACACAGTGAAACTTTGTAAGAAGCAGTGTTGTAATTCTGTATGAGCATTTCATGACTGCTTTGAATGACTTGCATTTTGGATTTGTTCATAATGTCCAGTGAGCTTGAAGTCCGGTGAGCTTATAACTCTAATCTGCTTTGCATTGTAAAATATTATATTAGCCATATAGTTCTTGAAAATTAACTAAACAAAAGTTTACTCGTTGACTGCAACAGTTTATACGCGCTGTCAAATTCAAGTTAGAAAAAACTGCCGTTGATCGTCAATTTTATAATTTTATCCTTCGTCAACAGAAGCAACCTAAAACTAACTTTGTATGTTTTGTAATTTTTAGCAGGAATGCTATTGATTTGATGTATACGTTAATGATGTATTTATAACATTGGAAAATAAATTTTTGCAATCAGTATTGAACAAGAAAATTTACTTGTCCTCAAAATAGTTATTTACAAACTAGTATAGTTCTTAATAACTTGTTCTAGAGCTACAAAGCTATCAACAAAATCATCTTCAAGAATGCCATGTTTGGCATACTGGTGAACGTAAGCTCTTGATGCAAACATACTCCAAGCTTTACCAACAACAGCATTTAGTGGTTTCAGTGTAGTTTGTGAGTTGCTTAACAAGGTCACAGACTGCTCTATTTCATTAAAGCAGTTTCTTTGCCAGGCAGAGTGAAACCTTCCATAAGATGGCACCCAGCTTGCGTAGAGCTGTGGTTCTTGAAAAGATGAGAGTTCAACACTGTTTGCATCCTTTCCACGAAGGAAGATCTGATTAGATAATGATTTGTTAAAGGCAGACACTTGATTGGTTGTTGCAGTTGCTTTTGGTAGCTTGACAGACCAGTTTATACCTGAAAGATAATACAAATATTTATCTCATGTGATGATCCACAATCACAATTTATCATTATGCAGAAATTAACCCCCACACCTTCTTCCATGTTGGCATTGGCAATCAACATTTGCCTGCAATGTTTCACAAGCATGTCCCAGTTGTAAGAAGTATACATCAAGGATGTCTTTGGAACAACAGGGATGTTTAATATATTTAGCAACTTGTAGCCAGGGTGAGCACATACATTTGATAGAACATCGGAAATAACAAACTTTGCCAAACAAGTAGAATCGCTCATCTCGAAAGCTGGTAAAAGCACACCAGCTAATTTAGCAGCAACAACTTTGTTGATATCTTTGAAAGAGACATTCTTGATTTTTAGTAGCTGTGTACAAATCATCTGCATCTTCTCATTCTCCATGAAAATGATTCCATCAGAGGAGGAATAAAGATGGGACAATGTCAACACAGCATTGTAATTTTGAACAATGACTTCTCCTGTTGTGTATGGCCATATGACGTTGTTCACAATAGCAGCATGTGGGTACTCATCTCTCAAAGCTGTCGTCACAAATGCACCCAGTCCTGATCCAGTCCCTCCTGCTAAACTCATCAGAGCTAAAAATCCACCTAAACTATCACATCTTTCAACCTCTTTCGAAACCTTATCCAGGACATCAGCAATGCATTTTGGACCATGGTGACAATATCCCTGTGCCCAATTATTACCTGAACCTTTTTTACCAGTAACTTGTGCATCTTTGTGGTAATTCCATGTTGTATGGTGTTTTGCATCCACAAATGCTTGACCAATTACCTTCTGTTCCATATCTACCATAACTGCTCTGGCAAATATCTCATTTTCATTACTTACATAGAAAAACCTCTCTGCTACCAAGTCGAAGTAGTTGACACCATGGACACTTGAGGATGGTGCGTGCTTAGGCTGCATAGCCGACTTAGAAAGCAAGTCGTAAAATTCAAAACCAATTTGATTCCCGCACTGGCCGAGTTGTAGGGTAACAACAGACATTGTAGAAATAAGATTCAATTTATAATTCTTAGTTATTTATTGACATCAAATACTACATATAATATCCCCTATTATTGTGCCCCAATTTTAGGGACTATCCTAAGACCCATCCATACTCCATACAATCAATAATCAATAGTAATCAATGATAATACCCCAACCCCTCATATCCATGATATTTATAGATCAGTGTTAATGACTAATATAATTCCAGCCTGCGACCTGCGTCACCTGCGTGCAGGTGTTCTCTTCAGTAAACATCAAACAAATTATGAAATTTTATACTAATTGAATGAATTTTTCTTAATTTTTCTTAATTTAATGAAATTTTCTTGGGATTTTTATCCCTTAGTGATTTATTTTACTGCTAAAGATCGTGGAGATGAAGTATGAAAGATGAGACCGTTGAATTTCGCTTGTAAGTAGCTTTTAAATAGCAGCAGAGAAAAAAATAGAGGATCATTCATCATGTTTGGTTTGAGGATTTGCAGACGAAATAGGTTGAGTTTTATACGAGCGATTGTGATATTCATCTGTCTCTGTGCTATGTTCTTTTTTGTGAAAAATATGACTGATGTGACTAATCGTACGATTCATGAAGACGGTGAAGTGATTGAACTCAACGGCTTCCCCTCAGAGAAAGTTGATGTTGATGCACAAATGGGTTTAAATATTTTTACGGAGAGGAAGAAGCAAAATTATATAACTTCTAAAAAGGACGTGGTCTCAAGGCCTTTGAACAATGGTAAACCAATTGCAAGTCTGGAAACTTATGAAAACTTAGCAAACTTGCGAGAGACTGTGAGACATCTCAATACAGAGCAAAGCACCTTAAATCTACGTAAATTTCCTAAGAGAACGAAGAACAGTATTATCATCGTCATTCAAGTTCACAAACGTTCAAAGTACTTTATGAAACTTATTGAGTCTTTGCGAAAGGCCAAAGGAATCTCAGATGCTCTGCTTGTGATAAGCCATGATTATTATGCAACAGAAATGAATGATATTGTACAAGGTATTGATTTTTGTCAAGTTTTGCAGATTTTCTTTCCCTATTCCCAGCAGCTCCATCCACATAAGTTTCCCGGAATGGACCCCAGAGATTGCCCCAGGGACATCTCGAAAATGCTCGCTCGTCAAATGCAGTGCAACAATGCCGAGCACCCGGATATGTATGGTCACTACCGGGAAGTGAAGTTCACCATGACCAAGCACCATTGGTGGTGGAAAGCTAACAGGGTCTTTAACGAGCTTCGAAGTACGAAGAACCACGATGGCTTAGTTCTATTTCTCGAGGAAGACCATTACGTTGCTCCAGATTTTTACGAAGTCCTCCAGAAAGCGTATAGCTTGAAAAAGTTCGACTCAAGATGTCTTGAACATGGCTGTGAGATTATAACCCTTGGTGATTATAAACTGGTTAGAGATTTCAAATCAGCTGGAAGCAAAGTGTTAAAAATCCAACCGTGGAAATCGAATGAGAATAACATGGGGATGGCTTTCGATAGAAGGACTTGGAAAAAGCTGATGGGATGTAGCGAGATGTTCTGCACTTATGATGATTACAATTGGGATTGGACGCTAATGAGAGTTAGTTTAAAGTGTTTAAAAAAGCAGTTAACAGTCTTACTGTTCAATGTACCTCGGGTGTTCCACCTTGGGACGTGTGGGCTTCACCACAAGGACGCAAACTGCAACATTCAGACGGTCCTCGACCTGACTGAAGATGTGATAGACACTAACAAAGATGCATTATTCCCACTAAGTTTGGAAATTGAGCTGGCTCGACCATGGATCCAAGGACATTATGGTCAGCCTAACGGGGGCTGGGGGGATGTGAGAGACCATGAATTGTGCATGAATTTTACCAAATCGACTGACTAAGTAATGTCAGTCCACTGTAGTATTTTGATATGTAAAACAATAAAACTAAAACCAGAAATGTGTTGTGTATTAACTGTTGGTAATCTTATGTTATTAAGGGGATCTTTATTCAGTGTTCCTATGTGTACTCTTTTGACCCCAAAGAAAGCATTTAGTACCAGCAAAATAGTAAGACCAACATGGGGCAGGGTAGAGTGTGTATAAAAGAGGGTATGATGGGTTTTGGTTGGTTTTCTTTGTGTTCAAATTACAACTTCTACAAAAATACAGAGAATTTGGTCAGGATTGTTCAGGGCGTTTAATCGAGGGAGGCGATTAATTTAATTAGTTGTGCCCGCGCTACTACTCCCAGCCAGCGTTTTCTCCCATGAGAATAGAAATTGACAGGAACTTAAGGAACTGAGTGATGGCGGTGCGTATGTGTGAAAGGAAATGACTGTGAAATATCTCAAAATTAAACGTAGTTTACGCTGCTTTCGACCATAAATCAAAGTCAGAACTACATGTGGCTCTACTGCTTGGAACCTATGCTGTTAAACATTGCAAATGCCCTTGTTTTCAAAGCGAAAATCAGGTATTAATGTAAAGAAGTTGGTCTGGCCATGTTGCGCACTGCAGTAATTTGATAGTCATCTATTCTTCTATAACCATCAGGATTTTATTGCAATTTACTGTTTTACTGTTCTTCAGCATACAGTGTGAAATCCTCATCCATCATTTGCCAGAATTTACAATACTTCTTCCCCTCGTTTATTCCTTTTTCTCTCTTATTTTTTCACTATTTACACGAGCTTCATTGTGTAAAGCAATTGTTGTTTTGTCGTTTTCTCCGAACTACCATATTTGTTGAATTATGATTGCGCATATGCCAAATATTTGTAAATGTCTGAAACGAAATCATTTGTACAATTTTAAAACAAGAACTGCACAGTGAGCTCTTTTTAAATTGCAACACTCATTGAATAATTGATTATCTATTTGGTATGCTATTCTGATACTATTGATTTCATTGATTACCTGATACCCAGATACCCTGATTTTGCACAAGCATTGACCAATAAAGTTCTTTGTCTCAATGCTGTTTTCACATCTTATGTTATAACAGGAAAACAAAAATCGAAAGTCGGCAGAAATGATACGAAACTGGAAACAAACAAGACGAATACTTCTCAGAAAGTAAAACATCAAGACACTGGATCCAGACATGGTTTTAATGACATTTCAACAACTTCAGGTACGTTTTTTAAATTTGACCAGAATAAATTCAAGTGTTTTGATAATTTTCGTGTTTACCAAATGCTGATGCAAATTTTGAGGGCTGAATTTCAAACAAATATGTTGCATATAATAACTCAAATATTTCCTTATTTTTAGACGTATGCAGAAAAGACCTTCTTAAGTCTTGTCAACGTCCTGCCAACTCCTCTGCTAAGGTATTGATTTTATTGTTCAAAAGTGGCTCGCATCTGTATAATAGATTTTACTATTAAGTTATCAAGCATTGCTATTAATTATTACTTCTTTTCACTTTAGTGCGTAGCAAACTTTCCTCGCCAATCAAGGCTTTCAAAATCGTTACCAGAAGTGTTGGTTGACGATGCAATATTGCCGTCGTTCTTAGAATTCCTGCAGAAACAAGATGCACAAAATGTACTCAACTTCTGGCTTGCAGCAGAGACCTTTCGACTTTCCTCTCGGGAAAAATTCAATCCAAACTCTATGATGCAGAGTTCGCACAAAGCATCACAAAATCATTTAAAAGCTAACATTGGTAGTAATTTTGAATCAGGGCATTCTGCTCTAAGAACAGGAGTTTTAGTTCCAGGGAATATTCCTGACTCTTCTAGGACACAAAGCAAAACATTTAGTGGAAAATCATCAGAAACATTAAATATAATTCCTTCACTGGAATGCTTTGACAAAGACAATCCTTCAAATGATACTAGTCATCAGGATGGCTATGAAGTATCTTCAACATGTGATACTACAAGCTTAAATTTGACTTCTCAAAACCTCAATAAGTCCTCTGGCCACTTGGAAATTGGTTCAATTTCACCTGGACTATATACAAACAATGACAATGGCCACACAAAGTGTAATGTGAATTCCAATAGCCAGTCTCAGAAGAGATTGGACAGAGATTCAAGTAAATGTAATCTGGAAAGTGCGAATAAAAATGAACTTTACGATGAAGATGATGAAAATAGAATATTTCAGTCACAAGGCAAAGATGAAACATCAATACATCAAGCCAGGGAAAGACGTCGAATGTCAAAAGGTAGGGTTTATCATCTTGTTTCAAGTGCACTAATAGATACCTTCGTTGTTATCCAAACATTGATATGGCATGTATTGAAATAATTACTTATATTTCTTTAGTAATGCTCGACGATGCGCTGAGCATATATCGTCATTTCATATCACTTGATGCAACGCAACCGCTTGGTGTTGATGAGAATATGAGAAGACAAGTTGAGAGTAACATTTGCACAGAGAATGGCATCATCGCCTCAAACTGCTTCAATGCTGCTCAAAAGTTTGCCTATGACACTTTACAAAGCAGGTTGGTAAATTCTGGGTATGATTGTCCCTTAGTTTGCAACACATGCTTAGAGATATGAATGAATTTCTTTCTAGATATTTTGATGATTTCATACGAAGTTCCCACTACCAGAAACATATCATGGACATTTTGACAAGTGGCAAAGTATTCCTTGCAGATATCATGTATAATGACGACGCAATGTTTTATTTTATGGAAGTATGTTCTTGTTTCATTATAATTCTACCATTTTATCAATATGAAGTGATCTTTACTGAGCCTCTGGGAAGTACATTCATGGACTGATAGGGCAGCATGCTTTTTAAAATTAGACATTAAATGTCCTTGCAAGAAATTAAGAGAGATGTGCAGCTTAATTATGAAATATAATAGTGGCTATGAACGGTATTGTCTTGTTTTAGTTTATGGAACAAGAAGGGAAAAGTTATCTTCTTGCATTCTGGTTTGCTGTCGATAGTTTTTGTCAGGAATTGCAGTCAAAACTAGACAAAGAGGAATATAACCCTGATCAGGCGTTGAGTGATGCAATGGTCTTGTATGACAAGTAAGTTTACTGACAATTTTTACTTTAGAGCATCTCTTGCAACATGAATTCTGCATGATCACAATTGTCTTATTCTTACATGATAAACTCTGTTGCCTGCTATCAGGTATTTCTCCATGCAAGCGACCAATTCACTTGGTGTTAGTGATGAAACAAGAATTCGCATTGAGAATAAGATTTGTCGTGAGGGTGGACCATTGCCAGAATGCTTTGAAGAACCAATGGAAAATGTTTTAACGCTTCTAGAGGAGGTAAGGCAATGTCCACATTCATGCTTGTAAGAGCGACTATAAAAAGTTAATTAAGTTTAGGTTTCCTCCTGTAGTAACACTGGATCAATAAGAGATTATCCTTACTGGATCTCTAGGAAGAACAGTTTAGATCTGATAGAGCTATCCAGTATAAATAAAGTTAGTTTAGTTTAGGTTTCCTCCTGTAGTAACACTGGATCAATAAGAGATGATCCTTACTGGACCTCTAGGAAGAACAGTTTAGCACTGATAGAACTTTCCAAAGTTTAGTTTAGTTTTGTTTTCTCCTGTAGGAACACAGCAAAGATTTGTGTTCATATGTGATTACATATATCTTTTAGGTGTATTTTTCAATTTTCCTGGACAGTAGTGTATACATGAAGTACCTCAATGAGGTGTTCAGTTCTGTAACTGACATTGACTTGGATCAGACAAGTACTTGCGCGGATGATTGCAGTAGCACAGCCAGTGCAGGGGAAGCTGCTAAATTAATGGAATCCCTGGTAAATGATGCGGAAGCACATGAGGACCCAGATGAGATTTGGCAGAGACCTCACTTTGGGTATGTTGGAGAGATTGCAGTAGGAGGGGGGGGCTGGTAGAAGGGGGGTGCTTGGGGAGAGGAGGGGAATAAACCAGGGAGAGCTGAGGGAAGGGAGAGGAGGGAAGGGATAGGAGGGAAAGAGATGGCAAAGGGGTAAGGGGAGGTGGTTGGAGATAAGAGGGGAAGATATGACAAAGGGGGAATGGGGGTGGTCGAAGATAAGAGGGAAAGAGATGGCAAAGGGGTGAGGGGAGGTGGTTGGAGGTAAGAGGGGAAGAGATGGCAAAGGGGGAATGGGGTGGTCGAAGATAAGAGGGAAAGAGATGGCAAAGGGGTGAGGGGAGGGGGTTGGAGATAAGAGGGGAAGGAGATGGCAAAGGGGGGAAGGGGAGAAGGAGATGGCAAAGGGGGAAGGGGAGATGGTTGGAGATACCGAAAGGAGGGAAAGTGAGAGCAACCTTTCATGGTGAATGAAAGGGGGTGATTGATTACAACGTAAGCTTGCGTTTTATAATTATTTAGTCTTTCAATTGGAAGAGTAAATGAATTTGGTATTTACGAACCAGGGATTGAGCCACAGCCTGGGAAAAAAGAAGGTTTGTGGATTGTGTTTCATTCTGGGCATTTCCATGATGTTTAGACTAACGTGGTCACCTTTTCTTTTAGACTTGAAATTTAGGCAGAAAATGAAGAAATTAGTCTCTGGGGATTCGGACAAGGTAGATTTCTGTTGGAACTTCACGATATAAGCCGTCGGTAGATTTGAATTGAAAGAGGATATTCAAACGTTTCTTTTTTGTTAGATGAAAGAAGAAATGGCGTGGAAAGTCGCTAAAATGGTTTTAGAAGATGTTAAAAAACAACAGAAGAAGGCACGATAAATGATGCTGAAACTGTAAGTCTATTAATTTGTTGTTTCATTCCTTCGAGAAATCAGGTGTATTTCGCTTGTGTTCACCCTTATTGCAGTTCAATCGCCGGTATAATTTCAATGCATGATTTTACTGTCACATTTCATGCTTGTTCGGGATAATATAAGGATAGAATGGGACATTGGTAGCCAAGTATTGACTTTATGGTACATAAGTGGATTGAACGGTTCGATTCGCAAATGATAAGTTTATCCGTTCAAAAATTCGGGAAGTTTTTTAAAAAGAAATCTGAATTGACCTGTTTCTAGCTAGTCCAATATGGACGTCTCATGTTGAGCTCTACCAAGGACCGAGACTTCAGAGTTTCAACCATGCACCGAAATATGTTCATCCGTAGATTGCGCACAATTCGCCGGGAATTCGAATAAATTAAGACAAATATTTGTACAGTAACGCCCTGGTCAAACGAGAATGACAGTTGAGAACGAGAGTTGATCACCGCGCGCATTAATTTCGTCATTACTCCACTTCGTTTTGCTATTTTTTTGTTTCTGCCCGTTGTTTTCAGAAGATTTCTTTTTTTCTTTGCAAAAAAAATGCAAACCGCTAGCGGTTTTGCAACTCTCATCAACTCTCATGACCGATCAAACGCGCCCAAACTCTCATCAACTCTCATCAAAATTTGAACCAGTTCAAAGTCGATGAGAGTTGATGAGAGTGCACGAGAGTGTATGAGAGTTCGCGGTCAAACGCAAGCGAGAGTTGCAACTCTCATCAACTCTCATCAACTATCATTCTCGTTTGACCAGGGCTTAACAAATTTAATAGAAACATCGATTCTTACAACGTAATTTGCGTAGAACATGAACGGCGTGTAGGAAAGTGACATGCACGTAAAATTTAATTAGTATCTCATAATTTAATGTGAAAATTATTAGAGTAAATATATAAATATGTGAATTTTCAAATTTTGTTGTTAATAAAATAATAATTGTGTGCTGTTGTGTGTTTTTTAAATAACTACAATCGACAAATATAAAGTGTTGCGTGTTTAATTAATTATCTAACATATTTTTCCCAATCTTATCATGTTCAAATAATTCTGTACGAACGTATTTTTTCATACGAAATAACTGTGTGTTCTAAAAGCTTCTTAACTAAACTTATATTGATTAATGAGTTTATCGTGGAACAAAATAATCAATAATCAATCAATAATTATCGATGATAAATTGACACAAATTGATAGCTGAAACGTTTAATAAATTTTTACAATGAGCATCGAAGAAAAATACAAATTCTAAATCTATTTGAATAAATTAAGACGCTTTTTCCCGTAGCGAAATAAATAAATTAATTACGTCTATTTTTACAATTTTGTAAGATGTATTTTTCATTTCTGATTATAAATATCGCCTTTCTTGAATACTTCATGAAGACGAAAGTGATTTGCATTTATACACTACAATATATTCTACGATAGTTTAAGTACAGCCAAGATGATAACCATGACGTAATCTACGCATGACTAGTACCCAGTTTCTTGCCGCTCTTATTTGCGCTTAGATTCGGTGCACTCCTTGCAATGGTCAGCCCAGGCCGTGTGCTAAAATAATTAAAAAGGATCTTAAGTTTACTGGCTGGTCACCGTTATGGATGCTCTTAGAGCAGGGAGGAAATGTGAGAAAGGTGCTTATCGGACTTGGAAGAGGTCCTCTTTATCATTATTTTTCATCATTTTTACGGTTCATCACCAAGGCGAGATTTAATTCGTTGAAAGTGTTAGTTTATAGACAAGTTCGCGAACTATAGACGAAAGAGGAAACTAAAAGGGAACAATTGAGAGTAGAAAGCTATACTTCGGCCGAAATACAACTATTTATAAGTAATTTTGTCGTTTTTATTGTCGACTTCAAACACGCGTTCCTACGCAGGTGCTTTATTGGAAAACATAAAGGCTGCATTCAGCGTAATATTGAGATCTGTGGCTAGCCACAGGTGTAAAGGCTGCGTTCCTACCATGAGGACGAGGAATGTTTCTTACCTGACATTTAGCACTGCAGTACCAGGCCTTCTGACAGCCTGAACAAAGGAACGATGCTTCTTTACCACACACTCCACACATGCAACGGTTATTCTTTTTAACCATCTTTCGCATTGACTCGTGTCTTTGATTGTGCTCGCGTTGTTTCCGTAAAGCCTCGCTAACACTCGCCTCGGCTTGGTGGCCTATACGACCCATGAAGAACGGTGGGTTACCGGCACTTCGAGCTCTATCGGGGTAAGGTACTGCCGGGGTTCCGTACCCTTCGTGTTGTCGTGCACACACAGCTAAATACTGTTCTTTTCTAGAGGCTAACTCCTCAATAGGCATATGATGTGTCTTTTCTGTCATTAATCTCTTACTCAACTCAGCTTGGGCTCTGGCGTGTTGGGAAATATCTGCTCCGGGCTGCTCCAATTTTCTCTTCCGATTTTCCACTTCCCAGGTCCTGCGCATCTCCTCTTCGCGTGTCCTCGGACTTCGTGCTTCGTGTTCGGCACTCTCCGGTCGCCTCTCGTGATCCTTCATTCCCGCCAAGAAAGCCTTGCGTTTTTCGTTTTCTAGTTGTGCTAAGTTCATGCGGTGTTTTTCAATCGCTAAGCTACGTTCTTTGTCCTGGTATTCACGCTGTGCTGTCGTGTAGTCCTGTTTGAGTCGTTCATTCTTTTCTGGTGCTATCCCCTAAAAAAAATACAAAACATCTCTTTATTTCTGCCTCAACTATTCATGTTCAAGTGCTTGAATGAGCCGAAAATATCGCTCCAGATTCTGCTAGTAAGATCAGTACCATAACATACTGCCTACACTCCACTTGTGTATAAAGTTCAGTGCTTACCTGAGTTTCTTTTGTCCCAAGATTTGCAGGAGGGTAGCCAGGTATCCTAGCGGTTCCCCTCATACCCTGCCATACACCGAAGTCTCCGTGATTAGCCATAACAGGAACCATGCCCCGAGGCAAGCCGTGTGGGGAACCTGGTACCATGTTTCCATGAAAACGGTATGACGACATTGGCAGTGGTGATTTGTGGATAGGGGTATGAGAACTAGTCACCATTATTCGCGGTGAGCCATGATCTTGAAGTTTTCTCTGTTCATCCAAGGTTTGAGGAGTGTTTTTAGTACTCGTCACGTGCTTTTCTAAGTGTCTATGCTTTAGTGGATCAACTGGCCTACCTTGATTCTCGCCCCAGGCTTTTGGTGGGCCTCCAATTTCGTTCCCATGCCTCCGTTGCGCGGCACTGTAAGCTGCCATTGCCCCTTCTCTATTTCTGTCTGTTCCCTCCAACTTTTCTTTGAATGTTTTATCCAACATGCTGAACCTTTCATTGAAGTCTCGATTGATTGATTCACGATCTAGTGTTTTCGGTGAAGGACTGGGCCTAGACTCGGGTCCTGGCTTCTCTTTGTGCACCTCGCCAAGTTGGATGAATCCCGGATGTGCTTCTTTCATTTGTCTTACGGATGGTGTATAGTTTCCATGAGATCCTGGACGCGTGCGCAGCACGTGTTCAACTCGAGAAGACCTCGTGTCTTGAGGCGAAATATTATACCTTTTCATGACCTCGTTTCTATCCGAATGTGACATCATAGGCGACTGTTCCCGGTGAGGATGCCGATAACCCTCCGATGGCATTCCGTTGTCTTTTGGCGTATCTCTTTTTTCATCCGTATATTTCAACGCATGTCGTTTTCCTTCCGACGTCGATCCGGCGTATCTCGAAGAATCCGCGGAGACGCCACTTGGCGCATGTGATTGTGGTTTGTGTATGCCGGTGTACGCATGGGCGGCCTCGAGCCTATGTTTATATCTCTCGCTGTCCAAAGGAAAACCGTGTTCGTCAACAATCCCTGGGGCCAAAAAACGTGGGTGATGCATTGGTATCCCATGCGGCATTACAAGATGACGGTCGTAAACTGCCGGCATTCTCCGTTGCATGGCGAGAGGGTCCGAGGGAAATTCGAGGTGTTCCGGTCGTTTATCGCGAAGTTTTAACGCCGCTTCACTCTCGTGCAACGCATGTTGGGAGTACATGTGTGCATCGCCGTGTAACACGGGATACCCGGGTACATGTAGGGGCATTTTATCCACCTTTTTGCCATGAAATGGACAGTTCATATCGGGTTTTGTATGCTGGGATATTTCCAATCTACCGGACAAACCTCCCTGTAGGGCAGGGTGCCCGGGATGGTGCATAACTCCTGCATTATGAGTAATCAAATGTGGTGAGAAGGTTTTCGTGGAATACGCCGCGTACGTGAGCGGTAGGCCTGGGGGGAGTTCAGTAGGTGCACGTAGTGATTTGAGGTCCTGGATACGAGGTTGGTGTATCCCAGAATGCATTTCTTCCATAACATGTTTGTCGGGACGAACAATAGGGCTCACGGGATTCACTGATCTTCCAGTTTGAATCTTTGAAAATTCCTTATTTTCCTCTGAACTCTCTCGCTTACTCTCCTCCCCGTCTGAAGTCACTTCGATAATTTTTTCTTCTGCCCCTCCTGACTGGCTTTCTCGTCTTATCCCCCCTGGGTGGATCGCTTCATATTCACTGTCCCTTGATCCTATCCTATTCCTTGATCTCCTCAATTCCTCCTGATTTCCCCCGAAGTCCTGGTCGATTCTTGGTGTGAAACGTGGGGATATTCTCCTTGTTTCAATATGTTGTCCCGAACCGCTGGAAGATGATCTTCTGCTTTTGTCGTTTGGAGAGATGCGATTTTGCGAGGGTGACACTCTACGTGGAGAGGTCTGTACCTTATCTGACAGAGTTTGTACTTGATTTGGTGTTTCTGGTATGGTATTGGTTGTTACCCAGTGTGGTGATGGTGGGACCCCGCCTGGTGACTCAGATGCTGAATTAGGGGAGGGTGTCTTTTTATCAGGAAAAGCTGGTACTCTGTTCGGTGAGGGTTGTATTCTATTAGGCGAGGGTGGTATTCTATTAGGAGAGGGTTGTATTCTATTCGGAGAAGGTGGTATTCTATTAGGAGAATATTGTACCTGGTTTGGTGGCGATGGAATACAGTTGTTGGTTGGTACACGATGCGCTGGCGATACCGTTGACCCGCTTGTTGCTTCTGCAATTCGATTTGGCGATTGCGGTATTTGTTCAGGTGATCTGGCCGTGGAGTTTGATGCAGGCGGTAATTTACTTGGTGATGCCAGAATAGGGTTAAGTGGTAATGGCCTCTCGTTGGGCGGCGATTGCGCCAAGTTAGGAAAGGTTTGTTGTTGGTCAGGCAAAACACAGCTTGTACCAGTAGAGGTCGGCAAGACACTGTCGGTCGAAAACAGCTGATGAGGAGACAATTGAACTCTTTTAGGGGATTCTTGTGTAGGTTTTGGCGACGTTTCTACACGTTTTGGAGACGTTTCTGGAATCTTAGGCGAGGTTTCTACCCGTAAAGGCGAGGTTTTCTCAGTTTTAGGCGAAGCTTGAACTTTGTTTGTTTCCGAATATTGAATTATTTCTGGCGAGCCATTGTCGAGATTGCGTGATGATAAAAGTGGTTCGTTCTTTGTTGCTGAATATTCAATCTCAGGCGAGTTGTTGTTTTCACCTTGCGGGTAGTTTTCGTATTTTACTGGTGAAGGTACCTTAAGGATTTCGTTCTCATGTCGCTCCCCAAATTCACCGGCGTCCTTTGCTAGACCATCATCAACAATTTGCTTCGTGTATCCCTCATCGATAACTTCATCTTTGTAAGTTTGTTCGTACACTGGACTCCCCGACGTCTGTGTGGCTGAAATCTCATCAGGAACATTGTTTATTGACGTACATTCTCTAGTGGTTTCAAGAGGCTCGTTACACCCCTCGACACTACTTCTGTGAGTTTCCTCTGCACCAGTTCCCCGTGGTTTCTCATTCGTCGGCACGGTTTTCTGGTTGATCCACCTCTCGACCAACCAGTTATGACGCGGGAAATCGCTTCGCATCCTATTTTCAGTTGCATCGTTCTCGTAAGGCGTCTTTCGACTGTCTTCGTGGTTTGCGCCTTCTGCTTTGTGTCTTTTATTTCCTCTGTGATCATTGTCAACAGATTCGTCACTACAAGAGCCTCGCTTAGTACCACTTGAACTGTCCCTCAAAGATTCTTTGTCAGATTTCACTGAACCGGAGCGTGGTTTGTTTCCTTCCTTTGACCGCCTTTCCTTTCGTAAACCCTGATACTCGTGAACTTCATAATGATTCACTCCTCCTATTTTTTCGCCTGATTTAACTTTACTTTTATCACGAGTGTCGTTGCATGTCATTTCGTTATCACTGCTCTCTCCAAGCACTTCAATTTTCTCACTGCTGTACATTTCCTTCGTAGCCTGCCCGTGTTTGTCACCCGTGATTCCTGCGTGATCGTGAATCTCACGCGTGTCACTCGCGTGGCCATTAATCTCGTGGTAATCTTGCCTCGAGCTGGAATGCTCGCATTGTTTATCGGATATATTATAAATATTCTCGTTAATCCCAGTCGTCTCATTACAATTACATGGATCTAATTTTTTGTTTGAAGTTTTGTCGCCAGGCCCTTCGCCATTTACCCTCACATCCGCTGACCTGTACTCGCTGCGAGCTCGTTTTCCCGAGCTGTTACGGACATTTTCCGAATACTCCGCCCCACCGTCATGGCTGTAGTGCCGTCTTTCGTATTTTCGATCGTCATAAGATCGTTCATTCCTCGCGGCATCCTCGGAAATGTGATCACGTGGACTAATTGTAACATCACGTGACTGATCATGCATTTGATCACGTGTCAACAACTGATTATGCTCCCTCTGTAACTCCTGACCTCGTTTCATATCCTCCTTCAGTTTCTTCCTCTGTCTCTCCAAATCTTGCGTCAACCGCTGCTTCTCACGTGGTCCTTCCTTTCCTTTTAATTTGCTGACGTCATCAGCTGTCACGTCATTATCAGTGACGTCAGCGGCATATCCACCGTTATCCCAAACATCCTGTGACGTCTTGTTTTTCTCCTGTTGGTCCGCCAAGCGTCGTTTACGGGATTCAAAATTTTCAACCTTTTCGCTGCTCCTGTCATCCGGGTATCTGTAGTACTTGCTCCTAGGCCTCTCCATCACGCCACGGCGGTTCATCACGTGATGCGCTTCTCTAGCCATGTGTCTGACATGTGACGCATCCATGCCACCTCTACGTTGATCGTGATAATAGTTGGCCATGAGGTTTCTTACCCGGGAAGGTTTGCTTGGTATGTAACTCGATGCGTGCTTCGACATGTTGTAGTGACTTTCCTGAAATAAACAAAAAAACTCTTTCAAATCGGCTTTCCCAAACTCAGAGATGAGAGTTTTTTTAGTCCACTGCTGATAACACGCCCTACAAGGAATGATATAAAAAAATCGCTCAGACTAGACAGTGGATGAATATCTTTTTTACAGATGCACTAATAAATCTAGGGCAAATCCAGTTTTCCAGATCTTTAAAGGTTCACGAAAGGATTACTGAGTGGTATTAGCTGTTAATCACCCCCTTGCCTGGCATTGTATTGTGTGAAGAGAATTATGCCAGCTTAATTGTCCTATTCTAATATTCTCGGTAAACTTTCAAAGGATTATTTGGAAATAGTGTTATAATCACTTGAGTAAACAGGAATTTTTGATGATAAATTTGCCAATGCGGTATTTCACGTTCGGGAACTAGCAGCTAGTGTCTGATTTAATTCTCAATGGTTAGCTCTGCCAAGAAGGAACTCTAGTCAGTCTTTGTTATATTTGATTGCGTGTGAGTCTCTTTATATTAAAATAACTTGATTTAAAAGTAACCCTGTTTAGAATTTTTAGAAAGAGGAACTCTAAGCCAAGGTCTTAAAAATTTGGCCACAAAACAAAAAAACACACATGCATGAAATTCCAAAAGATCTACAGAGAAATGCTATCTGAAGGTGTTGATCTTCTTCATATTTCCAACTTTCATTTGCCTACTACGAGCCCAGGATAATCCATCCGTGATTTCTGATCTCGCTCGAGGGTAAACTCAATGAAAGGCAAAGTATTTGTCGCTTTAACATTTTTATGCCGGAAAACTATCAGGTCACTCAACAATACTCATTAATTAAAACGTTAAACTTCTATAAGTCTAGGTGTGGGATCGCTGCGATGAATGATGTATATGATTGAGGTGATGAAAATGTTGCTAATTCATTTAGTAATTCACGGCATATAAAAATTCGAAGATACGTGGTATAGAGGTTATATGATCACCCATGTTTTTGTACAACGACTGAGACCAAGCCATGCAGATTTCTTACTATGAAGAATCTAACATAACATGGATTTTCACAACGTTTCCATTGTAAAGAATTGTGTTTACAATGCTAATGGCACACGGAAAACAAGTCATCGTTCCATAACAAAGAGCCCCATTTTTTGTCAAAAAATTGTCGGTAACCATGGCACTGGTTCTTTCAGATATACAAAACGGTTTACAAGATGACCGTTGTTCGATCAGAAATCTTGAATTGATTCCCAAAAACAAGAACCATTTATCAAGTGCAGGGGATAAAAAGCAGGGATCAGTGATATTTCAGATTAATAGCTAGCATTATATCCTTGAAATATTGACATTCAGTCTTATTGATGCTTCCGTTAGTTCTCTGAACAAGTCAACTGCTTCCCATATATTATTACCCACAAATGGACTTATGGCATTTTTACCAAGGTGATAACAAACTTTCGTTATCTTTCGTGAGAGGCAGAAATAGGTTAAATACGATCATTCAAATCTTATTATATGCATTAAAGTCGGAAGGCTCTTTGCCTGCCTTACGCTGGTTTAAGCGTTGACAAGGGAAAACCAGCTGTTTCATGCAGTGAACGGCAGAGAATTCAAGAACTTATGTTTTGAATATGATAGTAAAAAAATGGTCGCTAATTTGAGTGGTTGTTCCGCGTTAACTGTGCTGAAATGTATCTCACAGCGTCACGGCGCATATATAGGTATGAACCTTCCTGGAAAACTATTTTAATAATAAATAAACAAGGTCAAACACATCTTATTCTAAATTGACGTCATGCATGATGCTTATGTAATCATTAATCTTGCACGTACAAACGAAAGCATCTCTAAAAGCATCTTTTTTAAAGACAGCAGGAGGTATATCTATTGACTATAAATATATACAAAACACATAAATCTATCTTGGCTTTGTGTAGTCGTGTGAAGAGCATCGAGTTTTATGTTTCGTGTCTAAAAGGCCTAAAATTAGTTCGTTTAATGCCCATGTTGAAAGCAGATTCGTTTTTTAACTCTCGCGGGCGCAACTCAGCGTATCACAGCACTGACTCTGCCACGAAGAATGAGGAAAATTTTATTTTTTTACTAAATGACGTAATTAAAATCCTTTTATACTTTTGTCAAATCGCGATATCAGTTGATAAGAGCAAAAAAAATGATTTATTAGACCTGATTCGACCAGTTGACTGCCCCTAAGCTATGAGTTAAGGAGATTAACTTTGACCACTGCATTCTTTATTATACACCTTCTAAATATTTTATCCAATATACACTACAACTAGGTATATATATGACTATACAACCCTGCCGTGAATATGTAAATATGACCCGCTAACACGTACTATTTATTTATACTAACCACAACGCGTTGCTCCGAGAAATATCACGAATTCATAATTGTGGCAATCGTCGATAGCTTTTTTCGAGATGCCCATACATACATATAGGTTTAAGAACTCCTCGTACTGTTAAGAAGTTGAAAATATTCACACAAATCCTCATAAGTGATCATTTGAGTTGAACTATGAGTTGAGTTGAGAAGAAATTTCGTAACCGTTTAAACGTTGTATACAGTTAAGCCACGTATATCGTTTTCGATTTGTCCCGTCAAGTATCAGGCTTGCCCTGTTTCCACTCTCGATGATGCCACAATATCTACAATGTTTACATCAAAGGGCTGAGACGTGCAATGAATATACACTTCAGCGATCACTTGTTACGACAAAACGCTCTTCCGCTCTCGTTCTTTCAGATTATATAGTGCCTCTCTAATGAGTTCCCCCAATGACGTCAATTCAACGAGCTTTCAAAGGCTTACCGCGCGTAATCTTTTTGTGAAATGATTTGTAACAGTTGATATAGATCATCATGGCCGATACGCTACAGGGTAAATATTTGTGGGAGGGGAGACTTATCAAAAGATCCTTATGGCTCTTTGCTTGAGACGACGTCGTCTCAGCCTGAGATGTTGTTATTGATGATCGCTGCCTAATTACGCACGCGAACATACAAATTTTGCAGCCCACCGTCAAAAGATGAGAAATAATCCGAACATGATTTGCGCTTCATGCATGCGAGAGATTCCCCTCTGGCGGATATAGAACTGGTGTAACAGGATTTTCACTTTGAGTCTTAGCCAGTTAATTTGAAACACCCCAGCTGTGGTAATATTTGTCTTTGAATTTTTAAGTAGGGGTATAAATCTCAAGCTTGTGGAACTCCAGGAAAGCGTGCGATGTATTTTCGCAAACATTGCAAAGCAGTCGCCAATATCTGAAATTTGCATTCGATGTCCAAATTATCCTGTTTGACAGAAAAATCTTAAGCTGATCTCATTCCAATTAATACGATTTTCTGCAAAACACCATTTACGTCGATGTGCTGAGCAGTTGCCCTATGGTACTTTACAATGAGACACACCTCTCACTTATTCATCAGATATAAATATATCTGCTATAGCGACATTATAGAAGGATAAAAAACACCGCTATAGCTATAGCATTTCTGCGTTTTTCAAAATAACTACTTGTTAGTCTCCTTGAGTAACTCTCCAATATATAGTATTGTATGGATAATATTATGGATCATTGCCGATCATAGTTTCTGATATATATCATATTTACAATCATGTCTGTTAATGTCCTAGGTTTTTACCAGTTGTTTTACGTGATTCTAAAACCCACAGATCTTTGTTGGCGCCATCTTAGCCTATTCTTTACTTAATTGAGTCTGTTTTCAAGATAACAAACTAAGTCCCTTTAAATTAACCCTTTATTATGTGTTTTCTAACCGCTTACTGTGGTCATCAAATGATTGAAACTTTCAAAGCGCGGGTTCAAAGCCCAGCAACGCCTACGGTAATGAGGGAAATTATTAATGATCATTTCTCAGAGCGCGTATCTTCAATCAAGATTGCGACAATTATGGCTTTGTAACCGTATCGAACAGTAAATTCCTGCGAATGGGGAAGAATCCCCGCCACGATCATTCCTGTGCAAGCCGTAGTTTAATTTCGATAATGATACCTGTCTCGCAGCAAACTGGAGGAACATTCTCAGGCCCAGCGGAAGCCAGATACGAGACGTTTGACCGGGTAAACCTTTTGTTTTCATTTTCCAAATATTGGCATGATCGCACCATGCCAACAAACACAATGCCATCGGATATGCATCCAGTTCCCTTTTCTAAGTATTCACGTTGTGGGGGTTTGGTTTAAGAAAGGTTCTTATTTACTTTTTGTTCATAGCGGAATGTCCGTACAGACAAATATCTTCCGGTCTGGCGTCGCATTCCTTCTCAACCCTCTTCAATAGCGGCTTACCAGATAGGCACAGGCTCCTCTTTTCTTAACCCGTCAAAGATAAATAAACTATATAAAAACTCTGGCGGAGAATAGCCTCATACCTGTTATTCAAAGTTTATCAGCGCTCGCCTGTAGCGGCGGCCTAAATTCTACAAAACCTGCCAGACCTGCTGTTCATTGTTCGAGTATTTTTGACTCACCATGTTTTGTTTTGAAGCTCTTGAAAACAGAAATGCTACTGAATCATATGAGATTTTCTGGGTCTGGAAACATATTCAACATGATAAATGATTTGGTGGGTTGAGTTTGACGTCTAAGGCTTAAAATAAATTACAATTCGCAGTGCTTTTTGAAAATTTTTTTTTTACTTAGAACGATGATGTCGTTATAAACGTAATTGTCAATCCCCGACGTACTTATTGTTGACGTTGTTCCGTTTTGAAAAATCCTTAAATAGACTCATTTATGTCCTATTGATCTGACAATGCAGATTTTATGACTGTTGGTGTTCTATACCAATATCAATGAAACTATAATAAGCCAACTGCATGGTATCTCAATAAAATATCGAAGATGAAGGGTTATTGCCCTATGTAGTGTCGGTATTTCTACTATCCTAACTACCGTGCCATTGGTGGTGGTTCGTTTAAAGTTCATTATATAAAGATTTGAGGTGTTTTAGCCAACAAATATTTCTTCAAGCACCCGGGCTCCCGAAACCTCGCCCCCCTTCCCAATACCTCGCCCCTCTTATACGTAACATTCCACCACCGTTTTCCAGTCCCTGTTAACATATGTTTATACCAGAATCCTGTCTTCAGTCGTCTTCGTTGGCAAGACTGGGGTTTGAGGTCATGTTAGGTCATATTTAAGAGAGTTCATCGGAAAACTTGAGCGCTAATTTCCGTTCAATATCTATTATCCATATAACCAACACCCTTGCAAATCACTCAACAATATTAGCACTTTGTCGTTAAATTTACGTCATTCATCTGCTTCATCGCAATTCCTTCTATTTCGGTATAAAATTGGTTGCAGCTTGGAATGATTAGTTCGCTGTTTGAGAACGCTGGACCAGGGTGTAGTCGCGTTTCCCGGCAGTAATCTGCCTGCTATTTCTAATGACTAAGTGTAAACGGCAAATCTTTGCCATAATCATTGGATCATCGCATGCATGTTAGTGATCGACAAGGAAAAATTGTTCCTCGGAGATTAGAAGTCTGTTCAACCTGTTGAAAGAATCCTGCGATCAATGCCTGTCATTTTTGTTGTGAGGAGCAAAAAAAACGTGCCAGAATAAACGAAATTGTGGTCTGACCTGGGGATTATATGGTCACGATATAATCTTTCCCAGAACATGTGCGCCTTATCAATCATTGCTACAATCGTTCATGATGGAATTGACGAAACTATTTCTGATAAAATTCGTATGCATGCATGCTACGATAATCTCTGATCTGTTCATCAGTTCGACAAGCACCAGCCGTGAACAAAAGTATGCGGGGGGTTTTTTCTGATCTATTTATAAACTGAAATGAATTGTTAAAGTATGTGGTTAAAATTTCATGTTTCCAGGGTTTTTAAGTTCTACATCATTTTATTTTACAAGTGTTCATTCCTTATTCTGCATGGTCGAGGATATTCAATCAGGTTGATCGCTAACTTTCTCGTGAGAAAGATATTGGGTTTGTTTACTTTTCAAACCATGCAAGAATAACAGTTACACTGTCACGTACCGGTTATACGGGAAGATTTGAGCAGAAGCTTAGAATTTACTAAGTTCTAACATGCAATTTGAAACTATATGGTATGTTACCGTATGTATACTCGTCCATTCAACGCGAATATCAGGCTATATATGGTCCTGAACAAAATAAAACTAATTCCGGAGAACTTGTGATCGGTTACCTTAAAATTTTGAGGATCTTATTTTCGTGTTTGCTTATATTGTTTTCTTTTAAAACGTTTCATTGGTAGTACTGATGTTTCCCAGAATTTAGATTAAGAGCAACCATGTTTATATATACCTTTGAAATCGCGAGGGATAGTTCCTAAATATAAACTAAAGTATCCTATATTCTTAAATAAGGCGTTACAATAGTGGTAACGCCAAGCAATACTGCTTCGTTCGGCCTGAAATCGTTCACACAAATCGCGTTTACCTAAGCACACGTTATCCATCACGGGCTTCCTTCGAAACAATTGTAAGAAAAATGAAACAATAAACAGCAAACCTACCTTTGGATCTTCTCTGCTCTTTCTACCAGACATCGAAGCAAAATCTTTTAAATGTCGTTTTGCTTCAAAAGGATTCAATAGATACGGACATTCACATCCTTGTGTGCAGTAAACACACATCCATGGCTCATCTGGTTCCAATGTTTTGTCTTCAATGAAGGGATTATGGCATTGTTGATGATAGCCTGCAAGGTAAATCGATGAACAATATTTGTGAAACAGCGACCCGCACATTGCTTTATTTTCGTTTTCTTAATTTGTGATATACGAAGCAATATAGTCGCCTGAATGTGTAAGACTTATAAGGCCTCTGTAGGTGAAACTTCTTTCATATTCTAAAGGTGTGATGGCTATAATACTGGGCCATCTTTCGTTTTTACAACGTTTTCGTATTGAAAAGCATGACTATCATTATTATTATATAACGACCATAATATCGTCTCTTGTTTTTGCTATGATAAAAGTGCTATAGCACGGAGCAGTGCGCGCGGGAAGCAGTAAAACCAAACAACGTCTGCAAGACCTTACAACCTAGACATTGCTTTTTGATTATAGCTCGCACTAACTTCCTTTTAACGATCACCCAGATGCCCAGTCCGTCTTTAAAATAAGTTATTATTGTTGTATGATAATATTACGATTCTTGTAGCGTCCTCTAGCTAAAGAGTTTCTGTGGGGCCATCCCTTGTTATCCCGAGTAGACTTGTGAAAAAGACGGTGTTAGATTCCCCTCCCCACTCTTCACCCATGGGTAGGCCTTCCCCCCTAGATTTTCCGACCTTGGCCTATTTGTAACCCCACCCCCACTGCCCGCTTCTAATTACTGCCCAGCGCATGTAAATAGCATATATTGTTGTAATATATTGCAAATATAGAGTATGGTAGCTTATCACATCATTCGGTTAACTTTGCTCTGCTCCAGATCTATCGAACACCAAAACAAAAGCATTCTTGTCCCTAAACAGTTTTGAAACAATCCCTGGTTTAAAAACATAGAAACTTTTAGTTATCTCCGAGCGCATCACGACTCTTGCGACGCTTCCCCGTGTACGCAATAACGACGTTTCAGTAGATTTCCCGGCTCGATTGAAGACGTTAAAACGTAGAATACACTTGCCTGTTTAGCGATTATATTTGCAGTTATGATATTCCTTTGTTGAAGTTATAATTTTGTCCCCGTCGAGATCGCTTTACTACTTGCAGTGCCGTAGCAAGCGGCGCACGTATTGTCGCCGTGAAAGCTCTTAGACAGAACTCGTCCTTCAGTTACACCTGTTCGCTTGTAATATACGCGTCTACGAACTATCACTCTTCTCATTAATTACATCAACTTGTTTTCACAGCATTCAAAAGCTGTCCTTACAGGACACGTTTCGGCAGAAGCAAGGCACCCTCATACGGCGGATATTCCGTACGTTTTTTCGCGCGTATTTTTCCAATTTCAAAGCGTTATTTTCGCATCAATTCATTGCGAAATTTACGTAAGCGTTTGTTTGTGCAAGCGAAACAGCTGAAAAGTGAAATGTGTCATCTCTATCAATATTAATGATTGTCGAACTGAGTAAACACTTTTGAGCAGTGTAAATAATTACATAATTCCAAACGCAAAGTAATTTCCACAGCGCCCAATGCTAGAAGCGATATATGCGTATACGGATCGAATATGAGCTCGTTTTCTACCCAGGGGGAAGATCTTCTGCGCTTTTCAGACAGCAGTTGAACGGTTTTAAAGTTCGTGCGCTCGAGTGCTGTGACGATATTGCTTCAGCTGCATTTACAAAACAGATGAATTGAAAAACATAGCTGCCTGTATAGATCTTAAGCATTCTTGTTCGATATGTTCAAACGAAACAAGAATTTGGAAATAAATAAATTTGTCCGTCTTCGTGTAAACGTATATATTTCATGTCATAAAGCCTTGTCAACAGGAGTATATTTATGCCCTGCGAGGGTGGGTCTGAGCTGCTAATGGAGGCCTTTCCAATGATTAAATAGTCCTTCTCTACTTCACTCTCGTTCGAGCGGTCCTTTCATCTCATGCAATTTAAGTTTAAATATCAAGAAGGCCCTTAGTGCTTGGCTCTTAGGATATTTAATTGCTTTTTGCGGGTTCTGACAATTACCTGCTGGAAAACAAAACTGCTACCCGTTGTAATACAAGATCTATACATAAAAAACTGTATGAATGGATAAGCTTTGTGAATATATTGTAGGTCTTTATATCGCTGTCAGGATATCCTATATATATACTCGGTTAAATCGTCTGACACTGGACGTGGGTTTTGAAGGCACCGGTGTATATCTATGGGTCTGAAGACAATGTCTGTCTTATTTGCAGACTTATATTCACATGCAAATAAACGCAGGTGTTTTTTCTGTCAGACAGAGTAAATTACTTTATATCTCTCACATCCTACTTATGCGAGGGGGGGGGGCGGACGTGAGGACAACTGTGTACAGCCGGCCTTTCCTTCCTAGAATTAAGAAAAGCGAGGTTGCCTTTCATTGTCGATTAGCAAAACAATAGCTTTTAAAAGCGAGTGCAGCAGTAGCAGCAGTTGGCTGTGTTAAATTAATTCTGGGGGATTTCACTGCATATTTTTTTAAAAAACTATATTTTACCATTCATTGCATCCGGTGATTTTGTCATCTTAAAACAATTTAACACACACTTTCTAAAGCATTTGCCATTACTATTGTGCATGAAATTGCCAGTATATTGGATTTAGCGAGAATATACGAATTATTTAGATAGCCGGTCAGCTTGTTGCATATGGAGAAGCAATATTGCCCGGCATAAACCAATACACAATATGAAGAACTACACAAGTTCTGTACTTGATATAATAAGAATTCATATTTCAACGATTTGCATGTGTATCAACGCTTCACTCGTTATGTTTCGCCTTGCGATAATTGAGACACCCGCGGCGCACTTTGGGCAAAAATGAGCCGAAATGACTTCCATAGGCGGCAGTTTCCTCGCACAAGACACTTCTAGTTTGCTAAATGTAGTATATATGAGGTGATCTTGTCGCGATAACGGGACCTTAACGTGATACGATCGAATAACAAACGGTAAAGTACGCATCCTAAATTTCTTGTCTCGGAACAATGTAAAGCAGTTTTTAACACAGCTTGCGAGATACGCACGTATGCACGTATAGTTTGTTCTCAAGACCACCATATTGTGTGATAGACTAAACAATGAAATTACGTTTTTTTCAAACATGTGACGCGTTATTGCGACAGTTTCTAATTTTGTATGCATTACCTTCGAATGTCGCTTTGGTAAACATAATGGCTTTATTCACGATATCTCTTGCATCCGGCATTTTTAGCTAGAATTAAAGTTGTGGTGATGAACAGGTTCACGTTAAACACCGGAAGAGTTAACTGGCGTCGCTAATAGCTTCACCATGTCACTCGTGTTTGTTCGAGTCAAAGCACTATAACAATCTAATAGAGTCAAACACCTCTATCTAAGCTTTCGTCTGATCCCACAAGCCACCCAGTCAGTGATGAAAACGCTGTCCTAGCATTACACAGGCATTCATGCAGGCAATCAATTCCTATATAAGTACAGCATTATCTAAACGTCGTTCGCTCTCTGCTTTTGAATAGTTGGTTTCTGTTTCACTTTTTCCTAATTAACTCGCCATGAACATTATATTCTGGCATCCTACCTTCCAAGTATTCTTTTATTTTCTCAGACTGAATATTGCCAGTACTAGTGTGGAAATTTACTAAGCTACCTTTGTTACAAACAAAGCAAAAACGAATTCAAACTGAATATATCAGCTGACCCTGGATCCCAGAATTAGTTCTGAGCAAGGCTTTGTCTTCGCACGGCGCAAACTATAAAATGACTTTAGCAAACCAGCTGTGTCCATATGTTCAGCACACGGCCGCATACATTCTGTATTGTTTTTAGTTCCCATGACTTCACAAACAATTTATTCTGTTTGACTATTGTGAGTGTCACAGAATACAAGGAATTTGCACATATTTATATGACTAAATAACAATCTTGTCTACTGAGAATAGATGTCTGATTTTTTACCGAAAATGCGAACGCCTTATCTTGATTTCAGTTCTGCTAGAGAATAAACCTATTTTTGAGGAGATTTTCGAGGGAACATTATAACGCAAAATATAGTGTACCAAGTTCAAATCAGTTTCAATGGACACATACATTCATCGCAGATTCGAGTTTCACGTTTACCGTATTTCTGTCAGTGGAATTTAATCAAAGAATTGATGAAGTCTTGTCATTCCAAAAATATCGTGCAACCTGCAGACATGCAAATCCTTTGAATATACGAATTTTTTTTTCATCCCTTATAATCAACTTTCATCATGCATTATTGCATTTTGGTCACGCAACGCTCTGAGCGCATAGGTGGGGGAAATGCTCACACGGGAGAGGGGGTGTAGGGTTAGAACCACGTGCACAGGTCCGTAGTGGGAGGAGAACTCTCCCTGTTCAACTCTCTCCACATCCTAGTCTTCATCAGTATATGGTTCATTCCTATACCATACGACGGCTGTCGATATACGTTTTTATCGCTGAGGCGCCTCGCACTTAAAACAAGAACGTGTGTGTAACTTTGTTTTAAACGTGACATGGTCGCGTTAAACCAGATTTACGCTAAATCCGTCTCGATAGCGCTGTTCGCATAACGCGCAAAGCAGCTTTACTCGCAGACCCATATGCCTAAGCTGAATTTATTATCATTGTTTTTACGATATGAAGATAATAACGTATTTCTGAACATGTCCTACATCTGTCATTACAGGGCAGGTGGCTGCACTTAACTGTTTGAATAAATATTGCAATTTTCATTCATCCCAGCTTGTCGGCTGGTGGGAAGTATTGACGTTTAAGGTAATGCGTTTCTGGTCTACGATATGATAAGGTCGCCATTTCGCGTGCGATCGCACAGAAACCTCTTCGATGCTACATTAACTATGCTTCACGTTCCTCATCGGGGCTGTATGAGGCTATATTTCACGGCGGAAACTAGAGGGGGTAGTTTGTCTGTAAGAGTCAGAGAGCGCTTCCCCGAGCTAGCCTGATAGGTGCGCCTCGAATTTTTTGCAGGGTGAAGAACAGTTCATATTCTCTGATCAAGATTAGGGATAGGGGCTATGACACGCACGCTGGCCCCTTGGTGTTAAATAACCATTGTTTGTAGGTGCGAATTACAGTTCGGAGGTGATTAAACTTTCTAGAATACAGTAAATTCATTTAGCATGCTTTACTTAATCTTGAAAGAATTTGTGAAATTTATATAAATCTACTGTTACACACGTTTTCAACAAAACTTACCTATTCCACATTTATCACACAGCACAATTTCGTTTGGTCTGACACTGGAGCCATCTTTACACACAATGCAAACTATCTCAGCTGTAGTCTCGGTCACTAGGAAGAATACATTAGTTTCGTATAAGTGGAAAATACAAAAAAGCATACCGTGGCCAACCCGAATGTCAAGTAGACTCGAATCAACGCCAATATTACTTAAAATGCTTGTCTTTTGCGTGATTGACAGAAGAGTTTTTAGGGTATTTTTTAAGCGTGTAAAATTGCTTAAGAGCTGGGCGCGTGATATCATATCAATCTGGGTGAGCTACCTTAAAGTAATCTGATGTTGTACAGAACTGACTGCTGAGTTAAGCATGGTTAGATCATGGTTAGATCATGCTGAGTTAAGCATGGTTATAGTCATGCAGAGGTGGTACATGTTCTTGAATGTGAGCTACTTTAAAGTGATCTAATGTTGTACAGAACTCACTGCTGAGTTAAGCATGGTTAGATCATGCAGAGGTAGTACATGTTCTTGAATGAGAGCTATCTTAAAGTGATCTGATGTTGTACAGAACTCACTGCTGAGTTAAGCATGGTTAGGTCATGCAGACGTGGTACATTTTCTTGAATGAGAGCTATCTTAAAGTGATCTGATGTTGTACAGAACTCACTGCTGAGTTAAGCATGGTTATAGGTCATGCAGAGGCCGGTGTTACATGTTCTTGAATGTGAACTATCTTAAAGTGATCTGATGTTGTACAGAACTCACTACTGAGTTAAGCATGGTTAGATCATGCAGAGGTGGTACATGTTCTTGAATGTGAGCTACCTTAAAGTGATCTGATGTTGTACAGAACTCGCCACCAAGTTAAGCATGGTTAGATCAAGTAGAACTCGCCGCTTAGTTAACCTAATTAGATTATGTTGGGCTGTGCTGGAGCACATGAAGTTAATCTTGCTCTGAAGTATCGATGGACGGACAGGAAGAGAAGTCAATTGCCTCAATTCCAAATTCTCATCACACCACGTACTGTAGAGGCGTGGAGCTGAAGAGGCGTGCCTGACCTTATAACCTGCTAGCAACCGGAATAGCTATCTTTGCCACTTAGAAGAAAGGGAAAAAAACACAAGCATTATAAATATTTCTGGTATACTCCATGTTGGCAAAACGCCCTTCTTAGAAATTTCAATAAACGTAGTTAACTATTCAACTGAAATGCATCACGATGTCTAACTGAGACGACAACACGGTCAGCTCCCTAGCGTGGTACACATCGGCTAATTTTGGGTATATACGTATACAAAATATAAAAAGAAATGACAAGAAACATTCTACCAACCGCTGTGTATCTTTGTAAATGGACAATGGTCAATTGAATCGTCGTCAAAGAGCAGGCTACACATGCGTTTCAAATAATCAATATGAAGAATTTTAGCATAGTATAACTTGTCCATCCATTCCACTAAGACCACATCGCCGGTTTTGAATTGAAAGCCACAATCCATGTTTGAAATATCATCACATTTTACCGTCTCAGTTTTTGAACATTGTTCCGAGTCAAATAACAATTACATTAACGATGTTGACGGGTTTTCCTTGATATAGTGAAGTAGTTCGTCTGAGAGTTTTAAATACTGTACCGATGCTCTTTAAATTTACAAGTAAAACTTTATTTCCCGCGGCGTGATGAGAATGAGCTATTCCTTTAGTTCATATAGAAAAGAATGATATTTCTTCTATGCCCAATGTATCTTTGACTCAAGATAAGGAATTATAGGTTTGAAGATGAAATAACAACTAATCCTTGTGATCAAAAATCTTATATAATGCGAGATTTTTGGACCGATTCCAGGAATATTAAGTAAGATCCTTCTTAGGTAAAGCTGATTATATGTTGAATATAGACGCACTTGCTTAATTTTGTAAAATCCACCTTTAACATCAGTATAGCGCTACATGTTTACCATGACTGGCACGATAGACAGTTCCTTATATTTACAAAGCAGTAGCCGTTAAGAGCTCTTCCGAAAAAAGCCCTATTTCAAGGAGTATCTTTCGTCGACGAATTGCGTTCTGAAGGCAATACTTTCGTGTTTTTCCACAGCAGAATAAGTTGTGATGATTCTTCGCCTCAAGCACCCAATACGTAGTTTTACGACTCCAGTCGAATATTGTCAAGAAACACTCCACTATATTATTTAAAGCACTCTTGTCGTTGCTAACGACTTGACTTGTCCTACTTTCAGTCAGCGTGACTAAGAACTATCATGAGCCCTAACACGTCCCACAACAGACGAAGCGGCTTTGATGATTCAACGAAATCCGGCAAGAAGATTCTCAAAATGGGAAGACTTGAGGAAACTATTGATAAATATATATTACACCGCAAAATATAATCTCCCTTTAAATGCCAATGATGTTCAGATCCATTTTTATAAATTAAACTCCTTCAAATTTTGTATATAACAAAGGAACAAAAATAATCATTGATTCTTCAATCTTTATCAGAAACAATACAATCAGTGTCGCCAAATTTTCGTCGTTACTTCAGTGTTTATATTCACCTTCCACGGTTATTTTGCCTCGTATGTCAATTTTTCTCGACGATATATTTATTCCGTTCACGATTATTGACGATGTGGTCGGTCTTTGATGATTTATGACGATTTAAGCGGTCTTTCGGCTAGATTTATTTAGTTTTCAAATCTCCAGCACGCAACGGAACTCTAGTCGCGAGTAATCCCTTACAAAAGAAGTGACACAGCTGCAGTATATAGACACACGTCCGTATTCCTTGACCGCAGATCGACCGATGCTATAGTGTTGTATATATACCACTTAATTTCTTCCGCTTTGGCCCAAAATAGGGACAAAATTGCAATGTTTCTTTACGGCGGAAACTAAATGTAAAAACGTCGTTTCTTTCTGAAGTCCTGCGCGAGATTGTAAGAAACGTGTATGCGATTTAAACCTCGTTTAAAAGATTAACGGTTAGGCCGGACTGAAGACACTTGCAACAACAAAAATTATGTTTAGACTAAGATAAACAATGTTATTCCTTATATGACCTCCTCAAGTAAACTTCCGCGGTCAAAAGTCTTGTAGAATCCAAATGATGAGGTGATCAGAGCAATATTGCCAAGACAGATTCGTAGTCTTCGGGTTTATGTTATTAAAACCGCGAGTGGCGTTCAGACGTTACGCCGTAGAAGTGATAATGACGTGTCTGTTTAGTCCTTTTCAACTTGAATATTACGCTTCGTTCCCCACGCTTTGTTCCTTAAAAGCTGATTATATAATTCCTCCATCTGTTTTATAATACATATTTCCTATATATTGAGATCTGAGATATGCCTTTCTTTTTATATAACCAACGACTACGATGAAGATTATTTTGATTGAACGAAAAAGCGTTCAAAGTTATTCCACAAGGTACCTGAAGAAGGCAACACACTGACTACATGCACGCGGACACCGCGTCTTTAAAACTGACATTACCAGTTTGCAATTACAGAAAGTTTTTTATCAGGCCCTGGAGCGTTATATCAAATGCATTGTTATGTTAAATTCATGCACCTGTAGACACCGGCAGTATATATACAAAGTAATTAGTTATTTTCCTTCTTCAAAGCTATTCTCTTGGACGCCTAACGAGGTTAAACGAACAATATGTAACAAGTTTGACTTTTGAAAATTTTTCATTCATTTTGAATATATTGTCTACTTTGCAACAAACTTGGCAAGCATGATGCATTTCTAGAAATTGTCTTTATTATTCTAAACGCTTACGCAAATGTTCAGAACTGATCTATGTCATTCCACGTCGGTTTCTAAAGATTTTTATCAGCCTGTTAAATTTTTAGAGCACTATATGTGTTGGTTTGACGTATATATATATAGGTCTTAATATGTAGACAAGACGTACTTATTTTACCTCTCAAAGCCCCAATATTTTTTTATCAACATTTTTACTGTAGTAGTTTTTTTATTGGCATGGCTTGTAATGCTTTACGTTTCAGGACGCCAATTTTTTGGAACGATAATGGGGTTTATACATCAACAGCTATAACCGATGCAGTGTGCTCAGAATAACGCCAGACATAATTGTTTACAACAACAGATGGAGTACATGCATGCGTGACCACAATTCGCTATGGATCAAATTTTTGGAATGTCGTGGACGTTGGGCTTATCAGACTAAAACTATAGAACCTACCTACGCTATCGTTTTTTTTAAAGTTTAACTTAGCGCTTTTAAATTTAGATTACACCTCACATACCGAGAAGCGTATACGCTCTTGATAAGATCGAAATATTTAAGTGTCAAAGTTTATTGCACGAAGCTAAATTTTTTAATCTCTCCTGTGCAGCCTATAGAACATGCTCCATGCAGAATCCGACGAATTCATCTGCCGGTAATTAGGATAAAGTAATTACCAGACGAGCCGCCCGCTGGTAAAACGAGATTGCTTCGACCATATTTTTCATGCCATCTTCAGGATGAGAATTTGGATTCACGCGCGTGCAGGGAATTGGAGTAAAAAACCATAAATGAGCCTTTCTGCAAATACGAGTCTGATATGATAAGAAATATGCAAGCTAAACCGTATTAGGGAGCTTTAAACTTTGCAAGCGCACAAAGACTATAATTTCATCTTATCAACGGGGTTCCTGAAACTCGACAATCGAAAAGTAGCATCAATTTGAGACAATCGAGTGGCTGACTAATTTTCCGCACCACGCATTGCATTAACAACCAATTATGACTTTTTATAAGACCTGGCTTTGTGGACAAAAGGTGTTAAAATAAAAATTACCACCACAAGAGTATATATATTGTTGGCTAAGCTGTAAACCTCAGCATAACAGAAACTATACTGTCTGGAAATGTGGTAGAGTTTTCATCTTTTGGTTGACACAAAATGAAAAGATTTCATTTCAAAAGCGAAAGATTAAATAGAAAGCATTAAGTTTTCAAATAGTTATATTCCAATATGCTATATTCAGTGTATATACCCATCGGAACAGACCATGCAACTATTTTCCAAATTCATAACGGTAGCTATATATATAACCAGCGGTTCTCTGACTATATATGTTCACGGGAAGAGCTGTGAAAATTCCAACTGTTATATTCATTCAGCAAGTTATACATGCATTGATGTTTAATCGCTCAAATCTAAGCTAATCTTAAGTTGAGGTCTCAAGATTGAAGATTCTAAAGAATTATTCCTCTGCGATGGCCTTAGATAAGCCTCGAATTGTTCTCATTCGTACGTCATTAATTTACCTCTTATCTGAACTACAGTAATAACAGATCAAATTTTTATACAACTTTTGTACAAATTATATGTATAACTCTTTAGAGCCATTTCCCTAAATCATGCAGCGGTTTACTGAATGATTCTTCAGCTATAGGATAAACATATCACCATTCTGAAATTCAATTTCATGTAGCTATGTCTTGGCAAAGATTTCCTGCGTTCCCATGTTTCATATATATGGCTGGACTCTGCATGGCTATTCTGATGTTGGTTTAATTAAGTGAAGTCAAAATTATTTGCGTTTAACAACAGAATCAGAACAAATATACGACTAAATCCTCAAATTTGACAGTCTAATTTCCCGCAAATCTGTTTCAAATCCACGTTTTCCCATTAGAAAGAGCTAGCAGCTTCGTCCAGTCAAAATTTGATATATTTCATAACGGCAGCTGTGTCACTTTTGCGGTCATAATATTAATATACGCAAATGTGGGAACATCCCATATGCCAGAACAACTCTATACTATAAATCGTATCTATCGCCCACCCGATAAAATCTATTGTAAGAATTTTCAATAAAAATATTGTGTACACTAGATGTAATTAATTAAAAAGTTCAGCTGTTCTCCCAATGCGTATATGCGATGGGAAAGTGCACCTGCCTCGCAGAACTCGCTTTGCATACGAAACTGCTTCCTGTTTCGCCCTAAACTATCATTTGTCTCGAAATGATAGTAGAGGCAAACGACAGAAAGGTAATCTCAAATCCCTGCAAGTCCCTGAGTGGAAATAGCGCCGAGTTTTTCTGTTTACAACTCATTGTATACTGACTGAATATTCCTATAAGTTTTTTTATGTTATCTCTCATCTATAAAGGTCGAAATCTCTTTGCCTGGTTTTGAGGCGCGAAGTCGTGGTGTACGTTTGCGCTGGAATATCCGCGTCTGTTGAATCGTTGCTAGGGAAAGTTTCAAAGGAATTCTTTACTTCTCTTTAATTAGATGCTCTAATGCAAACGAACGAACGAAATTTTGTTAAGTCAAAGACAAGGTAACAAGATCGTCACTTTTGGATTGAAAAAAAAAACACCTTTGATAAACTTCCCAGACGAAAGCAAAAAACCTTTGCAAATTTGTATCGACTCATTAAAATGCTTAATCTTCGGTTATATATTGCCACTTTCGGAAAAAGATGATTTTCTCAAAATGGAAAATCGTTTGCCGTAAGAACTACGCCGCTCATTAATTTTCAATTTGCACCTTCGGGCAGCTGGCAAATCGTGATATTACAAACTTGCCAGTTAATCTCTGCGAACATTTGAATATCATGATGGACGACAAGTCGCCGACATTAAACCAACAAGTTTTGTTACACGTTGTATTTAAAAGCAGTTCCACGCAGTGAATATCGCTACGTGACTTATAATCAGAGCACGAGAGAGAATTACTACCGCGAACACTTACACTTGTGTCACGTATAAACCAATATACCTTTTCTTGGCAATATGGCTTCTTCGAGTGTAACTTCCTATTGTAAGCACGTATATTCATAATGGCGTTCACTCACTCACTCACTCACATTATTTAATTCAATTCTTTTCAATGTTGATATTTGGAGCACATTTTTCATTACGCTGTCTTACTGTGTTGACACAGCTGTCTGAGACATCAAACACTTGTAATAGTTTGCTAAACCTTGCAAATTATACTATACAACATCCTTAACAACAAAGGCAACACAGACTTAAAAAATACCAAAATATTTTCCTTCTCCATCTTCCGTGGACTTCTCGTTAGGTTTTTTTTTCACCTCCGTCTAGCATTTTCTACAATGCCATGCAAAGGAGTACTCATGACTTCAGGAAAAGGGTGTATAAGAAAAAGGTGGCTACCAGTTTTTTGAGTGGTATAATACTACAACGCTCTTCAGTCTCAATAGCTGCAGTGACGGCGTAGCAATCGGAACTTAAACACTATCGTAGCTTCTGTGTTTTTAAGATATGGCGCTCCGGCTCGGTCCGTTTTGAAGTCAGTCCCTAACTAAAGCCCTATAACTTTGACTGTAAGATTTTGCATGAAATTTCTTCAAATTTGATCGCGTTATCTCCTCAACCTGTTGTTCTAACAATCAAGCTACGCTGTTAAAAAACTTCACCAGCCACCTCAAATTCACAATAGTAAATATATCATATACAGGAATATATCATAAACCCGACAACTACGCTTTTCAGCTAAAACCATATAGCCATAGAGATACATGTAGCTATATCACATGGCCACTATGTTGCATGGGTGTGTGGCTTGCCTCTTAAAACCTTTCGTTATTTAGAACGATTAAAAAATTTCTTTGATAAAGTAAGTAGTATTGCTAGGATAAGAACTAATAAACACAGTACAAATTCAGCTTGTACTGACGTGAGCGAACATTGGTGCGTAATTTGATATTGTACATCAAGCTGATTGTCTAATATTAGGTGCTAAACGGTGTTCGTATTTGACGGTTGGACTCAACAAAACTGAGTCTCGATTGGTCAATATTCTAGTAAAATGAACGTTGCATCTTTATAACTAATCATTTCCTGAAAAAGAAACTATTATGGACTATATTCTCTCAATTTCTCTGCGGGTAGTTCTTTGTGAATTCTGTACGTGTTATTTATGACGTTTTATCAACCAAGTTGTATTGCTAAAAGCCTATTTTAGGCGCAGTGTTTGTTATCTTGTTCTAGGATTTTTAGACAAATTACTTCAAGTGACTCACTTTTATAAAAGCGTCTGCGATTTTCCATACAGAGATAGTCATTATCCATGCAGTAACTCCGTCGCTGATAATTCTGATATAAAGTATTCATGACTTTAAGACGGCAGACCCAGTGATGAGGTAAATGAACAAATGGTCTGCCTGCGCAGGTCAGCCAGCTTTCGTCGTGAAAGCTTCTATTTCTAAGAATGATTCCACAATCTCTGCACATTCTCACATGATAATCTTATCATTGAGGCAGCATAATTGTTTTATCTTCTTGTTTAGGCGACGTTTCTTAACGGGCGACTAATAGTCCTGTATATCTACAAGTAATCAAGGCACAAACTGACCCTAACTTCACGTTATCCTATTTTATGTATCGGAAACAAAAAAATACCTGTTTTGTGTGCCTAAAAACAGCTGAATTAAGTAAGGTTAGAAACCGACTGGATTTTCAATCAGGGGCTGTTAGCTCTGCTTACCCTAATGCGGAAAACAGAATCGATATTTATGCAGCTTTTTGCATTTAAATAACCCACTTATTGCTGTTGTAAAGAATTATGCAGACAGTTTAGGCTAGTGTCTAGGCTCTTATAGCCTACAATGCACATCAGGAAAGACGAGAGTGTTCAATGTGTGTTTGTTAAGCATTGCAAGGCAGATGGTGGTCAATCTATTGAGTTGTTAGAATGAAAATTTAGTTTTCCATTGTATTCATCTTTACTCCTCCTTCTATTTTAGAAGTTCCTATAATTCTGATTTTAAAAGATAAATAAACGTCAAACCAACCAATCATTTTGCGCCGAATACTTTCAGTTTTTGCCTTAACAAGAATTGTTGACAACAGGCCTGTCATAGCTCGAAGGCCGCGGTGAAGATCAAGCCTTTTTATCTTTAAACTCTATTTACAGACCACCTGCTGCACATCCATTTCGTTACGAACTATTATCGCAAGCAGTCATATAAGTACACGTCATGCTTACTAAATAAGGTCACATAGCTACATACTTCCATCCAGTAAGCGCTTCCTAGAAATTTCAAATGAGCAACGCGCAATAAAAAAATGCTCACTTAGGTTGTACAGCTGTGGAGCAGATTGTGGTGATTCCACCCCACACGCGGAGTCCTACCCCCTCCTACAACCCCCCTTCCCCCCGTCTGCACCCATAGATTCGCAGTCATGAGGTTGATATCGAAAATGCCAGATGTCAAAGCAGGCAATTTTACCAGTACTTTTTGACAGGCATTGAAGTGAAGATGTCTGTTTTGTGTCCGTGCATGAAACTGAAGCCGTTGTCAGTGACCTTGGACATCAACCTCTATTGTGATGGCTTTCATCATCGTTATATTTTCATTTCCCACAAATAAATAATAAAACAAAAAAGCTAACCTGTTGTACTGATTTTGATCCTCTCCCCGTCGTCTTGGTTGGTATTCAAGTTGTCAGCCTTTTCATGCCTATCTTTGCTTTCTTTGTCATTCTTTGTCATCACGTGGACGCGCCGTGATGATTCATACACCGTATTCCCAACGAGAGTATGCCTCGCTACTCCAATATTGGCTGGAGATTGAAACTCTCCTTCACACAAACCAGACTTGCCGTTCATTCTCTTCTGGCTTATCTCCAAGAGGTATCACTCGTGTGATGACATGTTTGGACATGTGGTTGGCTTTGTTTATTCCGTTTCTACGCTTGTCACGAGAGAGTCGAGAGTTATGCAACCAACCAGCGATGCTATGGTTAAACGTTTGATAATATTACACCTTAAGGTCGAAGACACGCGGACGTCAAATATGACACAATCGAGGACAAAATAAGATAAATCTCAACCTCTTTTCCAGTGTTCTGTCGTTTTCCCGCGCTCCACAGACAAAACAAAGGTATTACTTCCCTTAAGCAGTCTTGTCAATATATTAACGTAAGGTTTTTTGGCACTCGTGGTAATTATGATAGAATTTTCTCACGAGTCTGAATGATGAGCGAAATTCTTTTCTTTTTCTTCTTTCACACCTTTTCACTTTAACCGGCTTTTGTGTTTTGAGGCACGATTAGACTAATAATCGTACAGCGACGTTGTAAATTGCACGTTTCGCTACGAAAAATGTTTGGGTTTTTTGCATAAGAGGGCTTTCTGAAACGCTGCAAATTATCAAGTTACAAATCTGCGGTATTCATCTTACTGTAATTTCAATTCTTCCGGGTTTTCAGCTCAGGTTTCTGTATTTTCCCACGCGCTATGAGACCCTATAAAGTTGAGAATCCTTGCGGAGATTATGAGCCAATATTGGCTTTTTGAATTCCCCGACTTCCTTTAATAGTTTTCCTTAAAAAAATTGTTTCCCTTTGTTTTGAAATTTGGATTCTTGTAATTTCCCGATTCCTCAACCGAGTCCTTGTCAGTGTAGTGCGAGACTTGTCACTAGTGGCTTTATTATTCTGAGGAAGCGATCAATATTTTGTTTACATTACTTTGTTTTTCGACAGGGATTAACGATGATTCCTTGTCATAGGGGAACTGAGACTATTTTAGAACTTCCCGTAACTTTATCCAGCCAAGGTTCAAAAGAGTTAAAACACTCCTAGCGCTTTGAACTTTGTGTAACTTTCAGCTTTGGATAACTTTCAGCTTTCAATTTTGCTCTAAACTTGACGAGGATTGCTTTTACCATACAGCGCGTGATCGGTCCTATATAAGGCTACGTCATCTTTACAAAGGCGTATGTAGTTAGTTCATCATATATAATTACCAAATGCTCGATGCTTCCTTATTCAAAACAAATTACATGGTATCAAATTATGTCTGATTCTTCTTCTTTGAAAATCCTGTCCGTTCTTTTGCTGGCAGTTCAAGATAACCTCGCAATCTCTTGCGTTTGCCAACCGTCTGTGATGAGATGCAGTATTGTGCACACAGATATATTAATTTGATTACGCAGTTGAGGCAAACTAACCACCCGTTGTGATGAAATTTTTGGTATTCACGAACACCTCTGGTGGGTGTTGATCACCTTCAGTAATGCAGTATGCTTTACGACAATATAAGATGGTTCTTCGCTGTCCTTACTTAGTCAAAATGAACGGAGAGCACTCATATATTAATATCACAGTTGGCTTCGATGAATGTGATGAATCGTAACCTGGAAGACGTTGACATTTGCAATTTTATCTACTTGAGATCATTCGTGTGTTGCCACTCCATCCTAGCGCTTTGCTGGTCTATAATACGTTTTCCCAAAGATTCTTTTCTTTCTCTCGATCAATATAACGACACGAAGCTGTCTCTTGTATTCTGATTAAGCAAGTTTGACCTTTTGTCTGCTCACAAGGAATAATAAGCCGGAAAATAAATATATGATTATTTAGGCCTTGAGATAACAAGCACTTATCGCTTCCTGTTCGCCGGCATTGTTGTATAAACATTTTCCGTATTTTGGTATTACAATATTGGCAGGTATATGAAAGAATTTGGTGAAGCAAAACACGATAGAAAACTTTAAAAAAAGTCGTTAAAAAAGCGGAAAAAACCTCTCTTAACTTGGCATACAAGATTACGACATGTAGATTGTAGAACAGAGTTACTTTTTCAATTTCAAGATTTTGTGACACTTGACTTGATGTAGAATGATTTATAAAAGGTTAAAGGATCTTAATTTCGAGTGGAAATCAAACCTAACAACAACACGTCTGAATTTGAAGCCAGGGATAGTTGAGAAAAATTGCCATTGCAATGCCTTGCCAGTGTGTTGCAAAGGCAGCAGACACGACGTGATCGAATGAAGTTTTAATTATTTCATTTACCCTCACCTATTATTAACAGACGTTCTTGTTTTTCTTTCATTTCAACAATTGCATGTTAACCTTCCTCTACAACGTTCGCAGCGCCGTGATCCGCTGTCCGTCAAAAGTCGACCATTTGACTTGTTCGAGTCAGTTCGACATAGATTAACACAAATATACTAAGATATTTTGACGCAATGAAAACACTGCTGCTATTAAATAAGTTTCCCGTTTCTAGTATAAATTTGAAGACAAAAACTACCATACTCTGTTGTTGTGGTATTATATACCATATATATTATTGATGTGGTATCATATAATGATTTTTAAATACGCTGAATCGTAGGTCAATTAGTTCTCGAATTTCATCGAATGAGCAGTGAAACGTCTTTCAGAGTTTCAACATTTTAAACTGATACAAATGATGTCACGAAAAAACCCGGAGTTGATTGAAGGCGTGGAATAAAAAAGCAATGTCAGTTGAAAAAGACGGTTGATCCGATCAAATTACAAGGACTAAAAACGTGCATCAATCATTTATGCCTTCAGGCTGATTTTCACGATGCATTAGCACAGACGTGAGCGATGAAACGCACCAGTTTGAAACAAAAAATCTGGCACAAATCCTGGGTTTAGCGTCTTAAAGACGTATGCTTATGATCATGACGATGATTAATGGCTCAATGCAAAAATCTCCGGGGCGGAACCAAGTGATCCGACTTCCTCAAGAAGCCAGGAAAGATGGCTGCATTAGGGGGTAACGCCCTCGAGACTCCACCCGGGTGGGCGTCAGGTGCTAATATTCAATGTGGGGATTCCAGAATGATTCGGAAATGGCCTTCTTCAGTGTTTAAAATACTGTTTTCATCATTCATCACATAGTTGACAAATATTCGATTGTATGAAATCGAATCATATTCATGCGATAACATGAAACTGCCAAAAGAACGCAGGGATTGATCGTTGAAGGTGTCACCCTCCCCTTCCCCCCCACCATTTGTGCGCCCCACTCCTATCACCCACAACAATGCGGTTCACTCATTGTTTATTGTCATTCACTACGCTTGCCAGAGAAAATCATGCTTTAGATTAGATTGTAATCCTGGTAGGAGGAATTAGCTGAATTCCATCCTCTTAGCAAGCTATCTGATTGTCTGCGAATCGCTTTTTTGTTTTCATACATTTGGAGATTTATATATTTCCTTTTTTACAACATAAAACAGCTATTATGGATTTCCTATATCGGGGCATACGCCAGAAATACAATGCTGGATTGATGCCAAAGTTGATGATGTAAAATGTCTGTACGATCGCTATTGCTTCGACTGGAAGTGGAATATCCCGAACCTCAGTTAAGAACTTGAGTACGGTAAATGGTACTATAGTTACTACTAAACACGAGGAAATGATCACCATGGTTACCACAAACCGTCTTTGCGTTCGAACACGAGCACTTGGGGCGTGGTTACCAGTTCCTTCCTGGAGTTCGCGAGCTCGGGTTTTGTTGAAATGAGACATTGTGGCGATGTTACAAATCAGACAGAATAAAATGAAGACTACGTGTAAAAACAAAGTGATTATTTTCACGTCTTTTATGTCTACGATATCTGCCTTTAGAGAATATATAATTCCAGCCACTCTTGCGATGTGAAGGAACCATATAAAAGCAATCAAAGCAACGATTTTCTTGCCAGTAAAATGCACGCGGTAAAGAATGGGTTTTGTTACACACAGATAACGTTCAATCGCAAGGGAAAGGAGACACATAAATGAAACATCTGGACCGAAAAATGTTATTCCACTCTCAAACACAAGCCTCGCCGTGTCCAATTGACCCACGATTAAGAGCCCGTTGAAAATCAGCTGAGCCACACAGGATTCCATATCAGCAATAGCTAGGTTTATGATCAGATAAGATGATGGATTACGAAATATGTGCAAGGGATCCTTGATCATGCAGATTAAGAGAATAAGATTACAGATAAAACCTATGAAGATTAGGATTGAAGAGATTATCGTGAATTCTTCATCAAATTCTAAAACTAGCTCCGTTGGGGCCATATTTTTAGTTGAAGCTACTTTCTAAATATAACGTATCACGCACGGTTTTCTATAAAGATAACGTATGAATCAACAGTTCCTTCTCTGATGTTCTAGACTCTGTTTGCTATGAGGAGGCTTCGTGTTTATCATAAATTACTTTGCATCCATGGAACACAATCAACACATCACTTTGCAGATTTAGCCTTCGGGGAGGTCTTTGTGGGAAACGAGACGGGACACTCAACCGCAAAGATATTGAATCTTAATAATATTCTTTATGATTGAAATATTGATGATTGAAGAAAAAGAAGATTCCCTCCTCCTTGCGGGCAGCTTGGTAATCTTGTCATGAAATTATAGACCATAGAAACTTCTAGAGAATCCATCCATTGTCAGCGATTTCTGGCGTTACTCCAATAAGGCAATATATAATTATTTCATAAATCTGTGTCCTTTTGTTCATGTCAAGTTTAACCAAGGATCATAGCAACGTTTTATTCTGGGAGATAAGCCGTTATGGTGTTAGTCAGAAGCAGCCCTTGCTGAGCAACGTTTTCCAAAACTTTTTAATTTAACATCGTCATTTTGTCATGTCGTAATCCACAGTTTATTTTAAAACAATGATGACCAATAGTTGAGCTGATGTTTTAAACCTCGCGCAAACAAAATTAAAAATTCAGTTTTAATTTATTAAATTATTTAATTACGTCGATTTTGCTATTAAAAGCTCACACAATTTGGATTCATTTATTTACTTATGTTCTTCACTAAAAGGCCCGTAATTATTATCAAAAGCAATTGCGTTTTTTTATTGGAAAAATGACTTGTGCATGCATACATTCAATTGCAGCATATGTTCTAGTCTAATAGCAATCAAGCCGGTTGTATCAAGCCCGTTTAGCTTAAACGGTGGATAAGTTCAAAATAGAAAGCAAGTCTGCCGTTTTATTCAACTAGCGAACTAAATGTTTTTAACCTTAATACAAAGATACTGTCGACAACTACATATTCAGTGCATAATATTCAAGTTGATTCATTCAAGAGAGATGTTAGAGTGTTATTTAATTTTGACCTATCCGGCCACCGTTTAAGCTAAACGGGCTTGATACAACCGGCCCATGATGACAGCCATTTAAAAATAGATTTCTACTGATTTACTTAGTTGTTGGCGATTCAACGAACAAAAAACGATATCGTATGATCATCACTACAGCACCATCAAATTCATTTCCATCACTGATTTGAAAATCTATTAAAACTTTCATTCAATAATTTCATTTACAACACTAAAACAACCTGACCAGTGCGGTCGGTCATACGACTTTCAACGTCTTACTCAATGGTATATATGTTAAAACCCCTCCAGCAACAACAAACTATTATCATATAATACTGTCATAGATAGATTATGAAACCGATGCGGTAAATATAACATGACAGATTCAAGACCCTAATTAAGCTTTTATTGTCCTCAATAAACTACTTTCCTCGTGTTTCGTAAATTATAACGACAGTCCTCGCAGGGGACCAACGTCTCCTCGTTACTATAATCGGATTTTGTATTGTTTTTTTTTAACTTGCATTTCTTGGCAATCCTTGCCGCAGCCTTTCTTCGTATTCAGGACATAAGGAGATCCTGTTAAACAATACTTCGAAGTCTCTTTGGCCTTGAGGTTCTTCCCAGGGCTTGTGAGACGCAAGCCTGCATCTGATGAATCCGTCTTTTCTTGGAAAGCGTTTGTTGTAAGGGCGTTTACGGAACGATCATTTCCAGGAACTGTGGAACAGTAACAACGGGGATGTTCTGCACATGCGCCTTCAAACGAAGGTTTCGGTCCTCCGTGAGCAGAACGACTTTACGTCTTACAGTGAACGGCTGGTCGGCTGTGGTTGAAAAACCCAGAAAAATGTCGATCAATTCTATCTGTCTTAGACATTCTTTCCTATCTTTGTTAGACTTTCTAACGGTAGAACTTTTTAGCCTATGCGCGTAACAAGAACTATTTCACCCACCTGTAGCGAGTTTGTTAACTACGTCCATCTTCGCGTCACAATAATGTGTGCAACAATTTAAAATGATGTCATCATTTATACCCTGCAATGATGTAATAGAAAAATAAGAGATCATCCTTACTGGATCTCTAGGAAGAACAGTTTAGAACTGATAGAACTATCTAGTATAAATAAAGTTAGTTTAGTTTAGGTTTCCTCCTGTAGTAACACTGGATCAATACGAGATGATCCTTACTGGTCCTCTAGGAAGAGCAGTTTAGAATTGATAGAGCTATTCACTATGAATAGAATTAGTTTAGTTTAGGTTTTCTCCTGTAGTAACACTGGATCAATAAGAGATGATCCTTACTTTGCTGTTATACCAAAACATTGATGATAAATTCAAGTTTTAGTTTATAGATCAAAAGCAATTAAAAAATTTTTATTTCATTACTCTTCCAGCCGTCGGTTCTTCGATACGAAATGCAATGGTCGTCAAAACGGATCCTTTGCTTGTCAACGCCAGCATTTGAGAGTCCGACAGACTGAAACGATATTCCAAGAAGTCCACTGCAGCTCTGGCAACGGAAATAGAAGGTACAGTAAGAAGATACATAAATGAGAGTATGAAAAAAGCACACAAAAATTGTCACCTTGCTTGATTTGCGACGAAATCAGCACGGTGTTGTTGCTCTGCGTCCGAAAAACCTTTCGCAAGACCATCGAGTTCATTTATCACTAAAAAGGAAACGTTTGAGCGTGGTTTGACATAATTTTTTTGCTCTCGTGAATAGCATCCGCGTACAGCTGGACTATATGCATGCACTGCAGTGCGATATATTTTGCTGGTAACTGAAACCCAGTACCTACCGACTAGCGGCATAACAACGGTGAAATATCTGGACTCGACGATATACTGCAACTCATGCAGATGATCTATGAAACAGTTTGTATCAGGCACAAGATATTGCGGGTTGATCTCCAGTACCAAGGTTGGTTTGTTCGAGTGCTCGACCAAGACTGCCTATAGAATGATTTTAAAAACAATATGTTTGGTCGTATATCCGAAGCACTGGAATGAACTGTCTCGAGCTGATCCGGTGGAAATACCTGAGCTTCTTCCTCTCTCTGTTTCTGGTTCAAAATCTCCTTTGTCAACGCGTCTTTTTTCGCCTTCAGATTATAATCGATAATGCGTGATGAATCTCTCATAAAAAGTTTAATTCTTGCCACATTGGGCAAAGTATATACGAAGATTTGCACTTACCTTAAGCTCCTGAACGTGGCTTGGCAATTCTGAGCTGTAAATATAGTTAATATACAACCTTGTTTAGGGATATTATTCACTATTACGACTGTACATGTTTTGTCGTTGATCAGGTCGTAAATGTTGTTCATTGAAGAGTTTTCTACTTACTCTGAGTCGATATCTTCAACGCTTTCAACAATGACATCATCATCATCGTCATCATCAATGTCAGCCTGTTTTCGTGCAAAAATACATATATCAGCTTTGTGAAACACTCCGGTGCCTTTCGCAAACAGGAAAGATTTTCACATATTGTGTTATAGAAAGATTGTCCATAATGGTCTTTTCCTTCCTTAAAGGACCAGCAAGATCCATATGTAACCCCCTATATACCTCATCAATCTCGTTCCCAGTCGCCTGGCTCATCTCGGATGTTGCTATTATTGCTGTGACGTAATACTGTTGAGAATCCTCATCAAATCTTAGTGGTAAATCTTCAAACTCACAAAGGAACTGGGCAATCGATAGTAGAGCCTCGGTTCTGAGTCGACTGCAAACTATTTCCTACATAAAAGTTGACAAACCAGGTTTTACATACAGTTGGAACAGCAACAACTTTCTTTTCTAATGGATATCCGCGCGTATACAAGTTTTGGATGGATGGATGGATGGATGGATGGATGGATGGATGGATGGATGGATGGATGGATGGATGGATGGATGGACGAACGACCTTTACCTTTTCTAAGTCAGGCCCAACTTTTGTGCATGGTTTTACAGCTTCCGCCAGCGGTTTAAAACCACTGAGATGATCATCTTCGGGTAGTGTCAGGACTACTTCACCTAAAAATAATAGAATTCTTACGATGTGTTTTAACCTACACACACACGATGCCAAGCAACACAACACGTACCAGTCTTGTAACAAACTCTACCTGGTGTAATCTCACTTGCTGATATCTCCGAGCCAAAAATTCCTTTCAAATTATTTAGTAGACTAGCGATGCTGCTCCAAAACTCTTCTTTTATGCTAAAAACAAAATGGTCTACGCTCAATTGACCCACAAGGAGGCTATCACAGCTCAAACCGGACATTTTCCAAAGCTGTTTAAAGACATGGTAACGTAGAGCTTTTGCAGAAGACTCTATACAGCCGTTTCGAGATGGTTACAATCATTTCTCGTACCTTATAGAAGATGATCTCAGCAAAGAAATATTAATCTGGATCCAATCAAACCAAACTTTGATCGCAGGAAGGTAACTGGTTAAACCAGGCAACTGAGAGATATCTTGACCTAATACAACACCGCGTGGGTAAGAAAACACAAGAACGAATTATGACACCTGTACCTGAGGTTTTGCATCACAAAATCCGTTAATTTCTGGTACAAAATATGGACTCTTGTCGTGATGAATTGAATGCTTTTAACAACAGCCTTAGGCACTGTAGATCTACGTTACCTGAGCTGTTTTCTGAGGACGTGATGATGATATCAGAGATCGCTTTGCACAAACACAGCGACATTTCACAGCCAAGGTTGAGCGCAAGATCCAGGGGTGTCCCCTCCATGAACTGACCATGATCTAGAGTCACAAATGAGAGTGCTCACTTTGAACCAATTCACGCTAGCAAAATCATAATTCTCGCAGCTGTACAATACCTTCGTCTGCGAGATTTTCAATTTCGAACATATTGATGGCCATTATTTCCACCAGCCTCTTCATTTTCACCGCCGAATTTCTTGGATGACGCAACAGAGTACGGAATAATCCCAACGTTTTGTAATGATTTTCCAAGAAATGATCGATTCTAGGAAAGATATGGGGGGAAAAGATCAATTCTATACAAAACAACTGAGAAAAAATGATGACATCTAGAAGACAATTCCAAAGAGTAACCGTTTCTAAAAGACGTATTTCTAAATTGATGGGGTTGTTACTCATATATGAAAACTTTTCATATATCTTACCCAATTTTTGAATAAAGCATAGCATGGCAAAACAAAAAGAAGATTTCGAATTGCTTGCTGATCTAAAACAAAAAGTTCTTTGATTTAATATCATTCGTGAACTTATGAAAACCAAACAAAACTACTAAAAAAACAAATGTTCAAGGTCTGAAAAATCGTTCATCAGGACTTTCTCGGTTTTTTTTCTCATCAACTGAACATTATTTGTTTCACAACAGGTATATTCTGATTTTGTGAAAATATTTTTTACATTTCAAGAAAGAAGCTTCGTCACCTCGTTCAAAGATATTTTCGAGGTTGTTTTATCTTTTCTTTCGTTTGCTTCAATTTGATTCTGCTGTCCTTTGATCATTCCTGTTGGCGTAAACAGATATTCCCTGCGGGTGCCACTCTGATAAAACACCCACAACTCATGTCGTCCTTTCTCCATCGTTTTTCTGTCTTGCACCCCCGAACCACTATTGTGCCGTCGGCGCCCTGGACCACAGGAAGCCATCATATCTCGTGTTCGTTCATTCTCATGAGCTTGCCTTTCCTTTTCCATTTGAACCGAGGCATGCAAGTCGTACGCCTGAAAAAACAGTCGCAGAACTTTGATATCCTAACCAGTTGTCCAATATTTTTTAGAAAAAAATAACCAACTATAACAAAGTCAGAATGCACAGTCGTCTATATTTAACATCTTACGCTTTTACATCTTGTAAAAGATTAAGAATAACTTCAAAATAAAGTCGAAATATCACCCCAAAACTCTTGCCTTGTTTTTATAACTCGTATCTTGAGTTTGGAGCTGTTTCTTTTTATAGTTTCATCAAATTGTCTCCTGGTAAGAGTTAAACTTATAAAAGTTTTTATTTTTTAAAATTATAAGGAGGTTACCTTGCGTTGCACGTCGTCGTAAATCGCGTGTAATTTTTCCCGGGCTGTCATGATGGGATTACTGACACACAGGCTTCTGACATAGTAATACACAGAGTCCAGACGTCGCTTGGCGTACACAGCAATCACCGCTAGCTGGTTGTACGGTTTGCCATTCCTTGGAGCAATTTTGATGGCTTTGAGGTAACACGAACGTGCAACGCTCCATTCTTTGGACGAGGAAAGGTTTTGATGGTATCTTTCAATGTCGCCAAGGAAAATCATGAAATGATGGCAACTTAACAGAGCCATTTTCACCTGTTACAAAACAATTTTACCACATTGACTGATATTAGCATACTATAAACAATATAATTATCTTGCATTAATAAAAAATGAAAACGAGGTGATTGGTGTGCTCTTAGGTATAAAGCATGCAGATTGTGGTAATAGTTTTATTCATATGACAGACTCTGATAAATAACACACAAATTATGTTTACTATTCTTAAGTTAATCATTGTGCAATCTTACCGAACGACTGCTGTTATCAAACTGATTTGGTGCATCAAGAAAGCTCTTCAATGAAAACTCATTTTTGTCTTCAAGACTTGTAATTAAACCATTTACAAAACCATTTGTGGTGTCAAGGAACCTTTGCAACATGCAGGTTACGTCACTTGACCAGTTCTCGTCTCCTTCCGACTTCTGTAGTGCTCGCAAACGTTCAATGAGTTGGTAAATGCCGGATCTCCAGAGCAAAAGATAAACTTCTTTCGTAGTAAACACATACAGATCAGTCTCCATAATTGTCTTACACTTTTCCTGGATCTGCAAGCACAAATTTGTTACACGATCCAATTGCTCTTTGGAGTTGATTCGGCGTGACAAGAGGTTATCAAGATCCGCCTCAAGGTAACCGGCATCTGTTAGAAGTGTTTCAGCAATTTTTTTGTTCACCTTTCTTGGATTTGCTTGATTTGGTGATTTCGTTGGGTTTGATTTTGGGCCAATATTTCTACGAGCAGGGCTCTGACCAGTATGTAGTTTGTCCATCATATCAACAAGATCCTGACCAGGTGTTTTATCATCAACAGTACCCTTGTTATCCTCGCTATTTGATGGGTCATAAAGCAATCTGTTTGGTAAAATCAAACCTCTATCATATTCGCTGATATCGTCTTCAATTCCAGAAGATTCCTTCGCATTTTCAACATCAAATCTAACACTTTTACTAGGTGATGTAACACGTCCAGCATTCCCAACTGTTGTGATCAACCCGTTCTTATTAATAATACCACGGTTTTGTTCCTTCGTAGCTGTCTTTTTAGCTGAAGGTTTCTTTTTAGGGCTTCCTGATAGCTTTTCACGCGCCGTATCCTTTCCGTTGCGTGTTTGATCAGGCAACGGTTTACTCTGACGTGCATGTACTTCACGCTCCCTGTCTCCACAAGAGGTCTTTTTGACATTGGTTTTCACCTCATCGCGGGAACGTTCCGCTGTTTTCTTGACAGGACTCGTAGCTGTAGTCCTTGAACCCTTTCTAGACTTACCTCGAGGCTTTTCCAAAGAGTCTGCGACCTGTTTTAGCTCAAAATAAGTACACCGGATCACTTTCAAGTCCTCGCTCTTTGACGCCATTATTTGTTGTTGTTTTGAATTGTGTTTCCACAATCAAGAAATATTTTGGAATTTGCTGACGTGGTAGAAATGTTTTCTTTACCGTCGTTTGCACTGAGCATCATTGTGACAGATTATGGTCATGATACTTGTGATACTACTCCTCGTCATTACAAAAAATACGTGTAAAAATTTATAAAAATTTAATTATGAATGCTATTCTTATTCTCATTTTATATATTTACATCTGTTTCTTCGGTCAAAATTACCGTTTTGGTTCAAACAATATACCGTTCCAATCCATTCCTGCCAGTATATCTGTCAGTGTCAATGATTAAAGATTGACACTCTCTTGAAAACACACAATTCACCTTGCATTCACAGTTGTAACAAGGGTAATTTTCGGCTGGGGTTATAGAACAGGTAGTTGGTAAGGGTTTTAGAACTGGGAGGAAATGCTCATACCAATATCAGTTGAATATCTTCTGGTGTGCACCAGGTCCCTCTTATAAAAACATTGGAACAAACTTTATAGCAGAATCGTCAGACTATCATTTCGTAACTTCATCAGCAGGCTTGAGTGACCTCTTTCCTAGGACTGGATGGATATACTGATGTAAATGCGTGATTTTGGGCGGCGGTGCATTGAAAGGTTGCATTGGAAATTTCAGTTCTCCTGGGTTAACATCAACGTTGACGGTGTCGGATTTTAGTTTAACATTAGCTGTGAATTGTGATGCTGTTACGTCCATACTTCCTGCCTTATGCGCAACCTGAAATGAAAAAAAACAGCCAATGTGAGGGACGTATTAAATATTATGGTTTTTTATTCAAAGTTTGTGAATCAAAGTGGACAAGTCGTTTTCAGAGTTGATAAATAGTCTGCGCTCTTCACAGAAGATAGGATTCATAGGAATTCTTCATATTGTATTGTTCATCAGAATTATTGCAGTTCACGAGTAAATAGGAACCAGATATAACCAAACATGAAGGTGTTTTCTTGACCAGCCACTAGCACTAGAGATAACACTACCAGTACAATTCGTGTTCATCAGATGTTACCTCAAATTTTGGCTTCTGTTCTTCAGGACGAGATTTCACTTGAGTGAATGAATACACCACTAGTAAGGTATAAATTAAAAAACCTGATAGAAGCCCTTTCATCTCTTTATTTATTAGTCCATTCAGATATTATTTCCACCTGCAATAAACAATCATTTATGTAAAACAATTGTATATTATGTCTACAGAATTTAATCTATTTGCACAGTCTTTTGCCAGGTAAGTATTCCTCCGACCAGAGGTCAATTTAATTCATCGGATTGTGTTAAATACAATGGGATCAAGGTAAAAAAACAACAACTATATTTCAATCGACTTTAACCTGTTAAATTAAGCAGGTGATTTATACACGTGGATATGATCATGGCTATTTTACTAATATCTACATTTTTGGGAGAAGTTTAAAGATTTAGGAGGGTAAATGTTTTTTTCTGTGGTTGAGCTCGTGGAGGTGCTAAGAGTCGTTTGTTAGGCCTTGGAAATGGACGCTCAAAGAAGACATCATTCTACTATCTTACAGACGTACTGAAATCTTTCACATCTACCTGTTAGCCTTATCATTAAGCGAAATCTGCTTTATGAATTTAAAAGAATTATATCTTACTTATTGGATCCTTTGAAAAGAACACGAGATGTATTTGTGGTTTGAAATATATTGTATTCTCGCAGTTACAACGGAATTTTATCGTGTATTAGCTTCGAGTACTCCTGGCGAAGGAACAGGGCAAAAAGCTCATTTTTCTTTGAAAGATACACCTGGTTCTTTCAGCGTTTTGGCAACTAAGATTTTGGCGAAGATTAGTTCAAAAGCGGACTCAATACATGTCATCGTTAAGCCTGGAATGGCTGAATTTCCTGTGCCTAAACCTCCGGAAACAACTCCGACAGAGAAACCATTAGTTCATGTCGTCTCACCCCCCATAGTCAAGCCTGTGGGTGGATGGAATTTTATGAGCTTTGGAAAGAAACGATCAAGAATAGCAAGTGGAAGAAATGGTAGTGGAACTCGTAAACGATTTGACATGAACCCCTCTAGGAAACTACGGAATAAATTGACCGTCCGATCGGTAGACACAGGTAGTCACTTAAAAAATATAAAGATGAGTGCACGGATTGAAGAGACCGGGAAAAAGCGGGAACAAGTGGAAAGAAAGATGAATGTAAAAGGTGGAACTGGAAAACTAGACTTGCAGGTTGGTAAAAAACTCGCAAAGGTTTCCAGTTCCACAGGTGGAGTAGAGATTTTTATCAAGAATCCATCGCCAAAGGAAATGTCACAATTACCACGAGAAATGTTACAATTACCAGGTACCATGTTGCAATTACCTCCAACATCATACGGGGAAATGTCGCAATTATCTGACGAGGAATTCATGGGATAACCAGGGTTACCTTTGGTTCTAGTTTAGTCGCTTATGACTGGAGCAGGCCGCTTAATTGCATGGGACAGTAATGAAAAATAGTAATTGTAAATAATTTATTTTCAAAGTTGTATATTTTTTATACAGTGTTCATATTTTCTACAATAGTCAGGTCTCTTTTAGTCGCTATCATCAAAAGTGATTTTCTGTCCTTGAAATTTAGTTTTGCTGATATTTTGTTGCATTTTTCTTCGCTTGCTTGCCTCCCATGATGGATGATTCAACGTTTCATCGACAGAGTTATCTTTCCTCTTATTACCTGATAAGAGTAGCAAGAATTGACATCATTTAGTAAACGTTTTATGAACTGTCAAAGCACTCATCAACATCACCTTTCGTCGATGTTTTCCGTTCTGCTTTCTTCCGGTCCTGTTTCGGGTTGGTGTTTTTATCGTTGGACTTGAAATGGTTGGCCTTCTTTCCATACTGCTCTTTCCATAGTCTGAAAAAAACCCCGTACCTTTAACTCTCTTAACCTCTCTTTCCACCTTTTACGTGTTATGAAGGTCCTAAGGATTCCTATGAGGTAAACAAATTTACCTTTGGCGCGCTCTCTGTCCCATCCTGTTCGACGATTTCTTGCGTTCCTAAATTTGGATAAAAATGTTTACAAACAGAATATTCGTATCGTTCCTCCAGCCTACTCAAGATTCTCTTAATGGGCTTGCTGAGAAGGTTCGTGCAACAAACTACGACCCCTAATTTGTGGAACGTTGCTTCAAGCAATCAAAAACAAATCTAAAATACCTTTTGCGTTTTCATAGCGATTCTTGATTCACTGCTAGAGGTCTTTTCTTTTTTCTGTCGAGTATTTTTCGCTTGTTTTGTCGTATTATGATCTTTAACAGACGATAAACTTTCAACAAAAAATGACGTCGGAGTTCTTTGTAATGTTATTTCTTCATTTTCTGACAGGGAGGAATCGTTATCGCTTGCTGAGTATGACTGTAATGGTGATGAATTAGGGTTTTCTTCCTCTGGCTCTATCTCCTTCGTTTTTCGTGTAATTTCGCTGCAGGATGACACAGTTTTTACTGCTTATAAATATGTTTTTATCAAATTAAAGATTGCAATTGTTTTGATATAGTAAGGCAGACGGACGTTTATAGTATCAGTAAATAGGAGGAAGAACTTGAATATTCCTGCACCTTTCATCTAGTTCAGTCTGTGATAAGCATTCTTTAGGATTGTTACACTTCTGCCTCTTATGTGAATCTGAAATATGGTAAACTGGTTTTTAAATCATGAGGGTTACTGTAAACATCAAGTTTGGGTTTATTAAAGATAAGAATTGCTTACTGTTTGATTGACTTTGTTTTGATAAATAATCTTGGATAGGTTTGGATGAGAGCAATCTAGCTATGGCACGTTCTTTTATATCATCATCCTAAAACAACCATTCAAATGATTTCATTTCAATTTCATAACACAGTTATGTTAGTTAGGCAAAGAAACCCAGATTTTAGACCACCTACCATAGCAGAAACATCTAAATCCTTATCTTTGATTTTAATTATAACCTCATCAATGTTAAGTTCCTGGTCAAAAGAAAATAAACAAAGTAATGTTGAACGTCACTTGCTATTATCCATTAATGGTTTCCAATTTAAATTCAGAAATATTTAATGACATCTCCCATTACTTTGATGTGTTCAAGCTCATCCTCAAATCTGGCAGCTTTTCGTGTGTTCTTCTCAAGCTGTTGTGCTGTTCCTCTAGTATGATTGAAATGTGATTTATTCAGTCAATGGAAAAGATGTTCCACTGCCAGGAACTTCATTAGATTAAGAGGAACTTTCCAAACTGCATACCGTTTGTTTTTTAGCATCTTAACTCTCCTTGTAAGATGCTGTATGGCAAAGAGTTTGGCTCTCTTTATATCTCTGCGCAGAGCATTCTAAATTCAACAGAGAATCATAGGCAGTCGCACAAGTAAGCTGCTGTTTTCAGGGGTGATGACTTTACATTTAGTAAAACCAAATTACAGCCGTTCCGGTAGATCAGTTCATGGCTTTGCTATGGATAGGTGACAGGGGAATACACTTGGTCTTGGAACAGCAGCATGCATCAATAATTTAAGGGGCGCCATATTCATATATATTCATGTTAAGCATCTTTACAGACTATGGATTTAAAAAGGAAATGATAACATGAACATATGAATACATCCCCTTTCCCCCAACAAGGTTGGAACAAGGTTGGTGAAGAGGTATAAACCAGATACAATCTAATCCTAATCCGGATTTACTAATCATGGATTAAAACATGATCTCAAAGATCTCCTACCATATTTTCAGTTGGCTTCTTATTCTCCATTTCTCTATGAACTTGAAAACATAAACAAATACAATATTTACGATAGAGTTTAAGTTTCCTTGTATCATGTTCCAAGTTCGTTTCTGCCGGCATTTTTCACGTATACCTGTCTCAAGCGGGCTTCTTGTTCTGTCCTTTTATTGATAATGATGAGATATACAAAACCCTCTCGTTATAACCCCTCAATTTAGATATAATAGTGCAATTTCTCTGTTTAAATCAGTGGTATGTTGGTATGAACGTTTTGTTTTATATATAAAATCGCCGCCATATGTTTGTTGTTATTGGAAGTCAGGGGGGAATTCCCTGCAGCTAATGGGGGGGGGTTAACCACTGACCTGTATATTACGGGGGGTGAATGGTCAGACGTTCTTAGGGGGGGATAACTTTGCACTCGCTTCCCCTCGGAAAACACTACACTTCTGCAATCATGGCGGGTCCGTATCCTGAAATAGTCCGTGGACAAGTTTTCGACGTTGCTCCCCGTTATACAAACTTGAATTACATCGGGGAAGGAGCATACGGCATGGTTTGGTAAGGATCCGTTAGCAATCTAGCAATAATAGCGTCTACAACAGCAAAATTGTAGCTAGCATGCTCGAGTTGAAGTGTACGACACAGAGTTTTCTAGATGGCCTAGCATTGCTTCCTTTTTTTCTCCTGTAGTTCTGCTATGGACAACCATTTGGGGCAACGAGTTGCGATCAAGAAAATCAGCCCGTTCGAGCATCAGACATACTGTCAGAGAACCCTGAGAGAGATCAAAATATTGACGAGGTTCAAGCATGAAAACGTACGTATTAGCTCGTGTTTGGCTGCTGCCATTAAAACGGAAAGATATTTATAAGTGTACAAGCAGCAGTTATTTATTTTTGGCCCGGCCGGTAGATAAACACTGCCCATCATTTGCAATATAACTCCGCAAAAGCATCTTATATACAATGTTTTGTTTTAATAGATCATTAATATTATGGACATCATCCGAGCACCGGACTTAAATCAGCTGAAAGACGTGTATCCTTTCTGTCTGAGACAGCCAGTACGTGTGTCTGGCCTTCCCACCCATCGTTACGATTATATAAATTATTTTATTGCTTATTTATTCCCCGCAAACAAACGTCCATTCGCGCGTTTCTTGTTCGAAAACTACAAGTCTGTTTTGTGCGCTTTGTCTTTGCGAGGGCCTCCAAAAATCCTTGGCGAAATGCCGACTACGAAATGAACACCGTTCATTGAAGTGCATTTTTAATATGTATAAGATAACCCGAAAAGCTCCTTAAAACGCTATGTGGTCTAGCCTTCCTCTATTTCATTGTAACTTGGTGATATTGCCAATGTCCTCATGGTAAATGACAACTGTCTTGTGAAAGCTAGCGAAATATTTTGTGTTTTTTTTCTTTTGCTGTCCATCGAGTTATTCAATATGTAAACGCGAGCTGTTGCTTGACAGACAGGCAACCAGATGGCCCTTAAAAAACCTTTGAAATTCGCACGAAAGCCTCTGAAACGAAGCTCTCGACTCGTCCTCAATTTTCTAGTTTTTAGCAAAGTTGTAAACAGCAAAATTTGGGAAGCTTCGCTTAATTTTTTGCTCCCACAAACGCACTTCATTTCATTTGTAACCTTCAGCGGGAATAAACAATCCAACGAATTTACAACCCAGAATGTGTGTGCTGAAGTCATTTCTGCTGATTACTTCCTGCGGTTTACGAGATTTGTCTTGTGTACAAAACACAGGTATTATTTGTACACTTTGCTCAAATCATCGCTCTTTGCTTTACAAATTTAATACCTCGAAGGCACCCGTTCACGGAGAGGCCACGGAGAACACAACGATTTTGTTCGACCTTTCAGTCGATTTCATACCGCATAAAAGTCATTTCTTTGTTGATTTGCGTTTTGACACGGTTATAAATCACTTTGACGCTACAGCGTACTGGTTGGTTTGTTTAGTTAATGGGAAAAGTATATACATGCATCAAATATATTTTCTCAATAAGCACTTAGAGCATGCATGACTTGTAATGAGATTATCTAAGATTGAATATGCTCTTTGTATTATGTTTTCATCGTAAGATCGAAGCACCAACATGCACAGCTTTTGCAGACTTTTAAGTTTTGACTGTTTGTGATGTTCAGCTGGTGGTCAGGTGATGTTTTGGGAGAGTTCCTTGTGCTAAAAAATGCATTGAGGGACCAACACTTATTTAATACTCAAGTGCATGCCATCTGGTTATACAAAAGCCAGAGAACTTACTAGAAACTGCAAGAAGAAATGCTGAAATATTTTGCAGCTTATATCTTATTCTTTGACCTTTATACCAATGTTGCTTCGAAAAGTGAAACTGTACACCCTAATGGTCAAAGTTTATCTGTGAAAACACTAATTCCTTCTCAACTATCATTTGCATGTTGATTTTGACTTCTTGTCACAGAGGAGAATAGTAAAATAATAAGTAATAGTTAAATTTTTTGACTGTATGTGAGCATTTCTTAGCACCATGCTATCACAATGCAAATTAATGGTTAGGTGTATTGTGTCAAGAAATGAATTGTCCATTTAGAGAGAATGTTGTCTAGCCCACTGACTGATAGATATTGTTATTACACAGCAGTAATTTATTCTACAACATTTCTCAGAAGCCAATTGTACTACAGCTTTTAAATAAAAAAATTCCTTAACCGGTGTTTAGTTATATTGTGCAAACATTGATGGAAACAGACTTGTACAAGCTGCTGAAGTCACAGAGGCTAAGTAACGACCATACATGCTACTTCCTGTATCAAATACTCAGAGGGTTGAAGTACATTCACTCTGCAAATGTTCTGCACCGGGATTTAAAGCCAAGCAACTTGCTTCTGAATACGACATGTGATCTGAAGGTTTGTATATTGTTGATGCAAGGAATATGTTTTTCGTATTTAAATTGCTTCTTAGATATGATATTTTTTAACCAATTGTAATTACCATCACCCTTGTTACTTTTAGTACCACCCTGATGATATAACCCTTATTACCAATAACTATCATTACCATCATTACCAATCACTGTCATTATATCACCCTGATTACCAACCACTATTATTACCAATAACTGTCGTTATATCACCCTGATTACCAACCACTATTATTACCAATAACTGTCATTATATCACCCTGATTACCAACCACTATTAGGTACCAATAACTGTCGTTATATCACCCTGATTACCAACCACTATTATTACCAATAACTGTTGTTATATCACCCTGATTACCAACCACTATTATTACCAATAACTGTCATTATATCACCCTGATTACCAACCACTATTATTACCAATCACTGTCGTTATATCACTCTGATTACCAACCACTATTATTAGCAACCACTCTCAATACCATCACGACCATTCACGGTATCTATGGTGCAATCCCAAATAGGTGATGTTAACAAGACCTGTCTTGACAATGTGTTTTGCTTTAGATCTGTGATTTTGGCTTGGCAAGGGTCGCTGATCCAGAACATGACCACACAGGAATCTTGACAGAGTATGTTGCCACAAGATGGTATCGAGCCCCTGAAATCATGCTCAATTCCAAAGGCTATTCAAAGGCTATTGACGTTTGGTCGGTTGGGTGTATTTTAGCGGAGATGCTCTCAAATAAACCACTTTTCCCAGGAAAACATTGTATCCTTTCAATGCTGTTTCTCATTTACCTAAATGACAACCACAAAGTCATATGGATATTTCATCTTTGACCACTTTTTATAGACCAAGGGATTCCTTTGGAATAAAGATAAAGCATAACCAAAATTTTCTTTGTTTTGTTGTTGCTTTTTCATGCATCAACAACACAAGTTTTGTCCATCCAGAATCTAATTTTGTTCTAGGAATTTCTAAAGTGAAACTTCTTACACGTTTTCCACACCACATAAACTGTTTTTTCTTGACTGACATGTACCAGATTTGGACCAATTGAATCACATATTAGGGGTCCTTGGCTCACCGACTTTGGAAGATTTGCAGTGCATCAAAAACGACAAGGTATAAAGCAGTAATTTAGCTTTGATTTTCTGCATATTGAGAGCTCAAGACAGGCCTCACATTTGTTAGTGTCTAGCAAACACCCAAACCAACAAATTAATTCCTATACCTAGGCGAGAAGTTACATTCAAGCGTTACCCACCAAACCAAAGATTCCTTGGAGCAGAATCTTCCCAAATGCTAATCCCAAAGGTAACGTCTAAAACTATGAAGAACTTTTCGATTAAACTAGAAATATGCAAAGGTATCCGAATCAAATTCAACATTTCCTTTGACAGCTCTGGATCTTCTTGGTAAAATGTTGTCGTTCAATCCAAACAAGAGGTTTTCAGTTGAGGAATGCTTGGCTCATCCGTACCTCGAACAGTATTATGACCCCACCGATGAAGTGAGTGATATTTTGTGATCATAGTGGATATACGTTGTTTTTCTAACGTCATAATATCCAGCTTACCTTCTTTTATTTTTCCTGCAACATCTACTATCCTCTCTAACAGTTCATCCCTTTATCCAATGACATCTCTTCCCTAATCTTCTCTGCAATGCCTACCACCTTAAATCTTCTTCTGATCAATTTATTTCATAACATCTCTGACCATCTCTCCTTCATCTCTTCTTATTACGTGTCCATATCATCTCAACCTTGCTTCCCTCATCTTCTCTGCAATATCTACCACCTCACGTTTTCCCTCGTCACATATCGACTCCTTGATTGTAATGTCCGTTTGTCAGCTTTTTACAGACAGACAGTTCTAACTGTCTTTTGTAATAATTTTAGCCAATCGCTGAGCAGCCTTTCAGATTTGAAACGGAGCTTGATAACCTTCCAAAAGAAGAGCTCAAAGGTAAAAATATCCTAATAAAGTCGTTCATACTAATTTTATTTATACTGGATAGCTCTATCAGCTCTAAACTGTTCTTCCTAGAGCTCCAGTAAGGGTCATCTCTTATTGATCCAGTGTTACTACAGGAGGAAACCTAAACTAAACTAACTTTATTTATACTGGATAGCTCTATCAGTTCTAAACTGTTCTTCCTAGAGGTCCAGTAAGGATATCAGCTCTTATTGATCCAGTGTTACTACAGGAGGAAACCTAAACTAAACTAACTTTATTTATACTGGATAGCTCTATCAGTTCTAAACTGTTCTTCCTAGAGGTCCAGTAAGGATCAGCTCTTATTGATCCAGTGTTACTACAGGAGGAAACCTAAACTAAACTAACTTTATTTATACTGGATAGCTAGCTCTATCAGTACTAAACTGTTCTTCCTTAGAGGCCAGGAAGAACATCTCTTATTGATCCAGTGTTACTAAACTTTATCGCCCCCTGACCCAGTACTTACACTTTTATTTCTTTCCAAACATTTCAGAACTGATCTATGCTGAAACAGCTAACTTTATGGTGAAGTAAAAGCATCATTAATATACACTTCACCGTATATTTAGAATAAAAATAAATGTATTATACAAAATTTAATACAGCCATTGAAACCGCATCATATGTAACGCTAGAATGGGTTTACAAATTCGCCCAGAATAGCATATGATAGTTCACAGTTTATAATTTAACCTAGTAGATCTCAATCCTATGTCTAATTTAAAAATTATTAACTATAGCCTTATCATTATCGCTAGTTTTTGAATATTTTTTTGCATTCACAGTTTTTTTTCGGTGTGAACTTTAGAACTATCAAACGGTTCTTGTGTCAGAAATTATACGTTTAAGTATAGTGTCAAGTATCTGGCTTGGTGTTAGGAAAAACGTTTGAAAAGAATATTTCGAAAGGAGTTATTATTATTATAAATCAAATCAAAATATCAAATCGAAATATCTTTTGAGAAATTCGCATTATTTTAACAGAAAAATCGTTCTTGCTAAAAATGTTTGCGGCCCAAACATAAACGTTTTGGGTCGTTTTTTATAACCCCCATTTGGTTTACTTGGATGAACTACTTCAATTCACTGAACAAGACGTGGAATGGCTTTGTCTGGTCTCGTAAAGACTTTCCGTACCTCGAAGGCAGTTCACGTCTTGTTTGGTCTATGATGAGGTTTTCATTTGTGGAATTGCATGCAATATTGCTAGAAGCTTTGCCTTGCAGACTTCGTGAGTCGTATTTTTCATGAAGTTTTTTAAGACAATCTGCAATGTCGGTTATAAATATATATACCGCATCTTGAATTCTCATATGATATGTAAATTGAATAAGTCTCAGTAATGTAGATTAGAAAATTAGTCTGTTAATTCGTAGGAATAATTTGTACCACGTTTATATGATGATTTGTAAATCGTCAATATATAAAAACGTCGCGTTTTATTGCAATTCGTCGTGTGTTTATCTGTTTTTGTTCAGAAAGAGATATTTGTTTTGGTCCCTAACTTCGTTAGACAGTCTAATCCTAGGACAGAGATTCTTGTCCATTGTTTGAAAACGTACCTTTGAGCTTTTCATTGTCCGTTTTAGTAATCCGACTCACAATTCAAAGCTATTTACAATTGTTAGGGCCATACGTCCTCTGTGGTCTGAAAACTCACGAATGCATTCATTTTAATTTATACATGTACATCCTGCGTTATTTTTATAACAAAGCCTTTCACATACCAATGAACACAGACAATCACCAATTTTCGCAAACAAGTGGAATCGGTTAGGCCAGGTGAACTTGCCCACAAGAAGCATGCTTTTTCATGCCGTATTTCGCTATGAAAACCTCGATTTTTCTAGTTTTGGAACATGGAAAGCACAAGAAGAGTTTCGAGAAGAGTTTGAGGCGAAGGAAAGTTGAAATTGTAGGACAATAAAGGTTATTCGAGTATTTCTACTTCAAAGGTTAGCTTCTATTGTAATAAGTGTGTTTGCCGTTGAGACTACGTTCACACAACCAGATGAATTCGTCCAATTTCCTCCTGTGAACGTAGCCTTTTGAGCAAAAAAGTAAATCAAGGTTTGCCGTACGTGTTTCATGTTTTCTGTACGTGTTTCATGTATAGTTTATAAAACTTAATGGCGCCCAAATACTGATTTAGCAACGGATAAAACGACGATGACAAAATAGCTGACGAATGTCACGAATCTCAGACTAGATCACGCATCTGGTGTGAATTTTTGAAGCCCATGTCGGCCATGTTAAAAAGTCACACTCTGTAAATCTAATAAAATGAGGTACAGAATTGAAAGAAATAATATTTTATTAATTTTATTGATAATTTCATAGCAATGCATGCATAGCCTATGGTATGTCATAGGTCATACTCTGGTATATTCGTATTCCGGTAAGGATGATTTAAACTGCAGTTCTATGCCATCTTAGTGTTTTGATCATGTTCTCTAATGATTACTTCGCTATTTTGAAATGTAATGTTTTCACCAACGTTCAAGTTAAACTGTTTTCTGCTCTTAACGACTTGCAACAGTAGCGGCCTCGCTTCGATGTCGGCGTATCTCACACCGACTCTGGTCTGAGATGGACCGATTCTCAAATCGAATACGTTACCACGATAATGCAAACCGCGGACAGGTAACTCGGTAACGTTCTCGGGCAGTTTAGGATTCAGTCGGATTTCATCGGGATGTATTCGTAGACCTCCGTACCCGAAGATAACCGCCTGTAGGAATCCGCCCATACCGGTAATAAAATTCACGGCTCCATCCCCCGAAGGGTACTCGGTCCAGACCTTGAAAGGCTCGCGCACATTTTGATAGCTTTCTCGAAACGAAGTCGAGGCATTACGGTCCTTTCCGAGCTCCAACCAACCAATAGTGAACATGGCTTTAGTCATCGCTGGCCCGTCGGGGTCCGTTCGTGGCTCGTAGATCACGAGATCATTTTTGCGCACTTCTTCACTCATGTTAAACATCAAAGGGTAGCCAAGCAAAATAACATCGGCCTGCTTGACAGTGACATTCAAATTGTATCCGTCGTATTCCGGATGGTACCGAAGCGCGTCGTCGAACGGTATGCGCAGTCGCTGTGCAATGTCTAACCATTTCGCCGGCGCGGATGGTACAATTTTGCTCGCAAACTCGAGATTTCGCTTGGCGACGGCGTTCGTGAACGCAGAGTTATTGACGTTGGAATGGTATTCATCCGGGCACATCACCGCGTTGATGACGTAATCGTTGGCAACGTCATCATACGTCACGCGGCTAGCCCAGAATTCCGCGATGCCGCTTATCAAAGGTATTCCGACCTCGTTTAACCATTCCTGGTCTTGCGTTACCATCCAGAACTGCTCGACGGCAAAACCAATGTCACCATTCACGTGAATTTCATAATTCGAGTATACTTCCTCGGGACAAACTGGACAGCCTGTAAATGCACTTTCCCATGGAAACATCGTGCCTAGAAATTTGATAAATGGAAAATATTGTTTGGTTTTACAAGCGAGTATGGTACAAGGGTGTCTGCGCTACGCTCCAACTCAAACATGGGGGGAGATACTTCATATAAAATCTCTCAAATGTCCCAACTAATCATGAAGATTCTCTGTACCGAACCTACCAGACACGTTGTGATTTTTGGCATTCACCCTGGCAGCATCCATGCGCTGAAACCTGTAGAGTAAAAGACTTCGGGCGATCTCGGGGTACAACATGAGCAGTGATGGATACATCCAGGTCTCCGTGTCCCAAAACGAGTGTCCCCAATAGTCGTTGCTTGAAAGACTTCCAGGACTTAACCCGTACGGCCACGATGAACGAATGGAACTGAGGGGACAAGAAAATCGTGTGAATACATGATCAAGATGCCATTTCGGAAGTTTCAGAAGAGAATTTGTACATTATGTTCACTGAAACATAAAGTAACTACTCATAAAAATTTATGGTTGAAAATGTACCAAACATCTTTCATGAAATGTGTCTTGAAATCAACTCTGAATATCGCTTTCACTCAACCTTAGTATTCATAAATTGGGGGTTCTTTTTAATAATTGTTAGTTCATGGTAGTTGATGATTCAATTTCATTCAAACAACCGGTATTTCTATTTGTATTGTTAAATGAATCCAAAAAACGGGTGCAAAATAGTAAGACTCTCTTAGTAACGGTTACCTAAGAATATAGTACAAACTCCCTTGAATTGCTTGTGCTAGTTTCAAGTCACCCAGAACGTCGATGCCAGATTGCTGCCAGAGCCCAGCCCATTCTTTTGTGTGCCCGTCCAGAAGACCACCTTCCTTCGCGAGAATCAGAGCCTGTTTGTGACAATCGAAAGCAGTATCCAAGTAGGTAACCGTGTTCAGAGTTGTGACAATTGCAGTCACAAAATAGAAAGTCCTGTTGCTTTTCGCTTCGACGACCAAAGACTCGGGAACCTTGCTCCAAACTACAGCCACATCAACCCTCCTGCTGTCTGCCTCTTCAGTGGTGTTTATCATTCCGTAGTTTGCCCGAAGATCCGTGCTTCCCGGTGGAAATTTAGCTCGTGGAAGATCGGTGAAGTGTAAATCGTCGCTCGTGTTCCCTCTGGACGTAGACAGACCGATATTTAGCGCCTTTTCCTGCGAATTCTTCACTCTTATTTCGACAACAATTAGGTTCTCAAGCTTTCTATGGGCATATATTAATTCCTCTACTACAAAATCATTACCATCAACTCGATGTGTAAACACAGCTCTTTCGACATCTAAAGAATAGGTTGTGTTCGTAGCGACAACCCCGTTTTCAAGGGACATGCGTATGTCCACTGTCGACGGTATCCTTGCCCTGTGGCTGGGCTGCCGTCTGCGTCCGTTGTAAACACCGCTCACGAATATCGTATCGCTAAAAATTCTCGTCGCGAGGAATCCATTGCCAATCGTAGCCATAAGACGCTCGTCTGAAGGCAAAGTATCGCTGGTGAATACACTTGAAGACATGTTGTTTTTACCGTCATAGAAATTCTGTTTGGGAAGATCGTAGATACGAAAAACGCTCCAATACAATGTGAATGTTGTGGCTACAAAGGCCAGCGATTTCACGAGAGCTAGCGTGGCTGTTAAAGTAGGCATGACGGCATGTATAATGCTATGTATTGACACGGGAAATATGATATTTTCAACTTAATCATTAAACCACTAAAGGGGATAGAATATTTAACCGTGCACTTCCTTTGCGAGTTTGTGTTTTAAATTGAATTATATAAGAATGGGTTGTCAGGCGGTCGAAGAAGAGGTTGTATCTGAAAATTGTCATTTTGAAATGAATCAAATCTTTCATGTAACCACTTGCAGTTAAGAGGGTGTATTGGCAAAGAAAAGCCTTTCTAATATGTGTTACTAGTTTGATGTCCATATGAAATCTTCAACAATGAGAGGGGGGAGCTGGGGGGGGAACCCTCTCTTCATCCCCAAACACGGGTACGCTCCTGGAATATAGATTTCGTTCATGAATCAGCAGACTTGCATATGTCATTGACCGGAACAAGTCGGAACAAGTCGGATCAAGTGGAGTCGTTCTGCTTCGTTCATTGTACAACAACTAAGTCTTGTGTACATTGCCAAAAATCGGCTTAATTGAAGTCGGTAGCACGCCATGGCCAGTTGGCCAGAGGATTCAGTGATCGTAGGCTCATAAGACATTTGGAATTGTGCGAGTGAACTTGCTTTTATTGTGATCACATTAACCGAATTTATATCCCAAACGGGAAACTCATCTTAGACGGAAAAATGGACTGAAAAACACATCTGAATATGAATGGAATGTGTAATTATTGGTAGTCGTAATTAGGAGGTGTCGTAATTATTACGAAAATCACTTTGTTTGTTCCTCTGTTATCCCAATATTTCGTGTTTGATCATGTTGATAATAGATTATAGATTTAAAACGAGTTTCTCGCCCAGATGTGATTCAGTCTCATCAAAGTTACCGGCCCGACGTTTTGACAGCAAAATTGAAAGGGAAAATTCGGACACTAAAACCGGTGAGCGCTTTCACATAATTAGTTTTCCTTCTAAGACTAGCTTTTCGTTTCTAATATCAATTAGGCAATTAGGCAAGTTTGTTTCGTAGAAAGTTGGGACATTCTGGTGCTTACAAGAAAGTTATAGAGGGCATGCACCTACCAGTTTTTTTCCTTTCGAAGGAGGATTCGGCGTTTTACGATTGCATCTCGCAGAATTGTCGAGACAACGGCAGCTGTTCTGGTCACGTTTGAGACAACTGAATGACTTAGTCTTAGACATTTCCATGATACAGGCTTCGAAATAGATCAATGGAATATCCTTTGTAATGCAGATGTATATATATACAGGGACAAAAGATATGCTCTAAACCTCCCGCAGTTGTCTGAAGCCCGTCATTCAAAAGCAATTTGACTTATTTTGTTTTACTGACTGTAACTGTCTCAGGATGTAACGACAGTTAGGATGTCACTCACTACAGTAGTTGAAATGATGGCTCCCATAAGGAGGTTACGTAATGGCAGAAAGCTAATTTTTTGGCGAGATTCCTGACCAATGATTGGCTTTCTCAGATCATGCCACATCAGCCGAGGATATGGCGCGATGTTAATCATGTTATCCTCTTAAACATCATTCATATTTCATTCGTCCAACCACAAACGCGTGTTCTTCACCAAACAAAACAATCAAAATCTTTTACGCTTTTTACTTTGCGACTTTTACCGTGCTCAAAGAACGTAATTTCCTACACAACATCTCGCGTTTAAGTTCCGTAGTAACACTCCACTGTAGCATTTACTTCAACGTACGTACAAACCATAGGACGCCTATGCCACGCCCCCTTATCTAGCCAATGGCGTACACGCAACACTCGTAACCGTCCATATTCGTTTATCTAGTATTTCTAGTGATCAGGCGATCATTCGTGCGTAGCTGACTCGTCTTATATCATTGGTGGGTCGACGTGCGTGGCTCGTGAAGTTATCTAAACGCCGGCGTACGCGAATTTTACAGTATAACTTTGGTTCTTACATCGTGAGGACAGCTGCCATATAAAATGACGAATGTAATACTATTGAGCGCATTTGTGTTCATTCTTTGCGTGACAAGGACTGGTTCAACGAGTTTGCTTCCAGGCGGGTAAGGATGATTTTATACTATTTATAATATCAGATTGGTTTATATTTCCTTTAACAACGTGTTATGTTTAATTAGCGTGTAATTGAACAACTTCACTGGACGTTGTTCGTTGAACCATGTTCTAACCACGGCCAGGCTATGTGCCGATTTTTATCGTACACATGCAGTACATTATTGCGAGCGTGTTGCGTCTAAGTATAACCGGGTGAATTAAACGTCGACTGTGTATTTTTATCAACTACACGGAAACGATCACCCCGGATTAGCTGAGAAGAAAATTTCCAATGTTGTTAGATTTACTGATGAAGTGACTTGACGCCATGCGATATTTTGGGAGATACGATAGTTTTGTAAGGATGGACGGACGGACGTCCATGGAAAAAACGTAAAACATCTGTAGAATGTTCGCTCTTCATCTTTGAAGCACTTAATCCCAGGACCAAATTGAGCGCCCAACCAATAAAGTTTTTCCTTACATGTATGTGCGTTAAAAATATGCGTCGCATTTCAGGAACATCACCGTATAGGTACAGCAGAGCTTTGCCGCTAATGATGACTAGTAATAATGCGATACGAGACTGAGTAACCAACATCGTGCAAATACAAAGTATATATACTCTCCGTGATAATTAGTTAATCAAAAGCCCTCATCACGCTGATTTCTCTTAACTTGTTAACATGTATATAACAAATTCACAGTCTATTCCTGTACAATTCCCATTGTTAATTCAAGGCCGCTTATATATACACAGCATGTAAACGCACTGATCAGTTTTGTTAGGCCCAAGTACTTTGGTTGAGAGTCAGTTTTAGAAGTTGGACAAATGGCAATGTTTTGGGGCTACGTTTAAAATATATGTCTCGTACTTTTGGGAGGACACTTCCAATCCACATCCAATTTTTCACACAAAATTGATTTTTCCCGCCCTGTAGTTATATTATAATCATTACTCCGTACAAACGTATAATATTTCATTTCCAAACAAATTCAAAGCAGACCTGCCAGCTGACTTATTATGCGTTTAAGAAATACAAAATGCAACGTATTGAAGGGATTTTAAAGCATCCAGTTTGGCTTCTGCGATCAACTGCTTGAAAAGCTGATCTCTATGGATATTTTGTCAGGATATCATACCCGGATGTTGTTTCTACCATGAAGACGTGATAGAGTTCGGATGCAGATCATTAAATGGAACAAGAATGTTCATAGATCATGACCTTTTAAAACGTGATTTCAAAATGAGGCGTATAAATGACAAAAATGTTCCGTTTCAACTTCCAAACTAAGCAAAGCATTTCTAAAGGCGTTTTTTTAGAAATAATGAGCTTAATATATCGTCGGTGATTACCAATATATCGCCCAGTTTCCTTACAATTTCATTCACCCAGATATGATTTCCTCGCGACATAGTTGGTAATCGACTCGTCTTTATTAATTGGTTCGTTTTCAAGTAGTATTAAGGCCTAATTTGTCTATACGATGAATTTTGTGCAGTTATCATTCTGACGAATGCAAAGGAGGGCCTATGCCGCAATCTTCCCCCTTTCCTTTCAGGGAGAAATTTGAAATGTCACTGATTTGTATGTCGTATGTGTGTTCATACGTTCACATACGCCAGGATGAGAATCCTATACGACTGACAAATCGCATAGTGTAAATGAGCCTTTAAATGCATCTGAAATGAACTGAAATGTGCACTTACGATATTGTGAGAAGTCTTGACTCTGAAGATTCATTATTAATTGCATTCTTCACCGATATTAAGCCTCGTGCTTTACCCATTTTTGAAGGAAATAGGCACGGTTTGTTATCCTTAAAACATAAACAGTTGCCTTTTCTCGTTTCATTGTTTTAACAACAACTCAATATAAAAATACACAAGCCTCGATTGTGCCTCGCTTACCGGCGGCGCATGAAATATCATCGCGTTTTACACTCACACAACCAACAAGTTTAGATTTTATCGTGTTTCAAGCAGTTCTGGCAATATAAAAAGTCTTTGATAGCCATTGGACTATCAAATATTTTTGGAAGTTTCGAAATGAAATGCCTTTTAAGTGCTTTCATATATAAGCAGGATGAATGATTGTTTTTTTCGACTTTGGTATTTTCTGATATTTGCTGTATTTTCCTTCATTATTTCAGGCAGTTTTTGCTAAGAAACGAGGGCATAGCACAGACAAATCTCACAAAATACGCGATATTTATATATGGATCTCAGTGTTAGGACTTTAAAAAGGTCCAATCTTTGTGTCCTTTCTATAGACTGTTTTGAAAGATGGAACATAACCTATGTTATAGGTCCTCCTGGATAAGTCAACCAGACAGCTCTAGCTAGATCTTTGAGATTTAGAAGCAGTGGTTCCCTTGCTGGGTTACTGAAAAGCGCCGAATTTCATGTTATTCTTTCATGCACTTAGACAGCCGAAGCGAAACCAAAATTGCTATTTTATGTTGTCAACAGCTTAATAAGATAAGGACCTTAAGGGTCAATTTAAGTGTTTTCTCCATGTCAAAAAACTCTGTTGAACTCTTTTAGCAGGGTCACAAAAACCCTGCTAAAAAGATAGTACTTTGTCTCATCATTCTCCAAGATCCATTGTCTATTTCCGAAATGCAAGACACAATACTTTTAGCAGGAATAACTGCAGACATAAACATCCTACGATCGGCATTACCACAACTAGTACCAGGTGTTATAATTCGTGATAAGAGCTTGTTTTCGTTTATGTCGTATTTGTCGTATAAACTGTTAACTGTTCACATCAGCCCTACAACCCAAAAGGGTGGTCAGCTTAATTCCACATAATTATTTTATTGAACTCAAATCTTCGGAGAAAATCCACCGACAAATATCGTTTCCTTAACAAATCTCTAATCTGCTTAGGAACCGAGTTTGAGGTCACGAGTTAGGCTCGTGAGTGTACAGGGGGTATATCACATCTCCAGATGATCCTATCATTACAATCCCTAAATTGAACTTCACTCGAACTTGCGTAGAAGCTCAATGCCACGCCGAACAGGCTTGAGCGGGTAAAACCAAGGACAAGGTGTTTCCGAATCGCAAGTTTTTTTAAGTTAGGGACTGGTCATAATTTAGCAGGGGGGGTGGGGAGGTGGAAATAGTGGGGGGGTCACATATTTTTTAGCCAGAAAAAAGGGGGGTTCATAAAATGTTAGACAGTTATAAGGGGGGGGGGTTGCTTATTTCTGGTTGTAATTATTTCTTTTATACATGCTTAGACTTTGAGTTGCACTGCATAAGCTTTGCTTAGAACATTAAACAAAATTAGTTATAGAATTTAAAATGAAAAGTTATATAAGTCACTGTGTTAAAATATTTATATTTTAAATAGCAGGGTCTTTCACTAGAAATAACTAACATATTATGTTTAAAACCAAATTTTAACATATGAATATGTCAAGGGTGGGTAGTATCGGAGTTGTTGGAGTTTGCAACTGTAGCGAACTACAATTTGCGAGTAACTGTATAGACTACTTTTTAAAACTGGTAGTTTGAAGTTGTCGCGAACTATATTTTCTATATTAAAAGTAGCGAAGTAGTTGATTACTTTTTCAACAACAATCGCTATTCGCCACTTTTCGATTTTTTAATATCCCTCGACTATATACTCTATAGTTCATACACTATAATACAAAACTAGTCATTTAATATACCATGTCAAATCTCGTTTGGACCCACATTTTGTTCTAGAATTCTTTGGCTCATCCGCCATTAATCCATAGTATCAGAATATATGAGCATATTATGCTTAACATTTCATATGTTTAAAACATGTGAAATCAATATAAATTACAAACACGGATACCAGGAATTTTGTTGTAGCGAAGTAGCGAATACTTCGCTACATTTTTCTAGCGATATAGCTGTACACGTAGTCAAAAGAACCAAACTACATATTTTTGACAATAGCAGTAGTTGTAGGTGACTACATTATTTTAAAATAGCAGTAGTTGTAGCGAACTACACAAAACTTGTAGTCTACCCACCCTTGGAATATATATAAGTGGACGTATATAAATTAATTTTATTACTTTATATAAACGTTGTCAGAAAAATTTTTGAAGGTGTAATTACTATTTTGAATTGACGGTGCAGATTACAGTAGTTTCTCATTTTGAAGCAGTGTTTATCAAAACGTTGACGGATGGGGGGGGGGCATTTTTACCGTCTCGAACAAGGGGAGGGGGCATGATTTTTTGTGGATAAGGCAAGACAGGGTTGCAAAATATCATTCCTTAAAATATTGAATTACACCTCCCCACCCCCCCTGCTAAATTATGACCAGTCCCTTATTTGACGCGGAAATTCCACGTCTTCAATGAAGTTCATAAGCGTGACCTTGCCATTTATTTGCCAACGATATTCAAGTTTATCATTAATACGCCTACTAAACCTATATAAGAAAAAACTAAAACGACAGGTCCATTTCCTGATAGTTTAAGTCCCAACGAGGACTTGTTGTTTGAACCAATTTAGTGTCAGCTGGCATGGGGATTCTTTAGTGAACATGTTCAGGCGAGTTTCTAAATAATTCCGCGACTTAAAGTAGTTTTGACTGGCATTTGACAGCTGATGCAATTCATACAAACAAGATTTCCTGCTTACTGTAAGGTCATTCAAAGCCACGACATTAATGAGATTAATGGCTCGAGTGCAAGGACCTGCTGAAGATCGCAGAGATTAAATGATGAAGGATGTTTTAGAGAGGAAGTTATACATTATTCAATATTTTCTAACTTATATACTTGGTGTAATTATAGAAAACAGAACTTCAAATATCCCTTTGAACATGTTTAATCATATTTAATAAGCAAGTTTATAATCAAAGACTCAAGCCCGTATAGCCTAAACGGTAGATAAGTCAAAATTAGGTAACCGACTCTCACGTCTCTCTTGAATAAGTCTACTTGAATATTATGCACTGAATATGTAGTTGTAAACACTAAACAGTATCTTTGTATTAAGGTTAAAGACATTCCGTCCACTTGTTAAATAAGACGATAGACTTGCTTTCTATTTTGAACTTAAACACCGTTTAGCTTGATACAACCTCCCCTGAAGTAAATGAAGGATAAGAGCGTTCAAGAGCCTTGTCATCCAGCCAATTCGTTCAGTCTTCCCACCATTGATATTTATTTACAAGATGAATATCTCTCTAGGACTAATGTTATGAAGAAATACGAACAGTACCAGACACCTCAAGCGACGACAAAACAAGTTACGAAGTATAGAAGGACATGTACACAAACTTGCGCGATCTGGGGTTTTTTTTGTACAACAAAATGCAGGTAAATATAGCATGCAGTTCTGTTCGATGCTGTTATGTTTTATCACCAAGGAAATAATATAAGGGGCCGTTACAAGTGGCGGAAATTCCGTTAAAATTGACTCTTCTTCCGGAAGTGCTGGTTCTGTCGAGCTAAAGAGTAAATACTGATTACATAAACCACAGCGGATGGCCGTGGGAAATTTGAGTAAGAGGTGGACATGGTGCATGGACTCGAGCACCCGCGAAGGACGTGGCAGCCGCGCGAGAATGTCACGCAAAAGCCTCGAGCCCAGAGTATTGCGTCCACTTGTTAGAGTTCACTAAGGTTTATTAGAGATTACTCAAGTCTCAAAGACAGCGGAAATTCCCAGTACTGTTATTATGCCGCACTGTCCCCTCCCCCTTTCAAAGAACTTGCTTTCTTTGAGTTTTTAAATGCACTTTTTCTCCAAGCATTAGACTTAGAGCTAGGCTCATCATTTTAAGTACGAAATGACCGATTAAGTACGATAATAAATAATTATTTGTAGTGCTTGTTATTTTGTGATCGAGAACTTTGACCAGCGTGCAAAAAGCATCTTATTTATTCACACTTTCAGCACAAGGTCATACACTGCGTACGTGCCTGCTTATAAAATGGTAACGAAGACAAGAGTTGTTTACGTATGCAAGACTGGATGGAAACAGAAAGGAAATGAATGCACTATACGTAGGTTCATCGGATATATCGTATGCTCGACCTTGGTTACAACGAGCTATAGTGAAGGTCGAATTTACCGGTTTACCCTAAACATTTTATCGTAACTTTTTCAGCAATATGTACTGGTGGTTGCCAAAATAATGGCGTGTGTATCTCTCCTAACGTTTGCAATTGCACGGCGCAGTGGAATGGATCTAGTTGTCAACAAGGTTGGTTGCTTGCCCGTCAGCATCATTTTCAACGGCCGGACAAAGCGAATGCAATGAAAAAACAGCCTTTACTCACGCTGAGAGTGAAGTTGGATCTTTAATTCACACACACAGGCGGTGGAAACATTGCTAAAACGTTTTTGTATACGTTTAGATGTGAACGAATGTGATCCTAGCAGTGATATCTCTCATGGCTGCCAATATAAGTGTGTCAATTTTCGAGGCGGCTACAACTGCACTTGCGGGGATGGTCATTTTTTGGCCTCAAATGGAAAGAACTGCACAGGTATATATCTTTTTAATCCAAACGAAAACTTCACATGCGAAACAAACGAGAAAGTAGACAAACAAAAATGTAGAACAAAAATGCTGAACTTTCTCTCAAACATTTCCTAGATCATGACGAATGCGCGGGGAATGTCCATCATTGCCAACAAAGATGCCTTAATTTTGCCGGAGGATACAGTTGTGCCTGTCGACCTGGATATAGCTTGAATATAAGTGATAACAGAACCTGTAACGGTAGGTCTTCCGACGAAACTTATTTGTGTTCTTCTCTGGCTCTACACAAGCCTAGTATGAGAACTGATCAGTGTGTACGTGGTGTGTATCAGTCCACCATGGAACATTCTTAGCTTTCAAAGAAAAATGAAGACATTGAATGTTTGTTTCTGCCAAGCGGATTGGTGCCATGCGTCATTCAGTAAAAGAGTTTCCCGGTCAACCTGAAAATATCGTTCTTATCAGAGTTTTCATCCCTTTCCTAACGGTGAAAATGAATTTATCGAAACAGAACTCGTTTAAGACAGTCAAGGAAACATTTTCCGAAAATTTCCTGTTTCACATCAGAAGTGGGGACAAGTAAAGCTGGATCAAACAACAATACTACCCTATTCTTTCTAGGTCATTTGTGTGAAGAAGTTCGTGGTCCTGTACATGGTTCAATGCGGTGCACCGGAAATACAACAGATCACATCTGCACTTTTTACTGTGATCCTGGGTACGAATTATTAGGATCAAGTAACCGCTCATGCAGTGCTACGGGAAGGTGGACTGGTGACGAGACTATTTGTAAAAGTATGTCTTTACTATTAAACCAAACAAATAATGTAAATCTGTGATTCTCAGTTCATTCTTCTCTCTTTTTTTCTCCAGTCATTCACTGTCCCAAGGCGCCCGCACCCCAACATGGTTTTGTTTATGCGCCATGCTATACGCCGTTCAGGTCGGAGTGCATTGTGGGATGCATGCGTGGTTACTTCATGGAAGGAAGCGCAAAGATATCTTGCAACTCAAGTGGTGATTGGCAGCCAGAAAATATCCTCTGCACAAGTAAGTTACATTATAGCAGACGTTCTCCATTATTATAGCGTAATAATTTCTATGAAACTCTATATTTCTTAGAAAGTACAGCGTGCGAACGAAACCCATGTCAACATAACGGACTCTGCATTCCGTTGAGTTTATCACGCTATGTTTGTAACTGTTCCAACACGGGATACCGAGGGACGAATTGTCATGTAGGATACATCGATGCTCCCTAAATATCGACGAGTAGCAACTGGAATCCCGTCGTCACCATTGGAATTTCGATCTTCGCCTTTGTCTTCCGGTTACGTAATCCTTACCCCCAGCAGCCATGACGTCATGTTTACTCCAACGTTTCTTGTATTCAATTCCTCGTCTTCTGTCCAGTCTCTCACGATCACGACGAACAAGGTTGGGATAAAGTTAATTAAGTATTCCATATCCGGTCCAAACGCCGTCGAGTTTGCTCCGCCCGGAAATGACGTCATCTTTGTTGACGTCGTCAAGAATTCTACCAATGAAAAGGTCGGAAACTCCACTGCGACAAAGCTGAGACTACCAATCGGTTGTAATGAAATGGTGTTAAAGAAATGCCCATCTGGTAATGACGTGATCGTATCTTCTTCAACGAAGCCATGGAAAACCACGGGGTTAGTGACGTCATCAAGTGGTGTAATCATAGTGCATGCTGGGAAAACAGATTTCCCGATGTCTCTTTTAGGCGCGAGTTTTCCGAGGAACACACAGTCGGTTGATGAAAAGTGCTATAATAGTCAAAATTACTCTGTCGAGCAGTTAGCCAGAAATCAAGTTTTGACAGAGACTTTTTTGTACTCTTTGAGACACAGTTTTCCAAAATGGTTAAGGGTGAATTTACGACGCGAAATTCGAACAAAATCAGTCCACTTATCCGACATGAGCGCGCAATTTTTGTCCGGTAAAAAATTACCACATCATACCGCGCAAGGGCAACCCATTTCCGATGATTCCTTGTTTTTACTTCTACGATCTTCTAACATTAACGTGACTTTGGAAAATGACGGCGATGTTTTGAAGACACGTGATGGGAATACACTAACCTCATTGGCTGTCGATCTGTGTAGCGGGTCCCCCGGGACAGTCATCTTACGTGCCCCACGCAAGCACGAGAATCTCATCCAGAATGCTTCGGTTTTCAAAAGACTGAAACTTGATGGTTGGAAGATGACCGTTTTTTCGCTTCAAATTTCCAAAACAAATTCCATACAGACTCCGTTTGGAAAGCAGAGCTTTTGGAACGGCGAGAGACTTATAACAGGTGATTTAAAAAGGAAAAGTAACCTCGCTGTTGTAGCCAAACTAAGAAAGTCGTTTACTGGACAGAACATCACTTCATTTCTTGAATTTGATGGAACAATGGTTATTGCTGTCGACGACTTGGATAATGTAAGTTACGATGCATTTTCAGAATGCTTTCCTGTAGTATCTTTACAAGCGTTCATATTGTCGTAACTAAACTTATGACTTTCACGTTCAGATAAGACGATTTTTAATGTAGCTCAGACTTAAACTATATAGGGAGGTAATTGTAGAATACTTCCTGCACTGGATTACGTTTAAACTTACGTATGTTTCCCACAATGTTTATTATTAGGTTTTACAGTTCCCGTTAGACCAAATGTGGTTGGTACATCTTTACGGCAACATTAAATTGACGATACAATTTGCGGTGGAAGGAAAAATGACGAATATGACCTTAAAAGCTGCTGAATCTATAAGTTTTGCAACGTTTGGAGGTTTGTGTCCGTCCATTGTTTAGCCACGTCAACATCTGTCGTTTTTGCAGAACGTAGAAAAATAGTGAAGGATAATAAACAAGAAGTTACTCTGCTCTTTAAAGGATTTCTTAACAAATAGGCCAATTTTTTCGTCAATTTATGAGTTACAGTAAAGCCAACTTATTTTTATCTCAACTTATTTTTAACCACTTATAGAAAGTTCAAAAGGTGACAAAAAAGTTGGCCAAAAAGGATTGTACCTCTCAAATTCCTTCGAAACCAACCCTTTCATCGACTCAGACCTGGCAAAATTTGTCGAGACATCTCCTGGCGATGGAATCCAAGCTTTCATTGAAACGAATTTGCGGTCGAGACTCACAAACAAGTCCTCGTCGGATCAGATTAAGTCTGTTAACTTGGCATTTCGTGGAGTTCTTAAATTCGGCCCGTTGCGATTTGAAGACTTTGGTATCGTATTGAAAAAGCAAAACAAATTGGGCTGGAACGACGAAGATGTTGATATCAGGGTAAAGGGTAAAGCACGCACCGACATGGCTCAAAAATACGGCATATTTAAACCGAAAAATCTGAATGTGGATCTTCGAATTTCAAGCCGAAACAGTCGTATGTCGAGAGGTTCATTTGAAAGCAATGTTGAGCTTCTAGGATTGCAGGATTTGGTGAATGTATCTTTTGGAAGAAACGGATTAAGATTCAACGCAACCGGTAATGTGCATGGTGTCTTTGAAGCCGACTTGAGTTGTGTTTCCTCGTTAGAATCTTGGAAAAATCAAAGGTTCGTTGTATCGGGCCAGTTTAAATCGGGTGCAAGCAGTCTTATGGAGGATCTAGGAAACGTTTTGAACGACTATGCTTTCAAAGTTCACGACAAGGCGATGAAACGGGTTGCCTTCTTCGGAAAAAGAACCGAAAGAGCTAAATCTCGCCTTGATAACGTTTTGGCTGTCGTCGAAGGTAAACAAGACGACCTCAACAAATCGCTGGCCGCGTACAATGACTCGATAAGAAAGTTAAGGGCAGTTGAGGCACACTTTAAAACTCTCCAAGGAAATGTTAGTCATCGTTTAGACAGTCTTAAAGCGCGCCTCGATAAATTTTGCCCTGAAGTAAAACAGTGCCCGGAAATTTGTCAGACCGGCGTAGTTTGCAAGCATTGCAATTATGATAGCTGGGAAGTCTAAAAGGAATTGTCTGACCACTTGTCACAAAACCGAAACTCTTCTAGTCAAAACAAATGCAAGTTATGTACCTTGCAAACGGCAAGAATGTGTCAGAGTTTATGTAAAAGACGGTCTGGTTGTGAATGGTTTGCAGAAGACTCTGTACAATGTACAAAAGGATATATTTTCGTTTGGAAAGAATTCAAAGGGAACGAACGGTATTATTGTTGGTGGAAAATCTGAACTATTCCCTGGCACAAAAAAGCGAGATGTGTGTGGATATTCTAATAACATTAATAATCTATATTCTGAGAAACTTTGCGAGCAAGACGATCGCAATGGCCACTGGGATTGCAACATCCGCACCGAAACCTGCGCCACCTCCGGTCATCGTTACGAGAAATATCATGCGCCGTACACGTGCCAACGCCCATGTGAGACACACGTGACCACGGAGAATATCACGAAAAGCTGTTGCGCAACCGTCCCGTGCGCTTTCAAATCGGTCGACCGAGACTGCGTCGCGAAAAATGTCTTCTGCAATAAGATTCGAATCGAAGCGTTGGATAAACTAACCGCAAATGAATCTAGCTTTGATATTCGTGATATGCTTAAGGAAGTAGAAACAACCAGAGGTGAATTATTTTATTGGCAGATTCAGTCGCGCATTGATGAAATTCGGCTGAAATCTGCGAGGAATCTTTTAAGCCTGGCACAAGACACAGCAACACGCCTTCAAAAGGCCTACGATAATAGTTTGAAGTCAAACCTGAACATTTCGAGTTCGCTTGTCCAGAAATTGAACTTGAAATGGATTCTTGATGAAAATAGGCGAGGAATCGAAATCCATAGCGCAAGCTTTGAAGTGGAACTTCAGAAGGGTGGGAACTATTTGATCCCTGTTCAGTTTATCTTAAACGTTAACGGTACGCTTCATGAGTTTAAAGCGATTATTGATTTCCGAGAAGTGAACGCGTCCCTAAGCGGTGTAGCAAAAGATATTTTAGACTTGTATGGGAAACGTGGAGTAGAAAACGATGGGAACTCGCGAAGGAGACGCTCAATCGACAAGGATCATGCCCTGTCGAGCTTACAAAAGTACAATGCTTTGTGTACACGATTCATCAACAATGAACAGGCTTTTGAAGATATGAGTAGGTCGCTGTTCAACCTCACGACAGAAGCGAAAGAACTTATCAAAGATTCTCTAAAAAGGAATACATCTCTTAGCTCTTTTAACGCCAGCCATATTTTCGAAAACTTTAACACAAGTCAGGCTTCTTCATTTAAGCTAAAAATTGACAAAGAATCGTATTTAAGTAGTCTTAAGAACGACAAAACTATGTTATCTGCGCATGCACTCCACGACGAAGCACTCAATGATGGCTATAAACCCCTGAATTTAAATTCGAAAGTACTTTTCAAGAACTGGTTTACAGCCATGGAGAAAATTTTTGAGGTCGTGTTAAGGAACTGTAGTGGTTTTGAAGATTGTATTGTATTCATAACGGACAGTTTGTTCGAGATGAACGAGGCCTCGGGTTTGCGTGGATCGCATAAACTTCGTGAGATGATCGCATTCCTCCGGAAAGAACTCGGCCGCCTGAGCATTAATACCGAGATCTCTTTGAACGAAGCCAACGAAGTCTCGTGGAATATATTAAACACTTTGAATGATATGAGAGCTGTTAAACTATTCTGCGCACAGGCACCAAATATTACGAAACAGCCCGATACCTTTACGGACGTCGGCGAAGGAGAACCGTTGATTCTTACTTGTAATGCAAGCGGAGATTTCCTGAAGTTTAACTGGATGTATAATGATGATTATTTAACCGATCAAACATCAAGAACTCTTTTGATAACTGAGGCTAAGTCCACGCACTCTGGTAATTACAGCTGTGTAGTCACGAATCACGTTTCCATGGAAATATCATCCCCTGCTACGGTCATAGTCCACCCCGCACCGTCCATTACCGTTCAACCAATCAAACGCCTGAACGCAATCGTTCGGACCAATAATTCGCTCCGATGCTTGGGCGAAACCACAGACAAAAACATGACGTATCAGTGGTATTTCAGAGCAAAGAACTCCAGCGTGTTCATGAAACTACGCGGTCAGGAATTTTCATATTTGAATTTCATTCCGGTAGAGATTCGCCATGAAGGATGGTATTATTGCAACGTCAGCAACCACTATGGAACTAGTCGTTCTAGAACTAGTTACATGAAGGTCCTAGATTTTTCTATGCCAGTCTCTGATATAAAGTTATCCGTAAGTTTGTCTCGAAGTAAAAAGAATGTGAGGGCTTTTAGACGATCAGAACCAGATGAAATTAGCTATGAGGAAATTCGTTCAAAGCTTTTGTCGCTGTTGTCTTTCTATGGCAGAAAGAAGTTATCTGTTCGCGGTAATGCAACAACAACCTTTTCTAATGGTACATCGTCTGCTTCTGGTAATATGACCTCGAATTCATCAGCGCAATTCAACCCACAAGTCATAGATTTGAAGATAAACAAGTGCAGTACAATACCATTGTCTCAAGTTTGTCAGTGGGTGTTCCGATACGTTGCCGACCGTGTGTCCACTGGTAAGGGTGGAAATTTCGTAAAGGATGCGGGCGAGTTGATTGGCTCGTTGCGAGAGCTCCGTGCGGCTATTGGTCGGTTGGTAAAAGCGGCAAACGGTGGGGCATTATATTTTGACATTGGTGACCAGAGATTTTCCGTGGAAGAAAATTCTGTTGGTGTTGAAAGCGTGACAATGGCTTGTCCTCAAGGAAAGAAACTGCAAAAGGACTTCAGATGTGGTAAGTTTTTATTTCCAGCTAAATCAAGCTATTTTCATGGCCGCCCCGAGATATGCATAGAGTTTTGTGCACGATGGATGGAAATCCAAAATATCCAAGGTTTCTGTCGGTTTGAATGTTTGATATACTACATTTTAAATTGTTGGTGTTGTTGAATTTGATAAAGCATAGCACGAGTGAAAAGTAATTTCTTCATGTAGTTGATTGCCTTCCTGGATATTATGGAGTAATAGATGAAAATGCCATAGCAACTTGTGTTGCATGTCGGGTGGGTATGTACCAACCATCCAGTGGTCAAAGAACATGCGTTCAGTGTCAGGAGGGCTTCACAACCGTGGAAGAAGCCGCCATTGACTTGTCCCAGTGCAAAGGTAGCTCGATCAAAATTGATCTTCAGATGATACATAGACAGCTTAGTTGCTCGTGTATGGATAAAAGGCCGTTTTTTTGTTTGTTCTTGCAATGAGAAACATTAACCTTCTTTTTTCCTTCGAAACAGTCATCTGTCCAGCTGGTACTTATGGTAAAATCATCGATAATGTCGGGAAATGTCTGGCCTGTCCTGGTAATACGTATCAGCCAATGAGAGGGCAATTTGAATGCCTGCCATGCCCCGATGGTCAAGTGACTGCCACCAAAGGAGCTAGGAACATTTCACAATGCCTTCCAGGTAAGTTTTTATATTATTACGGAGACTGGTTCAGCTCGAATTGGATTTCACTTAGTCGTCCAGTGCACATAATCAGTTCTTGTTCGAACTGATCTCGTTTACACACTGGAGAGAAAATCATGATTGTTTACGGTAAATAAGAAATCAATGTGGAACAATCTGGCCTCTGCAACGTAACTGGATGACATGCAGAGCCTGGAGGTTTTAAAACTCTGAGAAGACAATAGAAAACCCTGATCTTTTGATGATAGCTAGATGACATTAAAAACGGCGAGATTTTTCGAGATAACGAAAAGACAGTGAAATATTTTTGACTCGCCAAGATGGAAGACATTGGAATTTTGAGAAGACTTGAAAAGGCATTTTAAAAAAGATTTTGACCATCGAAGCACACGACATGATGAGAGCTGTATGTATTATGTATGGTTGTATTCATTACGTTTTCTACTATATTTCCTTAGAACCAACTACGACAAAAAAACCTACGGAGAAGCAAAACACACAAGAGAATACAGGGACAAGTAAAGAAGAAACTAATCCAACGACAGATGGCGGAGGAGAGCCAGGAAAACTCGGAGCTCGAAAGGACGCGAATGAGGAAAATAAAGCTGCTGTCATTGGCGGTACTCTTGGAGGATTCTTTGTTCTTTGTAAGTTAAATAGACCTTTACATCTTAGCACGTTTGTCTGCATTCCTGAGTTTCTGTGACACCACATAAACTTAGTGTAGTAAAGCTTTCTTTTCAAAACCCATGGCTTTCCTTTCAAAAACATTTTCTCACTTTATTGTGCAAAAATTAACACGTTATTCTGTTACTCGAGAAAGCAAGTTTTTGTCACAAGTATTGATTATTCTTTTATATTTTTACCAAAGGCGTTCTCCTGATATTTTTCTTCGTGCAAAGATATCGGACCGCAAAGAGATCTGATGAACTCGCCGATGATAAAAATATCGTCTCGTCAGATCACGAAATGGAGTTGAATGCCTGGAGTAATCCAGCCTTTAACGACGAGGTGTGTAGCAATGACGAGACGGAAAATAGCGAGAATCTTACGAACACAACCTCTGGTGATCCCGAGGATTCATTGTACGTGATAAGCCCGACTCCGGCTCGTTCCGAGAAGGAAGCGAGCGACCTTTCGGATCCCGTTGTCCTTCAGGTACATATGGACTACCAAAATAGTTCAGCTTGTAGAAATCCGCTGTACGAAAGCAACCCGGCTCATGATCTCGTCAATGAAGGGCCTAAAGGGGGACAGGGTGAATATTGCGAACCCGTGGTATCGAGTACGGATGGCATAACCAAATACGGTAATCCGCTGTACGAGGAACTTGAAAGAGAGAAGGCGCAGAAGGGTTCAACGCTGAAGTTAGATAATGATGAAATTATCGATGAAGATGTTTAATAATGCAGTTGGATAAGGGTTGGACAATTTGGACAAGGTAAAGTGTAAATAATTAATTTAGATTGCATTCGCTTGTACCTTATAACGACAAAGCAAATGCTATAAAAACATACATACATAGAAAAAGGGAGAAAAAAACATTTGTAAATATTCTTGTTCTTAAACGCTTTTGCGTTGATTCAAATCCCTGATTATGAAAACAAATGGATTATAAACACAAGTATTTTTATAATCCACGCTAATTTTGGTTTATATAATATATAAATGTAATGACGTGAACTTTGTAAAAGTTCAAATTTTTAGATGTTGAATAAAGTTTTTTGTTTATAGCCGTATGCTCTGAAGGTTTATTTTTTCAATCAAATCTTTTTAACCCGGAAACATTTTATCTTGGCGGAAACTTTTGAAGCAGCCTTTTGTTTTTCTTTGTTCAAGAATCAGTGTGGTGGTGTTCAGAAGCTCTATTTGACAATAGACACAGATAAGATGTAGACACAGGATCAAAATTAATCTTTTCAAGATTTTTACAGATATTAGATTGTTAAACTCTAATCCCAAACACTTATCAACTTCCGTCATCAATCACCAAGTTTCGTCACAACTCCTGTTCCTACAGTTTTACTGCCTTCCCTCAAGGTGAACCTGAGGCCAGTTTCTAGAGGCATGTCCCACATTAGTTCAAAGTTAAGGTTAGCATTCTCTCCTGGCATCACGAACTGTTTGTCTTCAGGTAAAGTTATGGTGGCTGCGACATCTCCTGTTCGAACGTACATTTGTGGCGTGTAGTTCGTCACAAACGGCTTGTGTCTCCCTCCTTCCTCTTTCTTGAGAATGTAGACCTGGTGAAGTACAGAAAAGAAACTTCATTTGGTTCTGTTTCATTCATGGGAGAAAAACAACGTCTGGCTTCGCACTCCTCGACTCTCTTTCAAGATGTTCAGTACTAAAACTTTATGCATTTACACCTAAACTAAACTAACTTTATTTATACTGGATAGCTCTATCAGTTCTAAACTCTTCTTCCTAGAGGTCCAGTAAGGATCATCTCTTATTGATCCAGTGTTACTACAGGAGGAAACCTAAACTAAACTAACTTTATTTATACTGGATAGCTCTATCAGTTCTAAACTGTTCTTCCTAGAGATCCAGTAAGGATCATCTCTTATTGATCCAGTGTTACTACAGGAAGACCTAAACTAAACTAACTCTATTTATACTGGATAGCTCTATCAGTTCTAAACTGTTCTTCCTAAGGTCCAGTAAGATCATCTCTTATTGATCCAGTGTTACTACAGGACGGGAAACCTAAACTAAACTAACTTTATTTATACTGGATAGCTTTATCAGTTCTAAACTGTTCTTCCTAGAGGTCAAGTAAGGTTCATCATATCTTATTGTAACTACTACCGGGGAAATAGACTATTTCTTGATAAAATTGTATGTAGAATTACCTCAGCGGAAAATTTTGAATGTGAAGTGACTGAGCCGGGCATACAGAGCACGACACCACGCTTCACTTCATCACGCTTTATACCACGTACTAAAGCACCCAAATTATCACCAGCTTCACCCCTGTCCAACGTCTTGTGGAACATCTCAAGTCCTAAAGTAAGTAAAACGATTCATATCGGTCCAGTTACACGCTGAGCTCGAAAGACATCAGTCCAGTCGTACACACTGAGCTCATACCTGTGACTACAGTCTTCGTCCCACTTTTATGGCCAACGAATTGAACCTCGTCACCTTTCTTGACCACCCCCCGTTCGATACGGCCCGTCACGACGGTGCCCCGACCGGCGATCGAGTAGACGTCTTCGACCGGCATGAGAAAGGGTTTATCGAGGTCACGTGGTGGTGTTGGTATGTACGAATCAACGGCTTCGAGGAGTTTCTTCACTGATTCGACGCCGAGCTCTGGTTCCCGGTCCTCCAGCGCGCAGAGAGCTGAACCGACGATGATCGGCGTGTCTTCGTCGTAACCGAACGTCGGGAGAAGTTCGTTTAATTCCAGCTCGACCTTGCAGTGAATAAAATGGTTCACAAACGTTGAACTACATATATGTACACTGGAATGCGAACTGCGAACTTGGGAAGGAATTGAAGGTGAATCAAATGTGTAAGTTAATACGACTTAGTTCTCCAGACTTAACTCTCCTGAGGAAAGCCTTAGATCGATCTAAACATCGTGTTTTAGTCTATTTTAGGCAGTTATTATACCATATTTGATGCGAAGTTGTTAGAAGACTCTGCCATGCTGCTCCTTGATTTTATCGGAACGTGTCTTCATTCCCTTTTAGTGTTTTTGGAGAGCGTTTTTAAAGAGTTATAGGCAGAAATATTCAACAAAGTTCACGTTGTTTTGCTAAACTTATCAGACGACGTACCAGCTCCAACATTTCTGGATCTTCAACCATGTCCGCTTTGTTAACATAAACAACCAGTTTTTTTACACCAACCTAAACGATTCAAATCATTGCAGATTTGCAGTAACGAACACGGCTCTGGTTCAAATGCACCCAAAATAAATGCGCAAATGCAATCATTGCCTTCGAATGACTCGCAGCTATGTTGAATGACTACAATACCTGGTTGGCAAGCAAGAGATGTTCTCTGGTCTGAGGCATTTGACCGTCCGTGGCAGCAACGACTAAGATCGCACCATCCATGGTGGCAGCGCCAGTAATCATGTTCTGAAATAATACAAACAATTTCAGGGCGGCGATCATTTCGGTTACTCCTAGACCATGCGTTAACAGCTATGAAAATAATACACAGAAATAATACAGTCTGTTGCTGAGACATGCTGTATGTAACTTACCTTGATGTAATCTGCATGGCCAGGGCAATCAACATGACCATAATGTCTGTTTTCTGTCTCATATTCAACATGAGCTGTATTGATGGTAATTCCTCTCGCTTTCTCCTCTGGTGCATTGTCAATGTCTGTGTATGATTTGTATTTCGCTTGACCAGCACCAGATAGAACTAAATGATGTTGGGCAGAAAGACAGGTGTTGTTGCTGATTTTAAATATTATTCACATCTTATCTGAGAATTATCATCTGATCATCAGATGATCATCAAGTCATCTTGATCATTATATGATCATCAACATCATCATTGCATAATCACTATCTTTATAATCATCTTTATCTGACCATAACTATCATGATCATCTGACAATGATTATTTTCATTGGATAATCATCATCATCATTTGATAATCATCTCCACAAGATAATCATCAGCTAATCATCTAATCATCACCATATCACCAATTTCTTCAGAACCACTACAAACAAACCTTTAGTAATAGCAGCAGTCAATGTTGTTTTCCCATGATCAACATGACCAATGGTACCAATATTCACATGAGGCTTCTCTCGACTAAATGTTGCCTTCTCCGCATAACTACGAACTGCAAAAACAAAATGCCTCATCCTATTACAACACCTCATAGTATTTGAGAGGCCGTTTTAATAATTTGCTTGAAGTATTTGCAACCTACCTGATGCTATTCTGTATATATAGATGTTCTTGAACTAAATATGAAAAAGATATTAAATTAACCGGTGCTGACTCTAACAAGGGCTGATATCCAACACCTATAGCTTAGACAAATTAAGTTCAACTAGCCCACGGTGAACTATATGTCTGTACATCCTAAGTTCATATACAATATATGTGTACAATATATGACAATGGTCAATTTTCTGACCTTTAGGGAAGCCAGAGTGTTTGAACACACACATTTTGGCAACGTTGAAAGGGCTAAAAAGTATAAAAAAACATAAGACAAACATTTATAGAAACTGAACGATCAATAGCATATTAGATTCAAACTTATCGCACAAATTATAAACCTCTAACATCTGACAATCAGTTTAAAATATGCGTTCTGATCAAATTCATTGCGTCTTAAAAAATTCCACATAATTCAGATCAAATACCTGAGAAATTCGACAGGACACGAGCAAATCCACGATACATTTTGGAAAATTTGAAAAGGCTGTAAGTTCTATTCAACCTGATGTTTCAAAATCATGCAAATATATTGAAATATATTGAAATGCACACACGTGCAGGGGAGCGCAGGGGGGTGACGCGCATCGAAGATTTTGTAATAAAAAATAATCTGGGGTCAAATGGCTTGAATTTTGGTTTTAAATGAGCATAAAACTTCGTTCAAATTCGTCGAAATAAGGTAAGAACAAGCTATTTTATATTTGTTGTTGGAAATAAAGCTCGAAATAGGTTTTGGTAATTGTATAAAGGTGAAAATTTTAAATTTAGCCCAAAAATGACCCCAAAATGGCAAGGGTAATTCTGGTATTGAATGTTTGGTAATTTAGTGCGTGATAAATGAATAGATTGCTTGAGGTGCTCTGAAAAAAGTTGTCGGTAAATAAAAATCTTAATAGCTCTACTGCGTATTTACTAAATTTCATTTAATTTCTTTAAAATAAGTTTTTAAATCATTTTTAAACTATTGTTGTGCCATATTTCATAATAAAACAAGTAATTTCACCCCCCGGAAATTTGACCATGCCTTGAATTCTGCATTCAATATGGCGGACGGATTTTAGAAGTCTTGTGTTGTTTTTTTTTCGTGGATTCATCAGAAGGAACAGTTCGTTGATATTTCTAGAGAAGAGTAAGACAGTATTTCCCAATCATAAGGCATGTCAAAATTATTCATCACTCGTAGTGGTTTTCGAACAATTTGGAAGAGAAATGGCAATGGCTGTTGCGTTATTCAGACCGTCAGTCGATCAACCCAAGTACGGTTCTCTTCTGGTAATGGCCAGAACGTAGTAAAGCAATCCTCAAGGATAAAATGGTTTTGGATGCCGGCTGGGTTTGGATTTGCTCTAATCTCGGTCATTCAACTTCGTCACATTCAACAGCGTGAGAGACGGAGGCACGCCCCCCTTGAGGGAGTGGCGACCCAAAGTGGTATACCCCCCTGGCAGGTGAACTTGTTCAAAGTTCTTCCAACTCGTGCATTGTCGAGATTTTGGGGCTCTGTTCACGACATTGAATTACCGACCGTGTTAAGGGGTCCTGTGGTACGCCTGTGGACTTGGGCATTCAACTGTTGTTTGGAAGAGGCAGAAGAAACAGATCCGAGCAAATACAAGAATCTTGGAGAGTTTTTTACCAGGAAACTGAAGCAAGGTTCACGGGATATTGATAAAAATAGTGAGCTGGTAGGTTTTGTGATTGTATGTATTACCATGTCAAAATAATTCATTGTTAAATCCAACTTGTATACATGTATAAACTATTCAACAATATAACCTATTCCTAGGTTAGTCCAGTTGATGGCCGTATTTTACATTTTGGGAAGGTCACAGATGGAAAACTCGAACAGATTAAGAGTGTCCCATACAGCCTTGAGAGCTTTCTCGGGCAGTCGACGCTGTCAAATGCTGACCACCCAACTCCAGACAATCAGCTTTATCAATGTGTGTTGTATCTGGGTCCTGGAGATTGCCACCACTTTCATTCTCCAGCAGAGTGGGACATTGAAACTCGAAGACATTTTCCAGGCAAGCTGTATTCGGTGTCGCCTTGGGTTTTGAAGGGCTTTCGAGATGTGTTTTGCACTAACGAGCGAGTCTCGTTATATGGTAATTGGAAACATGGCATCTTCACAATGACAGCTGTTGGTGCTTACAATGTTGGGTCAATTAACGTCCACTTTGATGATGAATTGAGGACCAATCAGAAGACAGGCGAAATGGACAAGTTTCATGAAAGGAAGTTCAATAAAAGCAAGTTTCTTGGGCGAGGTGATCACATTGGTTGGTTTGCAATGGGATCTGCTGTTGTTTTGATTTTTGAGGGACCGAAAGATTTTGAATTCACAGTTAAGATTGGACAGAATATCAAGTTGGGACAGTCACTAGGCTGCAAAAGGCTTGCAGGAAGACAGGATTGTTGTTAATAAGTGTAGATTTGGTTTATAAGTTAATAAATAAATGTTAGTTTCAGAGATGATTTCACTTATTGCAGGAAACCTTCTTTTATCAATAAGAACAACAACTTAAAAAGTATGCAAGAATATCGAATTTGTTCTAGCTCTTATCTATCGATATATAAAGATTGTTTATTATGTATTTAGCTTGGAAAGCAAGAAGATGAACAAAAATATACCACTGCTTTCAACAGTAACACGCAAACATACAATGTACACAATGATTTTGTTAATGCGCATTCATCCATGCGTGTCATAATTTAATTACATTGGATTTACAATTTACAAGAACACTTTCAAATCCAACTAAATAGATTGGTTTAATAAATAGTATCATTCAGCGTCTTTGAGACATTTTCCGAGCCCGTGAGCGAATTCATTTTGTCAAACTGTGAACCTCCACAGCCTTCTCCTGTAGAACGGCTGAACCTGACCGTCCTTCAAACAAACATTACTCATACACTTCAACGTTGTGCAACCACAGTCGCTGTCTGTCTTGCATGTGCTAAATTGATTTACACACTGGAAAAAAAGAGAGAAAGGTATTTAAGTTGAAAATTGCTAATTTTGCTGTAATTTACATCGATTTTCCTCTTTTGCGATATGTAAACGAGTGGATAAGTTACGGATGTGTAAATAAAGGCACTTGTGTATCAGAGCATTCATATAACTATCCACCTGTTCACATCCTTCAAAAGAAGACCATAATTATATTGACCTATATTGTATTGGCCTATTTTTAGATAACCTGGTAATTAGTCTGCTAATGAGCTAACAAGTCGACCTAATGATTATGACTAATTAAATATAAGCAGCTGATGAAATAACGAGTGGCTATTAATTTGGTATAAAACAAGCAGCTTACCGCTGATCTCAACTGCCGATCCAGGCCAATCGCTTCCTCAAATCTCGGTCTGGCCTCTGACAACTTTGATAGATTAACAACAAGTAGCAACATAGCCAGCATCTTAAATGTAGACCCAATCATTTTACCGCGGATGTGTTCTTTCTGTATAAAGAGAGAAGATGCAATTGAAACACAAAATCTGATCGCAAGATCTGTTTATAGTTGAGGCAAAACATCGTCGCATCATTGCCACAACACTGATACTGAAAATGACACTGATTCACGGTTTTTGTTCAGCTGGTTTGCTACCAGATTCCAAACGCCCCACTGCATGTTTGCGTTGCATGTTTTGAACAATTTGCCGCTCAGGTTTAGCCATATTTTTCTTACGAGAAAGCGTTCCCTGCAGCATTTTAACTCGTACTCACATTTGTCATGTAATCTCCCGTTCCTTCGCGATGCACAATCTGTTGATTGCACAAGATCTTCGCTTATTTTATACCCCTTGTTTTAATGTTGATTTTCCAGTGTGACATTGACTTATAACGTCAAAAAACAGGTTTTTGTTGATTTTACACATGGTGGAGATTAACGCTCCTCGTTTCAACGTGTGTGTAAAAGCATAAAAGGTTCAAATGATTGCAAAACAAATGATTCACGCATCGCCTCGCTGTGAATGAAAGGAGAGTCTCCACAGGGCTATTCTTTTCTTCTTTGAAAGTCACATGCAGTGGAAGTTCAACAGTGGAAGTTTAACAATTGATTTGCAAAAGCATAACATAGTTTGTTTACTAGAAATTTCTACAGCGAATTGTGATTTGGGAAAAGCAAAATGTCGAACTGCATATTTTACACCAGATATTTCACCTCGATAACATTATCATCATAGTTAAAATTTGCAGAAGAGCTTTGACAAGGCTTATAGATTGAGAATTACTGTTAATGTCGGTGAAAATCGGTATTATATGTTTTGCGATGTGGACGTTATCTTTCTTTTGTAAAACCTAGCTTTTCGCACAGTGTGATGCTACATTATGCCACACAGAAAGATGACAAAGGCTTCGTGCAGTGGGAATAGTTTATCAAAAAATCCTACAAGTCGTTTTCAGGCTGAATTTATATGATAAAATTAAATGAAGAATGCAGTTTGGAGTCATTATAGGGTCTCTGCCGAAAGTGCAAAGTGCAGTTGTCATTCTGAGTATGAAATTATTAAGAAAAACATCTATAAAGAAACCCTGTACAGCCTCTGCTATAGAAATATTGTTTTTTAATATCATCCATTGTTTTCATCAATTGCATGTCTCAACAGTATTTTGATATCTCGGTGAAACAACTAGACACGGTTTCGCTTATTATCCGCGCGCATTTTTCATGAAATTGAACCACGCATATGACATGTTCCTAATTGTAGGCATTTTGCCGAAAAATATTGGAAAATGAGTTTGCTTTCTGTACACCGAACGCGTGGGGGTTTTTTCGGCAACACTTAACACGGACGCCAACGTAAATTAGTACAGCATCGTTATGAATTGTGCACATCAAAGGTTTAGCAGCAGTTGCTCTTTGCAATTTTGGAGTCACTTCGCTTGAGACCGGGTATCCGATAGTATATTTTCCGTATTGCGACTTTGTAGACAAGTTCCGGTGGGGGATATTCCCTCAATGAAAGAATATCTATCTATTCCCTACCAATCAGATTGAAACGCTTAGAATTTCCTTATAGGAGAGTGTTAATTAATTTTCGGCTAGATTAATAGATTCTCTTTTCTCTATTGCGGTTTAATTGATGTTTTCTTCAATTGCTTGCGATGCCGAGTATAATTCAAGCATATAGGGAAAGCGCTGATAATGATGACGAGCATTGTTGGGGTACAAGAGCAAGGCATTGTTGTGGTACAAGAAATAGAATTATTTTTAAAGCGCCTGCCACGATTATCGCTTCTCTGAAAGACACCCATAGGCCATACCTGGCTGTATGAGTTGCAACGCGCTCGTGCTGGCAAAACGCTGTACAAAACGAACTGACATTGTTGACCCAAACCATGCGGGATTTCATATGAACCTTTTTGTCCTGCTGTTTCCATCTCGTGCTGTTTTGATAGGATTTCAACTCGGTCAAAATTGTAGAGTTTTTACAACAGAAAATAACGGCCAATATTTGTGAAATAAAACCTCTTAACAAAGTGACAAATTTAATTCGACATGAGTCTAGCTAAAATCGTGTTCATGCAGTTAAAACGAAGCTATAGCAATATCTAGCTATCACCGTTTACAGGCTTCCGTACAAAAAAATGCATGACTTTTGATATCTCGTTCTCAATATAACTACGGCATGGATTTCTCCTGTTCCAAAACAAAAGAAATGCAATTTTGTCATAAATTTTGACATGAGGTAAACAGGATCAACTGTTCAAATCTTTTACTCCACGTATTTAAGATCACTCAATTTGATAATCTTGTTCTTTGACTGAAACTACGCTGCATTTTATGCTAGTGGATTACCCGGGTAGTAAAACAAATATCATATATATATATATATATATAACTGTTACCTCTTGAGTTAATAATATATATAATGCACTCCCACAGACAGTGAAGTCCTTCCTCTTTTCTTCCTTAACTGAACGGTATCACTTGATTTCTGCATGCCTGCCCATTCTTCGTCCTTTTATCCTCCGCGCCTCCCCGTGGTACGTTTAAAAACACGCGTTACGGAACCGCGGATCTCGGAGTGGAAACATGGACGATCCGATTTGGAATAACACAAACCAATGGCCATAAACCACGCGCAGTTAAGATAAAAATCATTTAAAGTGTTTTAAACAGATTAGTTGGTAAAATTGTCTCAGGATATCGTCCTAAATTTCACTGAAAACACGTCATGAAGTTTGGTTCTAATTTGGTTCCTAAACTGCCCGGATTCAAAGTCCACACTTGTCTGAATGCTGGTCTTCCAATAGCGCTGTCTTTACATTTTGACGTTATTGCAGTCATTAACCAACCACCCACTCGATTAACCTTCGCCTTAATTAATATTACTTCTGTAAATCTAAGATATAATTAATAAAACAGCCGGTGGTATAGCGTCCAAACGACTACAGAAAGCGTGCAGGAAATTGGATTGGTCGTTTGCCTCCATGAATGGACGCGCACATATATTGCCTCTTTATTCATTGTCTTTGCTGTCGAAACGATCACTTTCTGCAGATGTGGTTCCGCTTATTATTGTGATTGGCGTGAAAATATAGGCATTCCGTTTGTATGATTATATATATTGTAGAGGCAAATGTATATGAAAGCTGGCTGATGGGTCTAATTATTCACCGTTTTTTTTTGTTCCGAAGACATGCGTGCAATTATATTTGTTAAAACGCCTCACCGTTTTCCTTTACAAAGAATGAAAATAATATGAATATAAATAAACAGTTTAATGATTCTCTTCAATATTCAGATTTTTGAAGGCTTAACTTTTGATGTGCCTGGGCAAAATAACGAAAAAACCTGACGTTTTAAGCCCCGTTTACACTACACTCGATTTATTAGCACGGCACGGCTAAAATGGGCACCCGTGCCCATTTCATCTGTTCTCGGCCTTTGTTTTGGTAGCCTGAACACTTAAAAAATTGGGTACGGGTACCGATTTTAGCCGTGCCGTGCCGATAAATTCAGTGTAGTGTAAACGGGGCTTTATTGAATATTTCGATTGATACTGAGTCGCTTTGAGGACCTCCAAGTGCCAATCAGATGTAATCATAATATTTATTACCCTGACGACACATTAATATATGAATAAATACGTTTATGAATCATTTATCATCTTTTTTCTACTCTGTAGTGTTTCCACGATAGAGTACCCTGCAGTACAGAATACGCAATACACATGAATTTCAAATCTCCAGGTACGTCATATTTTTCATGCATATATATCTTGATTTTTATATATATTTTGGCAACGCATTCATTCAATTTACTTGTGGGTGGAACGCTCGACTGCCAATGTCAATAAATATATATTGCTGCAAGCATTTTAATGGGAATCAAAGATGTTTTCTAACTTTCTACCGTCACGTTTTTCTTCTATTTTTTCTCCACTCACGTTTATGCCATATGACGTTCAGCGCGCAGGCAAATTATCCGAAATTACGCACATCCTTTAGACAACTACTCCAAACCATTAAAACAACAATCTTAAGTGATTCACAAGCAGTTGAGACTCCCGTTTGAGAAGTAAACATTATGACTAGATTTCGGTTGAATATATTTATTGTCAATACCGTTGGCAGACTAAAAATGCAAGCCGATGTATTTAAAAGATACACCGTGTATAGCCGTCCCTAATAGTAATACTCTAAGAAGAGATAAAGTTGATAAACATGAAAAAAGGCAGATAAAACTGCTGTAAGACCCTCTGTTAGACCTCCTGTTAAAAAAAGGAAATGAATTATGGGATCTATAACGAATCGCACTAAAATGGGTTTGTGCGTTTGTGAAGCACCGGGTTCCAAAGTCGTTGGAAATCGCACGCAAGCTCGTGCTTCATGCAGGTTTTTTTTAAAAGAACAACTAAACATAGACAATAAGAATCGTTTGCAAAATATTTCAAACGCTCAAACGGCGGGCGATGTAAGCGGGAACATGTGTGAATTATGCTTGTCAACAAATCTGCATTTTTAATACGCGCGAACCTCACTCATGTCGTTGACCTTGAGTTGCAATAAAGAAAGTTCACCTTCATTTTTACCATGAGCCAGCATTAAAACTTATCACGCCCACTCTGCCTTCAACATATCATAGCACGTTCTAGAACATAAATAGAACGATTGTCGGTAAAAACGTTAATTTTGTATCCAATAAATTCACAGCGGTACGCACGTTTAACACGATATTATGCAGCAGATATTACTCGTTTCGCAATACAGGAGTTAAAAGGTTTTGAAATCTGGCTTGAAAAACCTGTTTTTGGCAGGATTTTCACTGGTCGAACTACAATAAATGTAAAGGTTCGCTTAGACTGTCGAATGCTCGAGAAATGGGAATCGCTGTAAGGAAATTAGTGTCTTCTAACCGAGTTCATTCCTGTATTATTAAATGCCTCTTCTCTTTTTCTCCTGATCTTCCGCGCTTATCCGAAAAAAATTTACGACTTCCTGTTTTTGGTATTCATGTAAAAAGTTCTGTCAAACGTCAAGGTATCCTGGTGTTAATTGTTGCCGTATTTCGAAGGACATGTTGATTTTGGCAACCTTTAACAAGTGCTGTTGCTATAGACATAGATTCAAGATAAGTAAAGTTAACATAAGATAGGAGGGAAACAATGGTCGTGTTCTTTCATTATGCAATGAATATTCATCGATGCGATACACTGTCATACTGTGTCTGTTGATTCTAGCACTTGAGTGCCTTGCTGGGTTTCCTAACTGGACAGCAGTTTGAGATGCTTACAATAGACACTGCAGTCAAAATACGCCCCAACTGAACCATGCGATAAGCCATGTCAATTTATCGTGGGTTCATCCAGCTTGCAGAGAGGCCAGCTGGACACGAAGGCGCTATGAACAGAATAGTGGGTTTTTCAATCGTTCTAGAATCGCTCGTGTTTTTTCGGTACAATTTGGGTTGAACCTTCATATTCTTGAAGTAATGTTTCTCTTTATTCATTGTCTGGTCAATATCTAAAATTCAATTATTTTCTGCTTCGTACAACCGGCCCCAGCACTGTAGCGAGATATCTGATTTGCGCTTTTCTGTGTCGGTCCGTTTAGTGGCAGGCTTGTTCCTCGCAACCTGTTCGTGGGTTTGCCGGGGCGCAGTGCCTGAGCGATTTACTGATCTAATAAACACTGGATATAGCAGCTCTGCCTAAAAAACGAAGCTATAATAAAAAAAAACGAAGCTATAATAAAAAAACGAAGCCATAATAAAAAAACCTCAGGAAAACCTAATTTACAAGAATCTATGCATCTTATTAGGCGAGTGCAGATGGCTCTATTATATTGTCCTATAGCTGTTGCGAATCTATAATACGTGTGAGACCCATTTTGTGATTGGGCATTGGTACACAGGCACCCTAGAATATGCAATAGCAAATGTCAGCGTGACAGAAATCCTCGAGACGATCATAATAACCTCCACCGTTTGTGGAGAACTCGAGTTGTTTCGTACAGTACCAATATTGCCGCATTAATCTGCTAAAATGTTATACTCGAGCAGAGTCGTCAGCCCCGTCCTTGTGTAAATACTGTTACCAGGATGCATGGTCGATACAGGCGACTATAACTCTAAAATTTGCTGGAATTAATCTAAATCAAATCAAAATTGCCTATAGAAATCAAATACGTCTCATATGACCACGAAGCTAACAGCCTGCAATACGAAAGTAACGAAACCAGTTCTAGGAATTCCTCCGTACGTTCTAGGAAAACAGTTGCGTTTGTTAGTCACACAACACTTTCGTTTTCGCTTTTGGAAATGCGCCTGTACAGTGAGACTTGAGACAGACGCGTTATCGTGTAAACATCGTAGTTTTAACGCTCCTTATTTGGCCGAGAAATGGCCGAAGCACCAGAGCCTTGCTCCGCAAGCACACCTTTGACTAAGGGGAGACTTCAACGCTATTTCAACAGACGAAATATCCCGTGGGCTTGCAGCGAACGATCGGAAGGAATTACCCTCGAGTTGGATGTAAATACCTTACGCAGAAATCAATACACCCTTCGTCTTTTCATCCCTGAAGACTTCCCTGATTCAACACCTAAGCTAGCTGTTGTGAAACCAGCCGTTCTCAAACAACGTGACGGCACTTCTGTTCCCTCAAACCAGTGTTGCCAAGTCAGTTTTCCTAAAAATCCCAATATAGCTCCCAAAAAATCCCAAGATTCCCTATTTTCCCCCCAAAAAATCCCAAGATTTTTTTCATTAGTTCCCAGGTCCCCTCATCAGGCGAAGTGTTCAGCCATGCGCGTTAACCGAAGCCTGGCGAAATACTTGGTCTTGTATAAACGATAGGAAGAAACCTTCTCACTGATCTCAGCACTTAACTGCTGTATACTCTGTATGGTATATTAAAATATTTAGTGAATAACAGTTATACCGAGCAGGCAGATTAATCAGTATTACAACTATCATTATTAAAACATTATCTTGTCTCTATTCTAAAAAATCCCAAGAAAAATCCCAAGGTCTAATTAAAAAAATAAAAATCCCAAAAAAATCCCAACAGCCTTAAAAAATCCCAAGATCTTGGGATAAAATCCCAAGGTTGGCAACACTGCCTCAAACGCACTGCAATTTCAAACGCTCGGCCGATTTCGAACCCAGGAACATCAGGAAACATTTCAAGCGATTTTCGTGCCTTACCCTCCGACAACCTCAGAGCCTGGCGTCTATATTCAATATATTTTTATGAAAGGTGTGGAATGGCTGAGTGCGTATGAGGAGCATCTCATCACAGGGGAACCCGTGGCAGAAACTATTCGAAAGTATGGTCAAGTGAAGTCTGTGGAGCAAATTTGGTCGGAACCGCAAAAGAGACGTCTGGTACGAGAATCCTCTCTCTTAGACGATTGTTTTCCAGGTCCCGAGGATGCTCAATGGTCGGGCGATCGAAAGTCGATTGATGTGACGTTTAGGACGGAGAAGGTCTACGTATTTCGTGTTCATCTTCCCGATGACTATCCGAATTCCTGTCCACAGCTCGCCATAGTTTACCCGGAAGTCCTCTTCCAGGTAAACACGCAACCGCTTCCTTTAAACTCCCAAGAATTCCGGACCCTGGGAGAGAAAGATGGCGCCTTGACAATTTGTCATTTTCGTCCGTCCGAGTGGAAAGACAATTTGACCATCGCGAGTATTGTTAACAAGGGCAAAGTCTGGGTTCACGCCTACGAAATGTACTTGAAAGGAGACATGAGTTTCCCGGATTGTCTTTCCAGCGTACAACAGTGCAGTGAAAACTAAAGTTGTTATTGCCTCCTTCTAAGATCTCTATATGTATACTTTATATCTATCTGTGTTTATGCAATATACGATCTATGTAATCTATTTATGGGCTATGTACTCTGCATGCACTGTCTGTGTAGTATACCTAGTTGCGTGAATTGATTGCTCATCTATAATGAGACTGGATCACGCATCCGAGCCAATGACTGCCATGTTGAATGGGTCCACTCGAATCTAATTTTCTAATGGCAGGCGAATGATTACCGAACTTACGAGCACAAATTGCATGACCTATCGCCGAATTCAGCAAATATTGCCCGAATTTCAGTAGAATCCGACCCCCGATCGAATCAGACGTTTAAAATTGAAATGTTCTTTAGGGGGGGGGGGTTCCCCCCGTTCCCACGCCTATGTGAACATACGAATGATTTATGAATGATATTTAATACAATTGAAGTAGTTAGTTCTTATCTAATCGTGTCCGTTTAATGGGCAATTAATTGTAATCAAAGTATGAAAACAATTGGAAATATATTGCAAATAAAATTTGGAAAATGTTCTTCCTTTGCCCCGATATTCTTGAAATCCAAACTTCTTGGGATGTCACGATACTTTGTATGATAGATTTCCGAGCAGCTTCCTGCATGACACCGTCCATGTGCTAGTTTTGTGAGCATTTGTTGTCAAATTTTAACACAGGATATAATTTAATAGCTGGATACAATATATACAATATACAGGATATTTATACTATATTTACTAATTACAACAAAATAACTTCACATGAATTAAACTCGTTGTTTTTTGTGCCTTGTTGTTGTAAAGCCTCGTTTCCTCGATGTTAAAGAATCGTTCGTGTCCCTAGAGGGTCCTCCTAGTCCACTATCAGGCAAACAGATAAATTTTGACCGATCACAGATTCCTGGACTGAAGTTCGAACACATTGGGTTACATTCAGCGTTGTCAGTACATTGCGTGACTATATCTGGCACACACTGAGGTTCGTCCATTTCATATCCCTGAGTTAAACAGAATGAAAAACATAAATTATTACAATTGATTTGTTTTTAAAGCATGTTGCTGTGACAATTTTTGCTGTGACTTTTGACCTTTCTTCTTTCAAGAGATGTGAAAGAGCAAACTTAAATATTTAATGAAAAGATTAATGTAAAATGGCATTAAAATGCCCACATATGAAGATCCGTAACGTATCCACTCGTTAAGATCTATCAGAAGAAGAAAATCCTTGCATATGTAAAAATTAGCCTCTAAAATTCGAGAACTCTGATTAACCGCACTGCGACAATATGAAATGCGTGACCGTCATCCTTTATTACATTAAGTTGCCCTTTTAATCGGCTACTCGAACGAGAAAGTTCTTCTAAGAGAGTTTCTTCTTTCGTCTCGACAAAATCGCTCTTAACGACCTTATCGACCAAAGGGCTTTGAAGTTGATCTCACGTGTAAAGAGTTCATTGTTCCTGCTTCAGGCTGTTGTTAAATCCAGCAAAATCACGATGACTTTGCAATTGAAATAATTTCCAAATATGACTGTAAAGTCAAGAAAACTTGTGGTCGTTCTTTAATAGCTCAATAGGTAATGTTGTTATTCGAAGTCCGTGTTTCTTTTTTGATTGGAAATAATTTCCTTCAACTCACTTCAATCCATAGCCATTTTAGTTAAATGTTTTTCGTATTACAACCGTTTCAGCAAATCAGGAAATGATATGGTTCTCTATATTTAGTTGGTTTTCGAAGTATTGATTTAATTATCTAGTCCTTGACTCTATTCAAATTTTGAAACATTCAAGCCGTCATATAAATAATTGCCTCTATTTATTCTCAAATATTTAGTTCACAGTATATTCAAGGACTCTAAGAATAACAGTTGATATTGCGACTCTTGGATTATGCCTCGTTCCGTGTGAATATAAGTTCCTATCGATGTCTATTTCTGTATTTTGCCTTTTATGAAAGATCATTTCGTGTGTAAACTTTATGTCCGCTTTCTGTTCTTTCACTCTGGTCTGTTGTTATGCATATCATTTCGAGTGGTTTGTGAAATAACCATCAGTTCTTAAACGACTTGGTTCGTGCGAAAAATTGAGGAGGGGGCGTAGAATGAGGTTGAGAATGACTTGACTGTTCGACTCCATTGTTCGTGAACACAATATATTACTGCTGTGTAAAACTACATGCTGGGACTTCCGTCCACATGCATTGTTCCTGCGAATTGCCCAACGAAATTTTAAAATGAATTGTTTCATCAGTTTTCAACGGTTTCTTTCTCGAGGTCCAGTAAGGATCATCCCTTATTGATCCAGTGTTACTACAGGAGGAAAGCTACACTAAACTAACTTTATTTATAATGGATAGTTCTATCAGTTCTAAACTGTTCTTCCTAGAGGTCCAGTAAGGGTCATCCCTTATTGATCCAGTGTTACTACAGGAGGAAACCTACACTAAACTAACTTTATTTATAATGGATAGTTCTATCAGTTCTAAACTGTTCTTCCTAGAGGTCCAGTAAGGGTCATCTCTTATTGTTCCAGTGTTACTACAGGAGGAAACCTAAACTAAACTAACTTTATTTATAATGGATATCTCTATCAGTTCTAAACAGTTCTTCCTAAAGGTCCTGTAAGGATCATCTCTTATTGATCATCTCTTATTAAGGTCCAGTAGTTCTTATTAATATTCCTAATCCAATTAGTGTTACTGTCATAACAAACTTACTAAACTCTATCAGTTCCAAACTGTTCTTCCTATAGAGGTGTACTCTTTTGATCCATCAGTGTTCTAGAACCACAATGCATTCCTACTTCCGGGTATAAGTGAGGGTCATAAGTGAGACACTTCATCGCGGATCGTATGATCTATTTTAATGTATATTGCTGAAGCGGTGGTCATAAAAGATTATGCAACAACAACAGGCAGGTTTCGATGGTGAAGAGGAATTAGAGGATATCTTTGCGCCAAAATAATTTTGTCCCTAGTACTAAGACTTGGCTGCTCAGTTTCTATACTAAATTACTCCTGCATTAACTAAAACACTTGGTAATGATAGATGTATGGGTGGTATACAGCTCAAAAACGGTTGAATAATTTTTTGGCCGTAATCAGAATTCGAATTGAATATCAATCTACAGTAAACGTGACATAAAACAACTTCCTCCAACTAGTCATCTCCGTTGAATTGAAATCATTGAATCATTCCAACTTTCGTTATCCTGTACATATATCATCCTGGCTATTACATGACGATCCCTAGCTCAACCAATATTTTCGTTTACAACTATACAGTCGTATTAACCTCTGGCCTATATGGCCTAACCTGATCAGTTCACTTCTCTATACAGGCTTCACCGGCCATACGACATCTCATAGGCTCATCAGATTCAGCTATTTTTGAGTTGCTTCTTACCAAAAGGTGAATGGGCAAGACTTTGAGGAGATGATAACAACTCAAGCAGAGAGACAACACAAAAGCCTTTTTAACTCAAGAGATTTGGCACGAAAAATGTAAACATTGCATTGATTATATAGGAAGTATAAATCCTATATGCCTGCTGAAACAATGTAAACTACAGGTAACATTTCGATACAGTTAAACACGCAGTTTTGATACCAAGTGAAACTGGGCCGTGCAATCTTATACGTTTGTTGAGATAATAAAATCCCTTCTTGGGTAAAGCGACATTTGATATTAGTTTACAGCTACATCATGTTACCGGAGTTGATGGGTGAAAAAAAGTCTATAGAGAAGCTTATGATGGTATATGCTGATGTTATAATGCTGTACTTTTCGGTTATTTCACAACATGTAATTCATCATACGTCATGATAAAATCTTTACTAACCTTTGATGTTTCAAACTTTGACCAAAAGTCACCGTTGTCTTCACTGGATCTGTCATCAACTGTTTCGAATGAATGTCGTGGTTGGAATAGATCTTTTAACTTGGAAGCGTTGCCAACTGCGAGAACAAGAGCTACAAGACAGACGACTATAGCGAATCCTTTGAGAGCGAACATATTGGACGGCGTATTTGATTTGGAAACACCGTATTATCTTAAATAAGTGAAGTATTTACGGCTCTGAACGTGAACGTGTGGTATGCCAGTAGAGTAAAATGTTGAATGGCTGTTTTATTTGGTGAATGTGCGGAAAAATGCGGAGTCTGCCTAATTTGAATAGCAAAGAGCAATTTGTGTGGGTTAATAGGGTCCTCCTTTGAAGCTATTTGACGTGGGATAACTAACGTGAATGACATGATTGTCTGTTGCACCGCAAACCCGGAATTTGTGTTTCCATATTAGGTGCAGGGCGGTATAATGTTTGTATTTTATATAGAAGAAAGGCTTGTTGGCAGGGATTCGTTTAGTAAGCTTTGTTTTCTTGGTCTGTCTTCAAAAGCCGATCGCGTCGTCTCATATATGACGTGCTAAAAATTATGATGATGCAAATTTAACCTATAGATATCGTTCCTCTTTATCTAAACCGGTCTAAACCAAAAAATATTGCCGTGTCACTTAGTATATATGTCGTGATTGTCATCTGATTGTGGGGGAGTGCTTCCAGTTTAATTGTTTCATTATTATTGTATCAACAATGCGATAATGATAAATTTCCGTATCCATCACACTTTAATTTGGCCATTATTTTTCTGATAAATATGCGCTTCGAACAATCTCAAATTCAAATAATTGTTGTATAAATATTTACGTATAGAAACACTCTACTTAATAATAACTAGTAAAAAACAGTTTCATCGTTGATCCAATGAAAAAGGTCGTCGGTCATTGTGCTAAATAATTATCCAAAAACTCGTATTCTCTGCACTGTTCGCACGAGTTCTTATCGTCTTGGACCACATCATTAGTCCTCGTACGTAAGGCAATAATATAAATATAAATATATGTATATATATAACTATCGTCTTTAACTGATTAGGCCTCGCCAGCATTCTTAAGCGTCCGTCAACGTCTTTTTTTCTCCGCTGCAGAAATTGCAGCCAGCGGTAATGCCCCAACAATACAGACGGGATACTTGAGTGATAGTGCGCAGATACCATCCACGTTAAAGAAACACAATTTCTTGCAATCCTCGTCGCTTTCACATAACGTCACCCAAGGTACGACGCAATCCTAAAAATATACATTTTATTTTCAGATGAGCGAAACTGATCGGTGTAATTTCACCAATGTTATAAACGGTTTTTGTGCTCAATTTCCAACTGATTCCAGTCCCTTCTAATGCGTTCTGTGGTAACTTATCGAACCATAGAAGGACTTGGTTTTGTGTTTGATTTATTAATCAATAAGAACCGGTTATCGCAGGGGATTTAAGGCACAGTGCCCTAAATTGGCGACGGAGTAAATGAAAGAATGGACAAAGACCCCTGGTGGGCGAAGTATTAGGTTTCTAACCATCGAATCTGAAAGACGGTTGCATGTAAAGACCCTTTTTTTATCCATCTCCAGGATCAACAAGCATGCTCTGTTTTGATCCAATGATCAAATTCAAATGCTCCGTACTCGCAATGAGCTTGCGAGTAGATCTTTTTGTGGTCATTGAAGCCACTTGTCCAAATTCGGTGCGCTTTACAAGTGTACATTATCCAAGGAAGCTAAGGAAATCGACAAACTACAGGGCGTAGCTATCTCGAATTTTGTGTGAACAGAGGGGGTCCAACCGTGAAATACAGAAACGTTTCGCCTAGGGCGTGACAAGACGTGGTTTTTGAGGCCACCCCTTTCCCCTTTCCATAGACAAACTATTCCTCGCCTCAGTCGGGAAGATTTAGAAATTTGGTCTCAACGAAAGTAAAGGTCAGTCTATAACAGGCCCCAAAAAACCCCTCCTAACCCCTCTTACCCCCTGTTGCCACACTACCGAAGGACATGTTAACTAACATGTTAGAACGAACGTATGCTTCACCTATCAGGAAATAATTCGTGAATAAGTCAGGAAATTAATTATTTCCTGATGATGGCTAAATTAGGGTCGACCTAAAGCTGATATCATGCCCTTCATTATTGGAATTTCCGTTGTTTTGTAAATGCTTTATCCCGGCTTCGATTTTAGATTTTTCACTACATGTCCACTGTGGCACTGAACGTTACAGTAATTAACTTATATTGTGATATTTTGTACTGGGATAGTTATAAATAGTTCCTAATATATTGTCCCTTCACGTTTGAGATATCTTTTTCAGGTAGTTCAGACACAAACCACGACAGCTTATTGTAGAATACTACCCACACTGGACCACCACGTTTGAGATATCTTTTTCAGGTTGTTCAGAAATGAATCTTTTACAAATTTCCTTTCACAACGGTATAATTTTGAACACTATGCGCGAAAGAGATAATGTCTCGAAACCTATTTTGCCCCATTTTAGTCAGAAAACGCCTTCAAAGCAAGTAGATTTTCGGTTGTTAGTCATCTCTATTTACCACAATGTTAAAAAATTTCCAAGTTCTAAATAAACATTATCTTACCATTTCGACGCGCTCAGAGTTGAAATGATGTTTTGAAGAATGATTTATTTAATTATCTTTATATATGCAAAATATAGACTAAAACGTTTGACGTCTAGAAACGAAGGTTAACATACCGAAGTAGATATTCCTTGCGTAGTGAAGTTCAGAAGAACACACACGACATAAACTTTACTCAACCAATTCCAAGCCATGTTCGCTGTAACTTTATCATCAATCGTCTTCCCTGCTTTTTCTAGTTTAATCATTTAAATACCTAAGATAGTGTGACGTTGGTTATTCGTGTTTCCAGTTCACAAATGCGGAAATGACATCTTTATATAGGCCCTCCCAAATAATTATCATTGTTACCTATAATTATAGGGCTCATTTGATTTCCCTTATCCACTTCAATTTGCCCCTTCTCTGAGCGGACAAAAAGCGTGTTTTACTCTGGGTTTTCCTTCTCGAGTGGGCAGAATTTGCATGAGAAAAAGACAGAAACATAGCTCTTGTTTCCTGGTAAACAAATCCCTTGTTTATCATTCCTTCCCACTTAGCGACAAACGTTCTTGATAAACAGTAAATAATACGTTAGTAATAACGACGGTCCAGGTGATTAAATTAAGTCAATAAAGTGTGATTATGATGTTAACACTGATTGTTGCCATTGATACTAACTTCTAGACTTTTGTCACGAAGGAAGAGTGATCTAGCAAAAATATTCCGCCATCAAAAAGATGCTTTAACTTTTACCTCCACAGCAAGTTTATACTTTATATGTAGACTTTTGACTATTGTCTTTTCGCTAGAGCAAATAGATCACTGTACTATAGTAAAAACTCAATTGTCAGTCCTTTCATGCAGACACTATATATGTGTAAAATGAGTGTATGCATGTTAAGCCTTTGAAACAAGTAATTTTAAACGGATAAAAGTTCAACATAAGCGATGTGCAATGCTATAAAGATATCCTCTAAAATAGATCGCTAAACAGAAGAGTTACCGGTAACGGCCTATACTGTCGTCTTTGCTCGATTTATGTTTGAAAATTAGCTGCGTATATCAAGTTTAACACAGACTATGTAGAATAACTTATCCTCAAAAATACAACACAAAGGTTTTATAGAAGACACCTTGATAGATATAAAGGACATAAAGGTGACGATAATTATAGAAAAGCTCAGATGTTTTAAAATATCCTCACTAACACGACGATATATGAATTCGTGCTCAAAAAGAATTTAAGAGAAAAAGTTTACGGCGTCTTTTTAGTCCATCTTGTTTTCTTTCGAGCCGTTATCTTGGAGAGGACAGGTCGGAGCAGCCTGTTGAACACATGGGATAACAGTCCACTTCTGTGAAGCATTCTTGATGTAACCATTCAAAATGCTCTTATAAGAATACTCCATAGCTCATTCCTTTAAAGTAGGATGTTCATCCCATATCGTCAATGGAAATTCTTAAATACTTCTGGTCAATTGCACTAAGATTGCTCAACTAACGAATGAATTATTACAGATAATCCCAATTCCCATGATCCAATCTTGACTATCAAATATATGTGTAGACTTTCATGAGAAATTCATCGGAAATAACTTCTTGCTGGAAGCAACAAAAAGTTTTCTGTCACTACACAGCTTAATGATTCAAGTCCAGGGTCAAATTAAGGCCAATGTTCAGAGTTTAAGTAGACTTTTATTGCCCCTTGAAGCATCAGCACTTGTGATATTAAATGTCATCTATCGGTAAGAGGCCGAAATTTTAAAACATATATATTTTGAGGTAGGAATAGAGGAAATTGTGCGGTGTACCGCATTTCGAGAATGACTCTCGTCTTTGGCTTTCGAACGATCGAAAAAAAAAGTAGTATTAAAACACGCAGGTCCAAGTTTCTCCCACTCGTGCAGGCTCATATTGTCAGCGGACAACTTACACAAAATTGAGAGCAAGGCGTAAAACGAAAAGCTTCTAATTTTTCATGCGAAGACCGCTGGAAAACTGAGCCCTCTTTACCGGGAGAAAATTTGCCGAATATGACCAACGTGAAACATATAATGATCTTTGAAAACCGGCCCATTCATTTGCTCGAGAGCTTTGGTTCTTTGGAAGAGTATTTTTACCATATGTTCCCGCCTTCCCGGGCCATTTGTGACCGCGTTCTTACACGGTAGTCATTGAGGGACAACATTATTACAACAAATAACGATATTCCGGCAAAAAGAACCGTATATCTCTGATTTACGTTCAGCAGGCGACGGGAGGTTGGAAGATGCTACGAGTCGTCCTAATGGCCGAGTAGTTTAGTTGAGATTATATTTTTTGGACCCGTGTACCTCTTCAAAACGAATTGGTCTTTCTGTTATGAAGAACCAATAATATAAACTTATTCTGGCACAGACAGTTGTATCCATGAATTTTCAGATCGTTTTTATGGCGGAGAATGATATATTTTTAATCTGTAGGGCGTCGCACACACTGAGCCTGCGTGAACTTGCTGCGTTTTCTGTTTTGCAAATTCGCTGAATTTCCGGGATATCTAAGTAGAAATGATGATGATGATGATGACTCAGTGATGGCTGTTGCTGAAATGAAACCCTCCATAATATTTTGACGATAATCGCTTCAAGTCAAACTGATCTATACCGTAAGCTCAATCATTACAACCATATTAACAATGATCAACACACATTTAGACCGTATATATACCATTGTACTGATTTTAGCAAGATCAGTTCTTCTCAGTGACAAAGACCATCGAGTCTTTCCTTGATTCAGTTTGGCCACTAAACCACCTTGAACTGTTTTCGCCGGTTCAAGTGAATCACAAACTGTACGATTATAGACTATATATATTGCGGTTTTTATTTTATACCGTTATGATTGCAATCATCGTATATGTCCGAGGGGGTATAAGGTAATTAACCATTTCATATATAGGGTCATTGTATTCCTCCATGCAAGAGGCATTGACGTATGGCTTAAAAATAACCAGTACCTGATTGTTAATATTACTAGAGAGATCTATTGCTTTGAGTATATTTAGAAGTGTATATTTCAGCCTGGCAGTGATTATATAACATTGTACAGAAGTGTCTGTGTTCGCACTCCATAGGAGCGATTGTATCAGCTTTTTATAAAACCGTGTAACACCCGCGTTATATCGTCCAATGTTTTTGCGTGCATCGTCTTGGCTCAGGACCAACAGCATCAAATATTTTGCAATATCTATTATATATACTGATGCATCTCTCACGATCGATATATCCGAAGAGGAAGATTTTATATCAAGTACCAGTCAATATATACAAGAGTAGTTATATTAATTTACTGAACAATTTTTCTGGAGATCTTTTCCATGCCACGGACCACGGTGTAGTATACCTCTAGTTAATATTTCCCCTGCTTGCTCCTTGACTTTGTCCTCCTGAACCCGAGTCAGGAACGCAGACTGGGGGTGTAAGAGTAAACGCACAAATTCCTTGTTGCATGTTTGAACACATCGGGTCACAGTCTTCATGTTTGGTGCACTCGGTGATATAATCTGGAACGCAACTGCCATCCTGAAACAACGCGAACGTTTTCATGTTTATTGCTATCTAAACTTTAAATTTGTGCAGTGAGATTTTAAAGTTGTGATTTCTTTGATGCATCTGAACGAATGGCTGAGCTAGAGGTATTTGAATAAATCCAAAGCTATACATATAAGCATCCTTTGTATCTCTACCAGAAGACGAAAATCGCCCAGGAAATCGCTGTAGAAATGACAAGCCTGAACAGGTCTTTAAAAGAGAGGAATTTCATTCCTAATCTAACGATCAATTCTTAACTGATAAGTTTATTTGTTACCAATTAAACCAAACACTAGCGAAGAACTACAAGTCATTAGATACACTTGAAACTTCTTGCTAAAACTTCACAGCAATTGACGGTAAACATTTGATCGTTATCTTGCTGTAAGTTTTCGGTTCTGGCTTGCCATTTTTTAGCAGTTTTTTGACCTGAATGCCCCAAAGCTATGATGAATATTATATGAATACAAAGCATACCACAGGTTTCATTATGAGAATGAACACACACGCTATTGACGCCAGAACCACGAGCCTTGACAATTCAAATGCCATGTATACACAGACACACTTTTTTCTCTGTCAACTGTAGACGAACGTTTTTTCTGTTTGTTTCTGAAGCTGCTTCGTGCACCAATCTGAGCTCGATATTAGCGTAAAGCGAATGTCGAGATCTATTTATCTCAAATACGATGCGGAAATTGCATTTACGAAATGTTACTTTTTTTAGATTGCCAGAAGATGATTGCTATCGTCAAATAAAGATCTTCTTTTTCTCCAGCCCAAGGGCCTAGCTGTGATTGAGCCGTTGAAGTGAGGCCAGCCGGCCATATTTGGAGAGATATGGTAAACACTCTGAGAGGTACGTATGCTTTTTTTCATCGTCAATATGTTGTCTTTGTGGTTAACGGCTGTTGTGAACAAGAATATAAAAAAAACCGCCACCCCCAAAAAAAAAGTCTACGGAGGGCATTTGCGGGCGCTATTTGGATCAACACCTATCTTTATTTAGAAAAAACCTCCATTAAACATTTTGATTTTTAAAAATTACTTTATACAACGTGATCTCGTGCTCATATTCCAGCCAATCAGGGCTCAGAAAAATTGTCGAAATAGAAAACCATTCTGCAGTATTTAATCCATTATATCTTTTGTTTCTCTTCATGACTGCAGTCGAAATTTTGTGATTACGTTTAGTTGCAAGAACTATAGCTCTGACAAAAACTTGGGATTAAAACAAAGTATACTCCAGAATGTATGCTTTTTTTAACTAGGAGATATTAACTGCCTTAACTGTTTAACAACTTACTATTCCCACAGTGGTCAAGCTAATTTTTCACCAGCCTGGTTGGTAACTCAGATGAGCACCATCACAATAAAAATTCACACGAGTCATGCACATTGCACATATCACCATATCTTCCAGGCTTCCATCCCACAGCAAATTCAAACTCATCTCAAAAATATAGTTTCACTTTTTCACTGCGATTAATATATATATTGTATATCCAAGAGGGACCATAACGTATAGTGAACTGTGAACCATTTCATATAGGTTATTTCCTTAAAAGTCTTCAGCTTTGTAAACACTTCTGGCCCAGAGCCTAGACCTTGCTTTGAACTTGATTTCTTTAGTGTATACCTATACTTTAGCAGCACCCAGGCTGGGCAGTCTATAGGCGTTAAAGAGACAGTGCCCTTTTGATGTATAGATAGGGCTAGAAATAACATCCAATAGGCATTGACTATTATAATGGCAACACATGACTTCATGTGCGATCATAAACTCTTAATTAGGAAATGTGTTTACAAAGATATCAAAGGCGTTTATACTGACATATTAAGTTCTATATTAGCCGGTGAATTCTGTAGTGGTTACAATTATAATTATACAGCGATGTTTCTTGATAAGCCTTTCACAATATCCGACAGAGAGAGATAACTATCTACACGAAGCAAGCTTAAGTGTTACAATTCTTTCATTCCCCCCCGAGCCAGGCAAGATCTAATTTGTCTGTCCTCCTGTGTTGGAATCAGAAACGCAGACTGATGAAGAAAGAGTTAAATCACATATTCCTTGTTGCATGTTTGAGCACATTGGATCGCATTCCTCGTTACTGGTGCATGGATGAAAATAATCATTAATACAATCTCCAGCCTAAAATAAGGCAAAGGTTTTCGTTAGAAATTGATAGTTGATAATAATTCTGTATATAGAATTTATTTGATGTACTAAACACTGCGAATTTCGTTTACAGAAATATAAATATATTTTAGCGTGAAGCAGTACATGTATATACACTGAGATATATGAGAAATTATAAGTTTACGTTTTTAGAAAACGTGAAACTTTATATATATTAATGGCCAACATGCATTCGTCTTTGAACTAGGATAAATCAACCATGGATATATATCCCAAGATTGATAAATATATAATTAAAACTTACCACGGATTCATTCATGATAAAAAGCACACAAGCAAGAACCACGAAGATATTTCTTGATAATTTAAACGCCATGATGAATATCCAGTCTTTTTTTAATTGTCACTGAAAACGAGATGTCTTCTCAACGTGATTTTTTGTTCTCAACTTGCATTCTGTCGTAGTTTCTTCATTTTTATAGATTATTAAAAGGTGATTAGTATGGCCACGAACCAACCGCTTTTTTGCTAGCTTAAGTGGCTATCATACTTCCAGCGAGTACGTGCACTTATCAGACATCCTTTTTTGGGAGAATGTAGGCGGGTGAATGTTATAATTTGATGATAGATAGCATGTGCCATGCACGACACAGTGGGGTATATACTTTAATGATTGTATAACCAGTCCTATATAATTGCCTCGTTGAAAAAAATACATTACATCTTAAAGTGGTTTCATGAAATGAAACATTCATTGATTAGAATTGCTTTCTTTTTTTTACCATGTTTATTGACTCGTATATCCGAAAAGTACCATAACGTAGTTAATCATTTCATATAGGTTATTTCCTTAAAAGTATTTAGCTTTGTTTACAATTCAAGCCCGTTGCTATATAGGTCTAGGCCTTCAAGAACAGATGTCCCTTTGATGTATAGGGTTAGAAATAACATACAACAGGCATTGATTATTAAAATGAAAACACAGAGATCATATGAGAGTGTATTTGTGTATAGTTGTTACCAAACTGTTAGCACTATATATACAAAGGTGTTTACACTGACATGATTTTAAGTTCTATAAGTGTATTCAGTGTATAAAACAACATGCACCATTAAACTACAGCGAGGTTTCTTGGAAAATTTACTGATAATCTTTTTATGATAACTATTTACATGGAGAATTTTAACTGTTGCAGTTCTTTTCTCTCCTGAGCCAGAAAAAGTCTAATTTATCTGTCCTCCTGTGTTCGAATCAGTAATGCAGACTGATGGGAAATGAGGACTAAATGTGACACATATTCCTTGCTGCATGTTAGAGCACATTGGATCGCATTCCTCGTGACTGCTGCATGGATGAATATAATCGATAATACAATTTCCAGCCTAAAATACGGCAAAGGTTTTGTTGGAAATTGATAGTTAATAGTTGATTCTGAATACAGAATTTGCATGAACACTGCGAATTTGGTTTCCAGAAATCTAAATATTTTAGCGTGAAGCAGTCAACGTATATATATATATATATATATATATATATTTTGATTAAAAGTTATAAGCATTTCAAATTTTCTTCAACTTTACACCACACAGTGTATATCAAAACTATGTGAAAATTTGAAGTTCACGTTTCCCATATATTTCATTCATGGTTCAAATTTATTGGAAAACGTATAAAACTATTAATAGTTTAATTATATCCCAAGATTGAGAAATACATATAATAATGAAAACTTACCACGGATTCACTCATGACAAAAAGCACACAAGCAAGAACCACGAAGATATTTCTTGATAATTTAAACGCCATGATGAATATCCAGTCTTTTTTTAAGAGTCACTGAAAACGAGCTGTCTTCTCAACGTGATTTTTTCTTCGCAACCTGCATTCTGTCGTAGTTTCTTCATTTTTATAGACTGTTAGAAGGTGATTAGTATGGTCACGAACCAACCACTTTTTTGCTAGCTTAAGTGGCTATTGTGAGTGCACTTCATCAAACACCCTTTTTTGGGATAATGTAGGCGGATAAATGTTATAATTTGATGATAGATGGCATGTGTCACGCACCACACTGTGGGGTATATACTTTGATTTAAAACAGATTCACTGCATGTGTGGTGTTTATGGTCATAGCCTGCCAAATAAAATTAATGAGAACTAGAGTTAGTAGTTACGTTTTTTACATGCTTGCATGATCACTGAATAAAGACACAAAGTTTTCTAACAGTAAAAGCATGTCATTCATAATTATCATGTCATCTTGAGGGTTTATGTGAATTGTGAAAAGCATGAGTGACGGTCTGAGTGTTGCAGTCTTCAGGAAAATTCGTTAAACTTAGACCTCCACATTTCATTCCCATTTTATAATTGTTACCTGTGAAAGAATGTCACAACAAAAAGAAAGATCTTTAAAAGTGGCTACTATAAAAAGTCTATATATACAAAATGAATGAATACTGCACGATGAATATTGAACGAATTACATGTAACTTTGTATAACAATATTGTCAAATTTTGCCGGGCAAAATCAGTATTAACAACTATAGTTAATTTTGTTCGTAAATTGATTAATGAGTTTGTTAATTAAAATTTACGTATTTACGTATTTCATGTTAAACCATCCCTAAAACACTTTCTTAAAACACTTTCCTATTAAAAAAGAATATTCTGGGTGTATAAAATTATATACCAATACAACTGAAAGGGAATTTAACATTTAAATTTTCAAATATATGCGTTTAAACTAAGTGAAAATCCAACATTTATTTCGTACAAGGAAAGGATTAATTTTATTTGAAGGCAACTGATCTAATCTATGTAAAACATTTTGCCCCATAACAGTTCAAATCAGACGAGAACGATTTTTACTGAGACACTCGATAGAAACGCCCATAGTCTCAAGAAAAAGAACAGACGAATTATCTTTGCATGGGGTTGTCTTTATGTAAAAGAAACAAAGAATAAAATTACAGTCTGTGCCAGGTTAGCGTGCCCACACTAGGTACCATGCACCTAAGGGACCAGTGAAATCAGCGGTAAAGTCAGTGGTATTACCATTGCCGTACGAAGCAAGCCGGCGGTATTGAGCCCCTAACAATGGGCAGAAATGATGATAAGCCGGGCAATTTATACTCGAGTGTCGGACAGTTTTTGATGAATTATCAGCTAATGATTCGTCCGCCCTCAAAAAAATTTCAGGACTGTACGCGTACGAGTATATAACTACTCCTAATTGCGTCGTTGAAAGACCGTATTACATTTTAAAGACCTTCATTTTAGATCATCGCTTCGCCATTCTTGGTAAGAGTTTTCTTAGACGTTACTATTTTATTTTACCCTCGAGATAACACTGTTGACGCAGTAAGTTTATAAACAGATATCTTTCAATTCTCTCTCTTTCACTATTCTTTCCGTTGTCCCCCGGAGAGCTTGTTAAAACCCAACCTAAAATGGTCATAAGTGTTTAATAATAACTATGCTGATGGCTGGTTTGCCCGTTAGGAGAACGCACAATTAAAACGGTTAAAACTGATCTGACAGATTTGAAAACAGCCGGAAATCTGAAACGTCGCGAAAATGAGGCATAGGTCCTCTGGCAGGAATCATACTGACTACCGGCTTCTCTTATCAAGGAATTGCGAGAAAACGTTTCCAGTTTCCTTTTTGAAACAAGGAAGGGTGATAATGGTGATAGCACTGGTCTGAAATGGCAGACAGCAGCCAGTTACTAGTTGCAGTTCGTAAATCGTAATAGTTCTTGTCAGAGAGAGCCGTATTCTATCGCAATGCCCCCGGTCTGGTCCTAATTCCTAAAATCATAAAATTTCACGATTCTTCGTTCCCTAAAATTACTAAAAACCATCGTCAGTTTACAAATAATTTTTTCTCGGGATTTTTCCTATATATCAGTATAACATGAAGTATCCACTTACAGGCAATGTAACAATTTTACGTTTACAAAGGTGTTATTTATAAATATTAAATGATAACGAAATAAATAAAATACCTGCTCAGCGCTTTTCACTTCAGAAGATATTGTTTTAAATGGATCGATTGAAAAGAATCGTAAATCAGATCGCATTTTAGATATAATCTATGAGGAACAGTCATTTAAATGAGATGTAAGAGGTATCCTTTGCAAAAATATTTGATTTTCGTATTAAAGCACTGTTTATTATTTGTATAGTCATTATTATGTCAACGATCACTTTGACATTTCCTTTCGATCGTCTTAATCGCGTCATATTTTTGTTACTTTAGTAGTAAATTTATATATTTTCGCTTGTGCACGGAGCTATTACAAACGGAACTTCATTGCAATTTGAAAATGTGATCATTGCTATATTAGTATGAGAAAATCAGAAAAAACTACCCCCTAAGAGCATATTGAGTTCAGAAACATTGATACTAAAATAGCTTCGTATTTGCAGGCTTAAACCTGCCTGTTTTTTCAAAGGTGTTATATCCCCTGTGTTATAACTGTTATTTGCTGATCAACTGTAATTGTTTAATATATATGTAATATTTTTTAGGATGATACAACATCTTTGCCTGACATGGAACTATTTTGAAAGTTCAAATGTCGGAAAATGATTTTGAGGAAATGGATTATTGGTTGCTACCTTGTATATTGTGTTACCATTGGCCTTGCATATCAAAGAAAGCAATTTCATAATTATGGTATGTAATTGGATCTGATCTAGCACTGTCGCAAACATGGCCTAGCATGTATGGTTGAGGAGGAAGCAAGAGTAAAGCCGGTTTTCCACTAGCGATATTTTTCGCGCGAAGCGACATTTTACTTTTGTTTTAGAGCTCTCAAATGCAACCACCTGGAACAAATTGCTCTAAAACAAAGGAATAAAGTCGCTTCGCGCGAAAAATATCGCTAGTGGGAAACCGGCTTAAAAATCTTCATCCTTCAGAAAGCTTTCCGAAGCAACCTGGGCGTAATTTCGTTAGGAAAAACTGGTTCCAATAAACTACATAAAAGTCAGCTGTTATAAGTCATGGTTTACTGTGTTGATGTAAAATGAAATAGCCTTCACAAACTCATTCATAGGCCTATATTAATGCAAGGGAATGCAAATTCATAGAATTTGTATGCTTTTTTATTGACTGGAATTGAGTATTCATCAGGATTACTTAGTAAAGTTACATCTGCTAATGTTACATGAAGTTCCATTAATTTGTTCCTCAGTTACTGACATAAATCCGGAATTTTTTTAATGGTTAAGGTCTATGACCATAGTTGCATGATGTAGGCTGTAACAAAGCTCAGGATAGCAGTGATGCTGGTTATGTGTGAGAAGTTAGAATGGACAGCATGACTTGCGACGAGGTTGCTGTCGATTTCGAAGTCTGGCCCAGGAACCGCAGCTGCATTTTGGTTTGGAGCCTGGTTACAAATATTTATTTTATTCGTGATGGGGATAATTCCATTGGATACACACGATAAATGGCTCATGCATTCATCTCTGTTCACCTTTGTGACTGCGTATTGTTGGTCGATGGAGCACACGTCTGTGTTTATCACGCATATCATTCTTATGACTTTCTTGAAACAATCATCGAACGCTTGCTGTTAGTTTAGAAAAGATTATCGTCAAGTTCTGCTGTCTTGAACACGGCCAGGGCGTACATAAGATACGCCCTGGCACGGCTAAATACGTTCAACTATCTTTCACCAAATTGCTGCAACTTTTGATAGTAACTAAGTTCGTGTTGTTTAGTACAACTATTGTTTCTCCGGTAAAACTTAGCGTCCATTTTAGTCCATTTTATACTTCGTTGAATCTCGGTAACCGGGCCTGTTTGCATGGAGCGAGTTATCCCGGCTTGGCGAGGGAAAAAGCACATCACATCAAAGGCTTAACCTGATTAGTCTTTCATTATAAGCAGTTTTCACCTCGCCTAGCCGAGATAACTTACTCCATGTGAACAAGCTCTGAGTCCGGTATAGCCACACTTACCCCCACTGTAGAAAAGAGAGCCAGCTTGTCGCTGGATTCGAAGTTTTTGGTCGAATTCACGATTGGAAACGTTGGCACAGGACATAGCTTACTTCCGGTCATATTTCTCGTAGTGTTGATACAAATTTCGTTCGACGCAAGCTGTCTGATCACGTACCAGGCCGAACAGGATTGCATTGCGCATGTCAGAACTACGAGGCATGCTAGGACGCGAATAAGCATCGCGGTATCTTTTAAACGTTCCTTCGGGAAAACGCTCCCAGGTTTATGCCTACTTTGTTACTCGAATTTCTATTAACGCAATTAATTCATTGACGAAGTTAATTGGGACGCGCGCGCGCGCGCGCTCTAAGTTTTGCGCAAAAATTTAAAAGGAAGAACGCTGGCTAGGACACTTTTATATTCACGGACGAAATATATCGTTTTCTTGTATGTTCATGGAGACGGGTTTTTTTAAATCTAAAATCACTGGGTATCTTAATTCTATCAATTTGTCATAATCACAAATGCCCGGTGCTTAGTTCCAATCCTTCTTGGGAATTTTGAGTTTTTTCACACAAGTTTCTAAATCTTTTGTTATGTAGAACTTCGTCAAAACTCGAATGGAAACTACAGATTTGGCGCCCATATTGATTCGTCACCCATCAATAAATTTGCAAAAACAATATACGATCAACTACGACAAGCTGCGAGCAAGGTGCCGAAAGGTGTCCGTGATGTTCCGAGGTCGCACGGGTTCGAGTCGAGGCCAGGACGTGCGAGGGCCAGCTTGTTTGGTAGGTCACGCGGTCGTGAGATCTCTGGGGAATTGGTTCCGCGGAATGGGGAAATCGTTGAGATTGTGGACGAGGACGCGAGGAATAATGATGTTTTGAAACGTGATGAGATCAGGAGACCCGAGGTGACCCCGGGTATTTCAAGGGTAAGACATGATAAACTGAACACCGAACAAAGCCTAACTGAGGTGGTAGATGATGATAAAGAGGGTTATCAAAGATTTGAACAGGATATAAGTGACAATGGTAATATTCGTCTTAATGCGAATGAAAATAGGAATCTGTTACAAAGAAAAAAATTACTTTCTAAGGAAGATTTGAACCGTCTTTATTCGTTATTCGCGAAAAGTATCGATAAACACAGACTTGATAATAAAAGTCAAAATCAGGATAGTTATTCCAAGACTCGCAAGACAAATATACCATCAGGTGTTATGAATACTCCTGATTTTGACGAAAATGAATTGAAAAGTCTTGCGAGTATTATGGATAGGATAAATGGCGAGGAAAAAAATCATAATAAAAACCCTGTCGGCGATCAGTTGAACGTTGACGATGAAATTACAAAAAATAATATCGTCAACAAACCTAGCAACAATAATTACAACTATCTCAATCGCATGAAAATAGACTTCTTAGATGCCATTGCAAAGAAACATGGCATTATAGCAATTTCTGACGATATGATGGCTCATAATGACAGTGAACATCACAATGACGATAGTAACAGCAGTAGGTATCACAGCCACGATGTGAAAACTCATGACAACAGGTTGTTGGTAAATGTTGAGGAAGCCAGCAAAAATAACAACAACTATAACGGCAGTAACAACAACAGTTACAAAGACAACAACAACAGCAGTTACAGCGACAACAACAGCAAGGACAACAGCAACAACAACAGCATTTACAAAGACAACTACAACAACAGTCTTAACGACATCAGCAACAGCCGAAATGACAGCAACAACCCCGCCACCCACACAATCACAAAAGAAAACAAGAACAACAACATCTATAACGGCAGCAACAATAACAACAACGACCATAACAACAGCAGCAGCAGCAACACCAACAACATCCATAACAGGAGCAACAACAACAACAACAACAACCCCGCCACTAACACAAACACAAGCAACAAAAACAACGACAGCAACAACAACCCCGCCACTAACACGAACAAAAACAACAACAGCAACATCCATAACAGCAGCAACAACAACAACAACAACAACCCCGCCACTAACACAAACACAAGCAACAAAAACAACAACAGCAACATCCATAACAGCAGCAACAATAACAACTACATGAGTCACAAGACAATCCAGGCTGAAACCAAAGACAACACCAACGATATTAAACTACAAACTGATCCGGAAAATGAAATTCAAGCACTAATAAAAAGTATCAGGAGATTAAAAACGAATGGAAAAGGAATGAGTGACGTACAGTTGACTAAACTAGAAGATACAGTTCATGACTTTCTTAATTTGAAATCTCTTTCCAACATAGAACGGACCGAAAATGACGGTAAAGTCGTGGTGTATTTATACCCCCGCGCTTCGTTGTTTTGAGTTGCTTTTGTTTATCAGTGTCATACGTTTTCTTGCTCGTAATTTTGTGTTTGTTTTAAACAGCGTTTTCTACAAATACCAGTCATTGGGGCCAGTGGTCAATGTGGTCAGCGTGCAGCGCAACGTGCGCCGGTGGAAAGCGATCACGTGAGCGGAAATGTGGAAATGCTTTGACCGACGATGAAAATACATGCCCTGGGTCCAGCGTAGAAACTGAATCTTGCGTCGTTCAGAGCCACTGTCCAGGTGTGTATCATGGACGGTGTTACATCAGGAAAATTTATTTATCCAATCATTTATCTTCCATCTCCAATCATTTACATTTATACAATTTTTAGTCGACGGAGGTTACACAGATTGGACAGCATGGTCCAGTTGTTCAGAGACTTGCGGTCCGTCAATACAAATGCGCATGCGTATCTGCATGAACCCGAGGCCTCAATACGGCGGACGAGATTGTGCTGGATCGAGATTTAAAATTCGAAATTGCACCATGCCTGCTTGCTATGGTAAGCAATTATTATTTGATTATATATTATTCTGTCAAGTAAACATTATTTACACTGCATAGGTATATCAGTTGTAGTTATATCTAATTGTCATTAACTCGAACATTTTTACAACTCTGTTGAAGCCCAAAAAAGCACTAAAAGCCCTGAAAAACTCGACTGACCAATGATAGGAAGGATTGCACGAAAAATTAAAGTGACTTTGTATTATTGTTGTCTTAGACAAAATTGCTACTGCAGAATCATCTAACCAAAGTGAAAGTAATGACCTCGATTCCAGCGAGCTCCTTGATAGTTTGAAAGCAGTCTTACAGTTAAAAACATCAAGTCTTGAAGACAAATTATCCAACCAACCTACTGACACCGCTTCGAAGCTGTTTGATACTATCTACCATGGAGCTGATGAGGTTACAACTCCCGGCATCCCGGAAAACTTGTCCAAAAGCGATAAGTCTGGCGAAGGAACAAGTGACAATAAGGGAAATGACCTTAAACCTGGGTCCAAAGTGTTTGCCAAAATTGGGAATTCGGTTGGGCTTACAAATGCTTCGTTGAAATCAGTTTCAGACCAAAGACCTGCCAACGAAAACAACGGCTTCTCCAACAATGACAAGCTTTTGGAAGAGAGCAAAAGCATTTTGTCGAATGAAGAAGATGGTTCTCTTAGTTCACATTTGAAGAATACTTCTGACAATGCAGATAATGATGTCAGCGTGTTTGGCGGTAAAACGTCGAAGGAAAAATTTGGAAATGGTCTGAATTCTCAGGACGTAATAAAAACGGGACGCGGTGAAATTAGAGGAAGGGTATATACAGGTGATTATAGTGACATTGTTGAAGAAAGCCACGCGTTAGAATCAGAGGGGTTTGACCAAAACCGCGATGTTAAAAAGAACAGTATGACCCCTCCTGTAAACAACATTGCCATTAAGAAACTCGATTCAATTTTCGTGAACCATGTTGCTCATGATGCTCAGAATAGCAGTGATGAAATCAAGGCTAATGAAATAAACACACAGAACTCCATTTTGAACATGCCCAATCCACAGATTACAACCTTCAGAGGTTCAAAAACCAGCCCCCAAATCGGTCGAAAAGGAAACTCAACCATACGTTCGAACGGCAAAAAACAAATGAACTTTGAACTGACAGAGAAACTTTATGATCAGGTTTTAAACACGTCCACGCTGAAAACATTGCTGGGTTCTAGAACGTCTGAAATGCAAGATGGCCACGTGCAAACCATGGTGTCTACACCTGCACCTCACGTGAACAATAACGTGCGATTACGAACAGCTAGTGTTACCACTACCGTCAATGGTACCTCCGTGTCCAGTTTATTGGGTGTTATTCGAGATGATTCGGACGATCGTTCATACAAAGGTTTGTGTATGCAGATATTTTACACGTTGTGTAGGAATGATTGGCCAACTAGAAAACTGCTCATCCAAAAAACTGCACAACCAAATTGACAAAGAGAAATTTACGCATCCATTTGTTTAGGAAACAGTGAGAAGATCTCACGAAACAAAACAATCCTGATTCGCGATGATGGAGATTGGAGCGCATGGTCCAGTTGTTCTTCATCTTGCGGTCATGGCTATCAGACTAGAAGTAAAGAGGTATGTCTACTGTCCTCTGGAGGGAATGATTGCTCACATGTGAAAATACAGAAGAAATCTTGCGTGGAAAGGAACTGTCCAGGTTAGACATAGAAACGGCAATATTTTCTTCAATATTGGATCGTTTTTTCAACCTCCTAAAGCCTGTAACAGCCATTCTTCAAGCTTGTTTTTACTCTATGATTAGAAATCCAAAACAAACCTTCATATCGACTTGTGAAAGTGAGGAAAATGCAAAACGATTCGACTCAAGGATATTTTCATCACCACGACGATGTCTCTTTAGCAGGCAGTATTTCTCCAGGTGATTTTAGACTAAATTTTGCGTTTATTGCATTTATGCTATTTTGTGACTGACCTTTTTAAGGTGCAGTGTGTTTTTATCATTATTCTGTATATTATTTATACAGACAAAGATGCATTTTCCACCGGACAAAAACACGAGACAGAAATAATGGGACTAGTGAGACCAGGTAGGTATTAGAATAGAGTTTGTTTTCAAGTGAGATGTTATGTGTCGACTGCTTTCAAAACAATGTTTCCTGGTTGGTGCACCTTCAAGAATCATTGATCAGTGTTTTTTATACAACCAATATCATAAAACTATATCTCTTGCTTGTTCACCATCAGAAAACATGGCAGGTTGTTGAATTTAAACATCGTTTATTTTCGTGCAGAGCTGGACGCGGATTTCTATCCCTGGACGCCATGGACTGACTGCTCTCAATCCTGTGGCCAGGGGGGTGTTCAAACAAGAACCAGACGATGTCAAAATGTGGACAAACCAAACTGTGTGGGAGCCTCTCAGGAGAACAAAACATGTTCTATAAGATCTTGCCCGGGTATGAATCTCAACTCTAAATGTCCGTTATTGATTAAATATTACTAGGAGGAAACCTAAACTAAACTAACTTTATTTATACTGAATAGCTCTATCAGTTCTAAACTGTTCTTCCTAGAGGTCCAGTAAGGATCATCTCGTATTGATCCAGTGTTACTACAGGAGGAAACCTAAACTAAACTAACTTTATTTATACTGGATGGCTCTATCAGTTCTAAACTGTTCTTCCTAGAGGTCCAGTAAGGATCATCTCTTATTGATCCAGTGTTACTACAGGAGGAAACCTAAACTAAACTAACTTTATTTATACTGGATGGCTCTATCAGTTCTAAACTGTTCTTCCTAGAGGTCCAGTAAGGATCATCTCTTATTGATCCAGTGTTACTACAGGAGGAAACCTAAACTAAACTAACTTTATTTATACTGGATGGCTCTATCAGTTCTAAACTGTTCTTCCTAGAGGTCCAGTAAGGATCATCTCTCATTGATCCAGTGTTACTACAGGAGGAAACCTAAACTAAACTAACTTTATTTATACTGGATAGCTCTATCAGTTCTAAACTGTTCTTCCTAGAGGTCCAGTAAGGATCATCTCTTATTGATCCAGTGTTACTACAGGAGGAAACCTAAACTAAACTAACTTTATTTATACTTGATTGCTCTATCAGTTCTAAACTGTTCTTCCTAGAGGTCCAGTAAGGATCATCTCTTATTGATCCAGTGTTACTACTGGAGGAAACCTAAACTAATCTCTGTGTAGTGTTTGGTTAACATCTATTTTGCACGTCTGTGTAGTGAATGGTGATTGGTCGGCTTGGTCAGATTGGACACCCTGTTCACAGACTTGTGGCAAGTCTGTCAAGTTACGCATGCGCAAGTGCGACAATCCTGCAGCCTCAAATGGCGGCAGAAGTTGTTATGGACACGAAAAAGAGGAAGAACAATGCGACCTCCAAGTTTGCTCTGGTTGGAATTTTCAAATTTATTTCTTTGAATCACTCGATCAAACAACATATGCCTAAAACATAATCAGAACTTTTCGCTCGTTTGGATCCAAAAAGATAAAATTCTAATGATTTTTATCGGTTTTTCTTCAGTGAACGGTCAGTGGTCCTCTTGGTCGGCTTGGAGTGACTGCCACGTGACGTGTGGACACGCCTTGAGGCAGCGATCTCGCAACTGTGACAATCCTTCACCATCTCACGGAGGACTTCATTGCGAAGGAGAGAGTGTGGAGCATTTGAGCTGCTACCTTCCATCTTGTCCGAGTAAGCCTGGGGAAAGTTTTCACAATTTTTAAATAGCTCTGGATCAGTTCTAAAAACATCTTTTGTGTCATAGTTGACGGAGGTTTCAGCCACTGGCAAAGTTGGAGCAAATGTCATAAAAGTTGTGGTGAAAACTCGTTCAAAACAAGGTTCAGGTTCTGTAACAATCCCCCGCCATCTGACGGAGGACACTCGTGTCATGGTGATCGCTTACAAGTGTCCAAATGTCCCAAAAAGATTTGTACAGGTATCGAATTTAGCAGATGGGATATTTAGCAGACGAAATATTTGGGTTTTGAAATGATTTTTCAACTAAATTTTCTTCTTTTAGAACCGGTAGATGGTGGCTTTAGTCACTGGTCCAACTGGTCATCGTGCAGCCAGAATTGCCGACTTGGTTCTTTCAAAAAGCGCACGCGCGTGTGTGATAACCCGAAACCGCTGTACGGCGGCTTGGAGTGCACTGGTGACACCGTTGAGAAATCCTATTGCAGTGTTGACGAGTGCAAAGGTTGGTACAAAACGAGTTCCTTCGTAGTTAAATTTCATTTTCCAAGCGAAGATAACCACGTTTTCCCATGTGATATATTTCTGATGATGATTTGCAGTGGATGGCGGGTTTTCTGATTGGTCCTCGTGGAGTTCATGCAGCCAATCGTGTGGAGACACAGCGATAAAGTCCCGTGAACGACGGTGTACCAATCCTCGGCCTTCGGGTGGTGGGAAGAATTGCTCTGGGGAAACCTTTGAAATCAAGCTTTGTGACAAGATACCGTGTCATCCAGGCAAGTGTGTTGGATGTTCAAACGAACAATCTTGTTTATCCTTTCATATATTAGTGCTTTTCCGCATTGGTTGGTAATTTTATTCGTGAAATATGCATTTGACTGATTATAATTTCACCTCAGTCACATGTGGGAAGAGTGCTTCCAGCTTGACTCTACCAAACACAGTGGTTAGTACATGTATCTTTCATCTCTGTGACTGAGGTTTGATTCCTGTAATATGCAGTTGTCTGATTATAATTTCACCTCAGTCGCATGTGAGAAGAATGCTTCAAGTTTTGACCGGCAACATTTCTTTTTTATCTCCGTAATTTAGTTCAAACAAGCCCCACACCAACAGCTAAAAACGAGCAAACAGACCCGCCACTTGTACAGACCATTATCGACGAAAAAGAGCAACTCATGTCGGAACGAAATAACGGGAATAACGCTGGAAATTTATTCTCAGATCTGAAGGAAAAACTGATTGAGAATCTCAAGAAACTCGCTCCAGACCTAGGACTGTCGCTCGGTAATACGACTTCAAAGAACAGTAGCACCCCAGGACAATTAAAAGCAGAAGGCGGAAATAATCACGTCACGAGCCCCACTCAAGGAGTTACTGAGGTTCTCGATGATGCTAGAGAGAAACCAAAGATGAAGTTTGGACAAAAAGCGAAGCAAGAGGTGGTTGAGGAACAGTTGAAGGATCCTGACGGTATAGATGTTGAATTACACACTGAATCATTAAGGGATTGTGGTATACTGTAGTTTATCTCAGGTTTCGCCCTGTATCAAAAGGAGATAATACTTGCTTATTTATATTATCCAGTATAAATAAATTTAGTTTAGTTTAGGTTTTCTTCTGTAGTAACACTGGATCAATAAGAGATGATCCTTACTGGACCTCTAGGAAGAACAGTTTAGAACTGATAGAGCTATACTGTAAGCTAATGAGTAATGTAACTCGGTCAATTGTTGCATATTATTTTTTTATTAGATGCATCTCAAGACGAGTCAAACGAAGATGTTAATCCTATAAAATCTTGTGGTTTCAATCCTTGTCGACTTGCGAAGTGTCTGGCAGACCCGTTTGCCGACTGCATCCCGAATGCAGATTGTGATCCTGTCTACTACGATAGCCTTGGAAACGTGAAAAAAGATTGCAGTGGTAGGCTTTGCGGAGAGCAACTATGACCTCTTTCTTTCAGACAGAACGTCCTTCTTCAAATTACATATTTTCTCGTTTTAGTTGAAACAACATTCCTGACCGTGCCTTCAAACGATCTATGTCAACGAGACCCCTGCCAAATGTCCATGTGTTTGAAACTGCCGATGACAAAATGTGTAACCAGTGCCTTGTGTAGGCCCGTCTTCTTTGATGAAACTGGAAATGTACTGAATTGCACAGGTAAGAAGATAAAATAGTTAGAAAGGAACATCATTCATATATAATATATACAGTGATTGTATCAGTATATTACAAAGGCGATTATCGAAAATTGTATCTACTGTTAGGCGATTTAACTTGGTGTTGGTCAGAGCTGTTTACTCTGCCTTTCATTCTAAGTGACCTATCTTAAACGCTAAATCATTTCAACGCTCCCAGCCTTACAGCTAACTATTGTATTGTACGCCATCACAGGTGTTTTGAAGACGCCTGTGCGATTATCGTGTGGTAAGGATCCTTGTGTTGGCAAATTATGCCCAGTCGATGCTCAAGCGAGATGCTTCACTGATCATGAATGTAAATCCACCTTCTGGAATCTAAATATCAAAGAAGAAATCCCCGAATGCAAGGGTAATAGTGGCATTTATTCATTTGTAGACATGTTTCATATGTGAGTCATTTTCCAATCGTTTTTCGACGTCGTTTTTTGCCTCAATCGCTTGAAGGCAATGTCCATCTGTTTAGTCATTGCCAGATTTCAAAATCTGGTGAAAACCAAAGCAAAACTTTCAGTCTTTTTTATTCTTTTTATATTTACAGATCCCGACGCTGGTGAAGAAAATGCTGACGAGCGTTCTGCAACGCCTTCCATGCCTGACGATGGTTCACCGTTCAGAAAAACTCTCCACAGACCTTGGATGAAACTGAGCAAGTCTGCTCTGAACGAGATCCTGAAACACAGTCAAAGCAACAGCATTTTAATGGCCCATGCAAAACTGAAGCATTTCCGTGGGAAGAGCAGGTTGACTTTGGTAAGTTTTACAAAGCATTCGTTGTACAGCAGGGCGATGTTGCGATTTTCGTCTTTTGATAAATGTGAACGAGTGAATTAGTTACAGATGCTCAATTACAAGCTGTTATACATCACAGCATTCCTAACTAATTCCTCGTTTGCATCAATCAAAAGACGAAAATCGGAGATGAAATTGCAAGTAATAATTCCATTTCACCATTCAGGGGCAGTCTGGGTTAACTACGACACTTCACGAACCTAACGACGATGACGTTACGAGAACGTCCGATGACGAGACGAACAATGCCGGGGACGTTTCGAACGATGCCGGGGAACGACTAAAACAAAACAACAACCCAAGGAAGAATCCCATTCTTACACTGACCTCTCTCAATGCTGACCAATACATGAGCCAGGGGGGGAACGGAGTTGGCGTGACGAAGGACTGGAAACTAAAACTAAAACCACCTATACACATGAATGGTTACGTCGAGAGTCCCCAGGTCTATAAAGTGAAGACGCTTGCACAAGATAGAGACCAAAATGCTGAGGAATATTTATTGAACCACCGGAAAAACGACCTTTTCTCCCAGGGTCTGTCTTCGCAGGGGCTAAATTCCGGGGGTCTTTCTTTGAAGGGACTAAATACAGAAGATCTTTCTTCGGGTCTCAATTCGGCCAAACTAACTCCTGATAGTCTTGATTCTTCGAGGTTCAATTCGGAGGGGAAAATCTCCCAGGCAGGAGGATTAACTTCCGAGGGTTTATCTCCCGGACGATTGCCGCTAGAAGGACTAAACTCCGATGGGGTATTATCACAAGAAAGACTTGGCCTGCATCCAGGTTATATGAGATTCACCCCTGCACAACAGAGTAAAGTACCAGGCACCTTTAACAGCATCGACAAACTTTTGAAAAGCGACGAGGCACATGTGGAAGGTGGTGTCATTGATTCTGTGCACGGGGTAACCCCAAACCCATACGATAAAGTTCTCAAGCAGGACATTAATGACTTGGAGAGTGCTTTATCGAATGCCGATGGTCAAATCCCCGGAGAGGGAAGAATCCCGGGATTAGAATCTCCCGCGGTACGCCAGGGACTGACCGCGTCCCTCACTCCAGAACTTGAGAAAGAAAGCCAAATAAATTTGGCTGAGATTGAAGCGGTCTCGCGAGGCGGGATGATACCGCGTGTCGGGAACACGCGCGCGATGTCGTCAGAAGTTCCTGTAGAGGATTTATCTGACTCGCAAGGAGGGCGCTATGTACCGCTTGACAGTGTTATTAACGATTTGCGGGAGCATATCGGGGAAGAACCGCTTAATGAAAATTTATTCAAATAGACTTCGCGTGAATTTTATATAGACAATGTCGATATGTGCATTTTAGGAATTGTAACTTCATGAATACAAAATATTGCAAATATTTTTGCTTCATAAGTCCCAGGGGGATATCTAATATAGACCCGTTTGTGAGAGGAAGTATTCGACTGAATTGAATCGATTCAGTAACAATGTGCTATTGTAGCCTCATTTGCGTTACAAATTGTTTGAGACATGAAGAAACTTTTGCAAGATTTCAAATGAACTACTAAACTAGTTATAAAATTACTTTTCGTCCACCAAATGTTGTTGTTTATTGTAGGTGGTACCGTTCAATAAATTGGTTCGAGTAACCTTCAAAACATTGCTGAAGCAATGGCTTTTTATTGTATCCGCAAGCGGTGTTTTCTAGTTTTTCGTTTCAATGTAATGTATGACCCGGGTAAGCACTAGACAAGCGCCATAGAGCATTATATTTTCTTTGTCACCACCTGTTGTAACTCCAAGGTCTACTGAAGCGCGTCAAAACTTGGCTTATTTTTTATTTTAATGTCCTTGATAGATATTAATATAGATATTTCAAATGATATTTCATGGATTATGGCTTGAGGGATAAGATAATGAGTATGAAATGAGTGTACAACATTTTCTGGTATTTTTGGAGGAACCATGGTAGGTTGCTCTGAGTTGATGTTGGACCGTCACTTAGAAAACACATCAAACACGTTGAGATTTATGGCACCTTCGTAGTTCTCTGGATCTAACTGGGAAGATTGGTTTTGAACTGTAAAAGCTATCCAGTATAACAAATATATTATTAAGAAATTCAGTTATCTAGTATAAATAAAGTTAGTTTACTTTAGGTTTCCTCCTGTAGTAACACTGGATCAATAAGTGATGATCCTTACTGGATCTCTAGGAAGAACAGTTTAGAACTGATAGAGCTATCCAGTCTAAATAAAGTTAGTTTACTTTAGGTTTCCTCCTGTAGTAACACTGGATCAATAAGAGATGATCCTTACTGGACCTCTCTAGGAAGAACAGTACAATGACATGCTGCTTTGGGTTGGAAAAGGTTTTATATACAAATTTTAATTATGGTAGCCCTAACCAACTTCTATGTCCTGTTTTATTTTTTTTAGATCAATGTAATTTTATCATGAAACTGGATTCCTCGTGGCAACTTGTCTCCTTTCTCTTGCTGCTCATTGGAAGAACCTGGGGTCAGAATACAAGCACAACTACGAGACAAAATTATACGAAAGATGTCAAACCAACAAGTAGACAACAAGTTCCATATAATTTCGATCTGGTCAATAAAAATGGAAGTTCAACTCTCATGTATTCTCAACGTGAGTGTATCTCCAGCGTTTCATTGTTTTTTCTTTATTCCGGTGCTCAACCCGAGTTTTCCGACATAACATTTGGCTTAAGTTTAAATCTTCTGATATCTTTCAGCAAATGACGTCGTAAATGGCGGTTTCACGGAGTGGTCAGCTTGGTCTGAATGCAACAGTCGTTGTGGCAAGCGGTCTCTAAAGTCACGTGAGAGATACTGTACCAACCCCTCTCCCTCAAGAGGCGGTGCTGACTGCAATGGGGAAAGATTTCAACTGGACTTGTGTAAGCTCGTTCCCTGTCCTCATGCGGTCACCTCTAGTCCGAGATTACGTCATGGTAAGGAAACCTTCCCTTCCACTTCCAACCAATGTCGAATTAAAATCTAAGGCTAAGATTTGCTCGAATGTGTTTCAGTGATTGGTAAGTTCGGGCAGTGGTCAGGTTGGAGCAGGTGTGATTGTGAGATGGGTTATCAGAAACGATACAGAGAATGTTTCAGTCACAAACACGGGCCTTGTGTTGGTCATGGAATAGAAAAAAGAGCGTGTAAACCCACAGGATGTAAAACACCAGGTACTACGGGTCGTGTGGAAATGTCATTATCAGTTAGTTCAGACACAAACCACGTCAGCTTATTGTAGAATACTTCCTACACTGGACCACCACGTTTGAGATATCTTTTTCAGGTAGTTCAGACACAAACCACGACAGCTTATTGTAGAATACTACCTACACTGGACCACCACGTTTGAGATATCTTACTCAGGTAGTTCAGACACAAACCACGACAGCTTAATGTAGAATACTACCTACACTGGACCACCACGTTTGAGATATCTTTCTCAGATAGTTCAGACACAAACCACGACAGCCTATTGTAGAATACTGCCTACACATTTTTTTTATTTTTTAGCTGCGGAGAAGTCCAGCTTAGTAGACATAGATCCAAAACAGTTCTGTGGCTTCAACCCGTGCGATATTTCAAAATGTCTCCTTGCGCCGCTCGGCTCTTGTGTCAGTGATTACAAATGTCGTCCAGTATTTTTTGACGAAAATAATAAGAGGATTCAAGGATGCGTAGGTATGAAACACCACTGACACTGTTGTCTTGATGACATACCATTAGTTTAAGTTTGGCGAAAACTTAGCGAATATTTTGTCCATATTCAGGCCAGCATATTTATATAACTCCTGCACAAGTGCCTCAGGTTTGTAAGATCAATCCCTGTGTCTTCACGCGTTGCTTAATGGACTTCACGGAAGAACGATGCGTTGTTGGAACGAGATGTCAGGCGGTTTATTACAGCGCTAGTGGACAGCCACAGAAATGTACAGGTTTGTTTGTTCGTTAATCGTTCGTGTTATGATAATCCCATCTCTTCCTTGTTTCTCTCCACCCTTTGTCTTCTTTTCTCCACCCTTTGTCTTCTGTTTGGAAGATTTTTTCGTATTAAATATGGTATCTTATTTCACCGCACAGCTGTGCTCAAGATTCCAGCTCATCAGGTGTGCGGCTACGATCCTTGTAATGGCGAATCCTGTGAAGACAATCCAAACGCCAGGTGCCTCGTAACAACGCGATGTCGTCCAGTGTTTGTGAACTCTTTCAACGAACGAATTCGCAAATGCGAAGGTATGTGAATCAGCTTTTAAGTCGCTAAAAAATGGTTATAAACAGTCAGGTTTGGAGTTTCAAATCTTTCTACGTGATCTTTCATTTTAAGAGGAAGTGGCTTCGAAGAACAACAGGATTGAAGAAGGTCGGGATGAAGAATTTGAGGCCGAGCCTGATGATGAAGATGATGATCAAGATGAGGAGAGTGATGATCAGGATGATGACGATAATCGATCGCTTTACGATGATTATGATCGCAACGATTCGGAGGATAATGATGATGATGAGTACGATAGTAATCGATATTCGTACCCGAAGCATTTTCATGGCGTGGAACGTGATGATAGTGATGAGTTAGTTCGTCCTGAAGTTGATCAAGGCAGCAGCGAAGATGGTGATGAAGACGACGAAGACGCTGACAGAAACCTAGATGATTTCAAGAAAAAATTGGCCAACGCTGAAACTAATCGTCCACAAGAGCATTGTAAGTCCTTGAGTAATTTTTCTTCCTAGGGGTCCAGTAAGGATCATCTCTTATTGATCCAGTGTTACTTCAGGAGGAAACCTAAACTAAACTAACTTTATTTATACTGGATTGCTCAATCTGTTCTAAACTGTTCCTCCTAGAGGTCCAGTAAGGATCATCTCTTATTGATCCAGTGTTACTACAGGAGGAAACCTAAACTAAACTAACTTTATTTGTACTGGATAGCTCTATCAGTTCTAAACTGTTCTTCCTAGACGTCCAGTAAGGATCATCTCTTATTGATCCAGTGTTACTACAGGAGGAAACCTAAACTAAACTAACTTTATTTGTACTGGATAGCTCTATCAGTTCTAAACTGTTCTTCCTAGACGTCCAGTAAGGATCATCACTTATTGATCCAGTGTTACTACAGGAGGAAACCTAAACTAAACTAACTTTATTTGTACTGGATAGCTCTATCTGGGTTAATTTGGGATTGATCTTTTATTGGTTTAGTAATACTGCAGAAGGAAACTCGTACTAGAATCCTTGCTTTCTTCGTATAACAAGATGTAAACAAGTCCAAATAAACTTCTTTTTTCAGCTGAACAGCACACGAGGCCGCAAACACCAAACGCGAACATGTTAGAGAATACAAAAAACTTCTCAAATCCATTGTTGAAATTATTGAACGTGGAAAACGGAGACAGAAGGTCAAAGAAACCTCACAAAGTAACCTCGAGTATCAATCCTTCTTCGTTCAATCTCCAGGATCTCGTGAGCGGGAAATTGGACAACTCTAGCGGATTAGTCGTTGGAACTGTCAAAAAATCCATGAAAATTCTTTCGAATAAAAAACCAACGACGTATTATTATTTTGAAACGAAAGGAAAGACACATAAAGACAATCGACAATTGTAAGCAAGCCATGTAACAGTTTTAAATGTGAATTTCAATAATCAGTTTTTCGATTGTTATGAAATGTTTTATTTTCTGCTTGTCCTCACATGTTCTTTGTCCTTTCAGCATGGTCATAACTGCTCCAAAAACCAAGAAATCTTCAGTCCATCCGAAAAGGTTGGTATCCTTTTTCTGCTTTGAAACAAATATCATGATTTCTTTGATATCCAAAGCTCTCAAAACCCCTGAAAAATTATATTTCGATAATATAGTCGCAGCCGTAAATTATGTAAACATTTTATCGAATATCTTTCATTGACAGTACAAGAAATCGTCAAAATTGAATTGCAGAGTCGAAGCAATTAAACTAGTGTAAAATTTAACTTTGAACTGTGAATTTTAATCGTTAACTGCATGTATTAATCAAATATTGATGAAGCCATAATCAGACTGATATATGCTGTGCGATGCAGTAAAAACATGCGATTTTATATATCTAAAAATGAAGAATATACCTATGCTTGTAATTATTTTTGTATTAACGCATTTTTAAACCGGATCTATTCAGAATAATGATATGTAATAATTTATCGCTAACTTATCAAGTAATTTAAATCAAATAATAATGATGAAAAAACGAAAGGTTGTAAAATAGATTTTGTATACTGAAAAAATAAATCACAAAAATAACACAGAATATAAATCTTTGCTTAATATTGAATCAAATTACTTGCTGAAATAATATGACGTGTTGTAGTCTTCAATGTAAAATGGTTGGTTTCGGGCGATGATACAAAGGTTACTGTGTTTGAAACATATAGAATTGAAAATACTGAGTACGACTTCCGATTGAGAAATGAATTTCACAAGAGTAATATCGATTGTGTTTGATGTTTGATGTCTGTTCAATATTATTATTATTCAAAATCTGTCTGTAGCAAGTCTGTAGCAAGTCTGACCCACCCAAGTCACTACAATGCCAAGTTTAGAAAATTTTTGCAGGTGGCATGAGAGAACATAAACAATAAAATATTCTATACATTTGGCTCACTTTTGTTTATTGTTAACATGCAACAGTAACTCAGAACGAGTGGACAATCGCTTTAATGGAATGACAACGCAGATTTTATCTATTTTCTTGTAGCTTTGAAATGTTTACGGTATGTACGTGAATATTCTTCCTGCTGTGAGACGACCCGATGGACCCCTGACATAGTGTCATGTTTTCCACGCAACTGTGGTTAAGACTTTTGCCCATCATTGGTTTGATCCAATGTCCTGTCAGTGTGAGCTCGCAATATTACGAGATGAATTATCTTGCAGGTATGAAAGATGTCCGTCGTGTACATGTTAATTGTCGTTTATCACATCTGTATGTGTTGCGAAATGCCAGTTCTAAACTACTCTTCCTAGTTCCTACAGGTCCAGTAAGGATCATCTCTTATTGATCCGGTGTTACTACAGGAGGAAACCTAAACTAAACTAACTTTATTTTTACTGGATAGCTTTATCAGTTCTAAACTGTTCTTCCTAGAGGTCCAGTAAGGATCACCTCTTATTGATCCAGTGTTACTACAGGAGGAAACCTAAACTAAACTTACTTTATTTATACTGCATATATAGCTCTATTAGTTCTAAACTGTTGTTCCTAGAGGTCCAGTAAGGATCATCTCTTATTGATCCAGTGTTACTACAGAAGGAAACCTAAACTAAACTAAATTTATTTGTACTGGATAGCTCTATCAGTTCTAAACTGTTCTTCCTAGAGGTCCAGTAAGGATCATCTCTTATTGATCCAGTGTTACTACAGGAGGAAACCTAAACTAAACTAACTTTATTTATACTGGATAGTTCTATCAGTTCTAAACTGTTCTTCCCTAGAGGTTCGGGAAGGAATATGCTTCACTAACTCTTCGGTCAATGCTTAATGCTTGCATTGTTATTTCTCAGCCCCAGTGAGTTACCAAGATGCGAACACCCCAAGATATGATCATGAAGTAACAGAATATGACACCGTCGATGAAAAACTCCAAACGTGGAGAGAGGAAGATCTCGTTATACACCAGTCACAACCACAAGGTGATCATCTGTCTTAAATAGTTTGTCTCAATCGAAGGACAGTATAGACCTTGAGAATAAAACGATATATGTCAGTTGGCTTGCATATAGATAAAGTCATCCCACAGCTTCTTGCATTTTCGTTCAACTTTACACAGTTTCATAATAGACGCTTGATACAGCTTCGCCCCTTTTTACTACGAGATAGGATTTACTTTATTTAAGTAACTGAACAGGTCTTCTGCTATGCCCCTATGCTATTCAATACGAGATCCAATAGTCGTTCGGCCACCACATTTCTGAAACACGCTTTTTAGAGCGGGCCATTCACGTTTTCGACAGGTCATCGATTCTCGAGTTTTGTCGAGTCAGTCATGCGTGTGAAAGTGTAAGCGATTTTTGAACGAAAGTTAATGATGATCTATTGATAAATTTAAGATCGATGCCGCACGATTCCTTGACCTCGGCGTATATATTTGCCACAAACGATGTTTTTCGTTAACAAGAGGAATATTTTGAGATGATATTTCAGCCAGCCGTCACTTCGTGTTTGAGATATCTTGTGATAATTGTTTGTCTTGCATGGGCAGTCAAAGCAGGTTTGGCGTTTGATATTTTCAATTTTATATTTTCAACAACTTTATCATGAACATAGATTTTTGCTAAATTGTTGGGAACATTTTATGGGACTTGGTTGCGCTGTTTTGTCAATTTGAATGCTCATTTGCCATAAATATACTCTCTGGTTTATTTCGATGAACAAACTATACTTTTGTCAGTTAATGTTATTGTGAAAAGCTACACGCTCAATGAACAGTATCATGTAAATCACTGCTTATCTTTCCAAGCATTAAATGCGCACTTTAGTCGTTTGACGCCGGCTGACATTGTTCTTAAACTTCATTTGAAAGGAGAATTGATATTATTGGTGTTTTCTTCCATATTTTTTGCCAAACCGACTCTGCTACTTGCCTAAATGTAAAACCAAGCAAGCCTTGATTAGCTAATAATTTTTTGCGTGGATTAAGACGGACGTAAATGATATTGAGGAACTAAATGCTGCAGGATTCAAATCGATTTCCAAAACTTCAAAAGGAATGTAGTTGGGAAACGCGATAACTCAAACATTCAAAATAGTTTTGAAGTTAAATTCAATCCTCGATACAATTTTACCAGCTATATATTATCTTTCGTTTTATCACAAAATATTTTGGCCCAACTTCAAAAATCGCCGTATTTATAGTTACAAAATAGTGGTTGACATTCTTAGCTAAAAACCAAGCGTATTTTTGTGCTATAGAGCTCACAAAACCGGGTAACGATGGACGAAAGCTTTCACCAATATCAACCAACGCTCGATCCGTTATTCCGGACCAAAGCGAGTTGGATGAAGTGGATGAAGATGCGTTAGAGAGGGGACATGAGCAGTTTATTGTGGATAAAGATGACGAGACACTTACTGAAGTAATCCAGGGTTAGTGCGGACGAAATATGGCACTTTTTTCCCCTATAGACTTAATTGTCATTCATTTCATCTGGCAACTATTTGAGTCATATTTAAAGCTTATAAGATCTTTACTCAATGCGAAACAGAAACAATTCTTGTCCTGTCGGTTCGTGCGTTGAATGAAGGCACTCTGTGTGCAGCCAAGTGACACGTTGTTAAATAACTTAAAGTATACTGGACAGCAAAGCACCATTCAGTCGACCAAAACAACTGACGTTAACCATTTGATCGTTTTTAGATGATAAAGTTCCCGACACAATCCCTTTCGTGACAGTAACGGTTCCTCCCGTAGACAATACAAAGTCTGGTAGAAATTCCAGCCAACTTGAAAGTTCCAAGAATACTTCATCGCAGATAACGCAGAGTTTGCCAACGGGAAACAGGACTTCTTTAATGCCGAGTCATTTTGGCGATACAAATGGGACGAGATATGACAACAACAAGAACTCGTTGAATCAAGACAATTCAAACGTGAATTCCACACTAAGTAACAACCCTTTGGTTAACAAAAATCACAGCACTCGTGAAAATAAAACAGTCCAAGACTCAAACAAAAAGAAAATATGTTCAAAGTTAAAAAAACGAAAACATGGTAAAAAAGAACAAATAAATTTAAATGGCACGGTCAACAATGTAATTACGGCGAACTATTCAACAATGGTCGTCAAAGTTAGCAATAATATTACTCAATTTTCAGTTGGTAGAAATGCAGTAGCTCAAAATATTTCCGAAATGAAGAATCCTGAAAACAAAAGCGCCAACAATGCGGACGCTATATATACGTCAAGTATTGCACAAATTAAAACAGAGCAAGGTCGCAAAAACAACATTGCTGGTCAAATGGCAGGCACGAAGACCTCTGATGCAGGCAAGGATGGTGGTCTATTCTACGCAAATGCAACCAATGGCTTACGTTCTTCGAATAATAACACTTCGGTGATGAATAATTCGTTGCCGGTTTTGGATGGTACAGCTTCTGAGACGAAGCCAAATGCAACTGTAGGACTGGATAAAAAACCAAATGCTATCATCGTGTCAAGACAAAATGCGATGCAAAATACCAGCCTGAATAACAGTAAGAATTAGCTTGCTTTATTGTTCTTCCTAGAGGTGCAGTAAAGATCATCTCTTATTGATCCAGTGTTGTAATATTGCTTGTTTCTTACGCTTTTTCTAGGTATCTTTCCATATCCTTTACATAACTAGATCTCCCTCAATTAATGTCAATCAATCCCCTAATCAATATCAAGTCTATATTTAGCTATTACTGTCCGTGCCTATATATATATATACATTACATCTCTCCCTTTGTTTAATGAATTATCAAGTTTGGGTTTATTGCATTTCCAAAAAGTTCTCTCTGTCTACGCTGCCTTGTTGACCTTCTCACCACTGGTTCTGGCGTTGGTTCATCCGCTGCTCGTTCGATGAGTGCATTTCCTGTCGGTGCGTTCCAATCATCTTCATCTTCGGATTCCTTTGCGGCGTCTGGTATCTTCTTAAAGAACGATACATTTCTTGTCACCTTATGTCTTTGGTTTTCAGCTACTATTGTCACTCCTTTACGTTCAAGCACCGTGTAAGGAGTTGGTTCGAACTTGGTTGTAAATTTGTTTTTCTTTTTCTGTCTAAGAATGACTGTGTCTCCCACTTGTATCTCTGACGGCGCCACTCTCCTTCGTTTGTTTGCGTATTCTCTCCCTTTGTCTTTGGCATTGGAGTCATTCGATTTGGCTTCTTTATGTCTGTTTAGTACTTTAGCTTTTGGGTTCAACATGGGTAAGACTCCTCTGACAGGCCGATTAAAGAGAAGCTGAGCGGGCGGTATGTTGGTAGAACAATGGGGTGTGGTGCGATAGCTTAACAGGAACCTCGAAAGTTCTTGGACCCAGTTACGATGTTCTGAACGAGCGGTCTTGATTGCTTTTGCTAAAGGTTTCATAAAAGCTTCTGCTTCTGAGTTACCTTGTGGCCATTCAGGTGTTGATGTCTCATGTTCTACGCCAATCTTTGTTAAATAATCTTTGAATTCTTTACTATTGAAAGGAGGACCGTTATCCGTCTTTATTTTCAGTGGAATTCCATGCCGCGCGAAGATAGCATCGGTTTTTGGTATAAGTGCTTTAGCAGATGTACTTGTGATGATTTCAGCCTCCGGGTATCTTGAGTATTTATCAATTAACACTATGATATACTGTCCGGTGGGAAGCGGGCCGTAGAAATCTGCATGTACAGTTTGCCAAGGACCGTCCGGCGTTTCTGGAGTTAGTAAAGGCTGGGGTGGATCGGTTGGACCATTAATTTGGCACGGAAAGCAGGTATCGATCTCTTCTTTTACAGCTTTATCAATGTTAGGGAACCAGGCATACTGACGTAACAAGGCTTTTGTTTTGACAAGTCCTTGATGACCGCTGTGGGCAAGTTTTACTATCTTCGCTTGTAGAGTTGATGGTATTATAATACGTGTTCCTCGGAGGATTACACCATTTGTATGGTCCACTGTTATTTCATCTTTGACGTTTATGAATGGTTTTACATGACTGCTGCCCCAGTTACCAGACTCAACTGCTTCTCTTACTGCATTGAGACTGGGATCCTTTTCCGTATGTTCCTTGATAACTTGTATTGGAATTGTGGTTTGCGCGGCATTAGTCGAGATGAAGTTTATGTATTCTTCAGCAAGTTGTGTTTTGGTATCTTCGATTGCGGATGTCGTGACAGGAAATCTGCTGGGTTAACACTGCCTGGTTTGTAGATAACATTGAAATGGTATTGCTGAAGTCTTAGAAACCAACGTTCTATTCTAGCTGGAGGTTTGGACCGAGGATTGTTGTAGATCAACTGTAATGGCTTGTGATCAGTAATTAGGTTGAAAGGTGCACCGAACAGGTAAAGGTGAAAATGTTCAATGCCCCACACGATCGCGAGAGCTTCCCTCTCGGTTTGTGAGTACCGTTGTTCTACTGGGGATAATGCTCGGCTGGCATAAGCGATAGTGTTGTCTTCGTTTGTTTTTGGATCCTTTTGCGTCAATATGGCAGATAAACCAACGGGACTTGCATCCACCAGGACTGAGGTTTCTTTGGATGTATCGAAATGGCTCATAACTGGACTGTTAGTCAGAGCACTCTTTATGTCTTCATATGCTTTCTGGTGTATTGTCGTCCATGTAAAACGAGCGTTTTTTTGGGTCAACTTTCTGAGTGGCTCTGTAATGGTCGCGTAGTTTTTGATGAACTTAGCGCTGTAGTTAGCCATTCCTAATAGACTTCTCACTTCACCGACTGTTGTTGGTGGTTTTGTATTGGCGAAAGCGTCCACTTTCTTGGGGTCTGGGCTAACACCTTTTTCTGTGAATACCAGTCCAAAGAATTCAAGATTCTTTTTGAGGAATTTGCACTTTTGTAGATTGAGAGTCAGGTTACTCTCTTGCAGACGTGTAAGTACTTCTTCTAATGCTTGGTCATGTTCCTGTCGAGTATTTCCAAACACGATGATGTCATCTGCGATGTTTTTAGCTCCTTGAATTCCTTGTAATGTCTCCTGTAGGGTGTGTTGGAAGAGTTCCGCTGCAGCATTTGTGCCGTAGTTTAATCTTTTATAGCGATATAAACCGAGATGAGTGGAGAAAGTTGTTATTCCCCGAGATGCTGGGTTCAGCTCCAGTTGATGGTAGGCTTGAGTTAGGTCAAGTTTTGAGAAAAACCGAGCTCCGTTAAGCTCAATAGAGACAGCTTCTAGAGTGGGTATGGGATGTCTAGTTCTCTGAATAGCTGTATTTGCTACTCGCATATCTACGCACAATCGAATCTTATCGTCACGCTTTGGGACGACGACGACTGGGGAAACCCACTCCGTTGAAATTCCTTCGGGTATTCTCTCAATGATGTCATCCTGTTCTAATCTGCGTATTTCATCTTCAATTTTTCCGCGTAAATGGAACGGTGCTCGGCGCTGCGGTTGTGCAACTGGTGAAACGGTTTCATCGATAACTAATTCGATTTGTTTGTTCTTTAGTTTCCCAAGTCCACAGAACACAGGGCCATGTTTATCTAGGATGCGTGCGAGGTTTTTATCGCTCGTTGTTGGTGTGATTTTTGAACGTTCTGTTTCCTTGTTTATCTGATTTAAATGGAGACTTACGAGTCCAAGTTCTTGTGCAGTTTCAGAACTAAGTAAACAACCGCCGTCGTCAGAAGTAACAAATATGGTAGCTACCGTGAATTTGTGTTTCGACTCTGCTAAAACGCGGAATTTTCCTTCCATCTTCACAGGTGTTGTGGAATTGAAGGGATATGCTTTCACGGATGTTGGCTGAAGTCGGATATCTCGCAGTTGTTGGAACGTGTGTTTATCGATTACATTTATGCTTGACCCCGTATCAATGGTCATTTTTACTCTTTGTCCATTGAGAGCAATTGACGCTTGCGGGTGTTTTTGTTTGTTGTTGACCGCGTAACAATATTCTGGACCACTACTGTCGCTGCTAGTGTTGTCCTGGAGGTCTGTGTTAACTGGTCGTAGGTCTTCGCGTGGTTTACCAGTTTGTCTATTTTCTCTCGTGTTGCTACTGCGGCACTGGCTAGCAAAATGGTTTAATTTACCACAATTGGCACATGTCTTGTTTTTGGCAGGGCACGGTTTGTTGGTGTGAGGGTAGCTGCCACCACAGTAAAAACATGTCTTATTGGATGTCTTGTGTTTTGTTTCTTTCGCGGTTGGCGTTTTAACTGCTTGAATATTGCAGCTGTCTAAATGTCCTTCAATGTCAGCTGCATGCGTCTTGCTTATTTCTTCCCGCCTGGCTGCGAGCAAAAGATCTTTTAAAACATACTTGGGGTCTCGCAACGCTTGTTTACGCACGCGACTTGACTTTCCTCCAATAACAATTTGTACCATAATTTCGAACTTACATCTGAAAACTCACAGTTTTTTGACAGTGTTCGTAGACGCGTGTGGTATTGATCTATCGTTTCCGTGTCGCTCTGTTTTGCTTGTCGAAATTTGTAGACTTCGTATAATCGATTTTTTTGAGGCTCGAAGTATTCGGTGAGAAGTTCCGTCGCTTTATCGAAGTCGTCGTCGTTACCAGGGTCTGGAAAGTGTCGAAAGATTTCCCGTACTCGCGGTCCTGCTTGGTATAAAAGTAATGCTCGTTGGCGTGTCTTGTTTGTAATGTTGCTCGCCGTTAGAAATGTTTTGAAATCTGCCAACCAAGTACGCCATTTAGCCGCTATATTTCCTCCCGCGTCAGCATCAGGGTCAAACGGTGGCATAGGCGTGAGATATGTCGCCATTATAATATGTTTTAATCACTTGTTTTAGTCTTCGTCGCCAATGTAATATTGCTTGTTTCTTACGCTTTTTCTAGGTATCTTTCCATATCCTTTACATAACTAGATCTCCCTCAATTAATGTCAATCAATCCCCTAATCAATATCAAGTCTATATTTAGCTATTACTGTCCGTGCCTATATATATATATACATTACAAGTGTTACTACAGGAGGAAACTAAAACTAAACTACTGAACTTTATTTATACTGGATAGGTCTATCAGTTCTAAACTGTTCTTCCTAGAGGTTCAGGTCATTTAGTCTCCCAATATATTTTTTTATATTTTCTGTAGGAAATAGCTCACAAATCCTTCCTTCAACGAACGTTCGTCGTGCGAATATCAATCGTAAAATATCGACGCAGTCAACTTCTCAAAGATCCTCTAAACCATCACAGAAGCTACGGTCCTTCCTGACAGCGGTCAAGGAGATGTTTAACAAACCGGAAACCGCGCACGATATCCTGTCGTGGGAGGCATGGGGACCATGTTCCAGAACCTGTGGAGTTGGCGCGTTCAGAACTCGACAGAGAAAGTGCGAGGGACTGGTAGCAAGGGATTTTGATGTTGCATGCCCAGAGCCAAGAAGACAAAATCAGAAATGTCCTGTTGTCCCATGTTCTTGTATGTACACATTTCAGTAGACTCGATTGTTTACCCTAAATTCATTTATTGTAGGTTCCAAACTCAGTTTTCCAGCAAGGATCATCTCTTATTGATCCAGTGTTACTACAGGAGGAAACCTAAACTAAACTAACTTCATTTATACTGGATAGCTCTATCAGTTCAACTGTTCTTTCTAAAGGTCCAGTAAGGATCATCTCTTATTGATCCAGTGTTACCACAGGAGGAAACCAAAACTAAACTAACTTTATTTATACTGGATAGTTCTATCAGTTCTAAACTGTTCTTCCTAGAGGTCCAGTAAGGATCATCTCTTATTGATCCAGTGTTACTACAGGAGGAAACCTAAACTAAACTAACTTTATTTATACTGGATAGTTCTATCACTTCTAAACTGTTCTTCCTAGAGGTTCAGTAACAATCGTACTTGTACTCTTCTAGCAAAATCTCATCAAAAAACTTCAAAGCAGTTTGCAAAAACAAAACAAGTGAAGACCAACCACCAGCAACGAACCAACACAAACAATGACAAGGGAAATGTCGAGGAAATATTTGGAAAACACAAGGATAGCCCCAGAATTGGTACCGAGGAGGATGTAAACCAAGTGACTGGTGACGAGGCGCTAGCGGAAAGCGACGAAAGTTCCACGGAAGATGACGATGATCGCCCTGAAGGTTACGACGAAACTTCAGAATACACGAGCAACGGAGCTAGCGTCCAAACAGCCAGTCAAAAACGCTACCTTTATACTGTATGGGGGGCCTGGTCTGAGTGCACACGAACGTGCGGTCAGCGGGCATACGCCTTTAGGAAACGTTATTGTATAAACGCTGTCACGGGCGAGATCAAACGGCATTGTCAGAGACCAACCATCTTGGCCAAGAAGTGTGCACTTACACCATGTCCAGGTAAGTGAAGACACCTCTGGTTATATTGCTCAGAATTTTGTTAGGTAAGTTTTGTGAGGTCGATCCTCACTGGCTGAGGAATCTTAGAAATGACTAAGAGCCTTTCCCTGTTTAGTTGATGGTGGCCTGTCTGACTGGTCTAAATGGTCAACCTGCTCTGGAAAATGTGGTATCATGGAAAGACATCGCAGCTGTACAAGACCAAAACCAGCTTATGGCGGTCGAGAATGCTTCAAACTGCCCGTTCAGATGCGTTTGTGTGGAACTTGCACAGGTATTTTGTTCAATCATATATCAAAAAGCCCTGCTATAATTCGTCTAGTTATCTTTTAAAATTTGACTAGAGACACTACTTTAATTCTTTCCCGTTTCAACTTTATTCTGGCCGGAAGCTACGTGTGCCTTCCTAATGCAATATCTTCGTTTAATTTTAGAAGACAAAGTTACGGCGGTTAAAAATCTGGCCTCGTATTCTCCTAAAGTTCTTTGCGGTTTTGACCCGTGTCAACGAGTTGGATGCCTGGAAGACAAAGGCGCCATTTGTGTGACTGATTTTGATTGCAATCCAAACTTCTTCAACGATGAAGGTCACGTTTTAAAAGCTTGCAGAGGTCAGTAATCAAACGAGGTATCCGGACTGAACTTGTAGTAGCACTAAACAAACTGTAATATTTCTCGTTTTTAGTGCATATTTTCTGACGCTATTCCAAATAACGCTTCCATTTATTCTCGTAGATTCGAATCAGTTGTTTCTTCGACCTCTTGCTCAAAAGAAATGCTCGTTTAATCCCTGCTCTTTTGCAAAATGTGATGTGGATGGCGTCAAATGCTTGGTTGATACAAAATGTCGACCGTTCTTTGTTAACGGGCTGGGCAAGAGAGTCACGTGCAGAGGTGAAACTTTTAGATTTATTTACAATGCAGTTCTGTCCTTTATTTATGCTGGATAGTGGATACTTCTATCAGTTCTAGACTGCTTTTTCTAGAGGTCTTGTAGTTTTAAATCTCAAACAAACTTCTCACTAGGCTCAAACGTGCTACGAATATCGTCAGATTTGATCTGTGGTTTCAATCCTTGCAAAATCACAACGTGTACTGTGGATCCTGAGGCCAAATGTATCACAGATTATCGCTGTAATCCCATCTTCATCAATAAAGCGGGACAAAGAATATCTGGTTGCACAGGTAAGGAATAACCTCTATCCACAAACATACATAATAGTTCCTCGTTTGTTCTCCTCTAACCTCAGGGAACATGGCTAGTTTCCTGGTTTGTCTACCTTCATGAAACATGGCTAGGAAACAATGTTTCCTGGTTTGTCTACCTTCATGAAACATGGCTAGGAAACAATGTCTCCTGGTTTCACTGTAGTGTCTTCGCATGATTCAATTGATCCATTTCAACTTTCTCTTTACAACACAGAAGATGAAGTGGAAGCAGCCGAGTCTCTTTCAACCGGAACGCCATCAGCAGCTCCACAGAGTACTGAAAATCCTTCAGCCAGAGACACCACACCGCTGCAGAAACTCAACCATCGCCATGAACCTCACAAAGCACAGAAATATCGATACGAGGCTTCCGTGAAAAAAACGATAGAAAGCAATATAGATGAAGCCAAGAAGAAACTCGATGATATCACAAAGCTTGAGACCATTCTTGCTCGACGGTTGAATGACAGTTCAGTTTCTTACGGAAATTCAACAAATTCTGTGGAAGAACTTCCTGGTGAATTGAGCGCCTCTTCTGAACTTCATGCAAAGGAAAATGCACTGGATATAAAATTCTTAGAGAGTGTATTACAAAGTCGATTAGATCCGAACGGTACGCTATATTCTGAGAATACAACATCCACCGGGGAGAATTTGCAGGAGATGAGAAACGATAGTTCAGATAACGAACACGAACACAACAAAGAGAACAACATCGCGGCATTTAATCTGGGCTCAGGCGATGAAACAACACCAGATAATACACTCACACTGAAAACTGTCCACGAAAACAACAGCGAGACCACAGAAATCGTCGATAGCCCTTCGACGGAGAGTGAGTCGTTAAACACTGACGTTTTGGACCAACCTGTGACATATACGGATAAAGTTTCTGTGGACACGAGGGAGAAGCCGCTCGAAGTCAAAACCTCGCCAGATATTGCCATGGAAGCGGATTCAAACTCGAAACTTGGTTTGGGAACAGAAGAGAAAGACAAGGAGACAATTTCGCAACGAAAAAAAGAGAGACAATTGGCCGATGTTGATCGATACATATTGGACGAGTTGTATAGAAAGAAGATGATGGAAGACGCGGGCACGAAGCCCCTTGGATCATCGGGTGGTGCTCGACCTGAAGGTAAAACTGATCTTGTTGCGAATGAGACTACTGGACTTGCGAGTGAATATAACACTAAAAATCAGGCTTCCAGTGACAACATGGTGAATACTGATTACAATACTGACAGTTACGCTCGCAATAGTGGAAATAACAATGATCTCAGCAACGTAAGCAACGTAAACAACAACATTGGCCTTATTGCAAACAATTCTAGCGACAGCAATAACAACAACAACAGTTACAACAACAATGATGCTGCTGTTAATAGCAACATTAGTGTCCATGGGAACGACAACAATTTCGAAAACAATGCAGTTGTTCCTAAACAAGCTAATGATACTTTGCCTTCGATTGTTAGCGTTAATAACCACATCCAATCAACGACAACAACACCAGCAGCAGCAGCAGCAACGAACAACAACAACAATAATATAAACAGCAATAATAACGACTTGCCAAGTGTCGAACTTAACAAGAACAGCAACAACAGCTTCAACATTTACAAAAACTCGAATCCCAATCACAATAACGAAAACTATCCTCTCAATACCAAAATAAAGCCTGAACATTTGATAACTCCCCCGGCCATTGAGCATAAAATATTTAAAAGCAATCCTTCGCAAAACACTACACTGCACTACAACTTACTCCCGGCCAAAATGCGATTCATTAAAAAGCTAAACAAAGCCGCCCCATTGGGAACTAAAGAAACAACTCAAGATAATTCACATCTCTCCAAAATTTTGTCCGATAAAAAGCACAGTAAAACTGAAAAGGACGTATCTCTGGACACATTGTGGGATAACTATTTAGCTGACAATGAATTGCTGCACGGAGGCGCTGTGCTTTTTGATGCGGCAGGTAAAATTACGAATGGTAAAACTACGTTTGAACACAGTAAATCGGATGGTTATCATTCTAGTACTCATCTCGAAAAACCTGGGAAAGTGAAGTTAGTTAATGGTGGTAGTATCACGCCGGGGCATAAAGTGGTCAACACTTTGTTACACACCAGCAAACCTGGAAGACAAGACGAACATATTCCTGTTTTGCATTCAAGCGATCCTGACCTTGTGATATCACCGTAAGTTTTCAAGCTCGTTTTTATTGCAGTGGAATTATGTAACTTACATACAGTAACCCTAAGTTGCCTGTTTCATGCATCATTTGAAGTAGATTTTCGTTTTGCGCTCAGGTTTGGAGCAAGGAATCTTATATGTTGTAAGTAGATTAAAAAAGATTAAGATGAAGCTTTTATGATTCTACTTTTTTAGCTACGATGAAGATGTTGCCAGCAATGCATTGGCAAAAGAACAAGACGAGAATCCTGAAGGTAATGTTTATCAATTCGGTTTTAATTGTTTTTCCCTAAAGCATTACTACATTCATGATATAAACAGGTCGCTGTCTTGACATTTCCTTCGTATATCCCAAGACAACTTAGCGTTCTTCAACTGCCTGTAATACTGACAGGGATCCTTCCGGCGAAAGTCCAGAAAATTTCTTCTTTATATTTGAATACACCAGTAAACTTAACCATCCATCTTAACCGTAAATCCTACTTTTTTCGCGTCCAACTTTGACTCATATTTCTGCTCTGGTATTTTCAGGTATTCCATCAAATGCTGAATTGAATAAAATTTTAGACTCGGCCTACGCCACCAAGCTTATTGACGGTAACCACGGATCCAGCACGCTACCACAGAAAACACAAAATCAACCTGCGGACTACGCCGTTCCCCAACAGCTTTCGTCGGCCCAACCAGATAAGCCATTCAATACGTTGTCTAGTAAACCAGATAATCGAGTTACAGACGGCGCAGCTCAAAACAACTTCATGAATAAACTGATTTTGAAAGCTGTTCAAAAAGAAATATCTAAACTGAAAATTGATGGCATATTAAAGGATGCATTATTTAACACAAAACCCTCACAGGAAAAGCAGTCAGACAAGGCGACTTCACCAGAAAAACAGCGCAAGCAAGAACATAAAATCGGTAATGCCGCTAAAAATTTACTGTTTTCCTAGTAAATCGATGCCATCAGTTTTTGTTTGTTAAATGTGTTCACAACTTATTCTCGTTATCGTATTGTTAGGAGTAGCAGAGAACGCCGCAGGATATCTGGGATATAACAAGGATAATCCTGGGCACGTAGGGTCGACTGAAACACCATATTTATCATCTCAGAAACAAGGTCGACATGATACGTGGATAAGTAAGAATCTGAGGGTGAATCATGTGGAAAATGGGGCATTTGCTAAGCAAGAAAGGCAGGATAAGACTGGACATTTAGGGATAAACAAAAGGCCAAATGGTATATTTGTTTTGAAAGCTAAGCCGTACAAGGCGAAAGATTTTGAGGGAACCATGGAGGATAATAACCAGGTATACCCACCAAAGTCCAAAGCGATCCCCACAACTGTGCCAATATTTCAAGAAGAAAACGGGGGTGATATCATGGCGACCTATCAACCGGGGGGTGCAACTGAAAATTCCAATAGCGACGAGGAAGAAAATGACCGCGAAACAATGCGTGAACTGGATGATTACCTGGAAAATGACGACCTGGAAAAAACCACCGCGAAACCCGAGTACACCACAAATACCCCTGAGGAGAGCGACGTTGGTTCTCAGTGGAAGGACGAGGATTATAGTAGTCCTACGGGGCAAGAAAGGATAGATGGGGTGAATAATGGACATGGCAGGGAGCCTGAATACAAGGAATCGTATTCGCCATCGTTATTGAACGAAATAAAGGAACTCGGACTTCATGAGTATTATATTAAAGATGGCTTCCAAACTCCCAAACATAAAGGGATCGATAATGCGCAGGTATGGCTTTTCTTTTTTTAGCTCTATCAGTTCTACGCTGTTTTTCCTAGAGATCCTTTTTGGGGTAAAGACCCAGTATTTATTCAAAGTTTTCATCAGGAATATCCGCGTTTTGTAGGTTCGTCAGATAGTAAAATCCCATCACCGTAGAGTAAACGAATACGGCGATAATCAGTACGACAGACATAGGTATCGTCCTCTGCGGTATGGAAAAAAATTCCACTTGGCACAGGTCAAAATGATCCCTGGTGAAAACACCCATGGCGCTTTCAGACAACATAATTCAGGTGGTGATGAAATCGAACGAGTACCGAGCAGTTACCGAGAGGAGGACGTCGTTGCACGATCCCATACTTCTCCCAAATATCCAAAGAAAGGAAAGAGTCCCGTGAGAACACTGAGCAATTTCTTTAACAAATTACGTAATTATTATGAACAAGCACACACGGGGGAAATCGCAAACGTTTTGAAAAATGATCATCAAAACGCTGACCTTGAGAACGCGGTTATCCTGACCGCAAAGGATGATGGAGATCAAAGGAATTATGCTCAAGATTCAACGAACTCTATCGTCGATCCAAAGAAGAGAAGATTCTCTCACGGTGATAATTTGATGGAAAATAATGTTTTATTTGATGAAAACAATATTTCGAATGGAAGAGACAGTGATCTGATGGTTTTCAGGGCCACAGATGAGAATGATAGGGACTATAGACGAAACTTAGGAATACGATAACATCCTTTAAGTAGAAAAAACCTGTATGAATGAATTGATGCAGTTTTGATCATTCCTCTTGAGGCTTTCTAGGAAAAGCATAAATTAGAATAGCTATATATTAACAAGGAAATTCTAGTTTATTTCCAGCAAAAAAATAAACAACATTTTAGATATTGACTGAAAATTTTATCTATCTATATACATGCTAAAGATGTCCAAACGCGCGCGGGCCTTCAGTTAAGATGAATTTGATAAAAAATAAGATGACTTGTCTTGATCAAATCCAGCGTTGCAATAGATAAAGAGCAATGTTTTCTTAGCCCAAGTTGGCCCGGAAGGATTCGTTTGTAAGAAAAAACAACGTCTTAACTCCAAACTGTACATTCAAACTTTCCAATTTTTTATATACTAAATGCTACTTAGATAACTAAATTATTTTGATGTCACGTTGCACAAGACATGTTGCTTCAGTATTTTTAGACAACTTTGTGCCTAAACTTTCGTCCAATATTCATTCCTGTGTCCATATCAGAAAATGGCGACTCTACTAGTTCATTTTCCACAATGTCTCTTTGATACGGATTTCCGTTGCGTTCGTTTTCGATAATGCTCAGCGGTATACTACCATCGTGCGCATGCTTGCCAATAAGACTTTCTCCGACGTTGGCTCGGACCGTACCCGTGGACTCCTCGGCGAACGGCTTGTCCCGAAAGGCTTCCTCGAGAACTCTATCGACTTGCTCATTGGTGAAATAAGTTTCGGACTTTTTCCGAGCGCTCGAGTCCCAGTAGCTGTCGAATCGGCCGACGTCGGAATCGTCGATGTCGTCCGAGCCCATACTACGCATAATATTCCCGACCGTTCTCCGACCTCGGATCTCATCTTCGCGAAACATCGGATAGCCTCGGAACTCCTCGAGAACAAAGCTTTCATCTGCAAAGCTGAGCGGTGATAGTACTTGGCATATTATGGCCAAGAATAGGCAACTAATTGAATAATACATCTTTAACACCTAAAATAATGCAAAAATACTTGTGAATCATCATTTATGAGAGGCTTATTGTCTTTCACCAGAACCTGTACGGCATTGATTCACCTCAACTGGTCTGGGACGAGTTATTATAATCAAACACATCACCTAATTACCACTGAAAAATCTTAGCCATCATTGCACTTAAATAAACTATATAAGGTTATCTCCTCTATATTTATTTAGTCTTAATGAATATATAACGTACTTCTCTTTTAAAAAATGTACATTGCATCTTTAAGTTTACTAATGTTACTCTTTCGAATACCCCTCATTCGCGAAGCGCAAATTCATTTTGACAAGTTCCCTTTCGTTATAAATATCAATATTTTTGGCCGAATAATTTAAGAACAGGCATATACATACCTTAAAATGTTTTATTCTGTGTTATACATTCGTCGAAGTTTCTGTCCCAGTTTGTTTTTGTTTTATTCTTCTTATCAATTATTCAAAACAACCAGAAATTCGTCAAGAACGATTCGCTGAGATGCCTTAGCAGTTGCAGGTAATGAGTTTGTAACAAGTGTTGGCCAAATACCTTTGAGATTTAATTTTTTGATAGCAACCAACTTAATAGCCCGCAAAGCAATATTATTTTGCACTTTTTTAATTGTCTATGCACTTTCAAAATCTTGTTAAATAATGAAAACTCTTTTATCCAAGTTATCGGTTAGTTATTTCTTACACTAGAATATTTTCCCGCCAAACCAACAAATATATAGTTCGCATTATACCCGAATAAAACACGTTTAATTTTTTAACGGAGAGAATATTTTCACATTCAAACTTCACAGCTTGTTCCTTGTTTTTAACTCTGTTGTTTTTTCACACTTTTTGACTTGTTCGGTTAGATGAACAGTCGACGTTTGCGCATGGGTATTCGGGTCCTTTCACGTGAGATTTTGTGGTTTAAAATGTCACCGGGCAATTATTTAACAACGTATACGTAAAATCCACGGAATTTAAGGTAAGAAGACAAAAAAATTGTTTGTCTGTTTAAAACATTACTTCAATTTTTTTTCTTATTCTACTCACATGTGTAAGTATAGATAAACTGTAGATTATCTTTGAATGTATTGTCGATAAATTAATATAATAACATCTTAAATCGTCTATCATATACTGAGGTTTAATTGTAACAATCCTCTCTCAAACGTCCTGCCTTGAATCTTACCAGTAAGTCTCTTCTATACGACGGTTTAAATCATTCATTTGCTAACCGTGAATGAAATATATGACTTCCTGGGAAGAGTCTTAAGTACGATCACATAGCTCTACTACAGATCACAGGTTGTTTATTTATGAAAGCAAACCAAATTCCATTGTCCTTCATCCTTCTAAGAAGAATATCGTGTCGGTTTCGAAAGAAAAAAGCTCGAAGCATTCTCAACTCTCCGAAATGAAAAACGTTTATTTGTAAACCTCTCTGTTTTTGTTTATGCTGTTTGTTTACAATTACGATCATAACGTCCATTATTTTCTCATTTCTCTTTAAATAATCTGTTCCTTACAAGACAGAAGGAAGACTTCAGATAATCTGCAAGAGTTTTCCCTTGGTTTACAAGCAGTCAATCTAACAATTTTATTCTATATTCTATGCAGAAGAGCATTGGCAATGACGCGTCAAGCGGCCTTATTCTGCATTTTGCTCTTACGGCTGTATGCAGTCACGTTCGTTACCTCGTATGCAGACTCCATCCACAAGTGGGGAGGAAAGAGTGAAGGCGCTTCTAAAAAAGGTTAGTTACCTAAGACATAGTTCATTGGTACTACGAAGTAGTCAGGATACAGCGATGTTCTATTGCATCTGTATTGCTCTGAGATTCCTTCTGTTCTTTATGTGATCCAGACATCATTCAGAGATCAGAATGTTCCATTGTCTTTTCATTGTTTTGAAAATCTCGCTGTTCCCTGTGTCATCCAGTCATGATCCAGAGATCAGAATGCTCCATACCAAGCACTCTTTCATTTCCATGTGTATTTTCAGACCAAACCGACCCTGTAGTGTTGGCAGACGAAAACGATGCACAGTCACAGTTATTTGGCGGTATTCAAGCGGACTCTTTGGGCGAGAACAGCCAAGCGACATTCAACACAAACGCTGAGAAAGAGGCTGTTATGCACGAGTTGGATGATGGAGGACCTGTGTTCAATCACGATGCAAGCTCGCCAAACACAGCAAAAGAAGAAATTGGTAAAAATGACATGAGCCAGTACGAAAGTGAAGATATAAATTTAGTTGGAAACGCCCGTCATAAAAATGTCAAATCGAAACCAGTTCGTTTGCCGTCTTTGGTTGAAGAAGGTGAGTTGAAACTGTCTTTAGAACACCTTGTTGTCTTGGTGTATTGTGAGATGATCACATAGAAGAACAGTTTAGAACTGATAGAGCTATCCAGTATAAATAAAGTTAGTTTAGTTTAGGTTTCCTCCTGTATTAACACTGGATCAATAAGAGATGATCCTTACTGGAAATGTGGAATAAGAGTCGTTGTGTTGTTCGTTTCTTTAGGAAAGATTGACACCTTTATCGCAAAACCGAAATCAACTGATGAAAACGAGTCATTAAAAATCGTTAAACCTGCCGACCACAAGGAGAATATGTCTTCAAAAACCACAGTATCACCTCTGAACAAAGAAAAAGTTCAAATTGATTCATCAGAACCCACAGTTGTGGATGCGAAGTCCAAAAATTCAGACCATCGTTCGTTGAAGGCCCAGAGCACAAAGCATCGTTCTTTCGCAAGCAGTGTCGGAGCCTCAAATCTTTTTGATTTGCCCGATCTGAATATTGACGATGACGACGATATCCTCCCGAAGAGCTCAAAATTACTTCTTGGAGAATCCGACGACAGTTCAGCGGAAAAGCTACGAAAATCTGGCGAACGCTTAACGATGTTTTACGATCGTGACTCCAGGAAGAAAAAGCAATCTGTGGCGCGTAAAATAGCGGGCAGACATGGGGACACGGGAGCAAGTTCGGCTTCAGTGAATGTGAAAGGAGGTCAGATAGTAGGTGGGCAAATCTCCGGGGGGAATATATTCGGTGGGGATATTGAAGGTGGGCTCATCTCCGGAGGTACAATTAAAGGTGGCATTGTCAAAGGTGGGCGAATGTCCCAAGGTCTTATAGACGGGGGATTGTTCCTAGATGGTGATATGGCCGGGGGTTTTCTCCATAATGGCACGGTCAAAGGTGGTGTGATACGAGGCGGAAATATTACCGGGGGTACAGTCACAGGTGGGGAGATATTAGGTGGGCACGTGTCATCTGGGTTTGTATCAGGGGGTGTGCTTAAGGCTGGGGGCGTGGAGGGAGGAATGTTGAAGGGGGGAACGATTGATGGAGGGATTCTCAAAGGTGGAGTTATGGAAAGAGGTAAACTTCTTGGGGGGATAGTTTGGAACGGTAGAGTAACCGGTGGGACCATTCTTGGAGGGGAGGTTCTTGGTGGTGAGGTGGGTGAGGGGGTGGTTATCCGTGGGGGTAAAATCAACGGAACCGTAACTGTGGGACGCAAGATGGTGTCGAGTTCTGGTGGAAGGCTGGGTTCGCTTGACCCATTGCGACATGGGAACACACTTCATGGAGTCAAACCACAGAATCAAGCAAGCCTGCAATTCAAATACCACCCGCATAAATTGTTGCCCGTTCTAAACGCTGCCCGACCTTATAGGCCGCCATCAAGCCAGTATTCGATCGAAGGGGATGTTGGAGGTCGAGTGAATTCGCGACCGATTTTAGCCCAAAGTATCCCCAGAGGTCGCCCAAATGGCGTCTCATCCGGGAACATTGCGAACGATGCTGTCGTCATCAACAGGAAAAACACTCCGAATGTTATCCTCCTATCAAATATCTCGAGAAACGGTGAACAAATAAAACGAAATTACCGACCCAATGATTTCTTCAACCGTCAGCCCTATTCAAATCCCAATTACCAGGCAATTAACAGTCCGGCTTACGCAAACCCAAATTATGGTTTCCCGGCAACAAGCACGTCAGCAGCACAGTACCAGGCTCCTAACTCGGTGCCAAACCCATCGGCTGCGAGTGTTCCACAGGCACCCCCTCAGAATGGTATAAATATTAACCAGTTCGTGAAGCAAGTCTCAAATGGTGCCGGGGGAGTGCAGAGATCTCGTACCGTGGAAGAGAAGAAAGGTTGGTAGCACGATTATTAATATTTGACTACCTGAGAAAGATATCTCAAACGTGGTGGTCAAGTGTAGGTAGTATTCTACAATATGGAGAAATCCAAGAAATTTCTTTCTAAATTTATTGTGTAGATGTTAAGCCGACCTATCATTGGATATTGAATGAAATTAGGAACGGAGAAGTTGCTGGAACCCCCCATGGCAGAAAATTCGTTGCGAAGGGAGGAATACGTCTCAATCGTGCCTCGATTGGTTTTGATGGTACAGCGACATATATGGACGGCGGTAGTTATGCAGGAACATGCGTGAGCGGTAAACAGGTTTTTTTATTCAAAAAGCCATTCCGTTTTGTGATCAGATCTAACCAGTTTTTCTTTCCAGATCCCGAACTTTGCTCGCGCGGTCTCTCAGTTGAAATGACAATCAAAGTTGATCCTGCGGCAACCATGTATCGTTCCCCCCGGTACATACTTGACAGTGGTGCATCTTCGTTCAACTCCAGGGGGGTGGCGCTATATACGATGGACAATAAACTTAGAGCGGACGTGGCTATCAAGGATAAAGCTTACTGTCTAGTTGTCCCGCTGGTGACTGACAAATGGCAAGATGTGGTCTTGACGTATCATAAAGATGGAGGTAGATAACGACCTTCGCTTTAGCCTAACCTAAACTAAACTAACTTTATTTATACTGGATAGCTCTATCAGTTCTAAACTGTTCTTCCTAGAGGTCCAGTAAGGATCATCTCTTATTGATCCAGTGTTACTACAGGAGGAAACCTAAACTAAACTAACTTTATTTATAAACTGGATAGGTCTCTCATCTCAAAATGTATATCTCACTTTTACAGAGCTGAACATGTACATCAATTGCAAGCTGGTAGCAACGACCGAGAACGATGACCAGTGCATTAGTTGCCATACGTCTGGATGCCACAACAGTGACACTAATACGAAGCTATTGCTGGGCAGAGCAAACGGAAACCCGCAAAGTAACTTTGCCCGCTTCAAGGCCGGAGATTTATCCATCTATGATAAATATTTAAATCCTCAAGACATTGACAGAATATGTGGCTTTTCAAAACGTATGTTCACGGATGTCTTTAAAATTTTTAAAGCTTTTTAGCATAATATAGTCTTGTCACGTAACACAGTTATGATAGCTGGGCAAAAGCTGAACCCGTGAGTCTTTCAAGGAGATCTTCATCGCCATAGCACGCAATGCCAGCTTTTAAAGTGCATTGCAAGCCTAGTTAGTCTGGCGACGTAAGAACGTTGGCTGGTAACGTAATCAGAATGAAACAATTATAATCATTCTTGATTTGTTGTCAACTGAAAAATTCGTTTTATCTTAAAAATGACAGCACAGAAGTCGAGTCCTGAGACTGGGAATTATATGCCGGCAAGTCCCAGTTGGAACTCACCGCCCGTTACCTCATATCCTAATACGCAAGCTGGCTTTCTCAAAAGCGGCATATCTGGTAAGTTGTCATGATCCAAGAAAATCATAACATTGTCCAAGAAAATCATATTGTTCGATTGTAGTTACCTGTCCTTTCTTTTCAATTGTGCTCTTTTCTTCAGGCTCGCTGAAAACACCACAAACCGCAATGAATGCTGCCAAAAAAGCTCAGACCACCTCAAATGCTCCGTACTTTTCCCCATGGGGCGGTTGGACAGCGTGTTCTGTCTCCTGTGGACTGGGTACCCAAACAAGACAGCGGTCGTGCATTTATACGCACGCGCAAAGCGGCTGGCAAACCTGTCATGGCGTTACATTTCAGACTAAAAAATGCTCCTCGAACTGCCCAGGTAAAGCGAATTAGTTCTCAGCGTTTAATTTCAAACGATACTCGATTTGGCTTGAGCAATAGGATGGGATAGAAGAAGATAAAAGGGAGTGAGATGTGACAGAATGGGATATGTTGGGATACTGGGACTCCACCCGACAGGCGGATGTCCACCGTAAAGCGCTAATCGTGTTTGGTTAACTTATCTAGGACCGCGGCAGAGTGTTTCTGGTGATGCCCAGACCGCAATTCGCAAAGACACTCGGCCTCAATCAAAGTTGAACAACGCAAAGTCAACAACCAGCAAACCTGCGGTCAGCGCTGCCAAAACAAACAACGTGAAACTAGGAACTACCAAAGACGTGGATGGCGCTAGAAGAGATAGGATTTCTAAAATCATATCAAAATTGGTGAGCAATACAATGCAAAAAGCTTTTGATAACGCGCTAGCCCTAAACTAAACTAACTTTATTCCTTAAATTTGTTTTCCAGGGCAACCTTCTAGGAAAACTGGATCAGTGACCCCGGATCATATGGGTCAGCTATCGTTATCACATGGAGAAGATGTATCTCTGATCTGCATACGTTTTCAAGACGACGATTGTTAAGTATACCAGCCAAACTTTAGAAAAACTGTATGTTTTGGACATATGGTACATGTTGTCGACAAGCGGTTTTTTACAGCCTTGCTTTTGCATATAGTAAGGCTCGGGTTATCGCAGGGAACAAGGGTGTAGACATTTAGTCCGTCAAATTTATTGTAAATAGATTTTTAAAAGCAAACAAAAAACACATTTACCGAATAGATGAAGATGTTCGTAATTTTTCGCCATTTGTTTTGTCTCAACTTTGAGAAAAACGGCAAAACATTGCGAGTGGAAGTTATAAGAAACGGACACCGAAAATTCTGTTAAACGGAACCTCGTAACATGGCCTCACTGTTAACTGTCAAATTTGACTACGTTATTTTTTCACTTGCGCATGTGTGAAAGTTTGTTTGAAAGGCTGATCGGGCTGAATGGTTCTGGCGCAAACCGGTACCTGCTTTGTTCAAAAGGCTTGTTAATAATGGTGGAACAATTACACAATTAAAATAAAAATATTACAAAAAATATCTTCTATAATTCGCGGGTTTTTTAACAGAAAATAATTCGTAGCGCAAGCCTTGTTATCTGAATAAAAGGTAAGATTAAAATCATAAGTTTAATTTATTATCACAATAGATAGTTGAAACAATGATCTTATCCTCATATATGTCAGATGTTTATGTAGTTTTAAACTATTGCTTTATAGTTCAATAATATTTCTGTTGCTTTGCAAATTGATATACTTAACTAATAAGGTTTCCCTTTTTAACTTGTGAACTTTTATTAGCCATATGGTATCAGATGTTTTTATAATTGTTTATCATATTAATTTTTTGTTCGTCCTTGCATGTTCAGTCATAGTAAATAATTTAAGTTTTCTACTTAACATTTTGTGTGGATTTAAAAATATATTTGTCGCTTCAATAGGGATGAAACGGAATATCGTTTCGTCCTTCAACTTGTTCGCTTTCTTTTCTCCGTTTTGCTTGAGCTCAGACGGACAAAATCGCTTTCAAAACTTCAGATTACGGAGTCTATTCGCTCAGATATAAACTATAGTTATGTTCCTAGTCGCTTTTGCATCAGATAACAAACGTTGAATTCTTTTTTCAGCGATGCAGCGACGTTCTGAGTTCACGGTCTTCTTCGTTGCTGTAATCGCTGTGGCATTAGGGGAGCCTCTATTCGACAAATTACATCCAAACAGAGACGAACGATTTCAGATAAAGAATGCTGGTGAGTAAAGAAGTAACTATAAAAACTCTTTTACCTCTTCTTTTAATTCGCAAGTTGGTTTCCATGCTTATTTACCAGCGAACCTAAGATTTAGGATGGGAGGGAATGACGACGGCTGATAATATGATAGAATTGTTATTAGCTAAGAAAAGGAGCGAATAATTGAATTCCCCATGCGTTTAAGAAGTCGTTTATGGCCTGTTTAAAACGATACTATACAACAGCGAAACTGTCCTATAAACGTAATAGTCTAGACTTTCACTAAATCTAACTGCAGTTGATTAAACTAGTTTCAACAATGGGCTGAAAGTTTGTTTGTAATCTTTAAAGCCATCAGGTTCGCTACCGTCATTCTGAGCAAACGTTTAATGTTTGTTGAAAATTCATCCTCAAATCATTTCGAATTTTAGGTACCATATTTTTCAATTGAGCGCTTTGAATATACTTATCCACATTTCATGATGTGTATACAGAAATCTCGATAATTCATAACTTTATGTCAAATCTAATCTTACACAGAATTTCAGAGCATTGGATGTTGGAAGGACTCGCTAGACCTCAAAGCTCTGCTTCCACTTGAAAATAAGCATCCGCTCCTCATGGACGGTCACGGTGAGGCTCGCTCCAATGCCCTTATGAAGTGCGCCGAAGCGGCGTGGGACCTAGGGCTGAAAATATTTGCCGTTCAGAATGGTGGCGAGTGCATGGGTGAACATGACGGCGAGCGCAAATACATGAAGTACGGCATGTCCAACTTATGTCATGGTAAGTAGGATCGCAGGCTCTGGATGTTGTGATATATACACAAGGTTGTAAAATATTGAACAAAATTCTCAAACACTTGCAGGAGATGGTCTTGGAGGGCCATACGTGAATGAAGTATATAGGTAAGTGGAATTATTTTGAATACAAACACGCATCCATTCAGCTGTTTTATCGCCAATTTATAACTTGGTAGTAACCTTAGTAGCTTGTAGTTGGGTGGACCTGACCAGTCGACTTCCACCTTTCTTCTTTCTTATAGGTTCCTAGGGAACCACATTGTACCCCAGGACGGTTCGTACTCGGACTGGCAGGCCTGGGGAGGATGTAGCGCGTCGTGTGGCCCAGGGACTGAGACGAGAATAAGAACCTGTACAGATCCAGCCCCTTATGGCGGAGGCAAAGATTGTGCAAAGCTGGGGCCTGCGTCCCAGTCACGCAAATGCAATGTCGCAAACTGTTAGGCGATCAAACGACTTCGCCTGTTGAACAAAAAAGATGAACTTAAAAGCCTTACCGAGTCTCTAAAGACGTTTTAATCGTCTCAAAAGACTTCGGTTGTTAAAACTACGCTTTCAAAAGTTGTATTTATATTATCTATAAAAATGCACTAGTGATTCCAACCCTAGCTCGATGTTAACTCAGTGCAAAACATGTAAATGTGTATTTTATATTTCAGGTAATGAAAATTTAATAAAATATGTTCGCAGTTAGATCACCCAGCTTCTTAAAGGGAGACGCGCACAATCGCTTATTTTGTCAACAAGAAAAATCGATCACGTCTTTTGAAGTTATTTATTCACCCTCTTTCCCAGGCAAGTACTGCCGTTGTTAGTAATACGTCAACCAAGCTTTCGGGTTTGTAACGAGCATTTTATCGATATCAACCTGAGCGATGCCTTTTAGCAGCATTTTTGGCGCGGCGTAGTCAAGGATATGAGAAAATCCTGCGCCAGCAAACTTGGTTAGATTGTGGCATGCGTGTACGTCATGAGATACCAATATTTTGTCGACGTAGCCTTCGGAGATCAAGTACATAATCTTGTCAATGCGTTGCGCGTCCGACATAAAGGGAGACACATAAGAAATCTCGGAACCGAAGAAATCATATTCCAAGAAAACTCCCGTATCGGCAAGTTCTAGTAATATTTGTTCATTTCTCGGAATTGTGCGATCTAAGTGCGCCATGACGGTGCGTTTGACGTCTCCTCCTGCTTCTTGGAAAAGACGCAGGATTTCGAAAGGTGCTCTTGGATCCGCGCCAGGGTGGATCATAACGGGTGTCTGGGTTTGTGTTTGCGCGATAGCAGAGGCCCGGAGACTACGTTTCTCGGCGTCAGTTATCGGCCAAGAAGTCCCAACTTCACCAATAATGCCAGGTTTGATTTGGCTACCTTTAATACCATTGTTGATCTCGGATATCATGATCTACATGAGAATATTAAATATTTCAGTTGTTTTTTTAAAAACGGACACCTTTTTCACCTTTCAGATAATCCATCCAGATCATATGTCACGAAGATAACCTGTAGACCATTTAAACTTTCACATATCAAGCATGTAAGGTTTGCAGTAGAGTCGAAATATCGCCAATTGTGCAACTCAGATCCCATGCAAAGTGTGTAGCAATTGAATAAACTGATATATACGTACCTCTGTGATATTCTCGACCGTGGCTGACCTAACTTCCCCGGGGATTGTTCCATCCAAAAAATACCCGGTACCACAGACGATATGCACGCCAGATGCCTTTGATATCTTCACCATTTTTTCAACATCTCGATTAATTCCGATGACAGTATTTTCGACAATGGTCACTCCTCCGTTTTTTTTGAAAATTTTCAGGTCGGCAATCACCGCTTCTGGCTCGTTATACATACTCACGTTTGCTTTATTTTTATAGCAGTTATGACGCAACCAGTTGAGGTTCTTCATCGTGATTGCGGCGTGATATCTCTCGTTCTCCGCGGCGTTTTTTGGCGTTGTGACGAAATACGAGCAGTCCATAACAACATGCTCATGAGGTAAGGTTATTCCCAAATCCTCGGCGTCTACAGCTCCCAAGACAGTTTCAACTTGTGATTTTACCATGTTGTCTAGAGTCTAGATAGTGCGTTATGTTACGAGTATTCAAGAATTTTTGATAATCCCGGTAAATTGTACAATACAGACAATGCAATATCGTATCCAATACGATATTGATCAGCCGGCGTGCATTGAAGCCAAGAGTGAAACAGCAGAACAATTCCAGCAGTAGATCAGACTACGAATCGAATTTGAAATTGCAAATCTTCATGTAAATTGATATTCTTGGTTTATATTGGCATAAAAATCACGTGTTTTCCTTGTCGGAACTGAATTAACAAACATTTTCACATTTAGGCTTGTTGCTTGTGTGTCTGGACAGAAATACCCTGGTGTTTGGTGCATTGTATTTTGAGGATTTGAAACCAGTTTAACAGGCTTATGCCTTAATGAGATGCAATTCATGGGGAATGTCTGAAATCCTGAATTGATCAACATTTTGATCCATTCAGCCTCTGAGTTCTGACCACACTCACCACAGTACACCGGCCGGCATATTACTTTGATCATTTGCAATACGATTCATTTACAATCGTTATTTTGGCTCCTGACGCTCGATTTCCTGTAGTTTAATAGACCGTGTTAGCACAGCAACATCGAACTATGGTGAAATCTCAAGTCGAAACCGTCTTAGGCGCTGTAGACGCCGAGGACTTAGGTATAACTTTGCCACACGAGCATGTAGTTATGGATGTGAGTTACTACACAACACCACCGACCAACGACGAGGAGAGAGAGAAATACCACGCTCCCATCACGATGGAAAATCTCAACTGGCTTCGACATAACTTGTACAAGAGTAAAGTGAATGTGAGCATTTACAACGAAGAGGAAGCAGTGATCGCCGACCTAAAGGCTTACAAGCAAAATGGTGGAGCGACAGTTGTCGAAAATACTGTCGTCGGAATTAATCGAGATGTCCAAAAAATGGTGAACATATCGAGGGCTTCTGGCGTGCACTTGGTCTGTGGTACCGGGTATTTTGTTGATGCGGTTATTCCGGGGGACGTGAAGTCAAATTCTGTTGAAAAGATCACAGAGGTATGAAACACGATCACAGCTAAACTTGCCATGCCTTTGTTTAATCGATTGTCGAAGTTTTTCTTTTGTATTTTCGAGGTAGTGTGTTGTGTCACTTTAAAACGTGCTAGGCTATTGTAAGAAACACTTAAACGACCGACCCCCTGACGGCTCAGCCATGATAGAAAGCATTCTTACGAAGCAGATGCAAAACTGCGAGTTCTGAAGTAGACTGCTGACTGCTGCATCTCAGGTATTTTAGCCGTAGGCTATCAAGAAAAACAAGTTCCTCCGGTTTTAAATATATAATGTGGAAGAAATTAACCTTTCACGATTGACAAATTATGAGCCGTGGCAACAGCCGACCCTTATCAATCACTGGAACTCTTGGTAGAACTGAGGTGGCCGTTAAATTAAGTCAAACCCACCAAACATGTTAAACCTGCGTCGCAATCTGAACGCTACTGGTGTTATCGATTCAATGGCTGACTTCCTGCAAGGTCATTAGTTACGCAAGGCTCACAAGCGTTCTTGTCTGTCGCGACAGGCGTTTAAAAAATGGTTAGAATTTTTGCCAAGATCTTTTACACTTCACCTTTGATATACGCCCAAATGCGAGCCAAACCTAGATCTACAATAGCTTTTACTGCAAGCCTGCAAAGCAGAGCTCCACGAGGTGTAGCAAGGATTTTTGAGGGTTTGTTTGGTATATATAGTATCTGAATGTGATTTATGAGTTGATGCAATTTGAGATTGGCTTTTTTGCGTTTCAAGAGCTTTTTAGTCCTCACAGGTCGGTTAAAAAGCGATGTAGTTATTAGTTAACAATTTAACATAACCAGAGAGCAGCGTGGCAGCGTCTTCATTCTTCAAACAACTTGGCATCAAATGTGGTATAACAACTGTCTAAAAATAGATAAGACACTTCTCGACGTTTCGACCTGAGGGCCTTCGTCAGGAGAGTTAGTATACACATTTGATGCTAACAATTTAACATATAACCATCGTTTTTCAAACAGACCCTGATATCGGAGATCAACGAGGGCATTAAACTCAAGGACTGCGTAGTCAAAACAGGAATTATTGGCGAGGTTGGAACTTCCTGGCCAATTACCGACTTCGAGAAACGAAGCCTTCGCGCCACTGCTATTGCGCAAGTTCAGACCCAGACCCCCGTGATGTTACACCCCGCAGAAGACCCAAAGGCGCCATTCGAAGTGCTGCGACTTTTCCAAGAGGCAGGGGGGGACGCAAAACGGACGGTCATGGCACACATGGATTACGTTTTCCCGAAAGACGAGCAGGTACTCGCGTTTGCTGACGAAGGAGCTTTCATCGAATACGATTTCTTTGGCTCAGAGATTTCATACCTTGTCCCCTATATGTCAGACCTTCAACGTATAGAGAAGATCATAAAGTTGATCGACCAGGGTCATGCTGACAAAATATTGATATCCCATGACATACACGCGTGTCATAATCTCACGAAGTTTGGCGGGATTGGATTCTCCCATATCTTAGATTACTCCGTGCCAAGAATGCTGCAGTTGGGTGTGACTCAAGCCAATATTGATAAAATGATAGTGGGAAATCCGAAGGCCTGGTTGACGTACTATTGATTGATTGAGACAATCGATAGGAAATAATTAAGAAAATTACGTGACACAGAATAATCATGGTATACTAAATCATGCATTTTATTCGATGATTTATTAAAATGTAGCTCTACGGGAACATTTATTTAAAGACTAGGCAATTTATTTCTATTTTTTTTTCTTGTAATCAAATTGCAAATATACTCGTAATTAATTTTCATTGAATTAATAGCCCTGATTCGTAGGGGGAGAAGAAAAGACGAAGCAGGCGGATCTGGGTGAAATCTCATGCTTGAGACGATGTTCAAAAAAAAATTGAGGTTTTGTTGAATGGGTAATGAATAAGACAACTGGCCTTGTTAATTCAATTAAAAATCAATCAAATAAAAACTCGATCCTTTGAATCGTCTCCCGGTTTTTTTTGTTGCCAATGTAAGGTTTGTACGTGGTAAGCATGATGTTGCGTTCAATTCCCAAAGCACAGACCTATAAAATCATGGACGCCAGCAAAAAGAACAAACATGCTCCGCTAAAGTCTTCGTATTAAATCGCTTGGTTTTGAACCAATCTTGAAAGATTTTGCCTAAATCTGAGCCAAAAGCCGGCACATTCCACCGTTCACTTTTACCACAATTTCATTGTGATTCGAGTAATCGTTGCAAAATCATGTTTCTCCCATCTGTCGCCATTACCATATATATATATGCAAAATGTAAATTGATACAGTATACGAAGCGAATAACTTATCTGCGCCGTTGCACACGTGTGTCGAGTGGACACAAACAAACGATAAATATCCTGTTAACAAAACAACATGGCGAAAGCTCAAATCGAAACCGTTCTTGGCCCAATGAGCGCTGAAGATTTAGGAATAACCCTGACACATGAACACCTAACCATTAACTATTCCAACTGCGCCATGTCGCCTCCGAACGACGACGACAAAAGTAAGATGAACGACCCGATAACATTGGGCAATCTCAACTGGCTTCGGCACAATCCTTACAGCTGCGTAGCAAATCTCAATCTTGCCGAAGAAAAGGATGCTGTTTTGGCGGATCTGAAGTTGCTCAAGCAAGCTGGAGGCGGTACTGTCGTTGAAAATACGTGTTTCGGAATAAACCGTGACATTGCCGCTTTTATAGAGTTTGCAAAGTTAAGTGGATTGAACGTGGTTTGTGGAACAGGATTTTATGTGGAAAGGACCCAGTCTGAGAGCGTGAAGATCGCTTCGGTTGAAGAGTTGACCAAGGTAAGGGTTAGATTTGTCTGGCCTTGAATACATTTATGTTCGTAGGGTATCTGTGTTCACGTTTATTCTTTCTGCAAATGATACTTGAAGCATGTTTTGCAATTTGTGTCAACTAACAGTCTAATACTATCATCATGTACAGTACTTATGAGAGACAACAATTTCTTGTAAATTTTAGACCATTGTGGGGGACATAAATAACGGCATTGATGGAACGAAAGTGAAGCCAGGTATTATTGGAGAGGTTGGCTGTTCTTTACCATTGGCAGAGTTCGAGAAACGCAGTCTCCGTGCAGCGGCGATTGCACAATCAGAAACCCACACTCCAGTGATGATCCACCCAGGACGTGACCCCACCGCCCCGTTTGAAGACTTGCGCATTTTCCAAGAAGCTGGTGGTGACGCTAAACACACCGTCATTGCACATCTGGGACGAACAATCTCGAAGAAGGACACTCTTCTAGAGTTGGCTGAAACAGGTGTGTTTGTCAAAATATTTCTTCCCGGTATAATTGAATTAGTTTAGTTTAGGTTTCCTCCTGTAGTAACACTGGATCAATAAGAGATGATCCTTACTGGACCTCTAGGAAGAACAGTTTAGAACTGATAGAGCTGTCCATTATAAATAAAGTTAGTTTAGTTTAGGTTTCCTCCTGTAGTAACACCGGATCAATAAGAGATGATCCTTACTGAACCTCTAGGAAGAACAGTTCAAAACTGATAGAGCTATCCAGTATAAATCCAGTTAGTTTAGTTTAAGTTTCCTCCTGTATGGTAAGTAAGTCAAGATATTTCGGTTAAGACCTGGAACTATTCAATTCTCTAAACTCTAAAGTAATTCATTTGTCAGACCGTTCTCTCTCTCCACAGGTGTGTTTCTAGAATACGATTTGTTCGGTTCGGAAATTTCATACTTTCAAGAAATGCCCACCATAGACATGCTGAGCGATGCCCAGAGAATAGACATGATTGCTCACTTGATCGCATCTGGTTATGGAGACAGAATACTGGTAGCTCATGACGTACACACCTGTCACCAGCTCACCAAATACGGCGGGCACGGCTACGCGCATATCCTGGATTATGCTGTCCCGAAGATGCGTCTGAAGGGTTTCTCGCAGGCGGACATAGATAAGATTCTGGTATCAAACCCGAAAAGTTGGCTGACGTATTATTGATTGTTACCAAACTTTTCACAGTTTATACTAAAATTCTTCAATGAAGATGGACAAACGAGGAAACTTTGTTTCCTAGCCGTGTTTCATGAAGATGGACAAACCAGGAAACATTGTTTCCTGTAGCGATGTTTCATGAAGGTAGACAAACCAGGAAACATTGTTTCCTAGCCATGTTTCATGAAGGTGGACAAACCAGGAAACATTGTTTCCCAGCCATGTTTCATGAAGGTGGACAAACCAAGGAAACATTGTTTCCTGTAGCGATGTTTCATGAAGGTAGACAAACCAGAAAACATTGTTTCCTAGCCATGTTTTTTTTGAAGGTGGATATTTTCAACGATAATGCACACAGCTGATTGCATTTCTCATCAGTGACCACTGAACAAACCAGACTCTATTTTCTAATTCTTTATTACTTTAGTACTAAATTTCGTTATTTACATGTAAATTATTGAACAATTGAGATCTGTTGGCCATGCTAAGATGTACGGCCGATGCATGCTTCCATCCAAAATTAATATTTAGCGCGCGTTAAACGCCATCGCACGATACTAAGACGTGGTCATCGACGTGGTCGCAGCTGTTTCTCCACGCCTAATCTCTTGGGTTATTTGAGATAAATCCTGGATGAACGTTTGGATCTAAACGCGATGAACAAAAAGAAACCATGAACTAGGTCTTCGCCAAGACTTCGGCGTTAAACACGTTCTATTTTCAAACGCGAATGCGTGCACGTTTAGTATACTCTGTCCTAATTCCAGACAGTTTCACTCTTCGAAGGAAAAATCCTTATAACCAACACGAAAGTGTTGAATCAATTTACCATAACCGCTTACCTTTTCCAACTGTCTCTCAGTATTTTCGATGACAGTCGTTGTTTTCAACTGCCCGTTCACCAACATAAACAAATTGTGAGTAGCCCTGGACAAAATATTAAGAAAATATTGATTTAGTACATGCAGTATAACCGCATGTGTCGGCCATTGCCCGTGTTTGTCTTTTGCCGTGAAGCAACGAAAATATACATACATTTTTATTCTACCCAACAGCAGGGTTTTCGTTGCAGCTGTGTTCTTGATATGGGTCCATTGTGACTCCCTGAACGAAAAAAAAAAGCAATTAAGATTGGGTTGGCTTAAATTTTGTGCAACAACACAGATTTACTCGCTCGAAAAAGGTCTCGGGTCAGTTCGCATACCATTTCACCGCAATGCTTTGTGTTTTCTCTAGTTCTGTTTGAAGTTGAGCAAGCTATGTAGAGAGAAAGAGAGAAAAAGATAAGATTTTTTTCTATACCTTCATATTCCGAAATCATCTTAATTTTTCTGGTCCTTTTTGCAAAAGAACCTCAGTTGGTAAAGATCTGTTTACACGACCCAATTCCGTCGGATTCAATTCACTAGTTTGTTATTAATGCATGAAGCAGTATTGCGTTGGCTTTAGCTTATTCGCTGCCCATAAACATTGCAAGTCAACAGACTATAAAACATTCCTCAGAAGTGAATTGAATCGTGTCAGCAGATCATGCACCTTTGAAATGAATGGCTGACCTGGTTGTTATAATTCAATACTTCGTTGTTTTTCTCCTAGGAGGTATATTAAAACAGTGGGATTAGAGCAAGAATTGGCAAAGCATTCAAATGCATTTGATTCAAAAACAACGAGATGGTTTTATTTTACTTCAGTGAACTTCATAAGTCTTGCTTTCTCTTGTTCGTATTTCTCTTGGTTTCTCGCTTCGCGTTCAAAGAGATCCTGGTGTGTCGCGGTTAAGGTGTCGTATCGCGCTATTATATCCCGAATTTCCGTGAACTAAAATACACAGAAAGACCTTAATGTTTCATGTGAGATTAGAAGTCGTTCCTGCAACAGATGACTAAAATATTTCACTTGTTTCGCAAATCATTCCGGCCTTGGTGATTGTTTGGAATCACTGCTCAGAGAACCTGCTCAAAGGCAAATTTGTTTATTCAAAATTAATTTAAACACCTCTTCTGCCTTTTCTAAAACTTTATCCAGATATTTCTGCGAGGCAACGTATCTCGATAGTTTTCTCTGCATTTTATCGCGGACTTTGACCAAATTTGCAGTTTCCTCTTTCAACCTGAAGGACAAAACGACGCTGGTCTTAATAGGAATCTTAAAATGTTAAATCCTTGGTATAAATGCCATGGAAAATCCACGTATTTGCAGGACTCTTTTAATCCCTGCAATGCTTCAAATATATCACCTGTTTATTTCTCTGTCTTTTCCACGTTTCATGTCGCGTTCTTCAGATGCTTTTTTCAAGGCTCTGGATCTCTTTGAATCATTTTCCTAAGTTAATAAACAATCTTATTTGCAAAAACCCTCGTTCAAAACTACGGGGGCCGGTTGTTTAAAGCTGGGTTAGCGCTAACCCTGGGTTGAATTTTAATCCACTGTTTTGGTTAAGTGCCTCTAAACCGCTGTTTGTTTTAAAACCTTTACGAAATATGCCTTTTGTCGGTCCAGAAAATATTTATGGAAAAAGATATTCAACTTTGTGAACATGCGATTAAAAAAATCGATGTAAAGATTTGCTTTAACCCAGAGTTAAGCTAACCGGGTTTTGAACAACCGGCCCTGGATAAACAATCCATGGATTCATGGCCTGTTTCAGACATCTTTCCATGCGCCAAACCAAAAGTTAGCAAGAGAAAGTCTTTTTTGCATTCAATTCAGCACATAATAAGTTCGACAACCGAAACTAGAAAGAATAAATATACTGACTACACAAGTCCTATTTTTACTACCTTTAGAAATTTATCAAATTTAAGAAGAGATTCCTTCAACTGGAATTCCTTTCTTTCTAGTTCTTCTCTTCGTTGCTGTAAGCTCTCCATCTTCATTTGAAATTCCTGGAACATTTCCAAACAAGGCATTAAACTCCCCTACCCAAACAGGCCAAACTTCAGGCAAATAATAATTCAGTCTGCGAGATAATTCAGTCAACTCCTTCCCCTAATCATTTGAGAAACCATATTTTGAAAATGTAAAAATCCAGGAAGAAAAGTAGAGGGTGTTACAAACTAAATATTTATTTTCACTGACAGGGACAGATGGTGCCGATAGGTGGATAGATCCATGTAAACAGTAAACACTCGTCACAATATTCAAAATTTGCAGCATCGTATATAAATATTTTACATATAACTATGATAAGGCTTTAGGGAACCAGCCTAGCTTGTGAATATAAAAAATGCCGCATAGATCAAGCTAAAAATTATCGCAATCATCGAAGCATTTACCTCTTTCTGTGCCGTCAAAGCTTGCTCCACTTCTGACATTTCCCTTCGTTTTTCCAATAATCTTGTTGCGGGAGTGAGTTGGTCGTCTTCTTTCTCTGGCATTTTCCTAATAGCACAACAAACATAGACACTGGGTTAAGCTTTTAACACCAAAATAGATCGACAAATCTCATATGACATTGATTACAACACCAACCCAAAAATACAAACCCACAAAAAATCGCGAAAAAACACACTTACACCAGGAGTTTGTCCTCAAATATCGTCCGAAAATAGTCTTCGAGGTTAACTGCCATCGTGGTACTTGTGAAAATGTGCGAATTTGGGAAAAAAAAGCGAAAAACCACCAAAGAAAGTTGGATATTTTGATTGTTCAGTTTGAATATCAAAGATGGCGTTCACGGTTGCCTAGCGACGGGTATCATACGGCTTTTGACCCTAGGGTAAATATCATCGTATAGAGAAAAATCTAAATTTTTATTATTTTCTAGTAAACTAGTGAACTCTAATAAATAGAATAAATAGTTATTTTCATTTCACTGATGAGTAATGAGTTTTGGACTCAACAACTACAAACTCCACACGCTGTCCCCACGCAGCTCACCGAAACGATCTCGGAGGTTGGCCGCAGGGGCAACCGCCCCACAACGCAACGAACTCCGTGGGGCGAGGAGCACTTGAACTTCCGACAGGAATTTTTGTGTATTTTCGATTGACAAAGAAAGGAAGTATGGTGTTTGATCATTGATTATGGAGCACTTCCGTATTTTCAATTGTGAGTTATAGGGAAGATGCAAACATTTTTCCAGAGCAACCAATTTGAACTTTTTTGGAACGATGCAGATGTTATTCATCATGGGTTATGGGGTAACGCCATTTTCCGGCGAATATGACCATGGTCGTATTTGCCATTTTCCCGCGAATATGACCATGGTCGTATTTACCATTTTCTGGCAAATATGACCATGGTCGTATTCGCCATTTTCCCGCGAATATGACCATGGTCGTATTCGCCATTTTCCCGCGAATATGACCATGGTTGTATTTGCCATTTTCCAGCGAATATGACCATGGTCGTATTTGCCATTTTCCGGCGAATATGACCATGGTCGTATTTGCCATTTTCCGGCGAATATGACCATGGTCGTATTTGCCATTTTCCGGCGAATATGACCATGGTCGTATTTGCCATTTTCCGGCAAATACGACCATGGTCATATACTCGCTGGAAAATAGCAAATATACAACCATGGTCATATTCGCCGGAAAATGGCAAATATACGACCATGGTCATATACTCGCCGGAAAATGGCAAATATACGACCATGGTCATATACTCGCCGGAAAATGGCAAATATACGACCATGGTCATATACTCGCCGGAAAATGGCAAATATACGACCATGGTCATATACTCGCCGGAAAATGGCAAATATACGACCATGGTCATATACTCGCCGGAAAATGGCAAATATACGACCATGGTCATATACTCGCCGGAAAATGGCAAATATACAACCATGGTCATATATTCGTGTTACATCTCAGATTCGCTTTTCGACAGACCATGTGGAAGTCCCCCCCCCGCGTTTAATGTTCACCAGTTTTCCTGCATCCGCGACAAAATGGCGGCCGAAGGTTAAAAAAATATTTTGTTTTGGTTCGCCTTTTGGTCGCTTTTGTCCTTGTTCTGATGATGAACGTGAGGCTATGGGTGCGATCGGAACCATTCGATGTCAGTACAATCCAAATGCCACCTCCAGCCAAGCTTACGTTATCGGTTAGTGGGATTTTTTACTGTACAAAATGTTTGGAAATTAGGGGTAGTCAATGACAATGAGGTTTGAAAATGACAGACGCCACGTTAAATATTACTTTCAATTTTGTAGATTATAAAAAGTTTTGGTTGAAGTAGTAAAGTAATATTTTCAACCGTTGTATTTTGTCGTGAATGTTTTATAAGCGAGTTACAAGCATTAGTTGTTGTTGACAAATCTAAAAATGATATGTCAGTGTCAGTGCGTCAGCGTCACTAATGTCAAAGATATAAACTGTAATTTTGATTTCTCAAAACTGAAAGAGCAATAATGGATTGATAACTTTCACTTGATCAACATGAAACACACTTTTTTTTTATCTAGAACTTGCAAAAACTAAACACCTATGCTAAATCTAAGGGTGATGTTGGATACCCTAGATTAAGGTACGCATTGAAACAATATCTAATGTTATATGAGTACATTTACAAGTTACAACTCCTGAAACCAGTTTTTAAGGGCGTATTCCTAACCGTTTTTTAACTTGCTTAAATGGTCCCCACCTCTCTGGCAGCCAGGGAAGCCACCCCACTCCAGGCAGCTGCACCTCTGCGTTGCCTAAAGATATAACGCCTGAATTAATGTAGAGAACATGGGCGTATACCTGATCCCTATACTTATAATAGTATATAAATAATATCAATAGAGAAGAGATTCTTTATCAACAGTTTCTAAACATCACCTTTCCTTTACCTTCCACTTTCCATCAACTTTAATGGTTGCAGTCACATTTTGTTTAATAGTTTTTTAATGTTTCAGTTATCCAGTGTGGAAACATGTTGCCTGCGATAAGTTCAAGATTTCCGAAGAACTGGCATGGATGTAGGCAATATTTATTGGTCGTTATCTTAACCGTCAACAGAACACCATGGATATATCTTTATGATTTTTATGTTAAGGTATTTTGCGACGTTTGACATGGTCTCGGAAGAAAGCCGTACAACTCAACTAGAATGGAAGGAAGCAATTGCTAAATGTACAACTGAACATGAGATAGGTATGTGTTAGTGATTGCTGTATATCTGAATACACTGTGCTTGCTTGATTGTAATACTGTTCATCCTCTTAACTTTTGGAAAATTTTTATCTCTAGAACACATGAAGGCAGACATATCAGTTGATATGGTTCAGTTTACATTGTTTCTCTACATTCAACAAGTTCATAAAATTTCGCTTAGAGAAAGCCTAGTGGGTGGGGAAGAGTATCCTTTATAATTCCTTTGCCCTTTTTTTTTCTGGGTATTACCACTTTGCACATTCAACCGAGACACTTGTGGAATGTCTCACAATTCTAACTCGTATCTTAGTTCCCTAAAATGCAAACTTATATTCAACCCTAACTTGTATTCAAACCTAGCAACCCCAATTAACTTATACTCCATCACACAACTGAAACTCATCCCACCCCACAAGTCCATCTCACTTGCACCCAAGTGTCACCCATTAGTAGTCCAAGTGTCCAACTCCACTAGTGAATGTATTCCAAACTCCTTAACGCTAACACAGATGGCCAACAAAAAACAGGTCGCCCGTCGACTTAGAACGTAAGGGAATGATTGGATCCAAGGTTCGTTTAGGTCAAATTTTCATTGGTTAATAAAACAAGAAATTGTCATCTCAGTGTCAAATGATATATTGTGATTTTGACTTCAGAGTCTTGATGAACACGGTCAGCTGATGTTTGTGTTGAATCATTTGGAAGATATTTTAGAGCTGGTCACCGAACCAGGTTGGTAATTCTAATAACAACAGAGTTTCGTCTACATGAAAAGTCTGACTAATTTCATTCATCTCATCTTGTAACAATTGCTTTTTATTCATTATTTAGACTCATATTCCTCAAGTCTCGGAGGCGTTGGTAGCGACCCTACATTAACAGATGAAGCTGTGCATGCCTTGGGATTCTTAATTGCTGGATCTGTAGATAAAAGGTGATTTGAAGTTGATTTAGATGCCATACCGTATTTATATATACTTGCTGTAAATGGAGATCTTAGGCATCACTTGGATGCTATTGGATGCTCAGAGTAATTAACAAGAGATTTTAGTCCACCCAAGAAACTAGCTGTTTAATTTCCACTGCTTAGTAAAAAAATCTAGTTTAGGGAGAGTGAAATACTAAAGTAACCATTTTAGCCAATCAGCTATCATGCAATGAGTTCTCAAAATAGAAACCTGTTTAATGTATTATTTCTTTTATTTGACAACTAGTAACAGTCTTTTTTTATCATTTCATATCACTTGGAATATTGCTATTCAAGCACATTTCAAGGCACTAAATTATTTTACATTCAGGTCTGTTACTGACTTCAGGGAACTCGCTGTGATCTCTTCCAATGGCGATGGTTACTCCAAGGTAGATGAATACTGGTTTAACCAACCACACAAACAACAGTGCTGGTTGTAGTTGGTTTTTTGCATCGACCTTTTGTTGTGTTTTATGCTGTGCCCTGATGCACTTCTCTCTTTGCTCTTAGCTTTCAAGAACATGGTCATTTCGGTATTTAAAAGGCTGGATCCGATCCAACCTGGGTGTGAGTCCTTTTGGGGTGTCTGCCTGTTTGATTTCTAATGGTTTGAAAGCGCGAAGTTCAAATCATGATAGCAATGGTCATGGGAAGACTGACAGTAAGTGGTAGATTAGGATGGGAAATACTGCCGGGAAACCTTGTTGGATGGTCAATTATTGGGTTACCTGATTAGTTGGTGGGCTACCAGGGTACCTGGTCGATGGGTGGGACTACCTGGTTGGTTGGTTAAATAGCTAGTTGATTAAATAGTTTTATTGGTTAGTGGGATACCTGATTGGTTGGTGGGCTACCAGGTTGCCTGGTCAATGGTTGGGTTACCGGGTTAGTTGGTCAGTTAGCTGGCTACCTGCTTGATTAGTTCATAAGTTGGTTACCCTGTTGGTTGGTCAATTAACTGGTAACATGGTTGGTTGATTAACTGGGTACCTACTTGCTTGGTTAGTTCACTGGTTGGTGCTTTTATGGGTGATTGATCATCAATCATCTGTTTGTTAGTGACGTGCACCACAGCTAATAACTGCTTCACTCTCTGATCAGTTTTAGACTTGAGTCAAAGTCTAGAGGAAGAAAGCTCAAGGTTGAATGCTCAGGGTGGAACAGTGGGTGGACGGATTATAAAGAATACGAGATATGCCCCACCCAGGTAACTGCATCCCATGCATATTCATCAGTGTAGCAATGTCTCTCTAGGAAATGCTAATGTCACTTCTTGTCTCACAGGAATCGCCTGGTAATAATGTATCAGATTTGTAAACAAACTGTTGGAAAGGTTCGTGTATTGTTCTCGAAACTATCAATATGCAGTAGTCCATAGTATTTGCGAAAGTTTCAACTTGGTACACATATATACAGAAAGGTTAAAACAAGAGTTAAAAACCTGCTATCTATTATCGTTTTTTAGGCGGGCGATCACTTAATAGATGTTAACATCAAAGTCCACAGATGTCATTATTCATATATTTACCTTCTTGCTCCCGTTTGGTAAGTTCTGCTAGATTGACGCAAACAAACGTTATAATACTGATTTCGACCACTTTCCAGGAACTTCCCCCCCCCCCCACCTAAACCACTGCCCGTGATTTAACTCGAGTTTAAACGGAGGCAGTTCTTCTTCAGGTCAGTGACATTAGAGAAGTGTCATAACTCAACGATAGTGCTGGGAACTGTGCGGACGACAGTTAACGTCATTGGCTGCGAAAATGTCACCGTGATTGTCATGTGTAACAGACTAACAGTAAGGTATAACTTTGGCGCAGCAAAATTTTCCACTATGAATCAACTTTGTTTAGTTTAGGTTTTCTCCTGTGGTGACACTGGATCAATAAGAGATGATCCTTACTGGACCTCTAGGAAGAACAGTTTAGAACTGATAGAGCTATCCAGTATAAATAAAGTTAGTTTAGTTACCTTGAAAAGTGTTTATTTATTTCCTCAGCGGTTGCAGTGACTGTATATTTCATGTATGTACAATGACACGTCCTCTGTTGTTCGGAGGTACTGGAAACGAGAACCTCACATTCGCGCCATATTACACTCATTATCCGATGCTGGAGAGTCACATGACAATGTCCGGTCTCACGGCGAAAATCAACGAATGGAATAACCCTCTGCTTCTGGGTAAGCTCATATACTGGGACCGGTTGTATGAAAGTCGGATAGCGCTATCCACCGGATAACAGTTTTTTCAACCGTTCTAAAAATACTTGAAAAGCAATGAAATTTCATCTTTGGAACCAACAATTATTAAAGAGGATCCTTGATTTAGAAATACTAAGCTTTAATCAAAGTTATAACAAAAAAGGGGCGATTTTGAAGCGATTGAAAAAACCACTATCCGGCTTTCATATACAACCGGCATCTGAACAATATATCTAGAAGTAGTCATGAAATCACTTCACGGTGGATCCTCGCACTTGCAGGCCACGATGATGAGAGTCACGTATTTAAAGAAATGGATCCAAATACATTTTTTACCTTCTCTATCCCTTTCGACATGAAGGGTAAGACAAAGGTTAGTGCTGGGGCCTGTTGTGTCAAGCCCGGAGTTCAGCTTAAACGGTGGATAAGTTCTAAATAGAAAGCAAGTCTATCGTTTTATTCAACAAGCGAACTAAATATTTTTTACCTTGATACAAAGATACTGTTTACAACTAATTCATACGCCTAACAAGCTACAATGACTGTAAAAGATCAGTCGTTTTGCATTTAAAAATGAAGTGTCTCACTTCACAAATGAGGCGAATGCAAATTTTCTTTCCAGAGATGTCCTGTGCCACTACCAGAAGCATACGATCTGGCAATCCACTTACGGGAGAAGTAAGAATCAGTTTGTTTTTAGTTAATTAGAATATACACCGTTCAGTCTATTAACTGTCCTTGTGTTGTTTGATCTTCACTGGATCTTACAGACAGGTCGATGACTGGCACCAGTTTGTGCGAGAGTCGAAGTTGGGAAAACCACAACGAAAGCAATTACAGGCCGCAGTACAACAGCGCTTTCAGGTTCGTCTTTCTGTCTTTTTTACTGCTTTTTTCACCAGCTAGCCATGGTTCAAACGTTTTACTTACACACGCAATATTTAGACGAATATAAACGTACAAGTACTTAGGTTAACACTGTGAAATTTCCCGCGACAGTTGCCATTTTCAAACGGAGAATCCTAAAGGATTTGGTAAAAATATTTAAAGGAACAAAAACACCGGCTAACACGGAGTTGCCTCATCGTAATACTCGCTGCAAAACATTTAGAACCTGGGTTTTACCAACGCAAATTTTCAACTGTGAACTCAGGAACTTTGAGAGTTTAAATCAGGCCTGAATGCCTATTTAGACTACACGAGTTGTATGGAATTATCATTCTGACGAATGCAAAAGAGGGTAGAATTTGAAGTGTCACGTTTGCACGTGTGTTCATACGTTCACATACGCCAGGATACGAATCGTATAAGACAAATCGCACAGTGTAAATGGGCCTTAACCGATTCAGATTTCTATCCCAGGATCAATCATCTGATGATAATTTCTCAATATTTCTTCCAGGAATGGCTGTCAGACTCAGGAAATGCTCACCAGTTAGAAGGGCTGATTCCTTCCGCTTCATATTCAAGATAACCGCGCGTACGAACCTCTAACCCTTGACATTATTTCATCCAAGTACGACCTAAATTATTCCAGTTTATTAAAAGTCATGTTGACGATTATCGCATCCAAGAATCAGGTAGTATTTCTCTTGAGAAAATTTGTACAGAATATTTTCATTTGAATTAAAGCGGTGTTGCACTATGCAACTTTCCTTGCAACTTGCAATGCAATTCTACTCCTGAGGCATCTAAAGTTGTCAAATATGAACATTTCTTACGATCTGCTGACGTTTTCTTATCATATCGAACACTCTTCACAAATTAACTTCCCTCAAAATTATAACTGCATCGCAAGTTGCAAAGGAGGAAATTGCACCTGTTTTCCACTTCAGTCGTAACGTAACGTTGCGTATTTCTTTGTTTCCGAAGTATTCGACCAGAACTAATGACTTTAAAACAATGAGATACGCTACGTTTCGCTACGATACACTTGAAGTGGAAAACGGCCTTAACAGCGCCTTTAGGAGATTTGAATCCTCGCTTTTTATGACATCAGTTCACCGTGTGTACAGGCATATGCACTCTGTAATTTATGTATATGATGTATAGATGTACTTCGAATGTACAGTTCAACTAACATTTATGATATAAATAATAACAATGTATACAGAACTAAGTTTTAATTTAAGAAAAACGCGATTAAGTCGACAAAGTAAAACATTCATATACTGATATACAACTCTGTGAAACATTCAACATTTGCGACCATCGTGGTATATCGTTTGGAGTTAAACTCGATGAATATAGCTTTCGACAAAGCCCAGTAATTTTAGAACGCTTCAGACAGCAGATATAAAGCAACCATCAATGGCGCGTGTGATCCACGTGTGCTCGTTAGGGGTGGGGGGTGGTTGCACGTTAGGGGGTGGTTGTTGTATGCGGCTATATATAGCCGTCTTCCCCCCGAATTCTTTAAGTGCGGTGAATAATTCCTGGCATTTTAATGAAAATCGACAGAATTAAGCCTTGTGCATGCATATGAGTCTCTGACCTTTATACGTTATTAAAATAGCGCCACGCACAAGAACAAGACTTGAAAAAATCAGGAACTATTATCAGGAATTTCGTAGAACGATATCTCGTTATCTCGTTATCGGTAAATTGTCGAACATAACACAGAGAGATAATGTGCAAACCTTATCTCTCTCTCCACAAAACCTGATGCCTTAAAATAATTTTTATCTCGTGTCTGTTAATGTGAGTTGAGCTGAAACCCACGTAACGGGTTATATCTGATTTGGCAAATGCGTGTAGATTATGAAGATTAAATGACGCAAAACATACGCAAAGTCTGTTACACTTGAAACCTTTCCTGCGATTTTTGATGCGATTTTCTCCTTTTGAATGATGTAAAAGAGTTGTAGAGTTTCGGATATATCGGTGAAGGCGGTTTTACATCAGAGCATTTGCTGTAACTTCGTAACAGCTATTGTGCACTATTGATCGCCCACAAAGTAATTTCTGCAAGTATTTTTAAGGCACTTGAAATTGATTGCCTTTTCTGGAAAGCCAAGATCTATACAGAGTTTTTTTAACACCTTTCTTTAATTAGTAACTCACAGAAACATATTTCTATTTAAATGGAGTAACCCATTATTCACATTGTCATCGCCGTATTAAGTTGGGATATTTGCATAATATATATTTTTTCATTTCTTGAGAAAGAATGATATAGTTGTGCTATAAACAATGTCAACCATATTTATCAGAGCTCTTTTGAATAGCATAATAAATGGCATATATGTATAGAATAAGGTACATGGATGCGCGGAAATATGGAATTTATTTCGAGTGTTATTATATAATAAAAAAATAGGTTTTTTGAAAAGTTTTTTATCTCCCTTCCTGATTCCAGATCGGTGGATCAAACACGATAATCACACATTCCCGCGTAGTTTAATTACAATGCGCTACAAGGCGTCATGAGAATCATCGAGACCATTCCATAGTTTCGCAAAGAAATCAGCCGAATAAAAAAAGAAGGTCGTAGACATAAAAAAAATCAAAAAATTTTCCAAATACGCGACGCGCGATCTTTAACACTGACTAAGGTCTTTAAAAAGAATTAGCATAATTAGCGTGTATATAACTCATTAATATTACTGAATTGAAAAATATCTTGAAAATTCAAACAATTTTGTGCTGTTTTGTTTGCAATTTGTGGTATTCAATTCAGTTTAATACGGATTTTTTTACATCAGTCAGGAACCACTTATGTTTCATGCTCATTCTGAACAGTTATTGAAGTCCAACCCGGTTGTGCTCCGTAACCTAAACAGGGTTTTAGGGTTGGATCTTGTCGAGAGCTATTGAAGAATCCTTGCTCTGGGACTCAGACTAAAAAAAGCGATTTAAAATGGTAAAAAAAATCAAAATCCGCCTCAACCTCAACAAGTTAATTTCGCAACCTATTGTCAAGTTGAAATCCATCGACTGTTTTGACGACTTTTCATCTCGTATTCAGCATTTTCTGACGATTTGCGGCAAAATGTTTCATTCGAGACTTCATTGCCAATTGCTTTAATTTGTCAAACGCTTCGAAAACCAGCGGGAACTCCAATGATCATCTACTAAACGCCCTTAATGAATACCAGCATGTGATAATGGTCATGCTCTCAGAACTCAAGATGCAGATGGATAACCGTTGACTTAACGCTAGTGGATTAGTCTAAGACGTGTTTACCTCATTACAGATATCTTTATTGGCTATTTCACAGTTAAGAGGAAAGAAACTATCTGGTTTAGTCGCTTGTTCAGAGGGTTAAATTTAAAATATCACCAATTGAATACAAATTTTAAATATATTTTACTTTCTCGCTTTAACAACACTCATTTCGAACGTTCATCCAAAAACTAAGTAGATTCAGTCCCTTGTTCGATTAGGAATCGTTTTGCATGTTGCGTGTTTCAAAAGATTTGCTTTTAACATTCCAATCAAATACTTGAGATTTAAACCCATCCCAGCATTGATATAGATTAATATGTCCCATTCTGAAGGCGTGCAGGGAACTCTTTAGGTAATGATAATCGCAATGACGCTAATTGTTTAATGGGATCTATGATTTCCATAGCTGTCAGTAAACCCAGACAACTTAATTATTACTCTCAGTCATGTTGTGTCAATGTTAGGAAATACCTTTTCAGGTAGTTCAGACACAAACCACGACAGCTTATTGTATACTACCCACACTGGACCACCACGTTTGAGATATTTTTTTCTGGTAGTTCAGACACAAACCACGACAGCTTATTGTAGAATACTTCCTACACTGGACCACCACGTTTGAGATATCTTTTTCAGGTAATTCAGACACAAACCACGACAGCTTTTTGTCAAATACTACCTACACTGGACCACCACGTCGTTTGAGATAACTTTCTGAGGTTGGTTAGACACCACGTTTAAGATATTCTTTTCAGATGATTCAGGTATCTTATCTATACAAACCTAACCTAGCTCACCGGACCATATCATTTCCAACTAATAAAAAAATGGGCGGAAATACGAATAATAAGGTTTCTAGTTCGTGTCCTTTGCAACAAAAGGAGCCAGCCAACGCCGAGCCAGCATGGGCATGAGCAAATTAGCTATAAATACACTCGTCAACTTCGCGTGATATCTCTTACTGAATACCTCAATTTAAACATTGCAGTTACACGGAAGAGAATCTGGTGAGTATGATGGCAATTGTTGACCTTTACCACTGTTTTGTCAGGTTCTTTGCTTGTGGTGTGATTTGCAGAGCATCTATTCGCATATTCTTATCTCCCGATAACAGGAGTTTACCATTGAAAAAGATTAAATTATTACCTTTGACGGCCTGCGCGTGTTTTATGATCCGTCATTCATCCATCAAGAGCTGATCCACCCCTTGCATATAAAACGCAATGAACGAAAAAAGTTGAGGCAGATTGGTGGTAAACATCGATGAGACAAGATTTTAAAATGGCCGCTTGGAGAAGATTCGTGTTTATTATTGGAACATTGGTTACAGTACAATGCCAGTACTATTATTATGATGGTAAGAAACTAGACTTTTGTATTGGATCGTTAAAGTTGTGACAGCGCTTATAGAACACAAAAAATTGTCTTTCAAAAAACACGTCTTTCAAAAATCGCTATTCACCTAGAGGAGTGGACGCGCACGTTAACCGGTTGTATTTCATCTCATGGTCATCGATATCCGGGTTATAAAACCGTGTATCAACTGGCATATTCAACGTTTTCTGTCCTCAATTGTATTCTTAGTTAGTTGTGACAGAAGTGGCTTAGTTGTTTAGTGTTAGTATCTAGTCAATACCGTGCAGTATAAAAAACGGAATGATATATAATCCTGCGCTTTTCTCAAGAGCCAAACATGTTCATGCCGTAATTTCCCCACCCTACCAGAAAAATATAGAATTTCATCTTGGCTTCAATGCATAAGCTTAATTGTTAATTGTATGACGATACTCAAATATTGAAGCGCCCAGAACAGCATTTGGTTGTGCGCTACAGTCAGAAATACATTATTATTATTATTATTGCAATGTCAATTCAAGGAGACGAATGTCTTAATAAAGAGCCGAATTTTAATAATTCAGTAGAAAAGATACGATATTCTGGTGTTATTTCGACTTTATTGCATGCTTCGACAATTGCAATTGCTTTGGAATAGATTGTGTCTTGTTTATTTCCTAATAATTCAAATCTTCAGTTTCCAAGATAACGACATCCGCAATTAGTTTGGTTGTGCGATAATTCTTAGCAAAGATTGCAGTGACATGCTCGTCGTTATCAGATCTAGTATTCTACCTTTGATTATATCATTACGAGCTAGTGCTTGCCTTTTGAATGGCAACTTCATTGAACTACACTGAATTGTAGTCGAAAATATTTTATTTAATTCTTGGTCTGTCTTTTTTATTGCCATGTGTAGAGATATATGCATAGTTTATATATGTACTGATGGATTGTTAATCTTATCAGTGACCAAGTATAGGCGTAATGGTTGTGCCACACGCGTCTCTCGTGATAACTGAAATAAGCCATTTGATACCATCAATTTACGTAATTCTCGAATACTTCAATATTTTTGTTGTCAGATTATTTTCCAGAAGAAAGCAAGTTTCAGAAGTTAAAAGGAGACAATTATGAGTCACCTGTTTATGTCGAAGATGTTGAAAAACCGCATTATTGTAAGTTCTTCATGCAGCGATAGATCTGAGAAAGATATCTCAAACATGGTGGTCCAGTGTAGGTAGTATTCTACAATAAGCTGTCGTGGTTTGTGTCTGAACTACCTGAGAAAGATATCTCAAACGTGGTGGTCCAGTGTAGGTGGTATTCTACAATAAGCTGTCGTGGTTTGTGTCTGAACTACCTGAGAAAGATATCTCAAACGTGGTGGTCCAGTGTAGGTAGAATTCTACAATAAGCTGACGTGGATTGTGTCTGAGGTTTGGATCTGAGCGCATTTCTAATTCATGGTTATACCTGACTTGATTTAGGGATTCGATTGAGAGACAGATCTCAACGCTTACTTGATGGTAAGATAAAAATTAAAACTAATTACTGATATTTGCTACCCGGCTTGTTATTATACCATGCATAAAAATGATAAAAATATCATATGTCCCTCTATGCAAAATCCAGTGAATTTCTTTAGCATTCGGTCGTCGTGGTTATAACCCAAACAGGAGGCAGACAACGTATGAAGGCTCATACCAAAATAGTCCGCGGAGGTCAAACATACAGCGATCAGGTATTAATCCTGAAATTCCTAATGTCCACTTAACATTTAGTATTTTAGTAGAATCTCTTGAGGGAGGCCAAGAGTGCGCTGACTACCCAAAGTAGTTTACTGACAGTCATCGCTAACTAGTCATTAACAAAGCTAGTTTTCTTAGGGGAGGCTCATAACTGACGTATGACGTCCCCCCCCACCTCCTGTCTTGCCCTCTCTCTCTCCAGACGATGCGCTCTTCCTTCCCTCCCAAAGACCTCCTTCTCCAGGCGCGTCAGTTTCCTATAAGAACATCCCCATTCCTCCTTGTCCTTCCTCCTCGGGGCACCCTTTTCCCTCTCAATACTCCATGCAAGCCTTTGGTCTTATTTTAACAGATTGGCAAACGTATACAGATACTCGAAACTACGTGAAGGGTAGGCATTTGTTGTCGTTTCTAAAGAAGATAGCCTTGCATGAAAATAGATTATTCCAACTACGTTGTCCAACGTCTTTTCAAACGGTGTAAGAACTACATCATAACGGCGGTAACGTTTTCGAGATATTTACCAATGCTTTAATCAATACCCTGATTAATATAGGTCCAAGAATTAACACCCAAAATGGCGTAGGAACTTCAGGTGATGAATACTTCCTATATTTAATCAACCTGGTGCCCTTTGAGCTTCGTCAAGCCCATAGTTATCACATGTATAATAGTCCGCTAGAAATACATGGAATTGTTTCCATATTCTTTTTACAACAGAGCATCACGTCCATCCCCAGGAAACCGTGCAGGTAACGGCGCGCCGTTATGATGATGGTAAGTAATGAGATGTTTCTTCGCATATCACCAACAGACGATTGCTCAAAAGCAGGTGAACTCGCATTCATTATTCTCGCGATTCACCCAACAGACAATGTATTTATCACCCAACATCTCACTCATAATATGGCCTGCGAAAACGTTTTACATTTTTGTGTTCATTTTTAGCGAGAACCAATTACGTTGATCGACAGGACAGAAGACGAAAAAAAAACCAAAGTAAGTTGTATTTTCAACCTTAAACAACTTCGAAAAACGCCAGAGCCAAGGGGGTTATTTGCGAGCAAACAGCGATCGATTTATTCAGGTTTATTTCAGCTCATGTGCGCTTCTCAACATCTCTCTGTTTTGCAGAAAAACGAAAGAACAGAAAGAAAAGTTCGACCGAGTACTCCAGGCCTTCACGAAATACGAGTAAGTCATGAGAAGTGTGTTCATCCTTAGACATAGATATTTAGGAAACATATATCTACCCTTACCATTTCGAAAACTACACGTTATGCAAGCCGAAATTATGAAAGACAATTCTCCCAAATGTTTGTTTTTAAAAAGGGAGGAAATATCAACACGTAATGAGGACTATGATGTTTTCTCAAAATGCCAGTAATCTATATTAATTTCAAATGATGACCGTTATTCGCATAGCATATATCCAAGGAAAGCGTATAGCTCTTCCATGCAGCTCTTTTCTTGTACAGATGGTGTAACTAGATGAAATACGTAAGTAATGGCGCATAGATCCGAGCTAATTTTGTAAACGTTTTCCAGTTAGACGTGATAACCGACAGAGATACCGTGCTCGGTCAACGCAAGCACCAACAACCACTGGATCTGCTCAAGGCTGTAAGTGACGCTTGGCACCTGGAGTGACGCTTAGCAACAAACTTGTGGCTTTAATTTTGCATGGAGTTTATACACAACTAACTAGATATTGGTCTGTGGGTAAACACCCTTGGTATTCACATGCAATTGCACATTAGTGAGAAATATATCGGGATCCATCCTTAGGCAAATGTTCACACCTTCCAATTTGCTAATAAATGGATGAGTAAACGAGATTCAATCTCTTCCCTGTTATCGCAGACTGGAAATGAGTTAGTAGTGTGGGAAATATTAAATTCTAGGAGGTTGTTAGAAAGAGAAACATGAGTCTTGTAATCATTCAATCTACTTTTATCTAATTTCCAAGATCAAGGATGCATAGATACTGGGATGTATTGCACGTTTTGGAAAAGTATTGGATGCTGTGAAGAGGATTTAGGACGAAAATTCTGCAAGAAAACGTGTGGATTCTGTTGTAAGTGACATAATTTGAAATACTATCCATATCTACGTATTTCTTTTGGTCGGGCAACTGCATATTGGATAATCTGGAGGCACTTTTCTCACGGAAGAGGACCGCACTCCCAGAGATGAAAGACTCGTGTATACTAAACACACAGAAACACTGTGTTTGATAGAGTCAAACTGGAAGCGCTCTTCTCACATGTGACTGAGGTGAAATTATGATTCAGACAACTGCATATTACAGGAATCAAACCTCAGACACAGAGATGAAAGACACATGTACTAACCACTATGTTTGGTAGAGTCAAAGTTAACTGGAAGCACTCTTCTCACATGTGACTGAGGTGAAATTATAATCAAACAACTGCATATTGCAGGAATCAAACCTCAGTCACAGAGATGAAAGACACGTGTACACTATTTTTTAATTTCAGCTCCACGGCAGATGTTGTGTCCTTCCTCGTACAAGTATGGTTGTTGTTATGACGGCAGAGAAGCCTTGGATTTCTTCAAGTCGAGCTGCCCCAGTATGTCCTATTAATTGTATTTATCATCGTTTTCAATATTAGGGCTCATTGCAGGTTTGACTATAGGGTTTTTCCTGTTAGGACTAGGCTAAAAATAGATAAACATGTCTTGTTCTTGCAACGGTTGAGAACAAGATCTGTTTGCGAAACTGCATAATAACACGTAATATTTGTTATTATGACAGAGTGCAGAGACAAATCCAGAATCTGCCGTAAACCAGTTATCTACCGAGATTGCGATCCACATTCAAAGAATACTTTGGCAACGAGACGCTTGTGTCCGGTAACTTGTGGGGCCTGTTATGATTATTCCACGAGCGAGCGATGATCTGCTCATGATCTCGCTGACATGCATGTCAACTGTGGACGAAAGACAGCTCTACCTATGTATACAGTATTCCGTTTCGGACAATCTAGATAAGACATAATATTCTTTTTCATCTTATATCTTATGCAGTGTATTAGTTATTGAAGAATTCGTTTTTATATAGGCTACATATAGTTAAACGTGGTATATATAAAAGTTATAAACATCCTAAAATTGGAGCTATTTTGCCGAAGATTAGACGTTTGTCGTCATTAACCGAATAGCTTTGTTCAGTGTCAATATAATAACAAATAAAGCCATCGCTTGCATGCACGTTGCAGTATGAACTACTGAAATGCAAAATATATTCAAATATTATGAATGTTTCTAGTGGAAAAAATCTATGAATTTTATAATGGACATCAGTTCAGTCTTCCTAAAGGTACGGTAAGGATCATCTTCTATTGATTCGGTGTCACAATAACTCAAGAGAAAACCTAAACTAAACTAACTTTATTTATACTGGATAGTTCTATCAGTTCTAAACTGTTCTTCCTAGAGGTCCAGTAAGCATCATCTCTTATTGATCCAGTGTTACTACAGGAGGAAACCTAAACTAAACTAACTTTATTTATACTGGATAGCTCTATCAGTTCTAAACTGTTCTTTCTAGAGGTCCAGTAAGGATAATCTCTTATTGATCCAGTGTTACTACAGGAGGAAACCTAAACTAAACTAACTTTATTTATACTGGATAGCTCTATCAGTTCTAAACTGTTCTTTCTAGAGGTCCAGTAAGGATAATCTCTTATTGATCCAGTGTTACTACAGGAGGAAACCTAAACTAAACTAACTTTATGTATACTTGATAGCTTTCTTCATATAGCTCCAGTGTTACTGCTCTATCAACTTTTCTTTCCCCAGCTATAAATCCTGGAGTGATTCTCTTCGTATCGCTACAAGCAGTTCAATGGCAAGAACACGGCATATGGCAGACCACTGAGCAGTATATTTCAAGTTGAATCAAAAGTCAGATCAACAGTGCACTGATGAAAAGACAATCGCTGGTCCAGCATGTAAATGATGAAATGCACGCTTAAAACGTATGTTTGATAATTCTTAAAACAAACATTTAATATCATTTAATTAGTTTATGCCGCGTGTTTTGGAGACCTATTGACGGACGCTTATACTATCTTCTATGATGGGGGTGTTTTTCAATTATTCCGACGAACCGTTAGGATAACGTGGGCCTAAGATAATAAAGAGTTCAAGGACAAAACAACAGACAAAAACCGTTGACATTTAAACGACCACGTTTCAAGTTTGAAGACAAATACTTCTGTTTGTTTGAGCGGAGTTCACAGAATCCCTTGCGGTAAAATCTTCAAAAGGTCTTCAAACTTTACTGGCATATATAATACGACTAGAAACGTGAGCTAAGGTGTATTTTATCAAGTCGTGTTTTCGTCGTGTCGAATGTAACTAGGACAGAGATAATGGAATGATAACCGTTAATATACTTCCCCCATCATCTGTGTCTATTGAGTAGGTTGATGCATTCAACGCGACCGCTTGTAATATTGCGTGTCATGTGTGAGTAATTCGTTACGTGATAATCCAGGTTATATAAAGCCTATAGATTATACAGTGTTGTGCCTCGTTTAAACTACCAAAATTTCTGTGAACACAGCTGAAATTTTGTAAGGTGAATCCTTATTCGTTGAGCATAGAAGCATATATAACGGTGGAAAGCTGGTCGTTTATCGACATTTCGATTACCTCAAATATTTCCACCTAATGCTCATGATTTACCTGTGGAAAGTTCCAGCTGTGATCGGAGACAATTGAATATTCATTCCTGCTAGCTAGGTAATAAAGGCAATGGCAAAAGACAGGCTTTATTCGTAAGTAGAAAGTGGTGTCAGTTAGCCTATAATATATATATTAAGAGATTGTCATTTCTACAGCAGTGCAAAACATTCAGTCATCTTTCAAAGTTTGAAGCATCTAATCCATGAAATCGTGACTTCATATATATGAACAGGAACTAATAAACCTATAACCTTACTCGAAAGTCAACTGTCACCTAATTATACAAGTCAAACACAGACCACACGACTACAATCCTACTTTACTGGTTACTTAAAGTTGATGACGCGAGAAAATATTTCGAATACCTCATTCAAAAGTAGAGGAAGTTAATTAAATTTGACGGTTGGACTAAATGATAATTGTTTTTGTTTAACAAATAGAAATTACATGATACTGTGCATGCCTTGTCGCTTGCATGGATGAGCCAGTAATTCTCATCTCGAAGTTTCCATTAACTAAAATCTTTGTGTGGAAACTACCCGTTAAAGAATGTTTCACATCCTATGGCTTTGGACACATTTTATTTCTGATTTACCTTCGTCAACTCCTAGTAATCAGTCAGCTCTTAGCTATATTTTATGGTATAGTTAAGTCAAAATTCCACAGGTATATTATACCTTGTCTATAAGTCTATAATTTTGTAGCTCATTGTCCTGTATACATGGAATTAGCTGAGAGTGCATTCCATTATGTTTCCAGCCAAAGTAAAGAACCGCATGGTACTAAGTTTATTCATATACAATACATATAAAACGAATATAGAAATTACTCATATACTTTTTCCATTCCTTGCTTTAATAGGAAATCTAAAATGTTAACGATGATTTTGAAGAAACAAAGACAATGTTTGTAAGTTGTAGACCGTTGTACTTTAAACAATGCATGTCTCAGTTTTGAACATAAGCATACACACTTAGCTATTTAGCAAATGGAGTTGCTTGCATAAGTTTAACGCACGAACGCTTTACGGGGTGATTAAGCAATTTAATTTGTGATTATTTAAGCGCCCCAACCGTCGACCGTTGGTCAGTTAACGGTTTGCACTTGGGCTGGTGAAGAAGTCTTCCAAATACAACGTTCCACGAAATCGTCCTTGTTATATCCGAAAATGCATTTTAAAATTTTCTTACTCTTTACGATATGCGCAGCGGTGTCTGGTTACTTCATAGATCCAGGTAGGTGTAGTTTCTTCATTTAACTACAATTGTTGCTTTCAAGGGGTGTAGGGGTGTATAAGGAGTATTGTTAGTCCCCTCAATTTTTCCGGTAGTATTTAAGAGGTACAGCCACTGAGAGCAAATATTAGCTCGCAATTGACTAACCAGCAGGTACTGGTGTGTAAAAAGGCTAAAATTCACTCTGATGAACATGCTTTTCGTTAACCAGATGCTTGTAACTAAGAAATATGTTGGGCTTAATAGTTTGGGAAAATATATGTAAATCTTGAATAGTTTTGAGCCTGAAAGACGAGGTGAAACGGCTACTTCAAAACATGCATGAACAGTTTTAACACATGAATTCAAATTAATTTGGCTTCAAAAGGCTTATTAACATTTTTGTATGAGAGCTCATCCAACGCGTGAACGAATTCGTCTCGTGTAGTTCAAGCGGAACAAGAGGTTAACATACACCACTTACTTTTTCCCGATGTTCAGCCATTCTGATTTTAAATCGACGTTCTTCAAAATTCTGACACAGGTTTCTTTATCAATATTCTTTAGTGGATTTCCTCGACGAGGATGAGCCAAAACGATCATTGCCAAAATGTAAGTACACAATTATATTCATATGGGTGCATGGGAGAGAGGTTCAAATACCCCTTACCCTTCAAATACCCAGGGGTTCAAATACCCCTTACCCTTCAGGCTACAGTCGAGTGGAAGGGGTCAATGCTGTGTTCACCAATAATGACCATTCCCTCATGCAATTACGAATAAGCAAGCCCTAAGCGTTACTTGAAGAGTTGAGCCATGTAGTTTCTTCAGATGAAAGTAGGTTATACCCTGTCATTCTGGAAAAGTTTGTGCCTTGCTTCAAATTTCAAAAACTTTAGATAATGGTTGCTTCAAGCTGGAAGATACGATTTGCGCGAAATACACCGCAGATGACTGCTCAAGAAAAACACATCTTCCTTTCCAGTGTCCCAGGATGTGCGGGGGATGTGGTAAGTATACCAGCGTCGACTGCCGGGGTGCGAAAGAGTCGAATGCAATCTACACATATTCCGTAGTGTTTTATGTCAGGTCAATCATTTGCCGCGCCACTTATCTTCTACGATTTTCTCGGCATTTTAGCCCCATTTACTCCGAAGTGTCCCAAAGAATATCCATTTGGCTGCTGTTGGAATGGTGAAGAGGCGACTGATGTGAAGAAATCTAATTGCCCAAGTATGACTTGTTATAACGATATCAAAAATACCCCATCTTGGCTGCCAAGTTGAATAACGTCTGCGGGGGGGGGGGGGGGGGGGGCTGGGTAATCATCGAGAATTTGGTACGAACAAACACCATTCCCATTGTTTTCTGCACGTTTAGAATGCGAGGATATAAGTCCAGCGTGCAAGAATAAGGCTATAAAAGAAGATTGTGATTACAGCTATAACACTGCGATGACCAGAGAAGGCTGTCCTGTCACCTGTGGGGCTTGTCGTGATTATGGTATGTTTTCACTGAGCTGATATCTAATGCATCGGCCTATTGTACGCATGTGAATTAGATTATGGTTTTGTACAGTGGTTTCAGCGAGAGATGATCCTTACTGGACCTCTAGGAAGAACAGTGTAGAACTGATAGAGCTATCCAGTATAAATAAAGTTAGTTTAGTTTAGGTTTTCTCCTGTAGTAACACTGGGTCAATAAGAGATGATCCTTACTGGATCTCTAGGAAGAACAGTGTAGAACTGATAGAGCTATCCAGTATAAATAAAGTTAGTTTAGTTCAGGTTTCCTGCTCCTGTAGTAACACTGGATCAATAAGGGATGATCCTTACTGGCCTCTAGCAAGAACAGTTTAGAACTGATAGTTAGTTTAGTTTAGGTTTCCTCCTGTAGTAACACTGGATCAATAAGAGATGATCCTTACGGGACCTCTAGGAATTAATATCTCTTCTCGAGAAATATAAGTATATTTTTTACTTGTTTCACATTTTCAGGCTTTGAGCCCTGAGAAGACGCTGACCCTAGATGCGCAAAGATGGAGGTTTAGTCAAAGCTCAGAAATTCTGCGAGATATTTGCAAAGAAACCTGCGGTATCTGTGCTTAAAAAACATCTGTCTTTGTATTCTTGGTAAATTCATTGATTCATTGTAGTTAGGGAGTGCCATTCGCACATGGAATGAGCATGAACAACTTTTATCTGTTTGAGAATGGCTTCAGACTCCATAGAAATCGTGTTGATGTTAACTGTACAAATTCTGAAAGCGAGCACGATGCTGTATTAGTGTATAGTTTGCAGCGTGTGCTTGTCTTATTGTAATTCTGAAACCAAGGTACGAAATTTCAATAAGGCAATAAAAAGCAATAACAGCATAATTGGCATATATCTATAAGTTTGAATGAAAATTTAAAAAAATCCGATGATTTGAAACGCCTTATTTTTTATTACATTATTACGTTATAACGTTCGGTTTTTTTCTATGTATATATTCACTACACCAAAGTTTCATCCTGGGATAAACAAGGAAACGTTGTTTCCTAGCCATGCATGTCTCCTGAAGGCGGACAAACCAGGAAACTCTACATTATTACTCTACATTGACTGGAAACTACATCTCTTGTGGTTTCAAGTCTCTTCAAGTCAAACTAAATCTCTTGTGGTTTCAAGTCTCTTAAGGTGGCTATAATGGGTGAACTAGTTACAATATGTCGTTGAACAAAATCGTTCCCAGATAGTCCCCAGCCTCCGTAGCTACGAAATGTCGAAGCGCAGTCTCTTACGCACGTCTTTTGCCATCGGGGATCGGAGCGAAAGAAGCCCTTCTCCCACCGGGTACTGCACCCAGACGAGGCCTCTTCAGATATATAACCCGAGCTTAAGGTGATGTCATGAATACTTCGTTCGTCTCCGTTTGAATGACACGTACATTTGCTGCCTGCTATGATCGCACGTTCCTTGTCAAATGTGTCTGTTGGCTGATAGCAACCAGGAAGAGGTGGTTGTTTTAAGAGAAACGTCACGAAATGAACTTCGTTTTAGGCAACACTTTATACAATGCTGTAGACAACCTGAGAGTCTCTCCTTTCTATATTCCAGCTGTTCTCTTGAACCAAATGCGTGTTCTTTGTTGTTCCCGTGAAATCCAACGTATTCATTGCTTCGTGTGTCTTCCTCGCATCCACAGCCTTTCTTGCTTTTTTGTCTTTGCGTGACTTCGCCGTTTAAACTATCCAAATGATCAAAGAATCTGTATATCGTACAATGCAGTTGTTGCGCCAAGTCGTTCACCAATGAGCAGACACATACATTCGCGCAGCGCTGTTCATTATCATCGTGACCCTGACGGGGCATTCCGTCTTGATAATCATGACACGATTCTCGAGCTACACTATCCACTTCTGTCGCCTGTTCAGTGACGTTTTTGTCTTCGACCCAGGCTCCTTCCTCATACATCGTGCTCTCGAATGAGCTGCTCTGGTCAGCGTTTTCAACATCGATTAAATTTGAAATCAGATCAGTGTTCGGGTCTTTCACTTCGCTTTGCAAGTTAGGAAGATCTAACTTTGTTTCTGTTTGATTTTCTTGATCATTAGCACGAGCTTTTGATGAGTCTGTATCTTGAGCAAGTGTAATTTTAAAAGAGATCTCTGGCTTGTGCTGTGTAGTGTCCGGGCCGACTTCGTTCATCTCTGAGTTTTCGGGCTCTTTCTTTTGCTTCGTCGTTGGTTCGTTCGAGTTTGTTTCATTGCGATCGATAGGAGTACTTTCCAAATTTGTAGCTAGTTGTTGTTGGCGTTGTTTTATGTCCTCTTCTTGTTGACAATTTTGACCTTGTTTGTCACACTGGTGTTGTTCATTTTGTTGTTGTTGCTGTTGTTGTTGCTGTAGCTGTTGTTGTTGTTGTTCTTGTTGTTGTTGCTGCTGTTGTTCTTGTTGTTGCTGCTGTTGTTCTTGTTGTTGCTCTTGTTGCTGTCTCTGTTCTTGCTGTTGTTGTGATTGTGGTCGCTGTTGTTGTTGAGCTTGTTGTGGTTGTTCTTTTTCCTGTTGTTTTGACTGTTGCTTTCGTTGCATCTTATCTTGTTTTTGTTTTGATGTATTTGGCTGGCGATTTTGTACGTTGTTTTCAGACTCTGTTTCAAAAACTTCTTGCATCTCACCCGAATCCTTGTTCCCATTATCGTTGCGAGCCTTCATAATACCAGACAAGCTTAGCATTTCACTCTTGATCTCAACCAAACATCTCTGCATATCATGAACCGTCCTGTTGGTATCCCTAATCCAACCATACAGACTTGCCATATCCTCCACCGTAGTACCTTCGACCACTGAAGATCTTTCCGTCTTACGATCACGCCGTGGCACGACGTTGTCGTTTCGTGCACGCCCGTTAACGTCTCGAGCTCTTCTCGGCTGTCCTTCGCTGCTACTTGCAGACGACAGCTTGTCACTGGATGACTTGAACAACACTGAGTTTAAATCCGCCCGTTGTGCGCGCAAATCCTCTGCAAATCTTTCGGCTTTTGGTTTTTTATCTTGTAAACATCCGTCGACTTTCTGTACGCCTTCAAACGTTGTGAAAGTTTCTCGATTGCTGCTGGAAGCGGCCGAAACGTCACCTAACCTTTTGTTATGATTCTCGTGTTTCTTCTCCGTTGCGTTTAAACGCGGTTTTGTCGATGCTTCTCTCTTGCGTATTGTGCGAGGCTGTTCGTTCAGTGTCGATCCATCTCGGATTGCCTTCGTTTGAGCTTCGCTGTACGGTTGCTGCGTATAGCTCTGTGTCAAGATTATCTCTTGGAATGAAGTGTTGTCAATGTCAGTCCGACGAAAAGATTTGTCTTCTTTACTCTATGAAATATAGAAACGCAACATCTTATCCAGTGTTAATACAAGTTGAAACCTGAAAAGACAGAACTGGTCCAGTAAGGATCATCTCTTATTGATCCAGTGTTACTACAGGAGGAAACTTAAACTAAACTAACTTTATTTATACTGGATAGCTCTATCAGTTCTAAACTGTTCTTCATAGAGGTCCAGTAAGGATCATCTCTTATTGATCCAGTGTTACTGCAGAAGGAAACCTAAACTAAACTAACTTTATTTATATACTGGATAGCTCTATCAGTTCTAAACTGTTCTTCATAGAGGTCCAGTAAGGATCATCTCTTATTGATCCAGTGTTACTACAGAAGGAAATCTAAACTAAACTAACTGTATTTATACTGGATAACTCTATAAGTTCTAAACTGTTCTTCCTAGAGGACCAGTATAGATCGTCTCTGAATGACTCAGTGTTACTATACAAGAGGAAACTTTATATTATGTGCCATTTGATTTTATTACCTTTTTCTTGGTTTTTGATCGCGAGAATATTTTCCTAAAAGAGCTACCTTTCTTAAACATTTTGCACGTATATTCACTTGTGTTTAGTCGAGTATCCGACGTCGATTTATTATATTCGAATTCAACAATAGTTTGACTTTCTAAATGATTAATTGAAACAGGCAAAAGTAACTTGTTCTGTATCAAGCCAGGAATTGAAACGTCTAAGCCAAACGTCTACGCCAAATAACTCAGAACTTTTCGTTGCTCTGTTGTTGGCAATAAACAAAATAGAGCGTTATAAAAGCTAGTGATAAAGCTTTTCTTTTATTGACAAGGGATTTTGGAAAATCCTAATGTACACTAAACCATAAAACGTTTGTCTTATAACTCTTATGGGGTAAATTAGCATGATAGTCATAACTGTCAGACATGAGGAAAAATAATGGGAGATTGTGTACATAAGGTAATATCATTTTCGCAATGAATGACTGAGAATTTATAAAATGCAATTTAGCTGCTTGGGAAAATTTGGGATATGCGCTTTCTTTGCCCTAATTTGATGGTAACTCCAGGTCAAGGGCATATGCAATGTCCAGTGCTTTAACGCAGATCAGTTCTGGTCTCAGGGGGAACCAGTGAGCTCACTGAGGGGAACCAGCTGGGACAGAGGGACCACTTTGGAAACTCGTTGATCTATTCATTTCATTTGTTCAAGATGAAGTATCTCATGGCCACTGATCTGTACTTTACATTTCCTCACTGGATGGGTAAAGCAATTACAAATGGCGGCCAAATGGAGTTGTCTCGAAACTTCAGTTCTTTTCCTGCCACGAATGATCTAAATCTTTCCCCTTCAAGAAAACGGACAGCAACCAAAGGAAAAACAATCAATCCTCATGAAGATCTGGAGCAATGTCACTCAAGCGCTGCTAGTATTATGGCTCCTCGAGCCAACGTTTCGTGTCAGACAAGAAACACCGAGTTTTATTGTTTAGAAAACAACAGAGAAGGTAAACAACTAACGGAATCTTTCTGTAAACATTTTATGCAGTTATGGCGAAGAGGGGAAAGGCGATAACTTTGCTGTCGGCTGGTTTGTTAGCGATCGCATGTGTAATACGACTATGCCATTCATTAAGTTCAAGTAGAATTAAACCGCATATATGAACGTTTGAGTATAAATATCCCGTCTCAATATATATTTATAGAACGTATTTTGTACTGTTTAAGTTCAAAATATATTAGGTACTATACGTTTAAGTATTAATTACATATATTCAGTTTAATAATTGTTCGATCTCTTTTGGTTTCTTCGTTCAGTCCGTTCAGAATCATGCGAAAAATTGTCAGGAAATGTGTTTACACGAAACGAAAGGTTTTACGTTTTACTGACGGCAATTTTATCCACTTGGGATATTCAGGATAGTGCCACTTATTTAGGCACACGTTTAGCTAACAGATTAACAATTTGAATTTCAATCTTTCTAGTTGAGCACGACGTAAGATCGACAGGAAGCTCCAATCTATTAGTGGAACATGGTATGGAACATGCATATCAAAAGTTCTTTGGGAAGAAAACGAAAGAGAGTTTAAGTTCATTTCTCACTCATCTTCCAGGTACTGTATTCCTATTTTCTGCTTATTTTTAATTGAGATTAATTCATATTTGAATTATTAATTATCACCTTGATGTTTATAGGTCTTGTAGATGTACCAGGAATGCCAAATGATGGGTAATTATTTACTTTATTTGAAGAAAAACCTCTCTATTCTTGATTTAAATAACAAATATTGCAAACCTGCCAGAATTTCTACTATCTCATCAATAATGAAGATTTGCTGGTAGTGATTGCCTGCCTAGAATCTTGAGCTGTTATCCAGAAAGTAGATATACTATATTCATATCAATATACACACTGACTAACACTATTATCTAAACTTTATATAGCCTTCAAGCATTGATAAACAAGCCTCCTATTGGGGGGAAGGAACTTGTGCCATTATCAGGCCACCAACTAGCGGGATTTAGACTAAATCCTGGTCCAGTAAGTATTGACCATAATTATCATCCTTGCTACGTAGTTAGAATTCAATTGATTTCCTGATTTATAACTCTTGCTCTTGATCATCCTATTCACAAGTAGAACCAACTCAACCAAGGAATATTTTTCAGGGGAATTTTTGAATTTGTTCATTTAAACTTATATTTCTCAAATGCTGGTATAATCGAATATTTTTGTTGCTCCAAGGTCCCAGATCAGTTCAAGTTTGTCAATCAGCAGCCTTCTAAGCGAAAACACAAGCACAAAAAACACAAGAAAGAACATAGCGAAAGCAAAACGGAAGGTTGGTTTTGTTGAGATGATAGTCAAACTTTAGCATCTAATGATAGCAACTATTTCTTCTATCAGCATATATAACATAGTTTCCCAAAAATGTAAGCTCCAAACCTAAAATAACGGGACCCCAGGTTTACCAAAATATTGGTTTAGCAAAACAAAGGGATATTTCAAGTGGCTGTTTTTCTTTTTGCTTTGTATTGTAATGTACTGTAATTTGGTATTCTGTAATGTTAAGAAATGTGATGCTTTTGTAGTATATGGAAGTATATGCTTAATTATATATAGGTAAATAATAGTTATTCTTGCAGCAGAGAAACCAAAAGTTCAAGAAGGACCAACAGAAAAGAAATCAAAGAAGTCTGTGAGTATATCTAATACTAAACAACTCCCCAAGAATTTCTCTGTTTTCTTTCAAATTTCAAACGAACCACGGTAACCTTGACAATATTTTGCAGAAGAAACACGAAGATGGCGAGAAGAAAAAGAAGAAAAAAGAAAAACGAAAGAAAAAAGTAAGTATATTTTAAGATAAATGATTGAAATAAAGAACTCAACCAGATGTTAGAGGAACTTATGAGATTCTTTGTGTGTTATTTTTTTAGCTAAACAAGCTTGTAGATCTTCTACATCTTGATTCTTGAAACAAATAGATTATAATTATAACATCTAATCAGCACAAGAGCATTTAAGCACTTGAAAAACATGACAACAACATCTTTTATTGTAAACATGTTTTTGACGAAACTATAATTAAGCGTGTAAAACATGTTTGCATTGAAAAAAATGTTGTCTATTTCAAATTCTTGATATCATTATTACTAAAACTTGTTAGAAACATTATTTTACAAATTTATCACCCAATATTTTTATCTTCTTTTGTTGTTCAAGGACAAAACAGAAAGTACAGCTGTGTGACGTGAAATGTCTATAAAATGGATGTGGAAGTATGTTTGTAACAAGATATGAAACACACACTTTTTATAACGTTCGTTGTCTGATATATTTTCTCTTTCTTTAGTACTGGGAATAGTTTGTTCGACATATTCAATGTGGATTGTGGTACATGCCAAATTTTCAAAGCTGTTTCAATGCATCATCGCCATTCAATCGACCTTGGAGGATTCAAATATCTAGCTCCTGTTGTGGTAGTGTACTAAAACGCGAGCAGGCATGTGAATTGTCCAAAGTTGTGAATTGGGTGGATCAGATGAAACAGATTGACAATTGTGTATATGAGCAGGTTGTACAAAGCCTGAATACTGCTATTCACTGAATAGTGATTTCCTCCATCGTTGTTTAAAGGGTTAAACAAATACAAAGGTACAAAAATATTTAATCAAAACAACTATAGAAATCACTATATGGTAGATTGCAGCGTCCAGATTTCGTACACAACTGGTTTTCTGTATGACTGAATGCATAAAATATGAGTTTTGATAAATGATAAAAAGTTATCTGCATCGTTCAAAGTCCTGGACAACGGAACAATTATTTATAATCATCGTTGTTTTGGCCAGGGAAATCATACAAGAGTCTTTTTAGAGTAAATCTAGTTTACACATAGAAACATTAACTGTGCATGAGGTTAAAATATACAAACCTGAAATCATTAAATGGTGTTCTGGACTTGTGGTGTTCACCATGTTACCATTGTTACGTTCTATATGCTTACATTATCAGGACAGTGGTAACTAGGCAATGGTGAGCGGTTTCATAATGTCGGATATAAAATGCTAACCGTTGAAGCACTCAGACACCAAGGTGGATATCCTATATTATTTCTTAACTTAAGCAATATGCATTATTGTATAGTTAGTAATTTATATTGTATATATTCTAAATGTCGTCAATTCTGTAGTCGATATATATTATAAGGAAACTGAAAAGAGCGAAGAGTAAACATTGTTAGTTTTGGTCAAATTATAAACTACTTCTCTGTGAAGCGGTGTTTAATCACCTCCTCTCAAAATCAACTTGAGAAGGAGGTAATAACATCAAATTGAAAGGAGGTACCACGGGCGTAACCGCAGAAGAAGGTTCCAGTAACACCTATGGTGATGCACCAAAATTTATCACCACAAAGAGAAGGCTGTTTGGGTGAAAGGGAGTTCATGATGCAAGCCTGCAAGGGGGCATAGATCCAAGCAACATTGGAAGAGCTACAAGGTAACAGCATCTGGTGTTAAATGGGTAGTCATCCTTCCCCCTCCCCATCCGTGGAAGCCTTGATTCGTCTTGGTACGGAAGCTGTCGTGAACGCTCGTAAAGAGTTCGTCAACTGATGAATCACTAGCACCCAGTTCTAATGAGTTGGTTCTTCTTGCACCACCAGAGAGAGACGCAAAGATTTGGTTTATTTTCGAATATTTCTGCCCTGTTTTTGGGCAGTATTTTTATCTTCGACGGGGCATTTTTACGCTCCTTCGAATCCTCATATCGCTAACTCACAAAACATCCAAAAAGGATACAAACGGCGAAAAGAATTACACGTTTTGACCCATCTTTTAATTGTGTGAAATTATGGAATGCTGAACGCCATGTTTGCAGTGTTTGAAAGTGCAAAGACTCGCAAGTCGTTGGACTTACAAGTGTATGGGAGACGGGTTACAAAATATGGAAGGAGCAAATCAGTACATTCGCCCTTCCAGAACAATGAACAACTCACCAACCACACAACGCCAAGGTAGTTATAATTTATTATCTCATTTGCTTGTACGTCAAGATGACAATTGCTGAATTGCATCGTACATTTCTATGGCCAATGCTGTATCCGACGCCGTAAGGGTTAATCTTAATAGAAATCTTTTAGAGTAGTTATTTTTTGCTTTTTAAAAGCTGGTTCAGTAACATAAAACAAGTCAGATCTATTCAGTGTTCACTTGCAATTATCCCTGTTTGTAGTTGGATTGGCAAGATTTTGTTTAATTGCTCCAAGAATTTGTGTTTGTAAAGTCTGCCTAGCTCTAAGTTCTTGTGATATATCATTTGAGCATTGTTAGAATGACTGCATGGTTCCAATTTCAGATTTTTAAAACTGCACTATGGTTGGTTGGTACAGCATGTGAGCGAAATTTTCTAGATTTTCAACAGTATTGACCATGTTGAACTTATTTTTAGGTAATTCCCCCAAATCATTGGCCAAGGTTAAAAATGGTCAACTCAAGTCACAGAAGCTTTCAAAAGGAGGATTTCCGTTGGGAACGAACCAAAGAAATCCTCCCCAGGAACGGGCAAAAGGATATCAAAACTCTCAAAGGAAAGGGAATTTTGCCTATAAACACCCACCAGCAAAAGCATTAAGGCAGACTGAAAGATTTAACCCGGTAAGCATCAGACGAAGTGTAGAGTAGATTGATGTATGGACAAATTTTTAATCATAGTCGAACTGTATCTATTGAAATTTTGTGTTCTTCCTTAAATGCTAATGCAAAGCAAAATACTTTTTGAACATTGTACCATTAACACTTTGACCGCCAAAGACAGAGATTTTCGTTTTTTGATTTCCGATTATCACTTATCGATCTGTCTAGACCACTGGTGGTGAAAGTGTTAATGGTACTTTGACAATTAATTATTGAGCTGATCCACCATACTTATTTAGTTGGCAGTGCAGGATGGTGAAATGCAACTGGACTATGATTTTCCTGTGACGCCGTTAAAGAAAGATGTCACATCTCTGAATCATTTACTGAATTTTACGTACGCTCCACTTCAACAAAACCACCATCACCATGGGTGGACGAATAGAAGAAAAGTCAGCGGAAAGTGGAATCAATACAATAAGGAGCAGTTCTTGCAAGCCAAGTATGCTGTTGGCATTTTTAAGTAGAATAGCATGATCAACATAACATAGTTTTCATTACTTGGTTTAGAAATCCTGCAAAAATTTTATTAATTTATCTACATGCAAACACATTCTAACACATTTAGATCAAAGAAATGATAATGTTGGTTCTTACTTTTATATTTCTTTACCCTTGCTTTAGTTGTCAGTTTGTGGTCCAGGCGAATGGTGATTATGCAGTGAATTTGGTTGATCCTGATGTGATTGTTGATTGGGAATTGATCGAACAAGTGGTATATGCTTTGTCTAAATTAAAAATAGTGCCTTTTAGTTCTGATTTATTTTTTGCCACTGTAGTAATTAAACCAGGTTGTGTATAATTCTATAGCGTGTGAGATGTAAAGAGATGCCATCTTGTCCTATCTGTCTCTACCCACCAACTGCTGGTAAGTGTTTGCTGTCTGCACATAGAGATGTGGCTTTGGATTTAACTAGCACAACTTGAAGGCTTCCTGGCAGGGTTTCCCTCCTATATTGTCCTTTGTTTAAGAGCTATTTTGATCCTAAACATCCCCATTTTTCCCTCACCTATGATAATTGATTCACTCTTGTTAACATTGAAATTAACTTATCCCATCCTTTTTAAAGCACAAATGACAAGATGTGGTCATATCTATTGCTGGTCATGTATCTTGCATTATTTATCATTGGTAAATAATATTTCAAATAATACAGAATACCATTGCACTCCTCAATATGAAATTTAATCAATGAATCCCTCTTAAAACATTTCCTTTCATGTTAGAGTGAAAAAACCTGGAAAAAGTGCCCTATTTGTTATGAGGCAGTCCACAAGAAAGACTTGAAAAGGTTTAGTAGAATAGTTGAAATTTAGCGGTATATGTCAATGTATAAACTTTTCCAGCCTTTTTACAATCCGGAGATATAATTCATAGATTTGGAGTGTGTAACTTTGATTTCTTCTTTCTGTAGTGTCATGGCTGTTTCAGACCATACTCATAACATTGGTCAACAAATAACAATGACATTGATGAAGAGGGCAAAGTATTCTGTTTTTGCCATGCCAACATCGAAATGGGAGGAACGAACATCAATACCCCACCTTTCACCTGGTAGATATCTTGCTTATCATTTTGTATTTTTTAAAATCTATTATACATTTCATAAATAACCTCAACTGTGTATATCATGTATTTTTAAACAGATGGAACTGAAATGCAGTTTTCAAAGCTGTTAATTGCATCACCTGAGGAAGTCCTAAATGAGGTAGTTAAAGCATGGTGCTATTGCATTTTCTCCCATTTCATCGTCTTGTAGCGAGCTGCACATCAGTTTTACCTTGATTAAATGTTCAATTTATTTTTCAGATAATGGCAAAAGAAAAATCTGAATTAGAAAGTCAGCTGATTGGTGTTATTGATGATGAGGTATTATTGCATTTGTGTGTTGACTTGTCATCATCAACTGTTTGAAATCTTCTCAAATCTGCAATATTTTCATAATTTAGTCTGGAGAAGAAGAATATGTTAAACTTGCCATTGAACAATTTGAGGTACAAATATTATCATTTTAGTGTTTCATTTCCAAAGTCCAATTTGTTGGTTGTTTAATTTTTGCATTTGTACCTTTCAGGAAAAGGAAAAAAAATTACTGGAAATTTGTGAGAGGCAACCACAGATTAACAACAGTGATAATGGTAAGATTGCTCATTGAATATTGAGTCATGTGTGTGGTGGGAGCTGATCTGCAATACTTTCATTGAAAATACTTTCATCGCATGCAGGCTCCTTGCTATTGAGGCTTGCATGTGTACATTTATAATGTGTACATTTATCTTGAGAGTGATATCATTAGGTTTTGTTTGATCTCAAACTGTTTAGTTGGTGAAGTGAATAGTCTTGTGGGTACACATGATGGATGTATGGATGATATTGAACATGCCAGTGGTGAAGAAAACCCTGCTAGTGGTGAAAGGCCTGTAGATAACTCAAGTGGTGAGGTCCATGTAGAAAACCCAGGTGGTGAAGATGTCCATGGTCGTACCTCCATATCCTCTGATGATTCCACATGCTCCTCTCTATCCTCTGAAAATTCTCAGTTCTATTATTTTTACCAAGGTGAGTGCATTTTAACCATGGCATTTATAAAATGATTAAATTGTCATAGGGTAGGATTTTCTTTACTGTATATAACAATTTTTACTTGTTTCAGCTGAGGATGGCCAACATATATTTCTTCATCCAGTAAATGCCAGATGTTTAATAAAGGTGCAGAATTATTTCTTGTATTATTTTAACCACTTTGCTTGTCTCTCTAAGTGCTGGGTGCAACCAGTTGAAAAATCTGTATGTGTTTGGGTTGACTTGTTTCTTAGCTTGAATGCAATTTTTCTGATATGATTATAGGAATATGGAAGCTTGGAGAACTGTCCACAAACAATTGAAGGAGATATTGTTGAAATTGAATGCCACACCCAAACTGAGGCATGTCTTTTAGTTTGTCTTAAATTACCATCTCTCTCTCTCTTTAATTTTGATTGAATAATTTTTTCAAACCTTGCACTTATCAAAACATGTTTATTTTTAGGAGCTACGTCGTCGGTTCCGCTACCTCCGTCACCTGCCGCTAACCTGCGAGTTTGCGATATGCGAAATAGACTTAAAACCACCGACTGTGTCTTGGGAGACTTTGCAATATTTCAAAGGTACATAATAAAGTTGGTAGAGCAATGATGTAATAGTTATCCAGTATAAGTAACATAGTTTAGGTATTCTCCTATAGTGACCAAGTGCTGGCTCCCAATAACTAACCACACTGTTCACTTGCTAATTTCATTGTTCTTCTCTTCAGATGATATACGTAAACGTCATCTACAAAGGCAGAAGAAAGCGAAGGAGGAAGCTAAGCATGACAATAAATGTAAATCCAAGATGACTACCTTCACTGGAACAAAACATCAGCGAAACGAATGTGGTATGAAACAAATCTGTTATGTATATGTAGCTATTTGTAAAAATCTTGAGCCTGTAAAATACTGAAATCCATCATTCAGTTGCTATAGAGACACCAAACCTGGACAGTGAAAAAGACTTTCCACAGCAAGTTGGCTCCGGGCCTAATGTCTGGATTTCATCATCCCCTCCAGCCCAAGGCCCATGGTCCTGTGGGAGGACAGGTATAGTTTTCAGTATACTTATATATATATATATATATATATATATATATATATATATATATATATATATATATATATATATATCATTCTGGATCAAATGACCTGTCAGTCAGAGATAGTAAGGTGCTTGGAACTACAGATATCTTGAAAATTTTTATTTTTAATAGGTCAAGAGAGTGCAGTGTCTGGTGCCTCATTTGCAAAGGTATTTCACAGACACTGTCTGTATTTGAATGGGGGAGGTTAATCATCTTATTCCCTCAGTCTTAACAGAACTATTAACATCTTATCTCTATTATGTACCATAGGCATTATCCTCTGGTAAACCAACACCTCCAAGATGTCCACCTCAAAAAACAAGGACTCAGTCTGAAGGTTAGTTAAGCTCTGTCAGTTCTAAACTGTTCTTCCTAAAAGTCCAGTAAGGGTCCTCTTTTATAATCTTTTGCTTTCGCATATGTTCTAGGATCTCATGCAGATGCAAATGACAAGAGCTCAGATCAAGAACCAGATGAATGTGAGCCTATTCCTTCATTTCAATCAGCATTTACAGATGCCCTTATGATGGCTGCTGATCTAAACTTGAACATTCCAGATGTCTCTCAAGGTAGGATGCCTAAATGATGATGATGCATCTGAGTAAATTTAGCATGGTATATCGCATGGTTTATCTTTAAACTGTTTTTTTAGAAAGCAAAACTCTGAGTAGAAGAGAAAGGCGAAAAAGGAGCAAGGCAAAAGAAAAGAAACTCTTATTTAGTACAGGCAATTCCGCAAAATTGTAATTTTGACTATAAGAAATATAAACCTTACTATTGTTAACAGCAGAAAGCTTGCTGAAATAGTGTTGTTTGTTAGAAATGACCCACTTTCGCCCTTTGGGCAGGGGTGGGCCCAGGAGGGTTGATTTCTCCATGGGGAGGGGGGTATTGTGAATGATGGCACAAGTCAACTCGTACCCAGGATTTTTCATTCATTCGTCCTCAAAGAATTGTTCAAAGATGTATGTTCCTAGGTTTCTTTATAATGCGATAACACGACGTACTGTGTAAAATAGTGCGGGGAAAGGCGGGAAAATTCTTCCAAGATGGTCGACAAAAAGGAGTCAGCAAATTTGCCCTGGTATGTTTTGCAATTTCCTGAGGGGGCTTTGATATACATTAACTGAATTTTGTTTGTAGAGCAGCTTGGCCTACTGTAGCTAGTGACCTTTGTTTCCACTACAATTCTATATTTTTACCTCGTTCCAGGGTTGAGAAATATAGACCAAACAATCTCAATGAACTTATCTCTCACAAAGATATTATAAAAACAAGTAAGAGTTCAGAGTTGCACATATTTGACACAATTCTATTTCATATTATTCTGCCTACTGTCTCATTTTGACCATTTTCGATGGACTACAAATGTCAACTTTTTATTTTAGTTCAAAAGTTCATAGAAGAAGATAGACTTCCACATCTTCTGTTCTATGGTCCTCCTGGTACTGGGAAAACATCAACAATTCTTGCAATTGCCAAACAACTTTATACAAAGAAAGAATTTGGATCTATGGTTCTGGAGGTGATTATTGCATTAGAGTTATTAACAAGTTAAATATCCAGGCTTTGTTAGAATAAATATTTGTGGGTGTATTAATGTCAATAGTATTGACTGTAGCTTGATCTTTGATCATTTACCTTTAGTTAAATGCTTCAGATGACAGAGGAATAGGCATTGTTAGAGGATCCATTCTCAGTTTTGCAAGCACAAGGACAATTTTCAAGTAAGTGGCAATCGACAAAGATTTAATTATTAGGCCTATTTCCTACAATAAATGACTTCAAACATATTTTGCAGGTCTGGATTCAAGATGGTTATATTGGATGAAGCGGATGAAATGACAACTGATGCTCAAAATGCATTGAGGAGAGGTGCAACTTAGGCGCTTTATGTTTTTGTTGGGTAATGCATCTTGACTTGACAAGAATGTAACCTATAGCTTTCTCTCAATAGTAATGGAGAAATTCACCGAAAACACAAGATTTTGTCTCATCTGTAACTACCTCAGCAAGATTATTCCAGCATTACAATCCCGATGCACAAGATTCAGATTTGGTCCACTTGATACAGAACAAATGAGTTTGAGACTTGATCATGTCATCCAAAATGAAAGGTACTACCAACAGTTTTAACCGTAAGAAGAGTTTGCCAGCGTTGAGAATTTAGTTTGTGAAGCTTCTTTAACATTTACAAGCAATCGATTAATCGATTTCATTTTATTTTCAAGCATCAACATTGATGCTGATGGGAAGAAAAGTTTGGTAAGGCTATCTGGTGGTGATATGAGAAAAGCTTTGAATATACTACAGGTAAAACTATTTAAAAAATTTCTTGAATAATCTATAGATGATATAATTCAGTACTTAGTGTACATTTTTTCTTACAGAGTACTTCACTGGCATTTGACAAAGTAAATGAAGAGAATATCTACACATGTACGGGCAAACCGCAGAGAAATGATGTGGCTAATATGGTCAACTGGTTGTTGAACGAAGATTACAAAACAGCATATCATAGTATCCTCCCTGAAAGGCTTTAGTATTTCCTTGAATGCTAAGACAGGCGTAGTTTTTATATATTACAATATTTTTATCCGGTTTTGTTTAATTCATGAAACAAAGATATCATGGAATTAAAAACAATGAAAGGCCTGGCCTTGGATGACATACTTGCCGAGGTTCATACTTATGTACATAGAGGTAGGTAAGATCCAAAGTGTAAAGTGGTGATCCACCTTTAAAGCAGCCTTCTATTGCTAAACTGTTCTTATAATCTAAATTTAGTGGAGTTCCCAGCAAGTGTGAGAATGCATTTATTGGATAAAATGGCAGATATTGAGTGAGTCATAACTATTTTATCCTGTACATCTACACAAGTAACTTTGAGGTTTTTGTTCTGTCTAACTCAATTACTTTTCAGGCACAGACTGGCATCAGGAACATCGGAAAAAGTGCAGCTCGGGTCTTTACTGGCAGCTTTCCAAGTTGCAAGAGATATGGTCACAAAACAAATGGACGAAGAAGAGAGTGGATGATATACAACTGTGAATTAAATTCAGTTTCAAAGAACATTTCATTTCACATTGTATTATGGAACTGATATGAGAGCCACTTTAAGCAAAATGAATCACCTGGTACCAGTCATGGTGGTGGTCAACAAACAGCTGGCTTAGAATCATAGAGTATAACTCAGTTACCTTATGCTAGGAGCAAAATGTGGTTTGTCATAGACTCTCAAGCTCATACCTAACAATATGGTGTCTACTATTAGAAACAACCAACATATTACATTATACACTCTACATCACTACAAATTTAGATAAATAAAGAAATCTCTCTGTTAAAATGACAAGTTGTATACAAGAAAGTACAAAAAGATCTTTCTATCTCCACATGCACAAATTCTTCAAGATTCCACGTCAGTTAAGATGTCAAAGAAATTTTCATCACTGACTTCTCTTTGATCAAAAGTTCCAAGATTCTGAGCAATGTAAACTGCCAGTATGTGTTTACACTGAATAAAGAAACAAAAGCAATTGGTAAATATTGTGCTATTATTTGCATGAAGCAGCAATAATATTAATTTTAGGCTTACCATTAATATCTCATCTTTCATTAGGACTACAAGAAGTGGAAAAATGATGGTAAAACAAAGTAATATAATCACTTTTGTACTGGTAATTATATTGTGTAGTTTACTTTGTACATAAGATCACAAGTATGTACCGTAGGATGATCATGCTAGGTTGCATGGTACTTACCATAATATGTATAAGACGGACATGTACAGTACACGTACCATAGGATGATCATACTAGGTTGGATGGTACTTACCATAATATGTATAAGATGTACAGTACACGTACCATAGGATGATCATACTAGGTTGGATGGTACTTACCATAATATGTATAAGACGGACATGTACAGTACTCTGATGACATAAGACAGTTATAAATTCTTCCTGATGATCCTTCGACCTGGATGATATTGGTTTAAGATTTAAGAAGTGAAATACATTTAGTGAGTCACACATAGTTGGTAGATGATGGTCTTCATATTGGTGGAATATAAAATGACAACAGTATAACAGGCCAGACTGTAAATAACATTGAACAACTAACAACTCACCTGGAATAGCTCTCTACCACTGGGAGAGCTAACCTTAGTGATACAATTCTGATCAACCAAACTTAATGCATGCGGTAATGTTTGTGGAAAAACAACACGTAACCTATTGAAATATAAATGTTTCAGAGTTTCTTGCATTACTCCAGTAGCAAGTAAATTACTGTTGGAATACTTGGTTAAACGATTAAATTTCATTGAGATAATCGATTTATCTTACGCTGATAACAATCCATCGCTTGGCACACTTTTCTCTAAAATATAATAAAAATTTCAATAGCACTTCAATAGCGTATTGGCCGTCTTCCGAACGAGTAAAGATATGAGACAAAAATTTGGTATTTGTATTCACTTGAATCAAGATAAATCTTATTTAAAATGACCTCTTAATATGAAGCTTACCTTCTCCACTATCCTTGGCTTCCTTAGCAATTTCTTTCAGAAGTTCCTGAGCAATTTCTCGTAGGTTTTTATCATTTTCTTGGGTCATTTTGCAGGCACGTTTTCATTGCGCTAAACCATGACTGATTCGAAACATTTAAATCGCGGTATAGGCGCATTGCTTTTGCGCATTCTAGAACCCAGAGTCTTGTACTTGGCGCGCCTAAGCAAGACTCTGGGGACATCCATGTTGGAACCCCATTCCCCAAAACCGTTGCCAAACCACACAAAGTTAAGTAGCAAAGTTGTCTTAGTGACTTTACAAGTTTCCATAACATTTTATTGTTTCAACGAAATTCAACAATGCATTTGTCTAAATGTGAGGTTAATTCTTGGTGCAAGACACCTCTTTCGGACAGGGAGTGAATGGTACCAATAGGAATTGGTCGGATAATTCATCAGCAATATGCTACCAGATTTTAAGTTCAATTTCACCGGATCAATTTTTCTTGTACCCTTTGATCCCCTACAGTCCTGATGACGGAAAACAAAATCTCTTGCTTGTCCAAACGAAAGTGAGGCTATGGGACTCCTACTAACGAGTTCACTTTCATCATCCTTATGTTCACCCATGTGGTCGTTACCATCTTGGTATCGATTAATGAGCACAAAATTAAAATGTTTTCCAATCTTCGTGGCTAACATATCCCTCAGCTCCTTGAGGAATGGCGTCCATGGCTTGGCAGAAACAGTCCTTCCTGAGAATGTGTACTTCAATCCGTCATCACCGTACGAGGCTTGCTTTCTTGGCACATTGTGCCATTTTCCAAAAACCTGAACTTTGCTGTTATTTTCATAAACAACATCCTTTTCCAAATAGCTAAAAATCCTATCTGCCTGGCTGTTGGTAAACATTATAGAATAGGCCAAGTTCAGATTCTCTGCTGTGATCATTTGCCATTGCAGTTCAGGCAGAGATTTCAAAAAAGAGAAAACATCAATTTGGGTGTGGTGACTACAGCCCTCAGTGATTTTGGGTGGCTCTTCCAAACAAGGAAGGGTGTCATTTTTGGTTGGTATCTTCCTGGGTTTCTGTTCAACTTCCTGTTCATTTTCCTCACTTCGTTTTCTTTTGCTGGTCTTTATAAAATAGTTTTCAATCATGTGCGTAAGCAATGACGGACATAACTCAAACCAAAAATTTATATATGGACCTCTACGGCTCTGCTGGTGATTTCGCGAAGACCCACGAAAAAGTCTCGCGTGAGTCCTGGATATTTGGCATTTATTTGCATAATGCAGCAGCATGGAATTCGAACAAAAAATGATTTAAAAATGTTTTAAAATACCAGAAATTGTAGAAATCTCTGCGAGAAGATCGCAAAATATTCGCCAAGATGACGTCGGCGATATTAAGATGTAATTTTGCCGTAAAATCCTTGTTGCATCGCTCAATTTTGCTTAACAAATATGGACTACAATCCACCTCTCTCATCACAAACAAATCCTACAAGCATACTATAAAGGGGGTAGTTTTCGATATGGGAGGTGTTATTTTGCCCTCTCCTTTTCCAGCAATTGACAAAGCTGAGAAAGATTTCGGAGTTCCTTCAGGGACAATCTCCCAAATGGTTGTGAAAAAGTACAGTGATGATAATGGTAGGTTGATTCAACTTGATTGTATGGTACGTAGATTGTGGGTATGGTTGTGCAAAGATGATAGCTAAGTAATGCTAATTCATGCTGCCCAGTCATTTTGCTTGATTCACAACAATTTGTGAATTGATGTACTGGCATAGAGGGATGGCAAATAACATGAAATTTCAATAAAATAGGAATCTGTGCGTAAAGCATGGGGCAGCCCACCCCCTTGGGGTGCGTCCAGTCTCCTGTGACACACAGGTGCAAAACTCAGTATGCATATACTTGTCGATATAGCATATTGTTAGGGAACTGAAGGGTATAGTGTACCCCCTAGATAATTCACTTAACATCCTTCCCAAAGAGCTTACATCTCAGGGGTAATCATGCATGATCTCTCCTATGAGACAATGGCTATATTGTCATTCCATGATGAATCATTGCAAGGTGGTGATTTTGAGCAGATTATATGTTTTTAGTCTGTCAATAAACAACTCCCTATTGCCTCTAAATATGGTATAATATTCAACTGAATGAAATAACAAAGTAGCATTATCATTTATGATATTCCAGGGCCATGGGGTACTCTGGAGAAGGGTGAAGTTACAGTGGAAGAATTTCGAGAGAACTTGAAATTGCCGCCAATGGTGTCAAAACTTCTTGAACGTTTTTTGAGCAATATTCACACAAAATATGCTGAGCCATTGCCGGAGATGATTGACTTGATCAAATGTCTCAGAGCTAAAGGAGTCCTTGTTGCTTTGTTGACAAACAACTGGTTTTTGGATAAGGAAAATACGTTTATGCCTCTTGATAGGTCACTATTTGATCAGGTATAAGATAATTGCAAATTTGTCCAGAGCTAGCATGTCTTTGCTAGATGTCTAGGAAGAACATTATCTAGAACTGAAAGAGCTTTCTTTTACTAAGATTATTGAGTCTGCAAGAGTGAATTGTCGTAAACCAGGAGAGGAGATATATAATTTGACATTGGAGAAACTTGGTATTGAGCCAAATGAGGCAGTATTCATTGATGATATGTCAAGGAATGTAGAGACAGCAAAGACTTTGGGATGGCAGGGGATTGAGGTGTGTAATTGAGTTAGCTTGTGCCAGTCAATTTGGGAATGTGAAGGAGACTGCATGCATCCTTCTATTTTGAGTGCAAGCCTTATTGTAATAGGGAGACTATATTGTAATCTGAAATTTCTAGTTCAAAACTTCCAAACAAACAATTGAAGACCTTGAAAAAGTGCTAGAGATTCCACTTCAAGGTATTTGAGATTCCACTTCAGAGTATTTAAGATGAATTCATTGACACAGAAATCTGTTGGGAACATGATTTGAGAAATAAGTATTGCATAGAAATGCTCGTAATTTACACGATCATATTTGTATGAACCACCTCAGGTATTGTCCCTGGCTCAATTGTTGTGAAAGAGAAGTTAAAGTTTGATATTGAATCTTTGACGGAGTACCTGAAGAAAACATTAAATATAAAGATTGATGGTACTGTACAAAAATCAATAAATACATATTGTAATTCTAGATTAACCTTAAACACTACATTAAAATGGTACATATGACGATATTTTTGATCATGTATTGAACTTTCAGCATCTATTTTCAGATGCAATGATTGTGAGACAGTTTGAACATGGTCAGTCAAATCCAACTTATTATGTAAAATGTGATGAAATGGAATTTGTTCTAAGAAAGAAACCGGTATGTGATATCAGATTTGAATATGATGTTATAATTTGTTCTATGAAATTGATGTGAGATATGTCAGTTCATGGTTAATTGTCTGATACACATCTAAGTGTATCTGAATCGATCTACCCTTCTTGTGAAATAAATTTCATCATCTCTCTGTCTGTTTAGCCAGGGAAACTGCTTCCATCAGCGCATGCTGTTGAAAGAGAGTACAGGTTTGCATTTGCTGTTCTTTTGTTTTATGCAAAATTGTCTGTATCTTGCATGGTTTATTCATTCATTGGTTTAGTCTCTAACCTCAAATAAACTGATTTGTTTCAGAGTGATGAAAGCTATGCATGAAAATGGTGTTCCGGTTCCAAAACCGTTACTTCTTTGTGAAGATGAAAGGTGTGGACTGCATAGGATGCAAATGATTAAGAAATCTATTTCACTGCGACCATTTTGGGTAACATTTTTCAATTGATTTTTCATCTCTCTTTTTCAGTGTGATTGGGACTCCATTTTATATCATGGAATATGTGAGAGGAAGGATATTTAAAGATCCATCTTTGCCCGGAATGGCAAATGAAATTAGGAAGGTATATTTTGTGATTGTTATTTTCAGGAGATCTTGAAAATTGAGCTGCTAAGATTTAATAGAGATCGTAGAGATCATTGTGGCCATTGATTCAATTTGTAATTTATAGGAAATCTATGAAGAAATGAACAAAACTTTAGTGAAAATTCATCAAGTTGACGTTACCAAGGCTGGCTTAGAAGATTATGGGAAACATGGTAAAGTTCCAGTACCTAAGGATCTAAACCAACTTTAGTATACTGGATAGTTCTATCAGTTCTGTCATGGACTATTTGATCATGTCGTATTGATTCCAGTTTTACTACACGATGAAGCGAATGTTTGCGATATTTTGATAACGTCAAACGGAAAGCGTATTCTTATGACTGTGAAGTTATAAAACGTGACAATTATTTCTTAGGTAATTATGTGAAAAGGCAAACAGAAACCTGGGCCAAGCAATATGAGGCAAGCAAGACTCACGAGATAGAAACAATGGATGATTTGATGAGCTGGCTTCGTCAAAATGTTCCAGAAACAGACAAGACAACAGTAGTTCACGGTGATTTCAGGTACTGTACTGGGTGATTTCAGGTACTGAGCGATATCAATCGAAATTTAGTTCATTTGTATTTTAATTTTGTGTATTGCTGTCATGAAATGTACTGGTGAGTTTGTCTTGGACCGTGTGAGAAAAGGTGGTTGAACAGTAAACAAAACTTCAGTAGAATCTGGTGTACCTAATTTTACTAAGGTCTATTTTTTATCTTTTTTCATTCAGAATTGACAATCTTGTGTTTGATGCAAACGAGTCCAAAGTATTGGCTGTTCTTGATTGGGAGTTGTCAACGTTGGGTGATCCTGTCACTGACCTCGCTATGAACTGTCTTCCTTATTATTTGCCTCAAAATTTTCCTATTTTGAAAGGTAGGCTATCTAGTTACTCTACCATACCTGATTACCACCATACATAACACCATGCATGAATGTCCAAACCACCATACTACATAACATTAAATGTTATACCATAGGATATGCCATTCTACATACTATTCAATGTATACCGTACCATACCATACAGTACGGTACCGTAACGTACTGTACCGTGCCATATCATACCATACTGTATCATACCATACCATACCGTATCATACCATACCACACCATACCATATCACACCATACCATATCACACCATACCATACCATACCATATCACACCATACCATACCATACCATATCACACCATACCATACCACACCATACCATATCACACCATACCATACCATACCATACCATATCACACCATACCATACCACACCATACCATATCACACCATACCATACCACACCATACCATATCACACCACACCATACCATACCATGTACCATACCATACCCTTTGCTATGAAATGTAAACCATACCATATACCATTGTAATATACATCGGGTTTCACTCCATGTTATAAGGTTTTTCCAAAGTGGATCTAGTCTCGCTGGGTATCCCGACCAATGAAGAATACATGCGGGAATATTGTGAAAGAATGAACATACCATTGATTAAAAACTGGAATGTTTACATGGCGTTTACATTGTTCCGTGTTGCGGCGATATTACAAGGAGTTTATAAACGATCTCTCAAAGGTTCGTTCGACCTTCAGACTCATTAAAACACTTTATAAACCCTGTTCATGAATAAACGTGAAAATTAGATTGGTCAAAAGGATATAGGTGTGGTTATTGTCATCCGCTAATGATTTTTATCGTAGTTGTGAATTTGGTGCTTTTTTCACCAAAGGTCAGGAGAGTTCAACCAATGCAGAAAAGGTGGGTTTATTGGCAGAGAATATGGCGAAAGCTGGTTGGTCTTTTGCACAGAAAAAACCGGGACATTCTGGGCCACAAAACAAGAGAAACTACAGCACCACATCTTCACGTCGTTCAGAAGGTACGCCGGTGTTCCTTGTGGATATTTCTGAACATGGCTACGATGTTCCACCTTGTATAACCCATGTACTGAAATCTTGCATGCTATAGTTTAAATCCAGTTCTTTGTCAAATATTTTGCGTAAACCGTAACAACTTATTTTCATGCAGGTTTAATGCCAATCTCAGCGAATGCTTTGCCAGAACACGTACAAGAATTGCTTGAGAAATTGCGGGCATTCATGCAGGAACATGTGTACCCAAACGAGAGGATTTTCGAAGAGCATCAGCACTCAAGTGATTGCTGGAAACCTCATCCACTTATGGCAGAACTTAAGGTTCGTTTGCGATTTGTTTGTGGTTTCGATATGCTGTTAAATTGTTGTGTCAGGATGAAACAAAGTCTGCAAGTGATGGAGTTGATTGTTTTTGTTGAATAAGCGTTGGTTTTTTTGTAGAGTAAGGCAAAAACGATTGGTTTGTGGAATTTATTTATACCAGTGGAGTGTGACCCTGACAAGGCTTATGGAGCTGGTCTGACCAACGTGGAATACGCATTTCTTTGTGAAGAAATGGGAAAATCAGTCTACGCTCCTGAGGTTAGTATAAATTATATATTTCAAGTGATTAAACCCCCCCTCCTATAGAGTGACGGAGGTGATTGGTATTCGATACGTGCATGGAGGGCGTGTTACGGGGAGTAAAGGTACGATAGTGTGTGAACAGAGGGTGTAATCGAGGGGATAGGGGGCGTGCGTACAAGAGCCCAGGTACTGGGCATTAAAGTACATACGTAGCCATGTTTTTCGAAAGGGAAAATTACAAGGGGAAACTCCGCTTCTTAATGTTCACATTGCTTTTCATCAAAACCAAATTTATTTGTATTATTCGTAATTCGTTTCGTGTGCAATTACGGATCAGCATGGCATGCACGAGTGGGAATTTTGAAGAATGCAAAATAGCGCGAATTCTAAGGACGAGTGATATTTTGCAGGGTTTAAAAATTGTTGTATTTTAACGACAATCCATTTTAATGAAATCGTAATAAACTAAATTGAATGTAAGAAATTCTATCAAAGATTAAAGGCCTTACGTGCATGATATTATATGTTTAAATTTAACGTTTCTTGTAACGCTTCACACGGGAAGAGAGTTTGTAAAAGGTTACTCTTGCATTTGATAAAAACTATTGAGAAAACAACTTCGAGTAATTTATAATTAAGATAGCAATTCGTCTACGATTGTTTTAACCTCCTCCCCGTCATTTTCAACATTTTGGAAGTCTACATTTATCTTCTCTCTCTGTTCTTTACAAAGCGTCTTTATTTCTTCAAAACTGTTGTCATCGGCAAGTTTTTTAGCCTGGTCAACGTATTTTAAAGATTTTTTCAGATTCTCATTTTGTTTATCTGTCGGCTCTAATTTATATTTTTGAAAATAAAGATCAGATTTGACCAGCGATAGGCGACATGAGTTGTACTTCATTTGATCATGTAGATTTATTAGAGATTTTTCAGACTCACCAATAAGCTTAGTGGCTGTCACAATCTCGTTGTCAAGACTTGTAACCAACGAAAGGTTAGGATTTGCTAATTTTAAATGCAAAGACGCCAACGTAGTTTTTATTCGCTGTTCAAGGTCTTGTCTTGAGATTTCAAATTTATTCTCGATATACAAGAGATGTTGCAACGCACTGTGACAATAAGATTTTGCCTTCTCAACGAGTTCGTGTATTTTGCTTTGTAAGTCTTCGTCGTCTTTGCTGTTCTTTAAAGACTCCTCATCAACTAAAGAACTCAGGATTGATGCAGCATTGGCGTAAACAGCAGCTGGTATGAAACCAACTGGGGATTTATCAGCTAATTCTGAACTTTCCTCGATTATTTTCCAAGCTTTTTGGTAATTACCTCTTGACCGCTCTATCGCTGAGGCAGAATATCTCTCTTTAACAGCAAAAACTGATCTGTCTTCCGCATTGTCTAAGTATTCGCGAATTTTTTCCTGACATATTTCAGCATCCTTTAAATAACCTCGTCGATAATGTAAGGCGGCAGTCTCAACGAGACAGGTCAGTGTAGTGTTTACGGGTAAATTCTTCTGCTGGTTTATTTCGTGGACGATTGTTTCAATCTGCTGCCAATTTCCAAGTTGTCTCAAATTTTCTAATTTTTGAGTTATCTTCATATAACGTCTTCTGTTTTCTTCCGAGCTCCAGCTGCTTCGTTCCATTTCCTGCTGTGGCGTTGCAGCTTTGTAGTACGTGTTACGTCTCCAACATTCGAAGGACATTTTCTTTACTTCACCGTCTTCAAGATAATAGCTTTCTGGTTCCTTGGAGAAAACACCGCCTTTGTATGGGTTGACAGTTACCACCATCACAAAGGTTGATTGTATTGTTTCGTTGTTACAATCTTTCACAGGAACAAATTTGATATCCCACTCTTTGCCACGCTCGACTTTCCTTGATTCCTCTTGCCATATCATCTTTCCAACTGCTTCCTCTAGTTTCTTTGTTGTATTGTCGCGTTGTGAATCAGACAACTTCTCTCCTTCAACAATACCATCTTTGTTGATGCCGTAAAAAATATTTCCACCAGCGGCATTTGCAAAGCCAGATATTATATCTGTGAATTTATTGTTAATGACTCGATCAGCGAAATCGATGTTTTCATTTTTTTTTGTTTGAAGATGTTTTAATTGAACAGTCGGTGATTCATTTATGCTACATTTAACACCAGAGGTAAATTGTTCCGGCACTCTTTCATTGTGCTGTTTCAAAATCTTTGCAATACGGCATTCAAACAATTTTTCTCGTAAGGCATTTTGTTCCTTACAAGGTATCTGCTGTATCGATGTATTTATTGGTATAAACAAGTAGGTATTTAAAGTACACAATATCGGCAGAGCTTTTACAGGCAACGTGATTGTATTTTTATCCACATCTACTATAATATCATGGAATCTGTTGTGTTCTTCATAAATTCCAATGATGTGTTTAAAATGCTCTTCCACAGGATAAATGATATCGTCAGGAGTTATCTTGTTGTCATCCGCATTATCACTTGCTTTTAAAAGAAGTTTGCCTCCGTTTGTGTTTAAGAGAGCGCACACAATCTTTTTGATGTTTGCTAATAATTCGTTTCTTTCATTGCCTTTCTTTAAATGTTGCAGAGGAAATGTGACAGTGAGGACGTTTTCTGTGTTCCCAGGTGAAGACACACCAATGATGAGTCCTTTGATTAACATAAAGAATTGTAGTATTTTAGTATTGACTTCCTTTTATAAAGTTTTAAAGAATAGTTTAAACGTAATACATTTTTGTCGCATCGAATGCAACTGATAGTTATTAGAATCAGTATAACTCTTCTGTTGACTGTTGTTCTTAACAACGCGGCCGCAGCGCGTTGGCGTATAAGCAGGTGACTACTCATATCAACCAATCAAATAGGTTTATAGACTAACGTACGCATGGTAGTCAAAGCAACCACGCTATATACATACGCATATTTTCAATGGATTCCAACTTTTCAGTCTTGTACGTACAGAAAGATGGCAGAAAACGTTCTTGTAGTTCATTTTTCGCTGAAAGGAATTAAGAAGTATGTGTGCGCTCTCTTAAACACAAACGGAGGTAAACTTGTTGCAAAGACGTGTGATTCTGAGGATGTCAAGATTGATGTTGTCCGGACTGTTCGTTTGATCGAAAAGTATTTTAAAAACATCATTGGCGTCTATGAAGTAAACAACGGATTGAGAGTCTTGGAAAAAGGGAACAATACTATGACATTAAGCATACAAGCCCTCGCGATGTTGTGCACAATGAACACGTTTTTGTATTTGCCAACAAATAGGGGAATGAAGCAGGTTTCTTGTATGGAACAAGATGCTTTGCGTTACTTATTGTTGGAACGCCGTACTGCAGAGAATTTGGAACACAAGGTGCCTGAACAATTTTTGCACGGAAAGGAATGCGGTTTTCACAAATCGAGAACTGTTCAATGCATTTACCCTCAAGAAAAAACAACGAATAGAACGGATGCTAAACGTTGCATGCATGAATCAGCAACTGTTCAATTGAAGCGTCTTATTAACGTGAATATGTTAACGAGAATAATATCTGGCTTTGCAAATGCCGCTGGTGGAAATATTTTTTACGGCATCAACAAAGATGGTATTGTTGAAGGAGAGAAGTTGTCTGATTCACAACGCGACAATACAACAAAGAAACTAGAGGAAGCAGTTGGAAAGATGATATGGCAAGATAAATCAAGGAAAGTCAAGCTTGGCAGAGAGTGGGATATCAAATTTGTTCCTGTGAAAGATTGTAACAACGAAACAATACCATCAACCTTTGTGATGGTGGTGACTGTCAACCCATACATTGGTGGTGTTTTCACCAAGGAACCAGAAAGCTATTATCTTGAAGATGGTAAAGTGAAGAAAATGCCCTTCGACATTTGGAAACGAAATACGTACCACAAAGCCGCAACGCCTGTGCAGGAAATGGAAAGAAACAGTTGGAGCTCAGAAAAAAACAGAAGAAGTTACATGAAAATAACGCAAACATTAGAGAATTTTCGACAATTTGGAAATTGGGAGCAGATTGAAAGAATCTTCAAAGAAATAAACCGGCGGGAAAATTTACCCGTAAACACTAAACTGACCTGCCTCTTTCAAATTGCCGCCTTGTATTATTACCAAGGTGATGTTAGCACTGCATTAAAATACCTGGAGCAATTTCGTGAAGACAAGGACAGCGCTGAAGACAAATCAGTTTTTGCTGTAAAAGAGCGATATTCTGCCTCAGCGATAGAGCGGTCGCGAGGTAATTATCAAGAAGCTTGGAAGATGATCGAGGAGGGCTTAAAATTAGCTCATCATGCGCCAGCTGGTAACCTGCTTGCTGCTGTTCACGCCAACGCCGCATCAATCATCAGTTTCTTGGTTGATGATATGCCCATTGAAGAAATGAAGAAGGAACAAAGTTCCAGAAGCGATCCACGTGAACTTATAAAAATGGGTAAATCTTTTTGCCATCACGCGTTGCAACATTTGTTGTATGTCGACGATGAATTTGAAATCGCCAGAGAAGACCTCAAGCAGAGAATAGAAATTACTTTGGCATCGTTGTGTGTGAAATTAGCAGATCCAGAACTTTCGCCGACTCCCGACAGCGAAATCCTTGAAGCCATGAAACTGATTGAAGAATCAGAGAAGTCATTAATGAATCTAAAGGGAACAGAACGATTAGCGTACAACTCATGTCGCCAAATGCTGGTCAAATCTGACCTTTATTTTCAGAAATATAAGTTAGAGTGGGCAGATTCAAAAATTGAACATTTGAAAAAGTCTTTAGAGCATGTCCAGATCACTAAAAAACTTGCAGACGACAAAGGTTTCAAGGAAATCGAAAGTCTTTGTGAGAAACGCTTGGAGAAGATAAAAGATGAAAATATCTTGAACGACGAGAAACATGTTGAAGAAATCGACGTGGAAGAATTGTTAGCTTGAAACTCCTGGCTGCAGAGACCTCGAAGTTAAAGAAGCCTTTTGTATAGTGTTATAATGTTCGGTGTAAGTTATCATTGTATATGCCCTATACCCTTAATATAATCATCGGGGTTAATGCAAGGTATATAATGCCTTATGAAACGTTTCAGAGTAGTTTTAGGAAACTGAACAGCTTTATCAACAACTTCATTTTTAAGACTATACTATTAAAACGGATTCTATAGAACCGATATCTAATCTTTGACCACACGCAGATTTATGATTATGATCACACGTAGAGCACGACTGCATGTGACTGCATGGTTCGTAGTTTTTCAAGTAGCCATAGCTTTTAAGTAAATAGCAATTTTTGATGACACACACGATAACTGTATTTAATCGATTAAATTTATTTGTGATGTGGTTGAAAAGAAAGTAGGACCCCGCATAACGCATGTAAAGTACATATTGAAGTCATATTTGAAATTTGTGTACGTTATTTATCTCCTTGTAGTTTGTTTATTCCTGAATAAAATTAATTCTTGTCTACCTTGTGCAAATTTTGTATAACCTCACGTTTCAATACTAATTTCTATATCCCCGCTACCAATTGTGGTGAAGTGGCAAATACGTTTTATACGATAATAATACAATAGAGAGAACTCTGACAGTTGTGAACTGTACGCTGTCTGATGAAGTTTACGTCATGAAGAGGAAGGCCACATTTCATGATATGTTACTGACATAAATTGCAATGAATATTTTAGATGCTTGTTACATGGAGATATTGAAGGCACACATCCAGGGGGGGGCACATAGTCAGCATCAATAATTGGGGAGGGGGCTGGATTCATATCAATTCCTTTTAAAATCGGTTGTCTTCATCATCTGTTAACATGAATATATGCATGAATATGCGCCACTGAAGGCACATTTCTTGAGTTGTAACCCAAGTTAATTTCATCTTTAGATGTTCAATTGTTCAGCTCCAGACACAGGAAACATGGAGGTTTTAATCAAATATGGTTCTGCAGAACAAAAGGTAAACTGTGGTTTGAACGTTTACACTCTGAATGATTGAATTTGCTAAAATATTAATATTCTTTTCAGGAAGAATGGCTCTTACCTCTACTGGACGGGCGTATTCGTTCGTGTTTTGCGATGACTGAGCCGAATGTAAGATGATGTTCTCCTGTGAATATATTAAACATTAAGGTCTGTTGTACGATAGCTGGATAGTCCCATGAGGATACGATGCTGGGGGAGCCTGTAGCCCTTGAATTAGCCAGAATTGATTAAAATTCGGGCAATTTGTACAATCGAGAGTCACGGAGATTTTGGTGAAATATTCCATTCTATTTAACCTTGCGATTTAAAACTTCGTATGTAAAGTAAGAATGATATTATCTTTCATTTGAGCCTAAGTTGTCCTGAGCAATGACTTCCCCTTTAACGTTTTTTTTTCAATTCTTGTTTTAGGTTGCTTCGTCGGACGCTACAAATATTCAGTCGAAAATCGAAGAAGACGGCGATTTTTATGTCGTTAACGGCAGGAAATGGTGGACCTCAGGTAGTCTTGACTTTAGAAATAAGAGTTTAAGCTTGCTTCTAAATCTCATTACAGTTCTTTCACCTCACGTATCATGTGATTTTTGTTTGCAGGAGCGCTCGACCCGCGTTGTGAACTCGCGATTTTTATGGGCAAAACTGATCCAACTGCTGCAAAACATAAACAGCAGGTAAGAGGTACTGCCACATTTGATGCGAAGATGTTGGAAGATGCATCTAAAAAAACCACTTTCGGCTAAAAAATGGTCATTTTCTCTCCATCCAACTCAAATACATTCAATATAATACGAATTTCAGATCCATATTTTCCACATTTCACAACATTTTCCTACCAAATCTTTGCTGTTTTCATTGTTCTTCCCTTTAGATCACAGATTTTGATCTATCCTGAATCGTCTCTTGAGAAATTTATTCTTTTATTTAGTCGATGATCCTGGTGCCTTTCAAAACGCCTGGTGTTAACGTCATCCGACCTCTTTCAATGTTTGGATACCTGGATCCACCCTGTAAGATTAAGATATTTGAGGCTTTATTTATGAATGGAAAGACAGTCGCTGGATGTGATCAATTGATCACAGGTATAGCGCATGAATCTATATTGACCTTGTGTTTGTTGTTATATTATTAAGGTGGCCATGGTGAGGTGGATTTCAAAGATGTCCGTGTTCCAAAATCGAATATTATTCTCGGTCCAGGGCGTGGCTTCGAGATCGCGCAGGTAGTGTGTACGTTAAAATAGAATGGATCTTCAAATATGCATCCATGAAGACACGCGTAATTTTGATGTTCTACAAGTTCTGCTAGTTTATGTATTATTATTAACTTGCAATGTTTTTGCCTGTGGTATTTAGGGACGTCTGGGACCAGGGAGGATACATCATTGTATGCGAATGATTGGATACGCAGAAAGATCTCTGGAGTTAATGATTGACAGGGTAGGAAAGTTAGTCTACCAATTTGCGTGATATATGTGCATCAATCTTCATTTTGTTTCAATAGAAATACGTGTACAAATCAACTATTGCATCACGTTTAGGTAAAATCGCGTTTTGCATTCGGAAAGCCATTGATTCAACAAGGCAAAATTATTGAAGACATCGCGAAATCTCGCATCGAAATTGAACAAGCAAGGTAATACATGTCTGAAAGAAACGATGTACAACTTATTTGGACTTAGCTCCTGGTTCAAACGATTCCTGCAAATTAAATTCTGGGAACTTTACGACCATCTTAAAATTACAGTTAATCACCGTACTACAATCTCTGTTTTACTCTTTGTTTGTCGGCTGAAATAAATAAATAAGTAAATAAATAAGTAACTATACGTTTCAATTGCCAACCGAAATGACGGGAAGCTATAACGTAGGAAAGATTGAAGGAAAATCAACGGATGTATGATGAAACAATTTCTTACGTGGTTTAATTTGCATGTATTTGAAAGTAACCAGTGAATATTTGCTATAATTTTCTAGACTATTGACCTTAAAAGCCGCCCAGCTCATGGATACGGTCGGAAACAAGGTGTGTGTTATTAAGGTGGCAAACATTGTGCCGTATTTTTACCTAATGACGTCATTTATCATTTTGTCTGTCCACAGATCGCTGCGCCAGAGATTGCAATGATAAAAGTCCTCGCTCCAGAGATGGCACAAAACGTAACTGATAGAGCTATACAGGTATGGAAACCTTGTTTGAAATATTGTGTAATCTTGTATCGAGGTGGCTTACTTCAGTAATTATTTGCTGATAAACTGATCTCGTAATACCCACTGGATGAATCGATCATCCACGATGGCCTGACTCAATTTCTTTATGAAATTCTCCGTTCCCTCTTTTCCATATCTCAGAAGTTAGATCTTCGGGGTGACCTTTCTCGTTCGTTTCCAGGCATTCGGCGGTGCCGGCGTCTCGTCTGATTTCCCGTTGGCTCATTTCTGGGCGATGTCGAGGATTTTACGTTTAGCTGACGGTCCTGACGAGGTACACAGGAGAGCTGTTGCACGGATGGAGATAAAGAGACATGATACCAAGGGATAGGTATGGATAATATTCTGGTATAACTATGTATAGATAGGGACATATACGGGGTATAATGTGTGGAAAATTCAAGGATTTTTAATTACTGTATTTTTTCATAGATTTTTAACCGTAAGACGTTTTGCTGACAGTTTAGAAGAAAGTTAGATTAGAATGAATGTATTAATAATTAGATTATGTGAAATTTAGCTTACTATAGTCAGGGCAGCTCAGAAATTTTAGGGCTCTGGAAATAGTCGATTTGAGTGGCACTTTCTCTCACAGATCGCGAGCGCATTTATCTATATTATGTACCGTACAGCGATTTAGAATTATCTCAAAATTCAACACGTTACTTAGGTTTAATGAATTGTAACATATATACTGACCATTTAGATTTATTTGGGCCTTCTTCATTCGAGCCACTCCCTAAATAATTTAAGGCCAGAGTGCGAGCATCCTCTGAACAACCCTGGCTATAGTAACATGTGAATAGACGATGATAAATTGATAAATTAATAAACATAATTGTAAAGGAATGAGCATACAGCATATTGGCTGATATTTTAGCTGTAGCGTAGGCTTTTTCTGCATCTTTACTTAAACCAAGGCTTTCTTATAAGTTTTGTGAATAGTAATATTTTTACCATAAGTAACTCTTGCATATCTTTCTAAAGTCGGAATTAATATGAAAGTTCTACACATACGCGATACATCAATCAGATAAACCAATCACGAGCGCCGTGAGGGAACATGCACCAATCAAATGCGATACATCAATCACATTAACCAATCACGAGCGCCGTGAGGGAACATGCACCAATCAAATCCGACATCTGTATCAGATTAACCAATCACGGGCGCAATAGATTTATCGAAAGCGACAGTTAAAATGTCGGATTCCCTGAAACCGCTAATATAACGTGATTACCATTGAACTGAAAAATTAACCTCAGTGATTTACAACTGAATTAATGCAAGTAACTAACTTAGTATTCGTTTTGAGAATGAAGACCTGTCATAATGGTCCAATGCTCCATATAATTTATCAAATTCCAAACGTTCGCCTGCATGTGTAAACGTTAGTCGGTGCCCGTATTTAGACGAGGAAGATAAAGCACTCAGCGTCCATTTAAAGAAATACCACCACTAGACTCGGGTACATTTTCCCCTTTTTCTTGTGCCGCCATTAATCAAACACCAGCTCCCAGCTTGACCTGTACAGGCCTTGTATGTTCGCAAACAATGTGGTTTGAATATGAATGTGATATTCACACCGAGATGACACAAGGAATTGAACAGAATCCATCCATTAGATGCATACTGAGATCCCTTTGTTCCCTCTGGTCTTTGATGTGCCTGCCGGTACCTTGCGAGCCACAATTATATACACTCAGGTATTCAGGTCGCATAAATGCACAGCCTATTTTGAATATGAGTAAATATTTTCCAGTAGAGTGCAATGGAAATAGACCATATACTCTTGTAGAACAATCATTTGCCGCATGTAAGGGCATCTTTGACGCGTGAGGGCGTTTTCTTCACCGGCTTGTTGTTTTAAGCTTACCAGATATAATGTATGGTTCTGCTTGCGCTGTTAATTTTTTTTTGATAGAGCAGTTGGAACATTGTACGATAAATCTCAAGTCTTGAAACATTTTTGAAACATAGTCCGTGTAAAAATAATCAGTATAAATCATTTTCGTTCCCCAAATATATCGCCAGAGAATCCAAGGCTTATGTCGTTTGATTCACCTGTGTGAAGTTCAAACTTTGAATGCAGAACCTTAGGTAATGTAAACCATGGTTGATGGTAAAGCGATATGAGTGTTTTTTTGTACCGGCGTTTTACTGTTTTATGTATGAGTGGCGTAAAAATAATAGTTTAAGAAAGATGCATCCATCAAATATATTATTTATGTAAACAAATGATAAATATTTACATATACCATCTTTATTATATATACTGTATATTCTGTAACCATTATAATTCTGATCTGTTTCAAAAGACAGCAAATGCGGTATTTTTTGCATGTATTTCGGAGGCATGCGATCTCTGTTGAGTGTTTCGAGATTACGTCCTATCAAAGTGCTGGTAGTGATACATCACACTCTCACCTCATGATTGCGTGTCCCTTGTCCATGCGCCCAGCATGCATAGCGAGCGACACTTCCGTTACTCACCGGCATGTCACGACTGCGCACGGGGGGGCTCTCAGTACGTTCCTTGCGAAAATGACAGTACCTTTTTCTAAGACATGTATAACAAACCGTATGGAATACATGTTGTATACATTGAGGTGGCTGGATACCCGCGTGTAATTCGCTGACTGTGACTCTGTTAAGAAACCCACGGGAAACAATTCCCAATACGGAAGCCTTGTGGAGGTGAAATTCCCGCCATTGGCGAAGCACGGCTAAAGTGTTTTGTTTATACAAAGTAAAATTTGTATCGTTTTGGGAAACATATTTGATGCCGACTACAAAGTCCGGCTAATCATATGCTACATCTGTTTCATTTGATATTTGTTTTTATCAAATATTGTAGCATTTCCATGCATTTGCCATAAATAGCGTCATTTTTATACATAATAAAGACTGAATAATATCTCAACTTATTTGTACAAATTTGGTCATAACGATAGTTTTAATGATAGGATATGCGTGCTTTTCACAAACACAAGTTCAGATTCTGTTATGTACAAAATACTATAGTCTATATGTACCAGTGTACTAGAGACTAAGCCTAATAAAGAGAGAAGTACCCGAGCCGTTGTTAACATGAAGAGGCCATGCAGATGATAGGTCGCTTAGGTTGTTAAAATCATCGTAATGGTTGCATATATATGCAGGCAATATAACTTAGGAAACTGCATGTCCTATATTCTTAAACCCTTTCGGAATGAAAGAGCAATATACCGACATATGACCTCGTAAATTATATTTCATTATTCACATTTTTGATTTTCTGATATTGACAGCTGATTCAAGCAATTTATTTCAAATCCAAAATTATCTTTCAATCTTCCGATATCCATGTCGCCACACGTTTGTTGTCATTTTGTGCTAGGCTCTGCCGTCTGCCTTCTGACTTCGTATCTGAGTGGCTTATTTTTGAAAAATACTTAATGCATATATACCAATCTATATATAATAATATGCGCAAAACATACGGAACGAGACGAACTTATATATAGTAAATTGATTATTTTCTTTTTGATAAGATGAAGTGCTTGATGGTAACGCGACGCTGTCTGCCAAGTGGTTTATGGTTCTCCATCTAAATTAATATTTTCCACAGTATTTATACTTTCACGCGATCATATAGTTTATTATCAATAACATAGCCTCTTATTTACATATTTGCGAGTATTTGTCGTTCAAATACTTTCAATTAGAATACATATCTATTTATGTACAGTATATATAATTAATAATAATTGACAATTCACTTTAGTTTCCATCACGTTTGTTCGCGAAAATTCGATGCAAATTATACATGAAAGCTCCACGATGTCTGGACCAGAATAGACGCGGAGATATTTTAAGTACAAAAGCAAAAACGTTTAGGCTGTAATCATGTTTCCTAGTTCATTAAACCATGCAGGGACCTGAATAACATCCGTGGTTTGTCTGTCTTTTTAAGAGACTAAAAGTCTACGATGTTTCCCACGATTTTTCAGTCCGTAAAATTGGAATAGTGCAGAAATCAATGCCGGTGACTGTATGCTTAGCTAATCTCATGAAAACGAGGCTGTAGGCGAGTCGGCTTGACACCGAACTAATTCACACAATTTTCGCCGAGGAATAATTTTCCCAATTTGGCTTAAAAAATCCCGACTATAATATGCTTCCGTATGATGTTGTGAAGGCGCCAGACGCATTGAATTAGCTACAGAGAACATGCACTTAACACTGGGCCGTAAATATATGAGCTGAGTTATTGGTCGTGACATTTTTTGTGTTTCCCAGCCTTTGTCACCACAAAGCTGCGACACCGTTCATATGCAAATGATTCGAGCCATGGTGTTGATAAGAATACGAGTTATTTTGATACAAACTTGAATCCTGGTTCGTATTTGGCAGCGGCGTGTGGTGTAGTGTTGTTGTATGTTGTGGTAGTTTGATATAGTTCTGGTTGCTCGCTTCTCGATGAAGGTTGGGATAGCCGTTCTCGGACAGAATGTTACCATTCATTTGAATCCCGGCTTCTATTCTCTGGTGAACGTCGAATTGACCACCTTCACATTGTGGAAACGTTCCTCTGTTGTTGTAGTATTCCCCGTTGTTCAAAATATCTAAAAATATAATTGCATTTTTTTTAAAAAAAGGAAGCATGGTTTCATGGAATCATTCAGAGTTTACTTAGTACATGTTCTTGAATGTGAGCTGTCTTAAAGTGATCTGATGTTGTACAGAACTCACTGCTGAGTTAAGCATGGTTAGATCATGCAGAGATGGTACATGTTCTTGAATGTGAGCTACCTTAAAGTGATCTGATGTTGTACAGAACTCACTGCTGAGTTAAGCATGGTTAGATCATGCAGAGGTGGTACATGTCCTTGAATGTGAGCTACCTTAAAGTGATCTGATGTTGTACAGAACTCACTACTGAGTTAAGCATGGTTAGATCATGCAGAGGTGGTACATGTTCTTGAATGTGAGCTATATATACCATAATTAATTTTGCACAGAAAGCGCTAGCTAGTCATGCATGGTATAAATATGCAACGATAGTGCATTTAGTCATATAGTTCTGATATTGTAGTTTAATAAAGAATCGCATGATATAATATATTGAGCAGGGAGCGTGTACTTTAATTATAAAGAACCTTTTCAAAATATGCTGATCTCCGAGCATTGTTACCAAGCACGGTGTTCGCGTCATTCACTACATGAGATCAGGTTATATATCGGCTTTGCAGTTGCTGTTACACCGCTGTGTTCAAGCAAGCACGATCGGGAAATATAAATCACAGCCGCTAGACTCTTGTCTGATTTCTCTTGTTATGTTTAAGATAACGAGAACTATAGAACTGTGTCTGATATAATCAAACGCCGCCCTGCAATAAGCTTCTAATGTCCTCAAAATCCAAACCGCTCGATGACTGAATAGTTCTGTATCGCACTTGAAAAGAACTTAGGCCCGTAATTTCTATATTTTCGCCCGTCTTTCGTAGGGTAACCGCAAACCGACGTTTTTCTTGCGTAAACCGAGTTAACAAGCGCATTTTGGGGGTTTTTGTTTTAATATTTTGGGTGGGAAACGAATCGTATGATCTACTTTTGAGGCGTTTGCAAATGACCAAAAAACATCTGTTGCAAACAGATGTCCCATCGCGCCGTTACGTATAGTTTTCGCTCTCTAGAAACGATTTTACATCTGCCAAAGACGTTCAACCCACGTTTGAATATTTAACAAACATTCTTTGTTTATATATCTCGTTTTCTTGTTGCTTTTCCGAGCGAGATTCGTAGCCATTAACCGGCCAGAGATAACGCTTGCGAGATGGTCGTGTTTTGCCACCGCAAACTCGTGCCATTTAACTCGTATGCAAACTTTAATTACGCATTCTATGGCAAGATTTTACGATCTTTACCGCTGTATACAGTTAACACTGTTTGAGGCTGAAATATTTTAACCTTTATAATCTTTTAGTATATGTTTACTTTTGCTGTAATACATTCATACATGCATACATCGTCTTGTCGTTATTTCATTGTGCAAGTTTTTCACAGGAACGCTCTTTTTATTTGTAGACGTTTGTTTTGGCATAACAAGCCTTTTTTCGCGCAAATGCATATATATATATATTCCAGGCACTTTTGAAGCACTTGTTTTTTTTCTTAAATAAGAAAAATTGAGCCGATGCTAAAGTGTGCACTTCTTGTGCCTTTAAATGACTTTATCTTATACGCAGACCCGATATTTGCTTCAAAGTTTTTGAACCTCAGACATTCATCGACTTAAGCGTCGTAGTTAATCCAGTTTAGCACTTAAGGTTTTAAGTTGAACGAATAGCGAAGGCCATTAGCGGTTTCAAATGGTCGAAATTAGGGTCAACCGCCGAGTAATTTACAAGTGAAAGGCTGTCAAAACGTTTGCGGAGCTTGACTAAATGTTGACCTGTGTGTTGTTTTTTAGAATGCCTGGGAACGGAAAGCCGTTTCTGGCTCTGTGATTTTTGGTTGAACAGTAAGCTTCAGAATTCTCTCTGTTTAGTATCGCCAGCTGAACTCTCTGCCTGCAAGAACAATTCTTTTTCTGCAAACGCGCTGCCATAGTTTTGAATAAACAACCGTGCGACCGTGGGACTCGATGCAGGTGTTTTTAGCGTTTGAAATCGAGCTGAAAATCTCCCAAATGCATATCATCGCGTTTAGTTTTATACGGTTTGAAAACGCCAGAAATTCAGAGCCCAGCGTTTGCGCAAAGTTGCGCGGAAAAGTTCGTGATTTCCTCGACGTTAGAGATAAAAAATTTGAAGTTTTTGCACTGGTCTTTCGCTTGTAGTGCGTAAACAATCAGGATGATATTATTTGTTTTTAGTAAGAGTCGGCAACTGACGCGGCGTTTTGCTTTTCAGCTCATTAGATCAGCGAAAACAGCTGAGCAATAGTCGCAAAGAGTCCTTGACTTAGTCAAATTTTAATGAAAACAATAGAGTCATATATATAAGCAATATTACTAACCTTGATAGTGTAATTCGTTCGTTACCCGTACAAATGCTCTTACACATTTTTGAATTATTTAAAAGACCCTGAGACTTTGAATCGAAGTTTCAAATTTACAGCTGTCTTGCGTTGCATTCGCTAGAATTTGGCGTATTGGCGTTCAGTTTCAACACGAGTTATTGTTGCAGTCTTTTTGTTCGTCGTTTTTCGAGGGATAATGTTCTCAACAGATTTGTCGTTTCAATTTCTCCGAGGCTGTCTAATTAATCATTATCTGGGGAAGAATACTGGGAGGGACATGCAAACAGACATTTAACGAAGCTTTTCATCTTAAACAAACATTGCCAATAGATCGGCAATGCTTGCTGTTTGTTAAACGGATATTCAATCTATCGCAAGGTTTATTGTTAATACGTTTTATTGTAGCGATTTGTTGAATAGAATTAAGTTCCTCGCAACAATGCATGCATGTAAAAAGCGAGTTCATCACTCAGGAACATAAGATTAAGAATTGGTTGTGAACTAATGTTTGTTTTGCTCGTTTTTCCACACGCGAAACGCATTCAAGTTGACTGTAATTTGAGTTAAAAAGCTCAACAATATACTCACTTCAAATCCCATGAATTTATGTGTATATTATATAAATATATATTTATATTCGGCAGGCTTTGCGCGGGAGTTCGTAATTGTCGCAACGATTTTTTCATATGAATATTACTCACGCGGCAGTGTTCCGATTGCATCTATGTTTATATAACATGCAAACACAGTAAATCATCCATCATTATTCATCAAACACACTCGTGTTCAAAATGAAATATATATTGCTTGTAGGATAATGAAGAAGCTTTGAGTAATAACGCAAGATTTGACATAAATCTTTGATTTATCGCGCTAAACATATTTCTATACCAGCGCGAGTAAGGAAGTTGCTTTCTTATCAGTGGGACTTTCGCGGATCGTGAATAAAAGATCCACATGCATGCGCGCTTTACGCTTCTGCTTCAAATCTTTAACATTCAAACGTTCATGTTTACAAAGTTATTGCAATTAAGGTTCATATCGCGTAGTTTAGGTTTTGAGGGAAAATATATCTTTCGTGAATCTTAAACAATTTTTTTGTTGCATGCATTCGTCTATTATATATGAAAAACAAAATTAATCAACAGCTTTCCCATTATTAATTTCACGTAAAAACGGCCAAAATCTTTGATTCCCCTTTCAAATACAACAAATATTAACTGCTTTATTCACCATAATGCAGTAGCCGAGATTTGTTTCTTCATAATCGCTTATGTAAATATAGTTTTAATCTGGAAGAACTGTTAACTATAGGTCACACAAACCTTGCGTAGAAAAGCCACAATTTGGATCTAACAACGCTCCGACCATTCCTTCAAGGAGATCCTGATTATCGGATCCTTTCCTCGGCGTCCGAGTCTTTCCTCTGTTCTGCAAGCCGTTCAAACCGCTATTGTTCAACCGTCGTTCTTTTGAACGCCTGTTTTGGAACCAAACTTGAATGACTCTCATGGACAATCCGGTCTCCTGAGCGAGTTTCTCCCGCATGTGTCGCGTCGGTTTCGGAGTGGCTGCAAAAGCTGCTTTGAGGATTTCCAATTGCTTCGCCTTTATGGTGGTTCGCGGTCCTCTTCGTTTGCCGTTCGGCCCGTTTTCACCGTCTTCGTCTAGCATCGAGTCTTCTTCATCTTTCGGGGCATCGTCGCTCTCCGTCTCTGTTTTCTCTGGCGACTCTGAACCTGTTAAAAAAGAGAGGAACATTAAATCTTGCTTACCCAACGTGGACGATCTCTGAATCGTAGTCCGTCTTCGTATACATTCGAATTCGTGAATATCTGGATCCAATTTCGTGTCTTTTCCAACGCATCCTGGCTGAAGACGAGAGGATAAATTATTGGTGTTTTTCAATTCTTTTCGGAAATATATGGTTTTTATATCCGCATGCTTCAATACATATATAAACAATCTGTAGATTTTGTACTTTAAATGCGAAGGTCCTTTTTGTATTGACACGTTCAAACGTGGGCACATTGACGTCTATAACTGCCTTTTTCAAAGCGTCCGATTTTAATTTCAAAGAACCAAGTTCCCTGAACATTTCCGTTCTCAGGGTAGGTAATATAATTTCGAAATACACTTCCTTTGTGGTCGTATTTTCCACATGGGGAAGGTTACCCTCGCGCGTATAGATTTTTCCTTCTGTGGAGTGCAATTTTAACTTTTTATACTGCCAAGGTTAACTATATTCAAAACGCGGAAGAGTTCACGCAAGTTTTCGTCATATAGTGTAATAGATACGCTGAAAATGTCTATGCGCAATAGGATCTAGTTTGATAATACCCAACTTGGAACAATTTTGTTTGATCGTAGAAGTGATACATCCATGTATACTAGTCTTAAATACCCGGATTCATGATTGATTGAGTTCTCACTAAGTATATATGAATAAATGGGCGACGTCGTTTTTATATCCCAATGTTGAAATACAGGATCATAAAGCTACTGTGGACTCAACCCTATATCCATCGTTGTTATGTTGAATGTGTACATGCATCGATTAAATCACTTTACATATATATTACCCTAAATGAGCTGTTTCAACCGTTCCAAAGTGAATATACCTGATGGAAAAACCTGAACTGCAATTCCCTCACATGTATATTCACTTCATGCGATGATGAACATGAATAAAATCCGCTAAAAACTTATGATTGTAATCGTGCGTCAGTTAGAAGCAAGAGTTGTTTATATTTTGAGCTGTTCAATGTGAAAATTCGCTTCAAAAGACCGTCGGTTCAAAAGTCTACGCGTGTTCAACTGCTTCTAAATAAATTCAAATGATTAATGTCCAAGGAAGGAGCTTACACAACTACCTGCCCAACTGCTTGCACCTAATTTAAGTTTTCCCTTTATTATTTACTTACCAGATTTTATAAGCTTGTTAATTTTTTAATATTCATTCGTGGCGCCGTGTAAAATGAATATATTTTGGCATACGAACCTACTATACATCTCACTGCTGTACAAAACGTTTATCGTAGAAACACACAAAACGCGAAATCCATGGTTGTAATGCTTGAAATATATCGTAAGTGAATATGTACTTACTCTCAATTTCCTGTAGTTGCAGATCGTAGTCTTCCTTGCATACGAATTTAGTTCCTCCAACGTGATAAAGCTCGTCGCCAGTGGAGATTTCTTTCAAACACATCGAACAGCAGAAGCATTCGACGTGAAAAACCATACCTTTGGCTCGACGGACTAAGTTTGTCGGCAAAATTCCCTGATCGCAGCCCGAACACCTTGTTCCATAACGCCTATACAATATATAGAAACAATGTTTATAATTTGCTGATACAATCTATATGTGTTCCGCGCGGTTGTCAGAGTTTTAACTAAACAAGTTCGAAGAAAACCTAACAGGATTGACATATTTCCTCCGCGGGCGAAATTGGCGTTAGTTCTCATCGAATTTATCATCAAAGACTTGCATAGAAGTTAACTGCACTTGCCTGTAAAAATCCTTAGCGCAATAGAGCTTGCCCTCTCGTGAGTAACATTTCTCGGTAAGTTGAAGTTTACACTCGTCACATTGGAGACATTTTGTGTGCCACATACAGTCCAAAACCTTCAGCAAGTATTTGTCGGAAATTGGTAAGTTACAGCCCGTACACTGAACCATGGTTTCACCGTTCGACCTTGTGTCTTGAGCGCGCGCGCTGTAAATTTCGAGTGAGGTTGTGTCAGAGTGTGTGTGTCTTCAATACTGCTTGCATTCCAAGTGGAGCAGTTTGTTTTCACAAATTTATGCCTATAGAACGCTTAACTCTTTTATTTCGCGCGATAGGTGGCTGCTCCGCCTCTATCCAGCTGTCTCGCTCATAAAAATTCAGAATATATCAAAACGCGGCGTGAGCATGCAATTTGAATAACCAGTCATTTTTAACACTCGTCTCGGCTTTGCGATACCGTTTGCGAACGACTTGCAGCACAGTTTCACATTCGCTCGTGAGGATGGCCACCAGTTCGGAGGACTCCTTAATAATGCTTGTTGTTCAAATTTTTTAACCCTCGGCATACTGTGTGTGTTTTTCCCTATAACCAATCGCTGTGGAGGTCCTGTAGGTTTATTTCTATCATCGACGTGCTAGGGGAAAATCTAGTGCTAAGTTGTGGCCCACTCGTTGTCTCGTTTATCTTTTGTGCAAAATTTCAAATCTCGTGCCAGCCGTTAGCGTTTGAGGGCAGTTTGATACGGATGAACTTTACTTGGCCTTCGGACTTGTAGCACGGCTGTCAATCAATGCAAATTAGCCTTCATTGACAAGGCAGCTAAGATCACAGGGGAACCGACAATAATACCAGATATCTTTGCTGTATCTTTGCATTCTGTTGGCAAATACTTTGGGCAAATGATGCCTGAAGCAAACCTCCCAACTAAATCTTAACTCCGGTGCCCAAACTTTGAATAAAAACTTGGCTTTGCCTCATTTCCGCTTCGTGGGCATCGTAAAAAGTAACAAAGTTTCTCCCGATCTATTTGACATTCATGTATATTCAAAGGCTCTCAAACCGAGAGCGGCAAACAAGAAAATGTAACGAAAGTTGAGAACGTGTACATACAAGGACGTACAATCTTACGAAATGTTTATTACTATTGTTGCTCTACATTGTCCCGACGATTTCCGGTCAAAAACCAACTCATTGTTCGCTAATTGAAATGTTTGAAAATTCAGCAGGAACAAGGCTCTGAGGAAGACTAGAAAATTCCGAAGTTACAGTTCCTCTTTTCCCGCAGCACGACACTGTGACAACTCGGAGAGAGGGTTGTGCCGTTTAAACACACGGTCACAGCTATATCGGTTTTTTTCATTTACCTATCATGGTATTCGGTTTTTCGTCTGAACTCTTTCAAACACTCTTGTTGGAAATTGGTGCGTTATAACACCATAAATAGACTTGGCTTCTCTTCCAATGTTCATAAAAGCGATTTAGTTTTTACTGTCGGCTTAAAATGGTTGCTTCCTTTTCGCCTTAGCTCTTCTAAACGTCCTCCTAAGAACGTTGACGTTTTCATTTATCCCCCAAACGCCGAATTTTGTTTGTCAAATGTGTTCCTAGTTAGTCCTAGTTAGAGTTGGATTTCCCAGTGCTCATTTCGAATCACTTTAGAGAGATATTAAACGGATGGGCTCAGTTACATTTAAAACGTAATCCATATCTTGTTATATCATTTGTCGTTCATATGTCTCGAAAAAGTTCAAATGTCCAACAACACACGATGGTTTTGCCGAAATGCATCTTCGTTTGTTCACAATTAACTTGTGTGCTGTTCCAACCTGTTGGCTTTGTTGCACTAAAGTTGCGAATATATCAACCTTTTCCTCACATATAACTTACACTTGAAGCAATTTTAGCATCAGCGCTATCGTCTGTTGCAAATTTGGCTTTTTATTTTTCACTCATGCGATTAGAGTGAACTCAGTATGAGGCGAAAGAATTCAACGGAAAACACTCAAATACGATACATCATTTCCTTGGCTTATAATTTGATACATAAGAGGAAATCTGCATGAAGAAAAACAACCTTTTTAAACAACTTTCTGGCATCATTGTGTTTTCTGTGCGGGTTTTTGATTCTTTCTTCCTAAAGATACTGTATGATAACACGCGTCTAGACTCTATAGGATCCTAACTATAGATTCTATACAGCAGCTGCAAACTCTTTTCACACAATTGGCAACGAGTGGTTCTTATTGTACAGGCACAATCTTCACTTCTTCAAACGACGGACGTTTTCAATATAGTACATTTGTATGCATTGATGTCTGCATTGCACTGGCATGATAAAGAAACGTTCAAGTTATTACAAACATGATTCAATTTAATCATTTGTGTTTTACATATAGAGTTCGATTGAAAATATATTTGAGTTCTTCTAGTTCGTTTGGATGTGCTTTAGATAAATTTCCTGTGCAAAACGATTTTATATTTACGTCTTTTGTGCCCTAAAGTACTCGGCACTTGTCGAGATCTATGCCAACTCTTATGCACTTTGCTATTGTGAAACGATGTACAAAAAGAATGCATCTGATATTAGTTTGGTTTTACATATATTTTTACTATTTCATCAACAAAACTCCTCGTCTTCTGGTCTAGTTCCATGTTAATGTTTTTTGAGGGCCAATTACAATTTTGTATATGAATAATTGTGGCAATTTCATGCAAGCGGAACCTTTATATATAGTTTATTTGTGTGGTTTTTATGAAATACGTTCAAATATAATATTCTCTCTGTTTGCTCAGGAATATAGAACCGTATGTTTCATTAAAGACACAAATTTCAAACGTATATAGATTGCAAAAACGCAATGTACTGTGTTAACTTTGAAGACGGAAATTAACTCCTTAGGTTTTGTGAAAGTGAATATTGAAGATAGAACTTAGTTTTTAACTTTTCATCTATGCTTTATGACATTTTAAATTGTGTATATAATACAGTTCACAATAACTAAACAGCATAGTATCATCTCTATATGTTATGTGAACAGGTAAACAAACAATATAATTTTTGTTGATATAGTTCACTGTTCGTATATATTATAACTCGAATTACTTTTCCGTCCTTTGGCTTTGGCGAAGTTCAACACATCAAATAGTCTAAGGCCTTGATGCCGTGCTGCAAAAGTATTAATCTTTGAAATAGAACAGAAGCCAGGCATACTTCGAATGGAGGGCAATATTTTTTAACACTGACTATATTTCGATTGTATTAAAATCTGTTCAACTCATAATTGAAATATACCGTGCAAATTACTTAGGACAGATTGTTTACCGCGTAGATTATTGTTTGCAAAATATTGCCTGCCTTATTAAAATTGGTTTGGCTTAATAAGTCCAATATATGATATCTATATATAAAACTTTCCTATCAACAATTTTGTGAGATATTGTGCTGCGCGTAACTCGATAATTTTTCTCATTTTGTGGGCCATGTGTGCTTGTATACAGACTGCGTTTTTTATGCTAATTAGATAGAGTTTTCAAGAGGAACTTCTCTAATGTCTGATACTGATTATTTCACTATATATATATTGAGCAAGACCATATTAGAAACGATTTATAATCGAAAAGGTTGTGCCCTCAGAACTCAGTGTTAACACTCGTGCAGTCAGCCGAGGGAGAGGATTAATGATTTGTCATTACGAATGCCTTGTTGATGTAGATCATTAGGAGTGTTCTAAGCTGCTAACCTAGAACTGAATGAACGCTAGAAAACATATGTTCGAATATCTATTAACATTTTATGCATCAAATATACGTAAATTAGTTATGGTGTAAATTTAACAATAAAAAGGGGACATCATTCTTATCAATAGGCGGCTGGAAATCAAAATGGCTTGTGTAGTTTACTTGCCTTCAGAACTGTAAAACGTTGAAAGCAACCTAAATATTTGAAAGAATTTCGTACGAGTTTAAGTGGAAACGTATTCATATTATTCAGGAGAAAGAAGCTGTCTTTTTCGTTGATTATAAAGTTCGATGATATACGTCTTTATAATGTATGCAGTCGACGAATATAGATAAGATTTTCTCAAGGGTGTAAATGAAGTGTTTTGATTTTGTCCAAGGCAGCTGCTCCGTTCTTCAACTTCGCTTATGGCAAAGGGCGGAATATAAATGGAGTATTATCGTTTGATGTATTCATGTTTGGAGCCTGTTTATGCGTTTATATGTCAGGATAATTACCGGGTTACCAAAGTGTTTGATGGCTTTGCAATCTACACATATGTCGGTCCCCTTTTAAATTTCTTTAATATCGATAAACAAGCCCTCTGTACGTGCATCTTAGGCGAAACTGTATATAAGTAATTACCTCAGATCTTAAAAGCATGCCTGTAACTATTTTGAGAGTGTAACCAAGGCTTTTTAGCATTGGCATTTGTTAAACTGATAAATTTCTATGTTCGTGAATGCCATCTTTCGTTGACAATCGTGAAGCTGTGTTTTGTATAGCTTTGTTTATATTTCATATCAGCAAGAGTGTCTGTTCAACACTTCCAAATTTAGTGATTTTTTTAGCTACTGCGTGTAAAATATGTATGCATTATCTAACACTGTGATTATAGCTACTTATTTCATGCAATACTCAGAACTATTATTAACTTACTTTCTTCCAAAAGAAATTAGGCGAAAGCTTTCTTCTTGCTATATCTATATACGAAAGATTGAGAGCGTCCTCGCGTATCACGATTGCCATTGTTAGGCGTATATGCATAGTAATTCACACTACGAAATCTATCTTAAAAGTAGAATACAAAAACTAAAATCCTTCCAACAAGTTATACGCGTTTTGTTTTCCTAAATGCCATAAACACAGTTCATTTACTTTTGGTTTCTTGTCATCTCACAACGAAGGCAAAACGTACGTGGAAAAATATCTCACAAGCTCTAGGATGCTTTTAAGACAAGATTCAAATCGCTTTTGCAAAGGATTTCTCGTATTACTAATCGCCTCACAGGCACACAGCGACTTCAAGATGCGTGCCAGAAGCTTTCAAAAGATTCCTGTTAGGTTTAGAACTGTTTCTATTCTCTATAAAGTCCATAATTCATTTCGTATTTATAGCGAATTGTTTAAAGTTGTGCGGAATATCTTTTTGTACATGACAGAGAGTCAGAGACTGGCCTGGCGCTTGTGTTGTTGTAAAACCGTTTCTTTGCAGTGTGTACGTCAGTATGGTCTTGCTGGGTGGGTGAATGGTCATATAGCGACAGTCGACTGTGGGTCCTGACGTTGCTGTTTCCCTGTGACAGCGGAAATTAGCCAAGTTACTCTCATGAGGCTCAAACTTGCGACAAAGAATTTTTACTGCTTGAAGTGCCTTTCGCAGTAGGGGTGGGGTGCTATTGAAGAAGCACTGTTTTTCTCCAGGATCGTGGATGCTGAGAGGCGTAAAGAATTTGGCATTTTGCAAATAAGTGACTCCAAATATAGTTGTCTATCAAACATATATAGTTGTGTATCTCAGTTTGTGACCTCCCCGTGCCTCCAAATACGCAGCTTAAATACTACATGCAAAGTTGGATGTAAAGTGAAGCTGTAAAGTATCAGGTAATTTAAGGCCACTTGCCTTAAATAACCTGATATTTTAGAGATTTTAAATCTTGTATAGAGGCCTAGGTGGTACTAGGTATTCTTGAATGTGAGAAGTGACTGATGTTGTACAGAACTCACTGCTGAGTTAAGCATAGTTAGATCATGCAGAGGTGGTACATGTTCTAGAATGTGAGCTATCTTAAAGTGATCTGATGTTGTTATGGCAGAATTCACTGTTGGGTTAAGCATGGTTAGATCAAAAGTGGAACATGTTCTCAAGTGAGAGTTATCTTTAAAAAAATCTGCTCTGAGCATGTTCTTGGTTAAAGTCATTTCTCTTCGGATTTCTCGGCTGACAAGTCAATTTCAACCTCGGTTGGAGATTGACCTCATGGCTAATGTCCCAATGAATGAAAATCATTGGTTTTCACTTAGTTCTTACTCTAATGGCCGGCAATGACTAGCATTAGGTGATTGAATTCGGAATTTAACTACCGCCTAAGGAATAAGGTGATAATCGGGTAATCATAAAACTTCGGAAGACTATTTACCAAAATAGGAGCGTTCAGATATTCTGTAAGAATGACTATACATGCATAGACGTATACAGTACGATGGAAATACCAATGTTTCCGGTATCTTAGAGTTTTACTCTTAGAGTTTACATACATGGCCATCGTAAAACAATCACTGCATGATTTAATACATTGGTGTTGTGGAAAATGCGAGAAACAATTTCATGTTACAAGCAAACTGTTTAGGTAATTATTTGAAGATCATTTTACTGTGGGGTATTGTGTTTACAACATGCATTCTAAAGCAAACAAACAAGGTTTTTGTGTACTTTACAATGTTTAAATTGTTCAATTATCGGCTCATGTTAGCTTTTCAATTAGTAGATTAGCAGCTTTTCCGCATCGATTTCCTGCGGTTCGTTCTGCAATTGTTCAACTGCGAAAATCAATGTGTACTGTAAGCCATGAGTTTGGGATACGTCAGCCTGAAATCTCGGATACAACTGAGAGCTATATTTCTTTATGCGAATTTCCATCGATGCTTATTTTTTCATGCTTGAACTGTACATTTCCTTTCTCAGTTGGCTCTCGTGTTTTGACCAAACAAAATGGTAAAAAAATGCAATAAGCGAAGGATTTTCATCGATAAAAACGGTGGAGCGGAACTGGGCTATTCCAAGCTATCTTTTGCCGGAATCTCACACAAAACATATATGACTGGAGAGACGTAATAAAGTATAGCGTGACATGAATTTAAACATTTTTAAGTCTAAATGTAGGACATGTATTTTTTATCAAAAAAACATTCAGACTGATAAGGAACTTTCAATTACGGACTATAACGTCCACTTAGAACCTACACGAAGCAACATTAGGAATACAAACATTGATTTAGAGCGTGCAAAGCTTCAATTAGGGGAGGGGCGAATGTTTATTTAGATGAACAAGACGCATTCGTTCACAGTGAAATATATCCATATATAGGACCGAAACGATATGCAAGTTGCAGAATCAGGAGAATAGAGAATATATATTATAATATCAGTAATAATCTTAAACCGAAAAAACTGAACGGCGTTCTCCAAGCTGGACAGAAATCCACAAAGCATTGAGCCATTGAATTAACATTTCAATGTTCGTGCATTCGTTTTCATTAAGTCAGCTAATATATTCTCCGGTATAGGCTTTTGTTGCATCCACCTGTAGGAGCTCCCCAGGACATGATAAACCCGCAGTGCGCGCCTTTCAACTGAAATGCGGGGAGCTTTAAGCCCCATAGACAGCGGTGACCTTCAACACACGTCGTTGTTCGTCACTGCATGAGGTTAACTACGGAGCATCCCTTTTTAGTGTAGAATTTGTCCCATTAAAATTACGCAAGATTCGATTCGTTTTCTTCACTCATTTCAACCGTTTTATCTTCAAATTGAGTCGCTCTTCTGGTAGTTCCTTACCAAAGTCAATTGTGACGTGATTTTGTCCGGAAAGCAGTTGTCAGGAAATTATAACCATTTCCAGCAAGTTGAAAATGTGGAAATAAAGCTTAAAATCGATGTAAAACAAAGCTAGTATTTCAGAACAATAGTATCGTTTTAATTCAGGTAGTTTATCTTATTATACATCAGACAAACAGGAAAGATTTCACTACTTAACGATTTTCCAAACAAATAGTTTTATTGTGTGTGTTTTACGAGTGATCTTTAAAACAGCTGGTGGTTAATGGTTCTCGTTTGATAAAGCTTTATATTTTTGTTACTCCTCATAATGTCCACGCAAATTGCATTTATCGCTTCTAAACTGTCTCCCCTAGAAGTCTAGCAAGGATCATCTTTTATAATGCATCGGTACTAAGGCCAAAACTAAAACTACAAAGCTGTAAATAGGATTCTTCCATTCGAGGGGAAAAGCACGCGCTTATAAATAAAATTCACTTTCTTATATCAGGGAACCGCACGGTTTTCCCAGCACAAATTTAATCTCGTGCTGAAATATGGAACGCGCTAGAAAACCTCCTGACACCCCTTACGCACAAATTAGGTATAACTTTAAGTAAAACATACACGACAGTACAAAAGGCCGTTGCAATTTGCTACATTTGAAACAATGTAATGATGCATCACTGGTTGATGTAGTGTTTCTCTGGCTGCGTTAGCAAACATCCTTTATTCTTTTTAGCCAAAATAATCCGCGGGTATAAGATACGTTTAAACAATGATTGCGAGATATGTCGAAACCTTAAAGTTACTGCATGCCGTTCGTGTTGCGCTTGTAATGATATTTGGAAAATTCTGGAAGAGCGATGTTTCGGATGAAGGATTCTCTGCGTCCCTCGCTTTGGTTCGTTGCCATGGCAGCCTGGATACCATGGTTATTTGGTTGCAAAACTTCGTGTGGCCATAACTTGGTTTGTCAATTGCGTCGCAGATGAGGGATCGTTTTAAGATACCTTTACCTCAAAACGATTTCTCAGAGCTGATTTCGGCTTCAGGCCGATGTTAAAAAGCAGTGTTTGATGTCGTCATGCTGACGTTTGCGGCTATTTCAAATGTCATTAACATGCACCTTGATTGACTCCACAAACCCCTTCGTCTGAACTAACTCTCGCAAAAGGAAATATTCACAGACCAATCTGCAATGAGTGGTTTAGATCAAATTTTAGATAAGAAAGAGAAAAACGTTATTGGTTTAATACTGACTATATCACAATCGAATATTGTGGCAGTGTTCTTCCCCCCAATGCCTTTACCGCTGAACACCGTGAATCCGTGATATCCATGAAGATCCATGGAACTACACGCTACCCCAAACAACTGTACCCAAACATCCCCATGAAATTTGCAAGAGCAGATTTTTACAAGACCAGATTTTCTACAAACATTTATTTCAGCTAGCGATCCAGGCTTCTATTCATACCAGTCTATAATTTCCAATAATTTAAGCTGTGGTCATGCATACCAGAGTCTTCTATACCATGGATTCAAACTGCCGATAATATATATACAGTAGAATATTCGAAGATCACAACGTAATTTCGGACACAGAGTGATGTTGTGTCACAAGAATGTAGGTGAGAATGAATCCCGTCTTACTATTGTGTTATATATTTTTCAAAAACATGCACAGAGGACAAATGAACCAGGTGTCATAATGTTGACCATGTGGAAGACAGACCAGATGGCAGAAAACAACGGTGTGTAAATTTAGCATAATCTTTTCTGTGGAAATTACATTGTGATGAAGTGCATGGGCAGCGTTGAGCACTCTCATATATGATGTTTTGCATCTTCCAATTAGAGTCCTGAGACTAAAAGAGTTGGATGTAGGCAGTCGTACTGCCGTCTCTCCACGATGGATCTCCGACGACTTTCGCCCGACAAAGAGGGCAAGTCTGTTCACGATCAAACCATAGAGATATGCAGTCATCACAGAACGTGTGCTGAAATTTTAAAGAAGATTTATGTGAGGTGATCTGACGGGGTGAGTTTTCTGCTTAGTAGAGCATGGTTAGATTATGCAGAGGTGGTACATGTTCTTGAATGTGAGCTATCTTAAAGTGATCTGATGTTGTACAGAACTCACTGCTGAGTTAAGCATGGTTCAGCCATGTTAAGGTGGTACATGTTCTCGAGTGTTTCACAGCGCAGGTTCATTTGATGCAAGGTAAAGAATATTCCTTACCTTACAGGATCGTAATGAAATTGCTCTAGAGAACTCCTCTTGACAGATAGGACAAATATTTCCCAATTTATTTATTTGTTCTTTTGACGCAGCGGTACCGTATTGCTACAGAAGAGAGCAGAACTCACAGCTCCTTGTACTTTCGGTGCAAAAAATAAAATATGAATCCTGGAATAAGACACAATCTATAGTCTCTAGAGGCTAGAGCATGCAAAAACTTACGACATCACATTGAAATGTTTTCACAGCAGAGTACAGATCCCTGAGCTTTGTTCTTATAATTCGTGCCTGGAACAGAACGATTATCATGAACGAATGAACAATCTTTATATAACTTCGTTTATAGAGTCGACGAAGAATGGATGTGAGCTTACTTTTAAGAGAAAGTAGAAAGCAGTTGAAAAAATGGCGAAATATTCTCCACCAATATTGTAATTCGTGAAATACTGGTACCACAGAGGGATTGGCGTGAGTATACGATAAAATTGCGACGTATTTTCCAATAACAAATAATATTTTCCCTGAAATTTGAAGTACAATTAAGATCCATTGCATGTGTAGACATTCATAGCGTGATTTTATGCTAAATTAAAATCAATTTACACCACGGAGTCGATTTGAACGAAAAACGAAACAAGCTCTTACTCTGTTTTTGAAAGGCAAAATTCTTTTATGTACAATTATAACCAAGGATTTTAAAGCCATTGTGACCATTCGAATTACATAATCTAGAGAAATGGAAAAGCACGTTGCTTATCACTGAAATAGTCGAGTTTTTTTTTAACATCAAACTGGCAAACAGTTTTATCTCTAGCGACGCATTTCTCGTTTATTCTCACCTGTGATTAGAACGCACCAAAATACTACCCACACATCAAGTTTGGAGAAATTTGGAAGTTGAAAGACCAAACTGAAATGGAGGAATGAAATTCAAGGCTTTTAAGAAAGACGTGTTTAATATGAGGTATGTTTAAGGTTGATGCAGAGCTTGCCAATGGTCTCCCAGTTGTTCAAAGTCCGTTGGAGTTGTGACAAGTTTCCATTTGCCTGACTGGTTTATATCTGTGGATTCAAGCTTACCATCGCTGTAGTTTCTGGCTGTGGAATACATAGTAGATGAAACAAACATTCCCACAGAGAAATAGGATTGTCCAAACAGAGATTCTGTTCAGGCGTTTATCCTGAAACAAAAACAGAAGCCAAGCAATGATGATTGCCATTGTCATGATCAGGAGACTTTATTTGTCCTGAAGTTAAAAAGACTTTTGGCAGTAAGTAGATTTTATCAGCATTTCTTAGCATGGTAAACCAGGAAACCATGACCAGTGCATGAATGTAGCCCTCCTACACCTTATTCCATTTAGGAATGCAACATCCAAACACTGGTTGATATGTAATGACTGCATGCATGCTCTTACCTTTAGGGACACTTGGCGTTTAATGGTGTTGTTTGCGTGAAGGAATGTCCCTGTCAGACCTACGCCAACAAGGATACCTGGAGAAGAGTTATCCCAAATACGTTTTTAATAACTGCAGAGTTTACCTGTTGACTGGCGGTACCAGAGCAAGCATTAAGGAAGCTGTCAGGTATGAGTTATTATAACAAGATATATAGTATATAAGGTGATGGTACCATCATCTTAGTCTGGATGACTGGCATATACTGGTACCATCACCTGGTAATACTATACCATCAAACCACCATCATCACCTACCACTAAACTTAAAATATAGTATTATGCTACAACTAGGGGCATTGCCAATTAATCGATTACTGGAACTCGGGTTTTATGTTAGCTCTAAGTTCTAACGATGTTATAACGACCCTAATCACCGTACCCAATCGATGATCCCACATGATCCTACTAAGTAACAGCAGCAAAAATGGTACACTATTCTCTATCCATTTAATAGTCCCCTGGAACTCCATTCTATCCCCATTCGTTCTTCCATTTCCATTGCCATTGTTCTGGGAGCTGGTGTTGTCATTTGGTGTTGAATCGAAATCTGACTGACTACTATTGCTAGTCTCAACTGTACTGTGATGTCTGGAAAGTACACGAGGATGTTCCCTGGTCTCCTCTCCTTCACCGATATCGACGTAGACTGTGTTGGAAATATTTTCACGATGAATCTCGCCATCGCTGTAACTGGGTCTTGATGGCGGTCCGAAGCCAAGACCTAATTCTCGTATCACCGATGTTAACGGCTCTAGATGAGAGGAAAGATTGATCTGTCCGTCTCCCCGCGTGTACGACCAGCTGGCCGACCGAGAATGGCTCGAACGCGGACTAAAATGGCCAGAGAAACCTGTAACATCCGAAGAACTTGTAGCCATTTTGGGAAAATATTTGTATACCGGGTTTTTCACTCCAAAAGCAACTTGTTGCTACGAGATTTATCCCAGGGAAATGGTACCCTCTTGGGCTATTTTACCCGACAAGTTTAGAAAATGATTTTAATGAAACAAAAAGGAGCTAAAAATGAAAAACCCAAAATCTAAGAGGTGGCCAAATACAAAAAGTGATATTTAAACGGCCATATTTCGATCCTATTTCGGAATAATCAACATTAGATTGAACGCAATCCAGTTTTGATATCAGATCAGTATTAATGCACTGAACCTATAAAAATTTCTCTGGATGGATAAAGAACATCAATCCCCGATGAGCTATATGGATCAGTTCGTTAAAGCCATTTCATCCATGCAAGATAAAGTACCTCATTAAAGCATGAGTGTTGAAATTTGAAAATGTTCCGCCCCCCCAGGTAATCCTTTCAGTCTTTGATTTTTTAAGTATGGAAAAATCTACATCAAAAAAGCGAAAAAAGGCTAAGAAGAGAAGCCGATCTTCTTCACCAAGTAGCGAAGATGAAAAATACAAGAAAAGACGACATGGCCAAGGTGATGTTAGTGGAAAAAGTTGGGATGGGAGGAGAAGAAAGGACAGTTTGAGTGGTTCAAGTGATTCATCATCTTCTGAGAGCGACCAGGAAAAAATACAGAAGAAAAGACGGAAACTTAAGAAGAAGGAGAAAAAGAAACGGAAGGATAAACAGAAAAGGGATAAACGAGAGAAGAGAAAGAAAAGAGGAAAGGAGAGACAAGATGCAAGTGAATTGTCAGGAACAGTTGTTACAGGTGAAGGTATGAGACCACCACAAGCCAACAAATATATTTGGTTTCCAGAAGTACAATGGGATGTACACTCTCAAGTGTGAACTGGCTATCCTCATGAAAATATTTCATTGTGTGGAACAAAATCTATTTGTTAGCTGTATCTTGTCTTTGAGTAAAGAATTGTATACAAAATATCACCTTATTAAATATCTCGGTTTTATCCTGAAAATAGAGATGGTGACTGTTTCAATGCCGCCAGAAAATCAAGCACTGAATGAGTCATCCAAGAGGTGGGTGAATATCATGAGTTTAAACATAGCTCTAGTTCACAGCAGTTGACTGTTCGCTAAAATCTCATGCTTCTGTCTCAAGCCGGACCAAATCTCATGCTTCTGTCTCAAGCCGGACCAAATCTCATGCTTCTGTCTCAAGCCGGACCAGAAACCAGCCAAAAGAATAATGCATGTGGACAGAGGCGTAGCTATGCATGTTTGTGATGTCCTCCATGCAAGGTTGATGCTGAATAAGAATTTTTTTTTAAATTTCAAGCCTCTGGAAATGGCCTATTTTGAGCTTGAATGGCCTTAAATATTCAGAAATAATCGAGCATGCATTACATCTGATGCTGTTTATATATTTTTTTACCAATAACAAAGCATTTTAGCCAACTTTTTAACATTGTTATAATTATTGGGGGGGTGTCAGATCGCCCAGGTTGTCACACCCCAGAATGGAAAATTCATTTTCTATGTACTAATTTGTTTCCAGGCGGCCCATGGTCCCAATGACCAAAGAAGAGTATGAGAAACAGCAGAGCCAGGTCAGACGAGTTTTTGATCCAGAAACAGGAAGACACAGGTATTGATTTTTCCCAATTATATTGCAAGACAGGTTTTCCTTGTTGTTTAAGCCTAAATAAGGCTGAATTGTTTTGTAGGTTGGTGAAAGGTGATGGGGAAATCATTGAGGAGGTAGTAAGTTATCAAAGACACAAGGAAATTAACAAGGTGAGGTCATGTATCACTTGAAGTTTATTATAAATTAACAATTTTTATTTTCATGCATATCATAAAAATATAATTTATAAATGATCACCATTTTTTCTATTGATTTACAGCTTGCAACTTCTGGTGATGGGGCAGCATTTCAAAAATCTCTTGGATTGCATAAATGATCTTTTTCCCGTAAGTTGAAACTCATCAACGCTACTTATTAGTGTCTCAAACATATCATTGCTTCAACCAATTATCTGTTACCACTGTGTTAGTTTGTTAACAATGCTAGTGATTGTACCATGTCAATACTCTCTCGACTTCTTAATTATTCAGCTTGTTATGTCTTAATGAACTTTGTAATCCTCAACATGTAAACATCTTAAGACTTCATGTGATCATCTACAACGCGTTTTTAATTGTTACCACACATTGATACAGACAGACATCCGCTGTATGTGTGTTCATTTGGAACCATTTATCTCATGCTGAATGTGAGCTGGGTCATGTTTCTGTTTCAGGTTGTTTCAGACCAAAGCAATGCTTGTGCTTACTGTTGCGGTAATGATTCTCGTGAATAACGCTCTGAAAAGGTCATCAAAAATCAAAATTAATGTCCACTATCAGGACAGAAAGAAATGAAACCAATGCATTAATCTTACTTCTGAAGATGTACGGCATTTCACCAAGCAGAATTCAAACTGGTCTTGAACCATTTTCAAAATCTTGCGACTGTTGTTTGCTAAGATTGATCGCAGCAGAGTTTGCTGCAATGTGAGAAAATGTTTGCATTTCAGGAGACTCTGACGTCTGAGATCTATGGTACTGCATCACCATACCTTGTTCGGGTGTTGACAGCAGGACACACAGTGTTCATACACACTGCAACACTGGTTTGAAAGACAACTCTTGCAAACAAACTGCTTTGTGGTAACACCTTTTGAAAAACAGCAACCATTGGAAAGCCTATCTGACCATTCACAAATATATCCTAAAGAGAGGATGATGTTAGAGTTTATGATGTCACAATACGTCATTAGCAAAATCATAGTTTTTGAAACTAACCTCTCTCATCTACAATAATCCTTGAGCCTTGTACTGAACTTCGACACTGCTTGAGACCTTTATTGTCAATCCATTGGAAAGTTGGCGTCACTTTACCATCACTTTCATCTAGTTCTTCTGCCTGCGTATATTAAAGATATAAATATTTATTTTCGGAGATAGACATAACCCTTGTAGTTAGATTAGATTTAAAATAAAAACTTGCATAAAGTTTATATCGTATAAGAGTGTACGAGTACGACAAACCTCAAAGTTTTTTACGTAATTTTGCCAAAATATTATCAGACAAAACGCAAAAAGTAGAGCTAGGAACCATCTATAATACAATCTCATTTCTTGAATGCATATTTTACAGAGATCGCTGAGTATAATCCTTTCTTTTCATCCAGATTTCAACCGCATACTCTAGTTTCTATAAACAACGACCATGACTCAACTTTTGATATTTTTCTTATAACAAACTATAGAATCAACGGGGGATACATACACCAAAAGTTGAGGTATATAGCTCAGGGTCGGTACCGGCCGGAACGGGAAATCTTACTTCGGCCGATGTTATCTAATCGGTATATTAGCGATGGAAAGCAGAAAGCACGTGCCCCGGTTGGAAAACACGTGGTTTAATAAATTTCGAAACAATAACAAGATGCTGCAATCTGATTGGCGAACGCTTCGTCACACGCACACGTAAAAACAATAGCAGAAGTTTAGCTCGGGTTTGTTGATTTCGTATTTCGACGAAGATTTTGTTGACGAATACTGCCTAGAAGGGGGTATAATTCTCGGCGATTGCTAGAAATAGAGCAAGAGGGAATCTCAAAGTCTCTTCTCAAGGCATTCCAATGAGTTTGGACACTTTAGCAGCTGCAGCAAGTTTTGTGGAAAGCGAGGACAGCAAGAATAAGCAAAATACACGTGGTATGTCGCCATTAGCCATGTGCCTTTTGGCGTTCGCAGGTGAAATTTCGTAGCGTTATTTCAACGTAATTTCCCTCTTCCTTTTCACAGCAAATGCATCGAAGAGTCCTGTGACTTCTGCTACATCCGATTCGGACTCGGAGAAGGGCAAACGGCGTCCGGGCGGGTAAGTTCAAGTCGTTTCATGACATCCATTTTCAATTTGACTGTAATGAGCACGAAACGTATTCTATGCTTCGTGAGTCAGCTTCGTCTCGTCCTTATAAATATAGCTGCTGTTTGATATATCATTTAATATTTCTCTGTACTTAATTTCAGAGCAGGGACGCGTGAAATTCACAACAGACTTGAAAAAAATCGGTAGGTTTGAGAGGGAAATTTCTATGCTTACAGAGCGGTGTTTTCGTACATGAATTCGGCAGTTTCGGCAAGTTTGCTTGCCTTTGCAAGCGAGAACGACCCTTACAGGCTTGTGAAAGCCTTTGATATTCCAAAATCTACATTCGCGTGCTTTTACAATACAAAGTAAACTCGTTCAATTTATATTGCTGTCGTCAAGACAGTAAGATGACATTGTTTATCTTATATTGCTCTTGCAATTCTTGTTCTTCAAAGTTAATTGAGGAATCAATTTATCTCTTGTGTGTAAATATATATATTTCCTCCTAAGGAGAGCACATTTGAAAATATGCTACGAAACGTTGAGGAAAGAAATTCCTACACTGGAAGACAAAAGAACCTCGAATTTGAATATCCTTAAAAGCGCTTTACGCTACATACAGGTACGTTTAATTTTGGATTGTACAAGCCGGTTGTATGTAAATGTGTCTGTAGTCATGCAAGGTGTTTTAAATATACGGCAATTTAAAATAAACACGGGACTAAACAAGCCAAGGTCAGGAAATTTTAGCCCTATTTATATTTGCAGGAAACTAAATGTCTGACGTTTTATAGTGGCTTCATACTGTGATTTGACACATAAAAATCCAGCCTGAATATCGCATTTGCCGCGTATATTCTTTTTGTGGGATGTACCACAAAATACCATGCATTAAACCTTCATAAATACCCTGTTTCTACAGGTTTTGCTATGGTAGATATTGATTATATTATGTGTTTTTATGCGAGGGGAAATATTTGTATTTACAATGAAGGTGGTATTGTTATGTGGGCGAGTTTGGGCATGTGCAAGCATGCATGAAATTTAAATGCTCTTGAAAAATTTTTAAAAATTTCATAATTGCATGGTAAGGATAATTGCCAGAAATTTCTATGAGTTTCTACATAAATGAAACATGGTAGAAATATAGTAAGAAAGATTGAGGGAAACATGTGTTGTAATTGGATAGGGCAGTTGATATATTGTATTTGTTAAATTGGTTTCATATTTTTTAATATTGAGTTTTTGTAAACAGTCAATGCTTGGTGATTGCAACAGACACTGTTTTATAATTTCCATTGTGTGGACAATCTGATTTCTCAATTCTGAAATCTCTAGAACCTGCCCCAGAACCTGCGCATTGTCATTTGTCAATTTCATATGACCTTCAAGTTGCTAATCACTTACATAAAAGGTCAAATGTCTTTAATAAGTTAGGGGCAATTGTTCTTGATATATAGGGAGGAAGGGAATCTTTGAAAACATGATGGTAATTCCAGGAAGGATAATTATTTTTCTCACTAAATCTTTGTTAACCTTGCCGTTTCACTTTCTAAATGAAAGCAGGAAAAATCAGAACCTTTAAATTTGTTGTGTGGTAACATTGATAGAAACCTTGCCGTTTCACTTTCTAAATGAAAGCAGGAAAAATCAGAACCTTTAAATTTGTTGTGTGGTAACATTGATAGAAAAAAATTATATGCTTCTTTAATAATGTTAAGCCATTTTGGGGTGTCTAATTATGCTGTTAAACACAGCTAAATATTAATACTTTCTCATTCATTTCTCTTAGAATTTGGAGAAAAAAACAAAAGAAGCATTGCGGGAAAAAGAATACCTTAGAAAACACAATTTAAGTCTGCGAGAAAGACTCCAGGTTTTGAGGAATGAAATAAAGATTCTTTTGGAAACAGGTACTAAGAATGGAGTGAAAACTGAAGGACCAGCATCGGGTATCGAGCTACCAGCCCCAATGGATACAGAAGGCGATTCCAATCCAGCCAACATAGAAGCTGCAGTTTCAGTGGCAACCCAAACAATGCCCCTTGTAAAAAAACCTAAAATCGAGATAGCACAAGCCTCTGAAGACGAGGAGATAAATGTCGACGAGGTTACAGAATCGTAAGATTGATGTCTATGAATATGCTCAGCTTATTGTGGCATTTTAATACTTTTTGAATTATATATGGTTGACAAGTGATAACCATGGAATTCTAGTTAGTGAAAACTAATGCTATATTTTATATTAGTCCACTGTCGGTTCTATGACATTAAATTATTAACCTGAGCAAAAATACGGTGACATTAGGGCATATGAACATACCATTTTTAGTAATGTGGGAACTAGACACAATATACATATAAATTGTAACTATAATCACACTTTGCAATAACTTTCTTCCTATTAACAATTTAACTGGAATTTTTTCTAGATAATAGTGTAATAATTCTGTATAAAATACAGTAGTGTCACATCCAGTTAATGTATTATATCATAGTCTTAATGGATCTTAGATTTCCACTGTTTACTTATCATTATATCGGTAAAGCCTTACCATTTTGGCCAATTTTGACCACTTTTTGATTGTTTAAAAACCAACCAAATGTGCTCTAAAGTGCAAGATATTAGTCTTAGGAAGCCATTTTTAACATTTAAAGACAGTTTTTGGACAGTTCAAAAAGTCGTCAAAATTGACCAATTGACGAACTGTTTAAAAGCTGTCTTAAAATGCTAAAAATGCCTTCCTAAGACTAATTCTTTCATTTTAGAGCACATTTGGTCGGTTTTTGGAACACTCAAAAAGTGGTCAAAATTGCCCAAAATGGTAAGGCTTACCCCTTACATTTTTGGTCAATTTTGACGACTTTTTGAACTGTTCAAAAAGTGTCTTAAAATGCCAAAAATGGCTTTTTAACACTAATATCTTTCATTTTAGAGCACATTTGGTAGTTTTTTGGAACACTCAAAAAGTGGTCAAAATTGCCCAAAATGGTAAGACTTACCCCTTACATTTTTGGTCAATTTTGACGACTTTTTGAACTGTTCAAAAAGTGTCTTAAAATGCTAAAAATGGCTTCCTAAAACTAATATCTTTCATTTTAGAGAATATTTGTTGGTGTTTAGACCATTGAAAAATTCGTCAATTTTGACAAAAAAGGTAAGCCTTACCCCTTACTATTTTGGTCAATTTTTGACGACTTTTTGAACTGTTTAAAAACTGTCTTAAAATGCTAAAAATGCTTTCCTAAGACTAATATCTTTCATTTTAGAGAATATTTGTTGGTTTTTAGAACATTGAAAAATTCGTCAATTTTGACAAAAAAGGTAAGCCTTACCCCTTGCCATTTTGGTCAATTTTGACGACTTTTTGAACTATTTAAAAACTGTCATAAAATGCTAAAAATGGCTTCCTAAGACTGATATCTTTCATTTTAGAGCATATTTGGTTGGTTTTTCGAACATTGAAAAATTCGTCAGTTTAGACAAAAAAGGTAAGCCTTACCCCTTACTATTTTGGTCAATTTTTGACGACTTTTTGAACTGTTTAGAAACTGTCTTAAAATGCTAAAAATGCCTTCCTAAGACAAATATCTTTCATTTTAGAGCACATTTGGTCGGTTTTTGGAACACTCAAAAAGTGGTCAAAATTGCCCAAAATGGTAAGGCTTACCCCTTACCATTTTGGTCAATTTTGACAACTTTTTGAACTGTTCAAAAAGTGTCTTAAAATGCTAAAAATGGCTTTCTAAAACAAATATCTTTCATTTTAGAGAATATTTGTTGGTGTTTAGACCATTGAAAAATTCGTCAATTTTGACAAAAAAGGTAAGCCTTACCCCTTACTATTTTGGTCAATTTTTGACGACTTTTTGAACTGTTTAAAAACTGTCTTAAAATGCTAAAAATGCTTTCCTAAGACTAATATCTTTCATTTTAGAGAATATTTGTTGGTTTTTAGAACATTGAAAAATTCGTCAATTTTGACAAAAAAGGTAAGCCTTACCCCTTGCCATTTTGGTCAATTTTGACGACTTTTTGAACTATTTAAAAACTGTCATAAAATGCTAAAAATGGCTTCCTAAGACTGATATCTTTCATTTTAGAGCATATTTGGTTGGTTTTTCGAACATTGAAAAATTCGTCAGTTTAGACAAAAGGTAAGCCTTACCCCTTACTATTTTGGTCAATTTTTGACGACTTTTTGAACTGTTTAGAAACTGTCTTAAAATGCTAAAAATGCCTTCCTAAGACAAATATCCTTCATTTTAGAGCACATTTGGTCGGTTTTTGGAACACTCAAAAAGTGGTCAAAATTGCCCAAAATGGTAAGGCTTACCCCTTACCATTTTGGTCAATTATGACGACTTTTTGAACTGTTTAAACAATTGTCTTAAAATGCTAAAAATGGCTTTCTAAGACTAATATCTTTCATTTTAGAGCACATTTGGTCGGTTTTTGGAACACTCAAAAAGTGGTCAAAATTGCCCAAAATGGTAAGGCTTACCCCTTACCATTTTGGTCAATTTTGACAACTTTTTGAACTGTTCAAAAAGTGTCTTAAAATGCTAAAAATGGCTTTCTAAAACAAATATCTTTCATTTTAGAGAATATTTGTTGGTGTTTAGACCATTGAAAAATTCGTCAATTTTGACAAAAAAGGTAAGCCTTACCCCTTACTATTTTGGTCAATTTTTGCGACTTTTTGAACTGTTTAAAAACTGTCTTAAAATGCTAAAAATGCTTTCCTAAGACTAATATCTTTCATTTTAGAGAATATTTGTTGGTTTTTAGAACATTGAAAAATTCGTCAATTTTGACAAAAAAGGTAAGCCTTACCCCTTGCCATTTTGGTCAATTTTGACGACTTTTTGAACTATTTAAAAACTGTCATAAAATGCTAAAAATGGCTTCCTAAGACTGATATCTTTCATTTTAGAGCATATTTGGTTGGTTTTTCGAACATTGAAAAATTCGTCAGTTTAGACAAAAAAGGTAAGCCTTACCCCTTACTATTTTGGTCAATTTTTGACGACTTTTTGAACTGTTTAGAAACTGTCTTAAAATGCTAAAAATGCCTTCCTAAGACAAATATCTTTCATTTTAGAGCACATTTGGTCGGTTTTTGGAACACTCAAAAAGTGGTCAAAATTGCCCAAAATGGTAAGGCTTACCCCTTACCATTTTGGTCAATTATGACGACTTTTTGAACTGTTTAAACAATTGTCTTAAAATGCTAAAAATGGCTTTTCAAGACTAATATCTTTCGTTTTAGAGCACATTTGGTCGGTTTTTGGAACACTCAAAAAGTGGTCAAAATTGCCCAAAATGGTAAGGCTTACCCCTTACCATTTTGGTCAATTTTGACAACTTTTTGAACTGTTCAGAAAGTGTCTTAATATGCTAAAAATGGCTTTCTAAGACAAATATCCTTCATTTTAGAGCACATTTGGTCGGTTTTTGGAACACTCAAAAAGTGGTCAAAATTGCCCAAAATGGTAAGGCTTACCCCTTACCATTTTGGTCAATTATGACGACTTTTTGAACTGTTTAAACAATTGTCTTAAAATGCTAAAAATGGCTTTCTAAGACTAATATCTTTCATTTTAGAGCACATTTGGTCGGTTTTTGGAACACTCAAAAAGTGGTCAAAATTGCCCAAAATGGTAAGGCTTACCCCTTACCATTTTGGTCAATTTTGACAACTTTTTGAACTGTTCAAAAAGTGTCTTAAAATGCTAAAAATGGCTTTCTAAAACAAATATCTTTCATTTTAGAGAATATTTGTTGGTGTTTAGACCATTGAAAAATTCGTCAATTTTGACAAAAAAGGTAAGCCTTACCCCTTACTATTTTGGTCAATTTTTGCGACTTTTTGAACTGTTTAAAAACTGTCTTAAAATGCTAAAAATGCTTTCCTAAGACTAATATCTTTCATTTTAGAGAATATTTGTTGGTTTTTAGAACATTGAAAAATTCGTCAATTTTGACAAAAAAGGTAAGCCTTACCCCTTGCCATTTTGGTCAATTTTGACGACTTTTTGAACTATTTAAAAACTGTCATAAAATGCTAAAAATGGCTTCCTAAGACTGATATCTTTCATTTTAGAGCATATTTGGTTGGTTTTTCGAACATTGAAAAATTCGTCAGTTTAGACAAAAAAGGTAAGCCTTACCCCTTACTATTTTGGTCAATTTTTGACGACTTTTTGAACTGTTTAGAAACTGTCTTAAAATGCTAAAAATGCCTTCCTAAGACAAATATCTTTCATTTTAGAGCACATTTGGTCGGTTTTTGGAACACTCAAAAAGTGGTCAAAATTGCCCAAAATGGTAAGGCTTACCCCTTACCATTTTGGTCAATTATGACGACTTTTTGAACTGTTTAAACAATTGTCTTAAAATGCTAAAAATGGCTTTTCAAGACTAATATCTTTCGTTTTAGAGCACATTTGGTCGGTTTTTGGAACACTCAAAAAGTGGTCAAAATTGCCCAAAATGGTAAGGCTTACCCCTTACCATTTTGGTCAATTTTGACAACTTTTTGAACTGTTCAGAAAGTGTCTTAATATGCTAAAAATGGCTTTCTAAGACAAATATCTTTCATTTTAGAGGACATTTAGTCGGTTTTTGGAACACTCAAAAAGTGGTCAAAATTGCCCAAAATGGTAAGGCTTACCTCTTACCATTTTGGTCAATTATGACGACTTTTTGAACTGTTTAAACAATTGTCTTAAAATGCTAAAAATGGCTTTCTAAGACTAATATCTTTCATTTTAGAGCACATTTGGTCGGTTTTTGGAACACTCAAAAAGTGGTCAAAATTGCCCAAAATGGTAAGGCTTACCCCTTACCATTTTGGTCAATTTTTGCGACTTTTTCAACTGTTCAAAAAGTGTCTTAAAATGCTAAAAATGGCTTCCTAAGACTAAACCAAAATGGTCAATCCAGACATAATACTTCGTCTAAAAAATTTTCGTCTGCAATAAGATTTCTTTAAAATTCTCCGAAAATTTTTTTTTGACGAAGTATTGTCTTGGGCTACTGTGTCTGTCTTGGGCTACCTGTGTCTGTCTTGGGCTACCTGTGTCTGGCTTGACTTTTTTCTTGGTAAAATTTAAGAAAAATAGAAACAAAACTAGAGAAATAGAAGTAAAAACTAGAGTAAAAGAAACTAGAGAGAAAAAAAAAACTAGAGAAAGAAAACTAAGTAGAAGAGGAGAAAAGAAACTAGAGAAAAAAAAACTAAGTAGAAAAAACACTAGAGAAATAGAAGTAAAAACTAGAGTAAAAGAAACTAGAGAGAAAAAAAAACTAGAGAAAGAAAACTAAGTAGAAGAGGAGAAAAGAAACTAGAGAAAAAAAAACTAAGTAGAAAAAACACTAGAGAAATAGAAGTAAAAACTAGAGTAAAAGAAACTAGAGAGAAAAAAAACTAGAGAAAGAAAACTAAGTAGAAGAGGAGAAAAGAAACTAGAAAAAAAAAACTAAGTAGAAAAAACACTAGAGAAATAGAAGTAAAAACTAGAG